TTTGCCCTTTCAAGTGAACTGTTACAAAATCCTCGTCAATAGTTAAGAAAGGAGAGCACTTTTCCGTGTTAAGAGAGACATAAGGTTTCTTATTTTTTCTCTTTTCAATTTCTGATTCCAACACATCAGGAAAGACACAACCTTTTTTCATGAGCTCCATCAATTCCTCCACAGATTTGTCTCTAAACTCATCTGCCAACATTCCTTTCCTGTATTCAATTTCTTTTTCAACCATTGCTCTTGGGAAATGAAATCCATAACTGTTTTTCAGGTCCTTTAGTTTTTGAACCGGAAGCTGAGCAAGAATTTCTGCCATGATTTCCGTCATCATTCTGGCTCCTAGAGCTTCATGGTATAAATGGACTTCGAAATTCTCAGTGATGGCTTTGATGCAAGAGTTCTTCAATTCTGTTGATTGGAGAAGGTCAGCCAAAATTAGCAAAGGAACAAGGGTCTCTTTGGGAAATATTTCATTCAATAATTTTTCATATTTCACTAGATCACCAGAAATTTGGTTTCTTCGAGTGGTTTGTTGTTTTGCGAAGAGTTCTTTTGTTTTTCGGATTTCTTCATCAAAAAAGAGGTCAACTTCATTCTTTCTTGCTTCAAAAAGTTTGTCTACTTTGTCCAACTCATTGTACTTATGAACTTCATAAAGCAAACGTAATTTTTCCATATCAAATTCTTTACATTTCTCCATGGTCTGTTCCAGCTCAGTTTTATATCTCCTAATATTATCTTCAAATCTTTTCATATGTTTTAACTTAATCTCAATTAACTTTTTGACCGCATCGTTGATATTATTTTCATTTTCTGCGTTCACTTCCTCCTGTTTATCCAAAATTAAATTGTACTTTTGTTTTAGATTGGGGTTTTCAGCAAATAGAAGGAATTTTTTAAAAGTTTCAGGATGAAAACAATCATATAGTTTTAAATCCTTGTATTGTTTGTCATTCTCGCTGAAAGAAAGTTGTTTGAATTTTTCGTCATTTTCATCTGAGGAGATTTTGGTAGAGGGATCTTCCAACATTTTCTTAACAGAATTGTTGTAAAGTTACCATCATTAAATCATACTTACCTTAATGACTGGTGACGTCTCTACAAGATATTTTTCACGACTCCTAAGTGTGGTGGGACCAAAGTTTTTCCGCTCAACGTAATATCTACTCGAACACTAGTGTGTTTCAGAGAAGGATCAACATATGCACTAGACTGAGCTCGGTTGATAGATTTTGATGTGTTTGTTGTTTTCTTTTCTCGTTGTTTTTTCAGCTTTAACAGCTTTTCTTCCTCAGTTTTTTCCTTCTCCAATTCCTCTTTCTTTTATAAGATAGCTAGAAACTATTGTTCAAGTCAATTCAGTACTTACAATCTTTTCAATTTCTTCGTTGACTTGAGCATACAAAATTTGATATCTTAATCCCATTTCTTTTAAATTATTTAGTCGCTCTTTCAAGAGAGTCCCATCTACATCGGGTTTGTTAAACACTTGTGCATTCTTCTTTCTCTCCTCTCTATACTCTTGTACAAGTTCCGATGGTGTACTCTTTTTCTCTTCGTCATCATTGATCTTTCCTCTATGCTCAATAAATAATAAGAATTTGTCCTCTTCAATACAAAATTCGTGCTTTAACGGATGCTCGAGACATGATTGTTTAAACTCCTCCAAAAATTTATGGGATAGGACAATATTGATATCCAACCGATGGTACTGATCATCACATTTCAGTGTGTAGGCATGATGTTGTTTCTTCATGTTGTTGTTGTTGAGACGAATTTTTCAATATTGGCGCCATGTCAGTTTTACAATTTCCAAAAATAATTTTATTGTACTTACTATATGTGGATGGCATGCCAATGTCGCTCGCGAATTCCATCTCTCTCTCTACCCTCTCATTCTACGTGAAGATTCTCAAGATGAGAGAGTGTATTGAAAAAGAATGATGGACCGATTGCAATGAAATGGAATAACCATTGAAGAAACATGATAACCTTAGAATCGAAGGCAAAATCTTGGCAACTGACACATTGATACAGAAGGTGGGTGAAGAAGGATGATCGCATCCAAAATGTGAGAGGCAGTAAGAGTGGGTCGATGGATTTGTTGGGTTCCTGTAGTGGAAGAGCTAATTTCTTGTAACTGAGGAAATTGAGAATACATTCGTCGTTCTCTTGGAGTCAGTAGACCTGCAGCTGTAAATAAACTGTCCTCAAATGGAGTGACAATTCGATTCTCACGATCGATCAGGCAAATAAGAGCTATTTGACAAAGCTTTCCAACTGTTTCGTAGGCCTCCAAAGCCAAAAGTTCGAGAGCATTGTCATTAATTTTAACATTTGGAGGGATTTCAAGCCATTGCCTAAACCTTTTGGTTCCTTTTGAAATAAAGTTAGATTCTCGGCATTTTGTATATTCAAGATAGTCATTTAGAGACAAATTCTTGGATAGAAAGTCTGCAGCTTGACGTTTCTCTTGCAAATAATTTTCAATGAGTTGATCTGAATTAATCTCACCTGGAGATGAATTGATGGCATTGGAAGTTGGAATTTCGCTTTCGTCATCTGAAAAATGTCCAATATCTAAAATAGGATCTAGTTTTAACCTCTTGTCCTTGATATGAGAGAATACATTCTTTCTCTTTTTTCCTTCTGCTTCCTCTTCCGGCTCACTTTCTTTCTTTCTCAGTTCTTTAACTTTTATCATGTTTTCAAATCTGGCAAATTTCAGAGAATCTTTCTTTATAAAAAATAGTACATCTTCGACAGTAATGGTTGAATCTACAGATTCTACTTGATCGATCGTATTCGCTGATTTTGCATTCACAAAAACATATATTTGGTATATTATATCAACGATATGATTTCTTGAATATTGTTCAATGATTCTAATGGTACTAGGATCAACTCTATTTGAAAAGCAAAAGCATGTAATCATATTTGAAATTTCTTCCATATATACTATTTCATAACTTTGTGGTGAAACAGAAGAATTCTTTGACGAGAATTGTGACATCGGGAATGCCAGTGATGATGAAAGCATTGGATAAGTCGGTCCTGTCGTAATAGAAGTTACAGTTGGACCATTTGTTGAAGAAGGGGTGGAGACTTTTGATGATGAAGCTTTCTTTGTTGTGGTTGACTTTTTTGGCTTTGAAACTGATGCAGCAGGAGAACCGACCGCAGCGATAGTGGTGGTATTGGTGGTGTTGTTATTATTACTTGAAGGTGGTGGATTTTTAGCAATAGAAGTTGTTGCAGAAGTTGATGGTTGTGCAGCACTGATCGGAGCAACATTTGATGAAACTTTTTTAGAACCCGATGATGATGAAGTCTTCTTCCTGCTCTTTTTGCTCTCTGTGGTCGGTGGCGTTGTGGAGGAAGAATTTTTGCCCATTTTTTTATCTTTTTGATAAAGACCTATAAGAACCAGCACAGGTTTTAATCATGAAATGTTCTTTATAGGTCTCTATTATTTGTTGCAAGATTTATTATTATTATTATTAACATTTATAATAGTTCGATCATTATTACCTTTTGGGGTTGCCTCCAAAAATTACAAATTAAAAATGAGCCAACATCTCTCTGGAAGCTCGAGTGACAGCATTGAACTTCTTTCCACCCAAGGTTCCAATGCGTTGAATAACGTTTTGATCAAGAATACAAAGTTAGTTACCAAGGTGTTTGACAAAGAGGTGAAGACATATGTTGTATGCATTGAAGGAAGCTCATTCCATACGACCAACATTGAGATTCCGAAATTAAATACAACAACCTTGCAAATTATGCATCGGTACTTGGTGATACAATGCATGATCGGAACGATATTTCAAGTTGAATTTCATATTAGAGATAAAAAACAGATTAAAAAGAGAATAATTATTTCCAGCAGTTTCAAAACAATAACCAAAACTCAGCTACATTCACAAATTCCTCTTCCAGAAAATATTATCGCTGGACAATGGATGAATTTATGTTTTGATTTATTTGAACTAGTTGAGATTTCGTTCAATGACAAAGAAGAATATTATTGTCTTGATAGGATATGCATCGGACCAAGTTGCACAATCCGAAAAGTATTCACTTTGAAACATAACCCGGAGACAGAAGTTTTAATACCAAAAAAGCTAGCTTTTTCTCATACGGGAGATAATAATGTTTGTATTGTGGACTCGTCATCCTTCCTTTCTGAAGAAGAAATTTCAGCATTGAAGAAAAAGCCTCCAGTCATCACTGAGAAACCTGCATCAGCTAAGGATAAAAAACCACAGATAGCATTTGGTAGAAGGATTTTTAGACCCACCACAGGATTGCCAGAACACTCCATTTTGCAGGAAAATTCTGTTCTTCTTGAGCCAAAACCTCATACTGCAGGCCCAAGAATAGGTCAAAATATTCACAAACCATCCACATCAGCAACAAACAAAACTGGACCTATCATTAGGCCAAGAAAACCACAGCCTCCCCAACCTGAAAAACAAAAGAGTAAGAATATTTTGCTCATCTCACATAACAAAAACAACGAAACAACAATTTCTCGATATAGCGAAGGGGATGAAGAGGAGATTGAGGAGCACTCAACTGAATCGCATAATTCAATTGAAGAATTACGAATATTAAAGAAACCTCCTAAAGAAGAATACAATCCAAACCACTACCAGACTGAAGAAGACAACCTCGATTTGTTGGTGATTTCTGAACAAGAAATTGAAAAATTGAATAATGACCCCTTAATTGAGTTTACAAATTCAAGGAAGAAAATAGCTTTAATGGGAAACAGTATTTCAGACATGGATAAAAGTCTAACCTCTGCAAGAAGTTCCAAGTCATCTTTAAGTACCGATTCCTTATGTGTACCACAAAGACGAGAAGCATTAACTGAAGCTCTGCAAGAGGTGGAAGTTAATTTTGGTGATCCCCAATTTAGTGATAACGAGGAAGACAGTGATGTGGCATGTCAAGGTAACGATAGTTTTGGCTCAGAAACAGCAATTCACACTTTAAACAGCTACAAATTTAAGGAAGACAGAAAATACAATCCCACAATGTTTGAAGATGAAGACCTTGTGCTGTTAGAAGGGGAACAAAACATTAATTGCAAAACAGCTCACGATTCTTTAATTGAAAAACACACTGTTCTTGAAAGCACCAACTCGGCATTGAGCTCACCCACTCCAAATCGTATTTGTACAGTCAATGTGGGCATGGACGAGTATATTGAAGAGCCAAACTCGAGGAGGATGTTCCACAATTTCGAAGAAGACGATGAAGAAACAACACAGTTTTGAAACGTTTGCATAACAGTATACTGGCAATAAATCATCAAGAGATCTTCAAATCAGTTCGGAGCATCATCCATTTTCTTCATCATGACCAAAAAAAAAATGCAATGTCTCACGCAGCTCACCCAATTTTGCACGCTCGCTTCTCAAAACAAGAAGATCAATAGTACTCAACAAGAACAAATCTATCTGCTCTGGACCGATCTCGCACGTATTTTGGAGAATTGTTCCTTCGATAAATTGGATAAGAATGTTGAAGTTACACTGATGAAATCGGTTTCGTTTTTGACCAACATCGGCAACTCTGTACTCACAAGAAGACTGATTTGTAGATGTTTCAACAAATTCTTCAACATCAATCCAAGCACATTGATTCCTTCCGGATCAAGCAAAATACTACAATTGTTGGAACAACACTCAAACGCCACTCGGAACCCACAGAAAATTAACGAAATAGCCTGTTTGTTGGACATACTGGGAGAAGCCTACTCGATACAGTCCCATCTAGTGCCGAACCTATTCAATCTCATCAACAATAATTTATTTTGGAAATTATGGAAATTGAATGTAAGTGTTGTGTGGTGATGATGATGTAATTGTTAAACAAAAACATTATTTTTCGAACTACTCCATGATGATGACTTCAATAACAGGACGATCCTATTAAAGAGGCTATATTAATGTTATGCGCTAAATACGTAGCCAACTCAAAGAAGAGAGTGAAGAATGAGTGGACAGAGTACTTGAAATTAATATTAAAAGGTACTCAAGAAACAAACAAACACGTCAAAATTGCCTGTGGAGAATTAATGTTATCTATCGCAGTCAATTATGCAAGACCGTCAGATGTGAACCTAAAAGTTTTCGATACATCTCTGAACATGTGTTTGAAGAGTATGGAAGACACCGAAGAAGAAGTTCGAAAGGTTTTCAGCCATGCTGCCGCCCAGTTGCTACTTTCTTGTATGAGTGACACTGGCCTCCATGATTCTGTTGCCAATGAAGACGGAGGCATTACTCCAAGATCTCAAAAGCCTTCAAAAGAATATACTTGTAGTTATGCTATCATGATTGCTACAGCTCCTTTTACGAGAATAGGTCAAACAAAAGAATTGAGATCAGCAATAGCGTCATGTATAATTTATTTCTTCTCGAAATGTCCTGAGGATGTAATCATATCAAATATGGATACAATTGTGAAAAATTTGACTGGTTTAATTTCTATTAGCTCCAACAATATCACCAACAATGACAAGAAATATGCTCAAACTTATGTCACTAAAATGCTTAGTATTGGTCTGATTGACAGACTTACAGAAGCAGGAAGAATATCTTTATTGAACAATTTGGTTCAATTAGTGATCAATAATACCGTCGTCCCAAATGATAGTTGTTTTACTACGGTATTATATTGTATTGGTAAGCTATGCAAAGTCTTGGGAGAGTGTGTTGCTAAATATAGAGACTCTATTCTTGATGCAATTTTGCAAAGCTTGAAATATCCAATTGAAAGTGTGAGATATGTTGGATCTTTGACAATTAAGCAACTAATGGAAGCTCTTCCATCACATTCTACTGGATTAATAAGTGCATTAATGAATATGGTTCAAATTGATCATGCAGAGTTGGCAACAGCATCCAAAAGAGATGAGAATATCAAAAACTATGCAAATTCACTTCATGGACACTCTTGCGCGCTTGCTGCGTTGATAATGGTTTCGGCCAAACACAGTCTTACCATTTCACATGCTCTTTGTTCTGCAGTTTTAGATACTGCATCGCTTCTAGGAAAGGCTGCTCATAAGTCAGCTGATGACCTCTATGTTTCTACAAAACGTCAAGAGTCATGCTGGATTCTAGTATGTGCCATTCTTTCCTTAAACGATTATTGGGTGAAAAATAATTTGGAAAAAATCTTAGAGCTTTGGGACGATACAATGAGTGGAAAATATGAGGAACCTATCACCTATTCAACCAAGGAAGAAGAAATCACTTACAGACTTAGATCAAGAGCATGTTGTTTGCTCTCATTACAAATTTTTATTATGAACTGCATTCCTCTCTTAACACCTGAAAAGCTCAATTTAATTTTCGGATACATTACAGCAACAGTCGATTTACTTTCCTCTTTACCACCAACATTCAAACCAACCACATCAACAGGACTTTACTCGATTAACTTGATCAAAATGAATCTTTTCAATTTGGTTGGTAAGCTTCAGAAAATGTGTTAGCCTATGTGCCTTCAACAGATAGCAAATTACAGCTTCCTCAACACCGACATGTCATCAATTTTGTCACCAAGATGGCTTTTGCTGAAGCCGATGCCTCTATTTCCGATTCAATTCCTATTAGAACCTCGCTTATTGACTCCATGGTTGACCTGAAGGTAAAACTGGACCCTATTGAAGAAAAGTATACTTCTATATCTGTGGACAGCTTTGATGCTTCGTGCATTCTCTTTGACAATATTTCTAATTTATTCTACTCTGAAAGTATTTTCCTTAAATTGCCGTCTCTTACAGTTCGATTGGTAGACTCATCAATCAGAGTTTTAGGAAAACTTTTCTTTTACCACAAACCAAACTCCAAAGCCCAAATTATTGAACATTTAGTTCAACAAGTTAAAACTGCATTAGCCAATAACTTGATGACACCTACAACAACCTCGCACAGAACAAGACTTGAAGAAGATTCGGGTCCAATAGATTCTACTTTATGCATTTTTTCTAATGTCGTTGCTACAATTTATTGCATTTTAAGAAACTTGGAAACAAAGCCAGAAGAAAACAAGAAACATAAGTTTTATCCTCAAATTCATTCTGTGTTAAATGCTGCTATTGGATTTTCAGATCCATTTGTACGTGCTGCAGCTGCAGAGTGCATGTATTCATTTGGAAAAATTATTGGTGACATTCTTTTAGAAGATATTGTTAAAAGATGCACTCAAAAGATTACGACATCGAACGCATCCTTAAAATCTGGTTTGGCGCTAGCTCTTGGCTCTGTCAACAGATCAGTAGGAACATTGAAAAGTCGAGAACTTCTTCCTTCAACAGTCAGTTTCTTGATTGCTCTATCCAAAATTACAGAAGAGGACGTGCAAAGGAGTGCTTTTCTTTCCCTTTATCATACAATTGATACAAACGGTGTTGCATTTTCTCCTCATGCAGAAACCATTATACAGAGTATATTCTCTCTTCTATTCGACGCTCCTCATTCAGCAGTCTCTATTTTGACAGCAGCGTGTAAGATTATGCGGGGCCTTATTGGATTGGGGCCAGAATTGCTGCAGCTAAAGACTCAACCATTTGACAAAATCTTTAACTATTTCGTCAGTGATTTGATGACTAGTATTCAAGTAGATTCTGAACTTTTCAGTTCGGATGCTTTGGTCATTGAATTTATTCACCTTTTGCAGCGAGTAATTGTATTTACTCCCTATTTGGTTGAAAACTTGGAAACTATTGTTGCCTTTTTGAAGAAGTTAATTCATCTCAAGAAAGAAAAGATTATACATTGAAAATATTCAAAACGAGATTGGCCAATGCATCAAAATAATTTGTGATCAAAAACCAGAACTGATTTCCAAGTATTTCACACCATCAGAACTCTTTGAAATTGTTGATGATATGGACTTTTCTATTTCTCAAGCATTAACATATCAGTCACTATCTCAAAGTTCGAACGAGAAATACGTTGCGGGTAACAATCAAGAAAATCACTTCAAGAATATTCTTTCATCATTGATATCCAGCAAATTAATTTCTCCAAAGCCTTGGATTGATTTGATTCATATTGTCATCTATTCAGAACTGAGAACTCTTGAAAAAGAAACTAGTCAAAGCGTGATGTTAGGTGATACTGACGAAAAAGATGACACACCTGTTGAAAAGAAAACATCAGAAGTACAACCATTGGTGTATAGTTGGCAAACAAAGGTGTTTGCAATGAAATGTCTCCAGCAAGTAATTGAAACCTATAGTGATGAGCTATGGCACGTAGATTTGTCTGTTGCAAGAAAATATCCCGACAAAGATTGTCTGGTTAATCATCTTTCCAAAATTATTGACATTTGTTGTACTGCCACTAATAAGGGAACAGTTTCTGTTCAACACGCAGGACTTGTGTTGATGATTAATATTAACAACATTTTTGGAAAATATCAAGATCCTGATGTTCCATCAGAACCCCTTCTTCAACAACATGCGCTTAGATTTAGCACTGCCATTAGTGATACCATCACCCAAATTAATTCTCCACTTCTTGTATATGCATCTTGCCAACTCGCTTCTATATTTATTCCATCACGTATGCTTAAAAATCAATCAAAATTACTTTCTAGAATGTGCTCCTATTTACTCAACTATATAATAGATCCTAAAACTTTTGTCAGCTCGAGCCAAGGAGAGGTTACCACATGTATGATCAGAATTTCTGTGTTGACATCTCTAGCTGAAATTTATGTTTCTGCTCAAGAAACTCAAAATAAGGATCTTTTGGAGATTTTACAACCAAATATGAAGGATATATTTATTAACTGGTATAATTTACTTCAAGACTTTTCAAATCTAACAGTCGTTGTTAATGATGAAGAGGATGATCACATACTGATACGAACGAGCAATGAATATTATGCTCCTATCTATGAACAAGCTGTTGAAAATTTGAATAACTTTTATTTTGTTGAACCTGGAACTGAAAGAAATGTTCTATACTATTTTAAGCAGTCATATGCCAGTGTTTTGAATGCAATTTCTGTTTCAAGAGGAAAAGAAGATCTAGACTCTACTGCTGATGATATTGACTACAATGATTCATTACTTATTGGTCTTGCCATTTCTCATCTCTATGGTACTGATAAGAAAAATATTGACAAATCGATCAGATGTATCAAATCAATTGGAGAAATCTATTGCCACCAAACAATTCCAAAAACATCATCATGCTCCTGGAGCAGTTTTCGAAGTTTTCTTGCTACTAATTGAAATTCAAGGCATTAGACATTTGGCTCTTCATAATGCCTGTTTAGACCTTTTAGAAAAGATTCTCACTAATGTTGACATGTCACTATTTGTATCCAGTGATCAAGTAAGCACACAAGCAATTGTTACAACTAGTACTGAAGTCTGTTTGAAACCTCTTAGACTTCATTTCCCTTATCTGTTCAAACAAGATGGAGAATTCGAGATGGGTTCATTTACCTTAGAAAAGGATCAAAAAGACCTAATTGCGAAGAGCATGTCATGTCTCAAGGCAATTGTGAAGACATTCGGTCTTTCAATCACAGGTGCTGTGGTACCAACATTATTTTACACAGCATGTAGAGTTGTACAATTCACAAGATCCAATTTAGGTTTAGACACAACCACAGCCATTATTGAAGTCAGCGAGAAGCTTCATTCTGAATTAGATGGCTCCGATCAAAGTATGACTACTGAAGAAAAATTCAGTATTTGGAGTGTTGCTATTCATGCATCCATTGATAATATTATTAGTAGATTATTATTTTCTGGAAATATTATTTACACTCCAGAAATTGAGTTATTATTCATTTTCCTTTCATCCTCACTCTGTTCCAACATTGAACTTCATGACAAGGTTGTTAGAAATATTATCAAAGCTCTCCAAAACGAAATTATCAATATTCATGATTCCTCTAATGGTGACACTAAAAAGATTTCACAAGCAGTCGACAACACGTTCAACATTTTGTATGGACTTCAGAATGGCATTCTCTATCTTGCAAGAAGTGGTCTGGCTAAACTTGCTGTATTTTATTCAATGAGTGCTGCTGTGGAAATTGTGCTGAATTTATCCTCTGAGTCCAAGTTCTTGGTCGTCTCAGTTGTGGACAATACTCATGTGCTTGACAAGATTGCTCCTCCTGCAATCAACATTTTATTGGCTGGATTCTCCTTACTGTCCGAGTTAAACTCTCCTCCAGCTTCTGTTCAAAGTTATCTCTGCACCATTGTTCCAATGCTTGTGAATATGACGAAATTCGCGCGAGACCACAACATGAGCAAAACATTTTCATTGGGAGTTCAGTGTTTTGACCGATTAACCAAGGTAGCTCCAGACCAATTCAAATCTCTCATCACGGCTCAGTTGTTGCCTCCTTCAGTCATCACTGACATTCAGGAATTTGCCAAGCAACAGCAGCAATCTGTGGCAGCTGCTTCATCGAGTAGTAGCACTGCCAAAAAACCCGTGGTAGCAGCTTCCAAACCAAAGAAAAAGCTAACCATGAACTTTTAATTCAAAGAAATTGTGAATAAATTAATTTTTGAATTTTAATATTTGATGTGTCTGTGAGGTTGTTGTGAATCATCATCAGACATAATTTTGGGAAAATGATGAGAAGGGTGTTGAGATGAGTTTGAGTTGTTGTTGGTGGTGGTAGCGGATGATAATGAGGAAGAATTACAACGTATCAAAGTTGATGGTTTCTTCTTCGTTTCCGCTTCCTTCTTCTTCCGATTCATCACCTTCATGTTCATCTCCAACGAATTCAATACCAATTTGTTCTTCGGTATTTTCGTTAATCTTTGCATCCTTTGGAATTTCACCAAGCTTCTTCAATTCTCTGGCTTCATCAGGAAGATATTTGTGAATCACATCGGCTTTATCATCTTGATAATCTCTCAAACCAACAAGAATGGTATCTCCTTGATTAATCCAAATTTTTCTTCTCATCGTACCACGGATGGTACAGAGCCTAGTTTTTCCATCAAAACAATAACACTCCAATCTTCCGTTACCCAACATTTTAACCACGGTACCATATTCTTGTCCTTCTTCTTTAAGTTGGAGATCTCTCTTGGTTCCTGCACCTCCCTTGTTCAAGTCCTTCTTTCTCTTTCCACCTTTTGATTTGCTTTTTGTGGGCATTTTTTTTAAAGATTCAAAAATATTCGAGTACTGTAGGAGTCTTCTTCCAACCAACAGCCACACGACTTGGTTGAGGGTTTGGATGACAATTTGGAAATTTACATGAGCATTGAAGTTGATCAAGAACGACTGCAACGAGTTGGTTGAAGCAACAAGAAAAAAAAAGGATGGGTTGTTCAAGCGAATGAAGAACTTTTGGATTTCTTTAAACAACGAATGAACACAAGTCTTTGCAGTCACACTTAAGGGCCCTTACAAACCTGCACCTCTCTGAATACAACCTTCAGGATAAAATAGCTCTGTTCTAAACCTATATGCACTACTCGAATAAGATAGACTCGTATGATTGCTTGTTGTGTCTCAATTGTTAATTTCATAGAAAAGTGAATGATCTTTAACCAAGGTATGTCAATAAATAATGGTAATTGTATTCGCTAGGAAATATCTCTGGCTGACATTGGTTCAATAATGCCAATCTAATAATCTGTACAAATTATTCTACAACAGGTGTGTTGTTGCTGTCATTATCTACGTCCTTGCTTTTAGAAGAAAGGAAAGATCCAATGGCTCCCAAATAACCTTCGTGACGCAAAAACATTGCTGAAATTGTTCCTTTAGACCAAAAATGAATAGCATATGAAATATAATGCATTGTGATGTCATGACCTCTAATAAAATATCCTGCAAAGAATATTCTTTTAAGTCCAAATCTCAGAGCATTGAGATATGCAATTTGTCCAATGTTATTGCAAATCATAAATAATAAGGATTTAGCAAGATCTGCAGCTTTAGGTTTCATGGTTTCTTCACTGCCGGTTTTTTGCATGATCAATTTACCAAAACTACTAGCAATAATGTCTGATGGTAATCCTATCTTTTCATAGTCTCTTCCATAGATATCTCCAACAAGCATATCTACAGGTTTGTTGTCACCTTGTTTTGTAAGTTTCAAAATTTCCTCGAATGATGAACATCCAGTCAATAATTTACATAAACCCCAAAATGTTCCTCCACCAATACTACTACCTGAAACTCTTTCAAACATTCCCAAGCCATCAACTCTCAAAATGCTAACACCACTTCCAATATTTACAAGTAAATAAGGAAATACCTCGTTATTGGAAACCTCTTGAAATGAAATATATTCTCTCTTTTTCTCTTTTGTGAATTTGAAAGATTCATTTGGTAGATTCATTAACAAGAAATTCAGTCCCTTGATTAAAGATTCCATTTCATCGAGTTTGTTCACCTCAAGTCCAAATCTGTTTTTGAGGAGAGAAGCAAACTTGAATGCACCTCCACCAGTTGCATTGATATGTTTTATCTGATGTTGTGGCATTGAATCATCTAGTTTTAATAATTTTTCAATCAAACTTAAACAATCTTCAATGTCAGCTGTTTGGAATCTCGCAAAACAAAGTTTAGAGCCTCTCTTTGTTCCGTTAAAAGCAAAATGGTCTCTAGCATCATTGATGATGAGAGGAGACTGCGGAGGAAGTGATTTGATGGATAATTTTCCATCTTCTTCATCATCACTACTGGCATGATGATAATAAGCCTCGAGCTCATTGCTCTCTGTGTCTTTGGTTTGATAAATAATTTCATTCTCACTATCAAAAGGAACCATGTAAACCATCTTTACCAGAGAGCCTCCAATATCAAGAGCAAAATGATGGAAAGGCTCATTGTGGTTCGGAAGGAATATGAAATGGTCCTCAGCAATATTTCCACCCGCACTGTCTGATTCAGCATTGATAGGGCAAGAGGGTTCAGAAGAGGTGTCTGTAGACAATTTGGATGTGTTTTTGTCTTCTTCTTGCTGTACAGATGAATTTAATGCTGTTGTAAGTGCTGAAGTAGTAGTACTGGTTCCATTGATGTTGTTATTATTGTTCAATGATGAAGTGGGTGGAGAAGGAATTGTTTTCTTGTTGTACAGAGAGGAAGAAGAAGAATTTGATGATTGATGTAAGTGGTTGCTGACTCTCACAGGAGACTGACTGCCTCCTGCAACAACAGCAGCACCCACAAGGTTTCCGTTGGATGGAATTTTGACAGAAAGTGCTCCCGTGGCAACCACTTTCGGACTCATTGAAACTGAATGCTCATCATCTTCTCTAAAGTCATCTTTCTTTGCAATCTTGATAGGCTGTTGTGATTCCGAAGTGTTGTAATGGGTCGAGTTGGATGATGATGATGAAGGAGAAGTGGACGATGTAGATGCAGTCATCTTGATGTTATCCAATTTGTTTAGAGTTGTTGTTGATGATGAGAGTTGCGGATCCATTTTTGAATGGAAAATTAACTTCACGAAACCTCCGTATGAAATTTCATCGAGATCCTCTTCACACGTTGCCAAGTAGTGGGAGGAGTTTCTCTCTCTCATTGGCCTCTATTAGAGGTGAAACTTGATGGTTCATTCATTTCTGGTGGCGGTACTACAGTTTCACTAATATTCAACCTGATTCCTTAATAATTTGAGCGTTCAAAAATATAATATTTGGAACGAAAATCCTATCCCATATTCTGAAACCCATTGTTGAGGTTGAGGGCTAGCTGCTCTCTCCGAGATTATGATTATCTCCTAGTTGGAAATCAATGATAAAAAGTCTTCCTTTCCTCGTGATTTTCAACGCTTTCATGAAATGGATTCAAGCAAAAAATATTTTGCTGCTGAGCTCGCCTTGACACACTCGTGCGCACGCTATAGTTGCATTTCATAGTAATATATCGATATATATATATATGTATTAATCCCAACCAAGAAATCGTTGCAAAAGCCTTCTACATCTCCTTTTCCACCACTCCAACTGACCTGGTATGAAGTCCATCATTGATTTTGTAAAGCGCAAGCCTTCTTTATCGGTAGAGTCATCAACAATGCTTTTACGAGGTGTGCTAGCCTCGCTTCCTCTCTCTCATCCTCTGGACCATCATGCTGCATTTGTATCCTCATCCACCAACTCCTCTGTACTTTGCCAGGGATTGTTGGAACCTTCTTTCTTCAAGGATTATTCACATAATCTTGTGTTGAATTCTAATGCTTCATCACCAACAACTAGTAAGAGCAGTCATGGTAATCAAATGAAGGGATTTGTTTCATCCATCGCTCGAGCTCACAAAAAACATTCACAACAACACTCGCTGGATCATCATCATCGCTCTCAGGTCCATCTTCGCTTGCGTCGTCGCAGGCACCATCGTCATCAAGAATTTCCAACCACTTCGGTCGCAGTGGTGAATTTGACGAATATTCTCCACAATGTTGAAAATATATTGAAGTTGGCAAGAGAGCACAATTCTCAAGTAAAAATTATGCCAGTAGTGAAAGCAAATGCTTACGGACATGGTGATGTGCCCATTGTCAAAGAATTATTGAAAGAAATGAATATTCATCGATTTGCTGTGAATCGTGTGTTGGAAGGTGTGAAAATTAGAAAAGCTTTACAAAAAGAAAATTTTAATGACGTCGACATTCTGGTGTTGGGATATGCAATTCCAACCGAAGTTAAAAATTGTGTCACTTTTGATTTAACACCAACTATATCTGGAGATCCATTAATTATTGAAACATTATTTGATGAATGTGTGAAGCAAGATAAGAAAATTAAGGTTCATGTCAAGATTGATACTGGAATGGGACGGTTTGGGCTATTACCAAACAAGGTTGAATCCTTTTTACATTGGTTTACGAATAATCCTCGTAATTTTCCATCTCGTATTATTCTTGAAGGAGTTTTCACACATTTTTCAAGTGCTGATGAAAAATCCAAAGATTACACTCAATATCAATTCGACAAATTTATTGAAATGAGAAAACTTATTGAAACAATTCTTGAGGAAAATCCCAACAAGTTGCAACACTCGAATGAAATAATCTATCATTGTTGCAATAGTGCTGCAACTTTATTCTATCCAGAAATGCATTTGGATATGGTAAGTCCTGATTCAGAGAATCCTTTCGTTAACAATTATTTAAAACAATGAACAAAGGTGAGACCTGGAGTTTCAATATATGGTCTCTCTCCAAGTAATATTACCAATGATGAGCGATTGCCATTTCAATTACGACCTGCACTCTCTTTAATTTCACATGTTGCCAGAGTTGAAAAGCTTCCACACAAATCCACGGTTTCCTATGGAAATACCTATGTGGTTGAAAATGAATATGAAACATTGGCATTAATTCCAGTTGGATATGGGGATGGATACAAGAGAATTAATTCTCATAAATCTCATGTCCTAATTGGAGGTGTAGAATGTCCGGTCGTTGGGAGGTATGTGTGTTTTATTAAGTTTCATTATTTTAAACAAGTCGACATTGGTCTCAATCTTTCTATGCCTTGTTTTAACAAAAGAGTGTGCATGGATCAGTTCGTAGTAAGAATTCCAGATGAAATCGCAGATCAGGTCAAAGTGAATGATCAAGTTGTACTTTTAGGAAAGCAAGGTGACAAAGAATTGACATGTGAAAAATTGTCTGAATGGTCTCATACAATTAATTACGAAATTGTCACTGCTTTATTACCTAGATTAAAGAGAATATATGTTAAATAAATTTATTGATCTCGTTTGGAAGCATTTTCCCTTGAAATTCTAATAATTTCCTTTTGTCGTTCAATTTCCTCATCACTCATTTTCATCCAATTATCATATTTTTCTTTTGCCCATTGTTGAAGCTGTTCATGAATTTAAAAATTATTTCATAAAGGAGCGAATGAATTTAGGATAAGTATTCATAAATAATATTTTAAAATAGGTGAATCATAATTCATTCAAAAATTGAAAATTATTAAATATTAATAATTAATTAATTTGCGATCATTATTCATCACAAACATTTCCGCTCATAATTTCATTTAACACTCACATCATAAAACACAGTTCCTTCTTTCCACTTTGTTTTTATCAGCAAAACATAACAAATTCCAGTAAGACCTCCAATTTGAATGACATAATAGGTTCGTGGATGGAAAAGTGCTCGTGTGAAAAAATTTCTTCCTTTCCGTATTGGTTGTCGAGACATTTTTAATCCTTATTATTGATTGAACTTTTATTGAGAATGAAATCGTGGTCAAATCAATTTATTCCTTGTGGTGTTCCAACATGAGCAATTTGAGATGAATGTGTTGAACAAGCAAATCAATGGCAACAGTATTGGCACCTCCTCTTGGAATGATGATATCTGCATACTTCTTGGTTGGCATGATGTAATCATCAAAAGAAGGTTTTACAAATCTTTCGTATTGAAGTAAAATTCCTTCCAGGTCACGTCCTCTTTCCTTTGTATCTCTTCGAACTGTTGATAATTTTCGGAAGTTGTGAGTCATCAGTTAAATAAATTCATTTGTACCATATACAACAACCTACGTACTTCTTCTTGCCAATCTAACATCTGCATCAGTATCTACAAAAATCTTCATATCCATCAACTCTCTCATTTCCTTGGTGAAGAAGATGAGAATTCCTTCAATAATGATAACATCGGCACCCTCAACACGTTCAGTTTGTGAAGTTCTTGAGTGAGTTTTAAAATCATACACTGGTATATCCACTGGGTTACCAGCCTTTAATTCTCTGGTTGATTCCTCGAATGCATCATAGTCAAATGCATCTTTAAAATTGAGAAAGAAATAAATTTTCAAATGTGCACCAAGTCAAACATTATCATCAACATGTTCATTCCGATGTCATTAATGTTTTTAGAATACGTAATATCAATGGCCAATTTAGTGTCCTAAAAATTCCTGATAATCATCACTTACCTGGATGATCAAAATCGTAAACATTGTTTTTTGCAAGTTCTCGCTCTTCGTCGGTTAAATTTCTATAGAAGCTGTCTTGGGAAATAACAGCAACTCTCTTATCGGACAAACTTTTTACAATTTCTCTACAAACGGTTGTCTTTCCTGAAGCACTACCTCCGCAAACACCAATAATGAATGGTTGCTTGGTTGGTGGTTTGAAAGTAGAAACATAGGAAACCAATCTCTGTACTGTAGCATTTTCTTTTTCTTTTTCATTCTTCTTGGAAAACACATTAGAGGAAGATGACTCTTCCTTTCTTTTCAAGTGTGTGTGTTGGTGGAGATATTCAGGAGATCCATAAAGAATTTCATTTGGAAGTGAAGACATTTTTTTGAAGCTCGAAAATTTTCATCATTTTCATTGTAACCGAGGTGTACAAGAGAGAAAGGGCTTGAACTTTAAGTATCATTTTGCAAGATCTCATCCAATTTAAAGGAAAGAAAAAGGTATTTCATTGGTTCGGGTGTGAGTCAAGTCCCAGCAAATATCCTTATTAAACAAAAAAATGAAAACAGAAAGCTATCATGATCTTCACGATTCAAATCCTGTAAAAATTGAATTGTTTGATTTACACCCTTCCGAAAGGAATTATAATAATATTGATTGTTGTTATGAAAAATTAAAAGAAAAGCTTCGAAAAGCTCGGAAATTACAAGCCTTTTCTATGAATTTTGATTCTGTATACATTTTTAAAGGATATAACGCATGTAAATTTAGAAACCCTTGTGATGTCAAGATCTCCCATAACTGCCAATGTATTTTGATAAGTGAGTTCAGTAACTCCAATATTCTTGTTTTTGATTTACTTTCCAAAGAATACAGGATGAGAATTCCCACTCCGGGAATGCCAATGTATTTAGCAATCGAAGAAAATTATGATGGATGTAATAAGGATGCTCTTTATTTCGATTGCAATAGTACAAAAATTGTATACAAGTACAATTTGAATGCTCTTTTAGACTTGTTGGGTATGCCAAAAAAAGACGATGAGTACAACAGTGCACTCCTCTGGGAGTCTTGTTCATTTGAAAATCCAAGAGCAATTGCACTCTACAACTCGGAGAGTACATATTCTACATACAAGAATCTTTATGTTTGTAATTATGGAGGGCATTTCGTGTCAATGTTGAGATCAGATTCTGGACAATTGGTTCAAAAGATCGATCTGTATATTCGCTCTCCATATGGAATAGTGGCCATTTCCGAAAACGAGATTGTCGTGAGTGATTTTACAGATAATTTTGTGCGAGTGTGGAGGTATCAGAGCGACAACGGGCGTTGGCAACAAGTAGTAACGATAGGCAGTGTTGGAGAAGCACATTGCCAGATTCGCTGGCCTCAAGGTGTTGCTTTTGATCAGGCTTCAAAGAATATCATTGTTTGTGATTCTGGAAATTCTCGTTTACAAATATTTTCAAAAGATGGAACCTTTTTGAAGTTATTCGAGTTTTCAAGCCGTAACCACTGCCCTGATGGGTTATGTGTTAACAATCATACTGGAGAGTTACTTGTTTCAGATTACAATGAAAATCTTGTACACATTTTCAAATAATTATGAGGAATGACTCGTAAATTGCGAAGAAATACGGACTACTTCAAGTGGAGTTTATGAATGATAAAGAATTTATTTGAATAACATTAAAAGTATTTGCAATTGCACACGTCGCCGTGAGTTCTTTTTTATATATGAAGTCAATGTTAATTTTATCGAACATAAACGAAACAATCGAATATTCCCCAAATTAAAGTTGCAAAAAGGCTACAGCACTGCAGGATCCCAAGTTGTCTCCAACCTCAGTACTGATGCAGCTCGACGATGCTTTAGGGGATGAGGCGCATTCATCGTGATATGGCCGTAGCCATTCCAAATCGTAAAGTGCTTGTTTTGGTTAATCATTCTTAATACTCTCTTCCTGTCGATTATGAGTAAATGAAGTTTGAATCAGCTGAATCAGAAGGGGTGCTTCTTGAATGTTTTTCTCTTTGTTGGACATGGACGGGATGCCTGCCAGGAATATGGCGACACTCCCGCTACAGTCTTTGACTGTATGAACTGTGAGTGACAAAAGCAGAAGCCTTTGTTTGTTCTTTAACAGAAGAGGTTGTTGAATAAAGTGCAGAAGTGGAATGATGAATTTATTCCAGTTGAATTGAAGAAAAATTTGTGCTTTGGAATGTGGTTCAGCGATACAGAATTTGAAAGTTCACATTCATTCAATGTGGCACTTGACAACATCCTTTTAAACAAAAAAACAAATTATGAATGAATGAAACAGAAACCTATTTCATCTTCATAGGTTTGTGTGGAGTATTTACAATAGGTGAGGTCATATATTGTTTGCTCTCTCTCAGGTCAATTAAATGATAGCTCTTACTTTCGGAAAGTCTTATTTCTCATTTCCAAAGTATTATGAGAGGGTCGTGACGAGAAGTACTGATTGTTCATGACTTCTGATGCATCATGATCCTCACCATATTGATGCATCACACGATAATTGAATTGTTTTCGTTGTCGTGTTCCTCCGACAATATTATCCATGGAAATTTCGGAAGAGTAATTGTTGTATCCCTTGTTGCTTCTTGTGCAGACCATTTTGATTATGTTTTGTTGAATTCAATGATTAGCTCTTTTCTTTGTTGATTTCGTTCTTCATTCATTTTCATCATGAATTTATTTTTGAATGTCCTTCAAGTTTTGTCGAGAATTTCCAGCAGATTCAGGATTCCACAAAAAAATGGATGACACCAAGCTCAATAAATAACCATCACTTTCAGCTCGGAAATTCATCAACAAAACAAAAACAACCATTCAAGTAACAACTATTCACTAACAAAATCATCATGGTCTCTAGAACATCACCAAATTCCTCATCACGATCTAACACCACTGATGAGAAGATTCCAACAAAAACCGAATGGGTCCAAACGATTACCTAATTTTGATATTGATCCATGCAAATGTAGTGAGTGGAACCCGACGAAGAAAGAATGTAGATTATCATGTCTCAAATTTAACGGGAATGCAGGTCACTGTAAAACGATCCTCGAAGAATACTTTTGAAAAGAGATCATCCACTCCCTCTTCGAAAATCACGAAATCAAGAAAGATGAACAACAAGTGAACGCCTAATGGTATCATTCAAAATAAATCCTGGTTGTACAAATTCATCAAATATCGCATAAAAAATGTCCCAGCGCTGTTGGATCCGACAAGCTTTGATGGCCCGTTTCATCATCTCTCCATGATCTTCATCGTTGATAATCCCATGTCGATCAAACCACAGAGAGGTTTACAAATATCGCCAATGCCGTATTGGGTGTTGTTGTTGTGGCGAGGCGGCGATGTGAACAGGTTCACAAAAATTCAAACAAAAGGCGCCATTTCGTTTACGAAGTCTGGTGCAGACGTTGGCTTGGTGGACCAAATATCACGAGAACAACACATTTCCTTAGACGCACCACAGGCGAGTCGACATTGTTTATTCCGCTGAGTTGGTAAAAAAACATCATCAATTTTTGTGTGGGTTGTACACTAGCAATGACTGCCCTCAGAGACCAATTCCTTCTTAGGAATAATCATAGTTGTTATTGGACCTCCATGGTCCGATGGATGAGGCCGTTCCAAACCATTCCCAAATTGATTTATATAACGATAATGGCCCTACAACTCACTCTTCTATTCGCTTCTTACTTTAGTATTTATCATTCAAATTCGCTTTTTGTACATTCCAAATCCACGAAAGCTTTCTATGCAGACTTTGATGTTACTAAACTCCCGAATGGAGCCATATATCCAGACTCTCCTCTCTTTGCAAACATTTTCTTTAAGAATGGCACCATGACCCAGTTTGCTAAGGACTTTGCAGCGAACAAGTACGTTTGGAATGAAGACTTTTGTTTACTTGATTCGGACGGTGATGGACTAACCAATGGTGATGAGTTGGGCGATCCATGTTGTTATTGGTCTTCGGGTAATCCAGCATCCAGAAGATATCTCTTGAGTGAGTTGAGTGACCCATCCGATAATTCAAGTATTGCAAATTTTGCCTCTGCTACAAATGTTTCAGTGGTGGAAGGTTTAGTGGCTATACCAACTCATTTCAGTATTGAATTGAAGTGGAAGTTGTCCAACGATACTACGAATCTTGTTTGCTACTATCAAATCCAAATGTCAACATTGAATGCCTTGGGATATACTACTGTCATGTACAAGACACATAATGCTAATTCCTATACAAGATACAATTTGGATCAGAACACAACTTATTCTTTCAGAATTTTGCCTTATAACAAGTTCAAAGGTTATTCATGGTACGGTGTAGGAAAGCAATCCATAATATTCGCAAAAACCTCAGTAGATCCATATGGACAGGGTATTGGGGATGATTGCCCATCAAATGTAATTACATGGTCGGAATTATCCTCAAACCAAACAATATTCAATTTTACCTCACAAGTGATTGTTACCACAACCACTAACTTTACCGTTTGTACCAACCAAAGTTCTGTTCAACAGGTAAATGTGTCACGCACAGAATACGAGTGTCAGTACCACTACTTTATCACTGAATGCACAAAATCAAACAGCACGGAATCTGGTCTCAACATTACCATCTGTAACACCACTGCAGTGACAGTGGATGATTTGTGCGATTGGTTTTATGATTGTGAGTTTCCATGTGACTACAATACTACAGAGAATTGCACAACCCAAATCACAAACTGTGATGAGTTTACGTACCAAGAGCCTGATTGCATCAATACCACAATCACAAGAACCTATGATTGCTTCGAAAGAACAGTTAATACCACGAGAGAAACAAATACAACCTCTATTGTGTGCAGTGAAACATCAATATCATCAAACACTTCGCGAAATGTCTTTACAATTCCAAATAATTACACAGTTATATTGGATACAAGTTCTCCTATGCTTCAGGATGTTCAGGTGTTTGGATGCTTAATTTTTAGTGACGAAATAGATATTGAAATGCATTTTGAAACGATGGTTGTGACAGGATTGCTTCAAATTGGAAACGAGACTCATCCCTACAAACACAACGCTACAATAACTCTGCATGGTCAAAAGAATGAATTCAGTGAAAAAGGTTTAGGAAACAAAAACATCGCAATCACAAGTGGAGGGGTATTGAGTCTTCATGGTAAACCTCATCAAATTACGTGGACACTTTTACAAAAAACCACTAAAGTTGGAGATACCATTATTTCAGTCATTCAGGATACTATGTGGGATGTTGGTGATGAAATTGTGTTAGCCTCCACTGACTATGATATGAATCAAGCAGAAAGAAGGACAATAATCAGACGATTTAACGGCACAACCTTTGAACTGCACACTCCTCTTCTCTACAGTCATTATGCAGATACAGAATACTACACAAAATCTAACGGTACAGTCGTGGAGTTTGATCAAAGAGGAGAAGTTGGTCTGCTCACTCACAACATTCGCATTCAAGGAGATCAAGATAGTGACTTTACATTATTTGGAGGTCATACGATTTATATGAAAACATCCAAATACATCAAATTGAACAACGTTGAGTTTAGAAGAATGGGTCAGGCTGGTGTATTGGGCCGCTACCCAGTTCACTTTCACATGTTTGGAAACGCTTCTACCTCTTACATCAAAAAGCTAAGCATTCATGACACGTACCAACGAGCTGTAACTTTTCACGGAGTTCATGGTTTGCATGCAGAAGGTATAGTTGCATATAACAACTTTGGACACGCGTTTTTCCTTGAAGATGCAGTTGAAGAAGGAAATTTAATCGAAAACTGCTTAGGTCTTGTCACAAAAGCCATTCCTGATTCAAGAGCTATTCTTACTCCCACAAATTTTGATTCTTCTCCAGCAACGTTCTGGATGACAAATCCTAACAATATCCTCATTAATAATAGAGCTGCAGGTTCTGCAGGTTCAGGAATATGGTATCAACTAGAGCCATATAGTCTTGGGCCAAACATGTCGCCTTACATTCAACCTCGCAAGTGGTACTGGGGTAAATTCTTCAACAACACTGTTCACTCTAATGCTATTCATGGCCTGAATCTATGGCACGATTTCTTTGTTTGCACAGATCCAAGATTGGAGATTTTTAAAGGAATTTATTGTGGAACTAAAGAAAATCCTTGGGCAGTTGCTGAATTCACCAAGTTGGTGTCCTTTAGAAATAGACAGCAAGGTCAATTTGCTTATGTGCAAGGAGATATTAGAATGAAAGACAGTATCTATGCAGATAATCCTATTGGGTACACCTTCAACGTTATTCATCAAGATTCTTTTACAGTTAAAGATTGTATTTTTATTGGAGAATCTAACAATAGAGGTAATACCAATAATTGTCAAAACGGATGTTATAGATGTGGTAACGACTACAAAAATCTCAATTCTACATATAATCGGTCCTTTGCTAATTACAGAAGCCAACCCATTGTTGGAATTCAATTTCATAGAGATGGCAAGCCCTTACTTTTGGACGGTGTTGAATTTTTCAATTATGTCGACAATTGTGACAGAAGAGCCAATGCATTAGATATCAAAAACGATGTTATGGCTCAAATGGAACAAGGTGACTACAAAGTGAAAAACTTGAAATTCCATAATTCTAACATTCTTTATCTACTAGTTGGAAAATCAAGTTATTTAGTTGACAATTATAAGCATGCAATAATTATCGATTTGGATGGCTGTCTGTCCAATTCATTAACCCTTCCTTCCGGATTTAATCCAATTAATGCCAGAATTATTCCTGCCAACCTTATTATGGTAAATTTCGAAAAGTGCTTCTATGTCAATGTATGGAATGCTTATATATGCGACCAATCTGTGAACTGGTCTAACTTTGATGTAACTACTCCGGCCATAACTAACAGCGTCGACTCTACTCGTGTGAACTCGACAAACGGTTTTTATGAAGACCTCCAAGGTCAACTTACATCAGGTGGAGAATGGAGGTACAGAGGTCGTTTTCTTGATAACAGCGCATTTAATTACACCTTTGAATGGCTTGGTAAAGTTGGAACTCCAGAAAAGATCAATTTAATTTGGAAAGGTACAAACCCTATTACTCTAACTTTGAAGATTACCATGTGGGGCCCAGTTAGCATTAACATTGTGACGAACAAGGAAGAGCTGATTCTTTCTCCTTCAAATAGAACAGATGGCTCAGCAACCTACAATTGCAAAACGAACACCGTTTCTCTTACAGTTCAATCTTCCTCAACACTTTTTATTAAGGACGCTACCTACGTACCTCCTGAACTTGATTGCATCACTTTTGACAACTCTTTGTGTTCCAACTTTTCAAACTGTGGTGGACCTAAAAGAGGCAAATGTGTTGGACTGAATGAGTGTGTATGTCGGTGGGGATGGACGGAGTCTGATTGTTCAACATATCATTGTGCTCATCGTGATTGGTGTGGTGGTCATGGTACATGCATTGGTAAGTAATATATAATAAGTATTGATCTCAAACTTTTTTCGAATGAATTAATCTGTACTAATTCTGTAGGTCCTAATATTTGTAGATGCTTCCCTGGATTCGCTGGAACCATGTGTAACAAAATTGAAGAGTTTGAATTATTCAATCGAGTACTAGCCTTTGGAGATATTCACATCAGAACACTCGACAATCAAAATTATACTTTTAACTCTGTAGGGGAGTTTTATTTATACAAATCTCAAGAGTTTTCTTTACAGGGTCGATTGAAACAATGTACTCCAACCTCCAAAACTTCATGCATGAAAGCTATTTCGTTTTCGAATGGAAACGATACTGTCGTTGTGACGTCTGATGGAAAATCAAAGGTGCTAGTATATGTTAATCAAGCCTTAGTTGACCTTTCTAAAACCACAGTCAATATGGTTGGCATTGAGCAAAACTCAACTTTCAAAATTCCATCTAATTTACAAACGTTTTATGATCAGATCAAGTATCAGCGAGATCCTGATACCAATGAAATCCCCGTTCTTCCAAAAGAATCTCTTCAATATAAGCCTCCTGCACAAGCAATTTATGTGCTCAATGGTGGAGCTACTATTGTAGAAGAACAGGATACTTCTAATTTTGTGTACAGCGAAAATGGTACAGTGATTCCTTTCAACGTTATTGTCATCAAATTTTCTGTAGGTTTTAAAGGCCAGATACGTTTGAAAAACGACGGTGTTGGATGGTTGAGTGTTTCGTTTTCCCCTTCCAAGGACACAAATTACACTGGTAGTGAACGTGGTGGTTTGTATGGCACTTTAGATAGCAATCCTAATAATGAGTTTACATTAAGGAATGGATTTGTTCTCACAACTCCTTCAGCACTTGAGGTTCACAGTATATTTGGAGAAAGTTGGAGAGTTCCCAAAACTGAGTCTAAATTTTTCTACACTCCACCAGAATCCTATGAATCCCTAAATCCAACTGATTTTGTTCCAGCAATGACTGCGACTACTGACAATAAGACGCTTCAAGAATTAGCAGAGAGAGTTTGCAGTAATTTAGGATTGACTGCTGAATTCTATGAATCATGCCTTTTTGATGTGATACAAACAGGTGACGTTGAATTTGCAAAAGCGAGTGCTGGTGCGGCTGCCCAAGACCAATGTGAAACCAACTCTACTGCATGTCAGACTTTCACTTGTCCCAATTTTTGCAATCTTCATGGAAAGTGTACCACTGGTAAATGTTATTGCGAGATTGGTTGGACTGGTGATGATTGTGGAACTGTGTCAAACATTTTACAGCTTATTGGAATTATTATTGGAAGCATTTTGGGATCTATTTGTGTCATTTTATGTTTGTGTGTTTGTGTTTCTTGTTCTCTTTATGGATTCTCCAAACGACAAAAGAGGATCAAAAGATTTTTCAGAATGGTCAGCATTGTTCCAACTCAATTTAACAAGGAAGATGAGCTAACTGACATGGACTTTGATGTTCAAAACATTCACATGTCTGACCCCAATTACGGGGAGTTGCTGTTCACTAAGAAGCGATAAAGTTTTAATATTTTATTCTTGCTCAAGGAAGGTGTTTTGTGCAATCACTGTATTGGTGGAGGAATGGTGTGATCCTTTTTGTAATTGCCTATCAAATGATTGAGTCTTGTGATTGACCCTCGATCAGAATTGGGAGGTAAATTAGGTATAAAGTGAACTTCAAGGTAGCGTAAAAGCTTTGCAAACTGGACATTGTAAGTTTGTTCCAATCGGTGACCAGCAATCTTCACGAAAGTGTCCACCATTTCAATCGTGTATTTGATTGGCTGCAAATTTAGAACTGCTGCAAGCCATTCCCAACCCTTGTCTACTCCATATTCATGGCCTTGTTCATCTGTCTGAATGATAGATGCAAAGAGTATGATTATTTCTTTCATTCTTCTGACGAATGCTGATTCGTCTTCATCTTCTTCAAATCCATACAATGTCTTGAATTCATCTTTTGATTTTGCAAGTGGATAATAAGGTATTGTGAATACACATTTGGAATGAATTGTGCCTATCACCGCATACAAAACTTCAGGCATAATTACCATGAGCTGTGAAGTTATTTTAGCGTAAGGAAATACTTTTTTGAGATCAGTTGCTTGTGAGCAAGCATTTTCAATGAGAGTATTGGCATAGAGAACGAGAGAATAATAGAATTCTCCATTCGGTATAGGGCCTTGAGATTTCTGGAAAGTCTCAAATGCTGTATAAAGTTCATTGGTAACACGACGGATAGAACTCTCATCATCTGCAGCTCTATTGAATGGCCCATTGATTTTTTTCTTGATTTCAGTTCTTGAACTTTTACATGATTTGTCATTTTCAAATTGTTTTGCAACTGCATTAAATTCTTCGAGTTTGTTCATAAAGAATTTTGCTCTCATGTAAGCTCTTGTTCTGGTACCTTGTTGAGGAACATCTACTTTGATTTGATAAATTGGTACTGCACTCGAAGATTGTACTCTGACGATCTGAGGAGGTGGATTTGAGGGTGTAACAACGGGTTGAACAATGGGTTGAGAAATAGGTGGTTTGCTTGGCTGAACAGTAGGTTGTGCAATTGGATGTAAACTAGGTTGTGCAATAGAGTGTTGTGTCATTGGTTCTGTTGGTTGTATACTAGGTTGAACCATCGTTACTGACTGCACACCAGTACTAGGTTGTAAAATAAGTTGTGAAATACCAGTCTTGGCAACAGTATTGTCGAAAGATGTTGGTTGTTGTGTAATATTTAAAGTAGGTTGAATATTAAGAGTTGTTTGTGAAAGTTGGGTTGATGGTTTAGGCTCACCCATATTTGGAAGAGTTGGCTTAATAGGTGATACATTAATATCTGATGTTGTTGTTGTTGATGGTTGAGTAGGCTTGGATTGTGCAAGTTGAATACGTTCTTGTTGTATTTCCTTTTCAACACTTTTGAGAAAAGATTCAAAATCACTACGTGCCGATTTTAACTTGGAATGTAATTCTTCTTTCTTGGTTTCAAAATTGTTTTGATTCCGCAATGGTGGTGGTTGCTCACTCAGTATACTATTGTTTGTTTTACCAAATTGAGAGGATTTAAATAATAATTCTTGTTCTATATTGCATTTAATTTCATAGTATTTGTCAGGAGAGAGTATTGAACGAGTTCGACTTTCTGAAGAAACTCTTGGTCTATGAGTTTGTAGAGCATTCTTTGATGAGGAAAAACTAGTTGGTTGTTGATATTGTTGATCTATTTCAAAGTCATCTTGCATGACTTCGTCTTCATCAATAATTCCAATAGGTCCTTTCCGCGTTATTTCTTTGAAATTATATACATCATTATTTGTGATTGTATCACAAGCAGAAAGTTCGGTAGCAATATCTACATTGTTATTTTCAGTACAGGATGCCCGATGATGATTTAATAATTTATGGTTTTTTGAACATGAATGTTTAGAAGCTTCAATGAAAGTGCATGTCCGAGATTCAAAATGATGATGTGATGGTTGTTCTTCTTGTGTTGTATCCATCGCATCCATAGGCGACGTAAAACTTGGATGGAACATTTTTTTCGATTGAATAATTGAACCTGATGAATACAGACAGAATATATTTATTACGAATATTGACAAGAACAGGGTGCATCACGAAGGAATTTCTCAATGGTTGACTGTTTAAAAAGAGGATGAACAGAGTCCATTCCTCTTTTTGCAACAACCATCCAACAACTATCCAACAACCATGAATTCCACCAACAACAAAAAATGGGTTTGTCTGTGGTGCATGGAACCGATTTGAAAATTCTGGGTGCCATCATTTTTGCTCGGTAAGTGCACTGCCTGATGATGATGGCAATAATTGTCAACCTTCTATTTTGAATTCATCATCGGATTCATTTAGTGTGGTGATAAAAGGCTACAGAGAATTCACGAGACCTGAATATTTGGACTCCAAGACATTTGATTACAAGGCAACACCAAAGCCAGCTAGCAATTAACGGAATATTTTGTTGATGATTATTGCTTTAATTTAAATTTATTGTGTAGTAATTTGAAACTCTAAACAATTGGATTTTGTTTTAAATATTTCCTGATGTATTCATTTTCAGTTTTTGAGTGTGGAGATGGCTTTTCGAATTGATCTACACCAATTGAATATATGATTCTTGGTCCTGTTGATTGCAAGGTAATTTCCTTTTCCCAATCGTCTTTGTTGTAAAGATTCATCAAAGAAGGCCTTTCCTTTGCTTCTTTGAGATACTTTTTGTTCACTTGTTTCCGAACTCGTGTCTCAAAGGTTTCAATCCTCTCTTGTTCATTGTTGTTGGAGGATATCTTTCCAAACATCGCATCATTTGGCGAATAGTTGAGAACCTTCTCAGCTTCATTCTTTTGAAACAAAGTATTCCCTTCTTGTAGGACCAATCTGGCAGCCTCTTCGTTGAATTGCTCGGCTTGCTTTCGTGCAAGACGATACTCGAGTCTTTTGGAAGAGTTTGGGATGATCGAGGGTGTAAGAGAGTTCATTGGAGTGGTATCAAGTGAAGTTGCATGGACGTTTCGAGTGCCGTCCTCATTGGACCTTCTATTGTTGTCTTTTGCTTCTTGAGTTGAGGAAGAAGCGCTGGTTTGGTCAGCTGCTTGAGAAGTGATTATTGGCTTAACTGTTGTTAGAGATGGTTTCGAGACAACGTTGTTGGAGATTGCATTACGAGCCACGTCCATCTCTTCTTGAGAAACTTCTGGTAACGATCGTTCTGGCTGGATTGGAGGTCGACAAAGTTTTGTCGTTTCGGGTTGTATTCTCAACCTTCGTGGGGGTTTTGAATTCGTAAGAACAAAACCGTATTCATCGAGTTCACTTGTTTGCTCGCTCTGGGGAGGTTCACATATGACATTGGTTGTGTCTTCTTTCAGGGACGACTTTTTCATTGAATCACATTCTGGCAGATTTTGGAATGGTGAAATCGCAGGAATTGATCGAGTTGGCCGAGGTTGTGGTGTTGGAATAGGATCTCCCGGGTCCTCTTCACACTCCCAACTCTGAGTGTGCTTTTCAGAGTGATCATCTCCTCCTTCTTGTGGTTTGATGTTGAAGAGAGGATGAGGGTTTGGTAGCAGTAAATGTGCAGGTTCTCTTGGAAGTGAGATGGTTGAAACATCAGTAATAGTGGACATGACATCTGAAAAGAGCTCTTCGTCTGAACACGTTTCATCATTATCTTCATTGTGCATGGTGATACTATTTTCAGGTTCATGCAAGTAATTTTTAATGGAAATAGGAGACTCTTGGCTCTTTTCGCAACTCTGGGCCTTGTCTGCTTTTTCGTTCTGGGAATCCATTCCTTTGATTTGAGCAATGATTTCATTAATTAGCCACACATGACCTTTACCGTCCTTGTCACAAGCAATGAGATGTGACCCAGCATAGGGTATTGAGCTTTTGAGGTGGACTCTCTTTTCCAAGTTTAAAACTGTACAAAATAGAATTGGTGTTTCAAAAGAATATTCTATGACAAGTAATTGACCAATATAGAATCTTATTGAATTTGCCACAATTTGGTTGGAATCATCGAGGAATATAATGGCAAACACATTCACAATTTCATGGTCCATAAAAAAACATGTCGCAGAAGTTACTCGAATCTAAATTAAGATTATCCAATTGAAAATTGAAAGTTATTACGATTGAACCCTACCTTATTATCTGATAATATGTAATAATTAATACTCAAATTAAGGAATGATGAATTGTCCTTTTCTGATTCAGAATACAAATACACTGTACCCAAGTCATTACAAGTAATAAGGGCACTCGAAGGTAAAAAACATTTCATGTAATTTAGAGGACTCGACTCTAAAACTATTTGTTGAACAGATTGTTTTTTCTGAATATTGTATCTTTGAGACATTAGTTATGAAACACGTATTGCAAATGGTAACGTACATTTGTAAAATTCCAAATGGTCCTCCTCCACTAATCATAAAGGTTCCCCTATTTTCTCCAGCCGTTGATTGAAGAATTACAATTTTTGAAAGAATATTTTTCTTGTGAGCACCTGATATCGTCCAGTAGAGCTCGAATGACTCATCTTCATTGTTTTGTTTACTCTCTTCTCTATGCGTCCAAACCTTAATTTCACCGGTTTGAGAACCTGAAACAAGATAATCACTGTCAGCATCAATACAGGTAATAATATCCTCGTGTTGGCCGCAAGAAAATACCTTGCACGATCGTGCATAAATGCTGTCATTCTCAAAGTATGAATTTCCGAAATGAATTGTCGAAAAATACACCTTATTAGAGAAATTTTGAATAAAACAAATTTTGAATGAGGAAGTTTCATGATAGCAAGGCATGGCATCCTCTTGTTGCATCTCCTCCTCCATTAGCAATCTAGCCCTAAAAGTTCTAGGTGTAGACAATGGATTGTAAGGAATAAATTTAAATTGTTTCCATGGTGTGTTCAATGGAATAAATTGTTTGTCATCTTCCACGAATAATTTAAAAATTGCATATTTGTTATGTTGTATGTTGAATAACCTGTCAGTTGAGAGAGTCGGAATAAGAGAACCTCAATACAACCTGCATCTTTACTTACTTGATATAACCCTTGTTGTCTGATATTCCGATCAGACCATCCTCAGTTTCATTAGGAGGTATCTCATATTGAGTTGTTGTATAATTGTCCTCTCGGGCGTGCTCTACGTATTGATCCAAGAAGAAGTCTTCATCGAGTATTGCCAGCCTAAAACCTGTTTCAGTGTTTGCAAGCATTTTTTTGTTTGAAACAGCACCATCACGATCCCATTAAGAAGTACCAATGAGTACCCACCTAGGTATTCGTTGTCATTGGTTGAACGACCAGTTCATTGCTCAGACCTTGATGAGAGGGTGTAAATGGTTTCTTTTGTATCACTTCCAAAATAAAACATACAAGAAAAATTTGTTCAAAAATCAAATGACAAACACAACATCAACCACCTCATCTACTTTGTGGTCAATCGGAAATCATCTTCATTCTCAACTGAATCAATTAAAATCAGAAAATGTCATCATAATTATTGCCTTTAGCGTATTGATATCCAGGATTGCTTGCATCATTTGGAAAAAACTTGTTCATAATTACCTTTTAAATTATACGGTGAGGAAACTTGAGCGAGAAATTGCCTTGTTAAAGAAGAAATCGATCGCTTTTAATACGCCTTCTACATTTGCACAATATGCCAAGCTTGAACGTCGATGGAAGGAACGAGAACGAAAACTTTCATCCATCCAAACATCAACCAGTTATTGGGTGAGAGTGGTCTTGTCCAACATTGTGCAATACATGTTAAGCTACGCAATGCCAGCACTCTGTGTGTGGTTGTGGTACAGTAGGGAAGACTCACTATTCATCCTGGCTCGAGAATCGTGGTGTTGCTTGGGAACACTCGGAGAGAGACCATTTTGCATTATTCCACAATTCCTTTGCTCTTCGAAAGGTCTGCCACTTTCGGTAATAGGTTTGACTGTGCTTTCAATAAGAGGAATCAATTACTTGATTAATTTATAAAGTTTTTATTGCCAAATAACAATTTAGTTTTGTTTGGTGTTTGTGGCTGGCTTTGGTGTGGTTCCTTCTCTGAATCCGTTCTTCTCCTTTCTCTTGACGATCTTCAAATAACGACATCTGCCAGTTCCAGTTGTGTTTCTTCTGATGGCCTTGTATGCCCATTGGTACTTTCTCATCTTTGGAGATGGATAAGCACAAGATGCACAAGTCTTCTTTTGGATGTGGAAAGATCTTCTACCACAACGAGGACACAATCCGTGTGTCTTGGTGTGTCTCAAACCGAAACTTTGTGTACCTTTACCCACTGACATTGCTTATCTAGAGACGGATTGGTGTTGGTTCTGAAATATGTAAAAAGATGAATATGAGACTTACAGTGTGTGATTTTGGCGTATTTTTTTCAACAAATTTTTAATGATTTTTTAGTCAACCAATAAGAAAGTTTACAATGCAAGCGAAAAAAATGATGAGAAGACTGCTGCAGACAAAAAGGTCCTTCATGTGCATCCAACAACACACCAAAGTCTCCCCTTTTTTGTTGGTAACAATGGACACGATTCGTAACAGCATAGTGCTTACTCATTTTCATCAAAGCACTTGCAACAGCTCGGAGGCAATTATTCCCGTTGACTCTAACAAAATTCTCTTAATTTCTGGAGCAACAGGAACTGGAAAGGTATGTTGGTTGTTTATTTACTTGAAGTGATAATCACCTTTCAAAGACTGGGTATGTCATATTGAATATTTCTAATTATTTTAAAACTGAATTTTAAATAATTTTTTATCCCTGAATAATAATATTTTATGATCAAATGTAAATGATTTTCTTTTCAATATGTTCTCAAAGACTTTCCATCGAATTGGCAAAACGACTCAATGGAGAAATAATCAATGTTGATTCTGTACAAATGTATCAAGAATGTACCATTGGTAGTAACAAAATTTCTAAGAATGAAATGCAAAACATCCCTCATCACTTGATTGACAATGTTTCTTTAAAAAGATGTGCTCATGATGTTAAATATCAATACACGGTGCATCAATTTTACAAAGATGCTCACAAGTTATGTGCTGAAATTCTTTCCAGAAACAGAATACCAATTCTTGTTGGAGGATCTGCCTATTACATTGATGCATTTATTAATGGAGTTGTACCAGAAAATTCACAACCAGAAACAATATCTCTATTATCACGTGATGAGTCAACAGCAGTTTCAGACAGTGAGTGGGACAGAAGATATAAAATTCTTCAAGAATTGGATCCTGAATATGCTTCAAAAATTCACAGAAATGATTTATATAGATTGAATCGATCGTATCATATTGTGACCACAACAGGAAAGACAATGAAGCAATACAAGTATGGTGAATTAAATTGCAAAGCTGATGAGAACAAATTAGATATTAGAGGAGCAATTTTATATTTAGAAAGATATAAATTATATCCCAAGTTGGAAAAACGATGTGAAGAGCTTGTGGAACTTGGATTAATTGAAGAGGTCTATGGACTATTACAACAGGGTATATTATTGGACCATACAGTACCATATCGAGCAATAGGTTACAGACAAACGATTGATTTTATTAACAATGTCAAGACTTTGAAAAAAGGACCAAATTTTGACTCATCTCTCCAATATCATTTTTTCAGATTCTTGCAAGAGTTTAAACAGGCAACAAGAAAATACTCGAAACATCAAAATACATGGTTTAAGAAGGATAATGAATATTATGAATGGATTGAAGCTGAAAAATTTGGAGGAAATTTGAATGCAATGACAAATTATGTAATTGACAATATTCTAAATGTTTCTCAAGAAGATTTCAAGAAGCATGTGCAAAGTGAAGAACAAATGATTTTGAAAACCAAAGCTTGCAGAGCAGAGAATGAAGTGATGAGAGACAGCACTGCAAAGGGCAATGCAACAAGACGAAAAACCTTCCTTGTTAAAAGCAAGACCAACGACATGAATTGTTTGTACATTTATAAGGACCATGGAATTCTCTCCAATCGATTGAATCAAATCAAGAGATTGCTCTTTGAAAATGTTTCGAGCATTTAAATGTGATATGAGATTGAATAATTTCACAATCAAGATTGAATCTATCTCTACAGAAGAAGAAGAATTTAAATGGCTTTTGGATCAATTTCTCCAAGATAAATTGTCTTATCGCTTGAGGCTGAAGCAATAATTGGTTGTTGTGGATGAAAATGAACACAATTCACAGAGCCTTGGTGACCAGGTAGTTGGTAAACAATTTTTCGTGAAGTAGTATTCCAAATGATGACGTCATTTTCTGCTCCTGTTGAAATCAGAGATCCATCCTTATACCAGCTCACACGTGTTAAATTCTTATCCATACTATGTTTTGCTCCATTAAATACTTTCACACATCTGTTTGGTGTATCCACGAAATGTCTTGCATTCCAAATACGACAAGTTCCATCCATTGAATTGCTCAAAATAAAATTACCATCTGGAGAGAGCTTAATATCTGTAATAGAATCGGTGTGTCCATTTCCAAGAGAATACAAGAATTTGTCTGTTTTCATATCCCATGTCGTAATGACATGATCAATTCCACAAGAAAATAATCTATCCGTGTTTTCCGAGAAGCATACTGAAAAAATAGGAAATTTGGACTTGATTGTTTTTACACATTTTCGTTCTCTTTGGTCATAAATATTTATGGACTTATCATCTCCTCCACTGGCAAATAAATCAGATTGAGCAGAGTGTTTTGAAGTTGTGCAACAATTTACAACAGCAGAGTGATCTTTGAATTGTCTAACTCGCATACATCTCACACTATCCCACAGCATGACACTGTTATCTGCTGAAGCAGTGCATAATCGATCTTCTGAAAGGAGCCAATCTAAATCAAGAATTGCATTTTTATGACCAACAAGACATCCATAATTAAAGGTTGTTGGATGTGATGAATCTGATTCATCAACAACATCATCACTAGTTTCTCCAAAAACATCCCACAATAATACTGTTTTATCAAAGGCTCCAGAGGCCATAAATTGTCCTCGATTAGAAAATTTACAAGTAAACACTTCGGATTGATGTCCTTCTAATCGCAAAATTGGAGATGATAGAGAAGAGGAACGAGGAGGTAATTCCATCAAACTCCTCGATTGAGAATTCATCTTTCTCTTTTTTGTATCATCCATCATGTTGTCATGATGATGATGATGTATCAAGCTGAGTTGTGTCGAGGATGATGATGATGAGCCTGAAGGTTCCGCCCGACAGGTATCATCCTCCTCTTGGAATTTTCTCTTCTTGGAATGTGAGGAGAGATCTTGGTCAAGGGGTGCTTGGCTCATTTTTTTTTTAAATTTTTTTTAAAGTTTTTTTAATGATCGATCGAAAACATTGAAGAAAGTCAAAGGAATTGTCACCACCTCTATCTCTGACTCAGAGATTACCCTCCTATTGGGAATTGGCTTGATCAAGCGAAGGTGCAAGAGCTGTTGTACCAAGATGCGATTGTTGCCATGAATTGTTTCAACAATTTCAAACGACCAACACTGAGAGTTGCCATGATGAATGGATTTTTTTCATCGGAAATGAACATGAAGAAGAAACAACCTTACTAAATAGTAAGTAAACTTACTACTGTACTAGACTCAACAACAATTTTAGTAAGTATACTCAACTACACTCATTTATTCTTGAGAGGCTTGTTTCATGTATTCAATCAAGTCAGCTCTTTCACCAGGCTTCTTGAGACCTGCAAAGACCATCTTAGTACCAGGAATATACTTCTTAGGATCTAACAAGTAATCAAAGAGAGTTTGTTCATTCCAAACCACACCCTTCTCTTTGTTTGCAGCAGAATAAGCATAACCTTCAGCCATACCACTCTTTCTACCCCAGAGTCCATAAAGATTTGGACCAACTTTGTGTGCACCACCCTTGTTGATGGTGTGGCATTGAGCACATCGAGCTTTGAAGATCTTTTCACCCTTAGCAGCGTTACCTTGTGGAATTTCTATTTATAGAGTTGTTGCAATGGGTGAAGATAGGAGGATATGGTTATGAATTCATTGTATTATTATTATTATTCAGACAGAGAGAGAGAGTGTGTGTGTGTGTGTTGTAGTAGTGGTAGTGTTGTTGTTGTTGTTGTTGTTCATTGCATACACACAGAAAGAATCATCATCATGATAGGTTAGGAACATGATGAAGAATTTGTGAAAAAGAGTCAAAGATGACAATTAGCATCATCACCAACACAAGTATCAACAGTGTGTTGAGAAACAACAATTACCACAAAAGAGTGCGTGCGTGTGGTGAGAGGACACACAACAGTGATGATGATGATGGTAGTGGTCATTGTGGCAGTGGTCAATCATTTTGTCATCATTCAGAAAATATCATTAAAAGAATTCATTAGTGTCGTTGTGGTAATTGTAGTCGTCGTCATGGTTGTCATCATGATTGGAAATATATTCAGAAGAACCATACAACATGGATTGGTCCATACAATTATTATTATTATTCATATTCATATATTGAGTATTTAAATATATAAATATTCATCAGTACATACCAGACATTTTTTTTCAAAAATCTAAAATAAATCAACACCAAACGCTAAATGCCAAACTTGACAGTCAGTCAACTGGGAGAGCCAATCAAAATGATTAAGGAGTTTTGCGATAGAGACAATTTTGGCAATTTTACGGGCAATTTTACAAGCGGGAAGTGTGTCATCCAATTTTTTACTGTGACAGGAGGTACTCAGTAAAAGTAGAGCCCATGTTGCGTTGTCAAAAATAAAACTTTTGAATTTCGTAATTAATCAAGAGAAGAGCAAATGTTGATAATGATATCTATGAATATATGAATATATATATAAATTGGTCAAGAAGATACATCTTTTCGAAACTCTTCATCATGGATTGAATCATTTTGAGTCTCAACAAGCAAACAAGAGAGAATCCTCATCATCACCATCCTCACCATCCTCACACTTGAAGATTTCTCCATCAAAAAAAAAAATGAAAAAACACTCTTGTGCACTCCTTCGGAAAAATCATCATCATCGATATGGTGTTTGTTCTTCTTCTTCACAACAACAACAACAACTACTGAAATTCAATGTAAAAAGGAATCTAGGATCTAGGATCTCATCCTCATTTACCTTACGATCCTTTTCAACATCTTTTAAAACAACATTTCCATCGGACTCTTCATTATTACAATCAAACCATCATGGTACTACTACTACCAATGCTAATACTACTACCAACACTCTGAATACCACCAACACTACTACTAATACCACCACTACCACTCTGAATACCACCAACACTACCACTGAACATGTTGTTGAATCTTTTCCCAAACTAATCCAAACCATTTCCTATCCAATTCCATCTCATAGCATTCTCTGCAATTCTTCTCAACGTGTTCATTGTGTCTTTGAAAAAACATTTCATCTTTCTCATCTTTCTATACCTCTCTCTTTAGAAATTAATACAAGAAATTTAAATATTGAATTTTGTGAACATGAAGAGGATTCATTACGAGTTGAAATGTACACTCATAATTGTAATGAATATTCATGGTATAATCTCAACAATACTCCACAAGGATTCTTTTCAGATTACAAATTTGAATATTTATATAGAGAATTGACAAACACATTGAGATTTAATGTTCATCAAGCTCCTCTTCCACCTCTCTTGACTCGATTCAAATTACATACCTATTATGCTCCTGTATTCTTTCTTCCAAGTTTTATTTCTAAATATTTGGATGAGAAATTCATCAAATATGGAACGATGAAAATTTATTTACCAAAAAAGTCTAAAAATTCCATTCGAGTTGAAACAGATATTGGAAATGTCATTTTTAGAGGAATTAGTAACATTTCAAATGAAGTATCCGTGAAATCTACATTTGGAACTCTCTATGTGAGTGATGGTGGAATTTCAAATGTTAATCATTTTCATATTGATATGCAATATGGTGCATGTTATATCAATACTGTGAATCATGTGAAGAATCTCAACATTTATCATCGATGGTCAAGAGAGGAAGATTGGAACACGAGTGATAACATTGTATCATCCACTGGAATTACGATTGATCACATTGAATCCAATAGTCATGTAAAAATTCAAACTTTAAATTCAATCAATATTGAATTGAATCAATTGAATTTGGCGGGAAATTGTCAAGTAGAAATTTCATGTCTCATGAAAGGACAAGAATGGATGTTTACAAAAAAGGGAATTCAAGTGTTTGTTTCTAACAATAGTACAACAACAACAACAACATCTTCTCATCATGATGATTCTCAACCAAGCCATACATCATCAACTGTTGCCAACAACCAATCCAACAAATTGAAAATCTATTCCGATGCTAATCCTGTTTTTCTTTATTTTGATAAGAATTCATCAAGTAACTATGATGTGTTGGCATTAACTCGATGGAGTGATGTCTCTTTTGATTCTCAACACATTCTCTATGATGGATTTTTAGATGTGAATCAATTTAGAGGAATTGTTGTTTCTAGAAATGACTTGAAAAGATTAAGAGAATTATCTGAGCAAACAATGGAACAAAATAGTACTACTAATACTAATACTACCACCAACACTACTACTACTACAGATTCTTTGACAGAGGCGACATCCTCTGCAGAATCTAATAATCCAACAACAACGACAGGTAGCAGCAAATCATTTTCAACAAATGTTCATTCGAGTGACGGAGAATGCACACATCCAATTTCTGGACACATTTCACTAATCACCAAACAAGGTCCTATTTTTATGAAACAATATGAATATGTCAACAGTGCTGAAGAATTCTCTAATACTTTCATTGAAAAGAGATTAATCATTCAAAAACAACAAGTAGCAAAATATTTTGTGCATATTTTTGGAATGGAAATTGCCAAAAAGGATTTATTTGTGTATGGCTTGATCCCAATTGCTATTTTCATGCTACTTGTTGTCGACTTTTTCTATGTCATACCAACATTTGGAAGACAATCCGAATTGAAAGAATCTGGAGGATTGGCTTCGATGGGAAACACTGGAACGATTCGTGTGGCTCAACGAGAAACAACGAAAGAGAAATAGTTCATTAGTACTTGTCATTCTTTTGAAATGATAACATGCACACGAATAGGCATGACAAAATGGTTATGGATAATGTGACAAATCTCACAAGATGAAAATCATTTAAATTTCCAACAGGAATCATCACTTGATTCAATGAACTCGTGTCACTATTGTCATCAACAATGATTGTGTATTCAATGTGATTCATGTAAAAGATGTGAGGGTTTTTGATTTTAACAACACCAAAGGATGATTCACTGCTGGGTTTTTGGTATCTCAAATGCAACGGAAATTCAAAAGTGACAACAATGTTATGTGCATCATGATATTCCATTTGTGAAATAATTTTAGATAGTGTTATATTATATTCCATACTATAGTATGAAGGAGTTTCTACATTAATATATTCTTGATCTTTTAAAAGAAGTATATCTGGTTTTACATTTTTCATTTCGTAAATATCAATGTACACATCCGATGACAATTCCTCCACATATGAAGCATTCCATACTCGAGACGCGTTTAAATCCGAATCCACAGGAACAATAAATTCGGTGCGCATCATTCGATGAAAAACTCCCTCTTTGTTGATTTCTCTTCTTTTCATGTAAACAAAATTCTTCACAAGTGGATGCGATGTTGCCACAGAAACGATTAAAATTATTATGAAAGAAAGAAATGCAAGAATTTTAGTCATTTTTTTGAAAGTCTGAATGACTCAGATTTAACTCTCGTTGCAGATGACCACTTTGCAGAGAATGATAAAATACAATTTATTGTTGTGTGTTGGACACATTACTTGAGAGCAAAACAGATTGAAGCTTTTCTAATTTCTTTCGTTCTGAATCTTCCATCAATTTCATTAGAGATTCCAGTTGCTCTTTTACTTCTTTCTTCCATTCGAAATATGTGTCGTTAAGGCAATTTAGCTTTGTAAAGCATATGGACAACCTTTCAAGAGAACTTTTTGAAACTTCTTGCAGAGCTGTATGGCGTACTTCTACTTCTTCCTTAAGTTCTGTCATCTGCTTGGATATGAGATCTGAATTATCATTCAGTTTGAGAAGTAGATCCTGAACATGCTGATTGATATTATCAAACTGGTGTTGAGAATGTTTTGAAAAACTGTCGGTTCTGTTCTCGTTCTCTAAAATTTCTAACTTCATGTTCTCAATTAGGTTTTGTAATACTGTAATTTGACTTCTAAAATCTTCATTTTGTTGAGAAAGATGTGAACAAGTGCTGATCAGATTCTGAATCTTCTCCATCTCACTGCACACATTGTTATTCATTTTCTGTTCAACAATATTCAACGCATCCATTTGCTCTTTCTTGATAGTATCAATGTTAAGTGATGTTTTCTGATCAAGATCTTTCATTTGTAGCAAAGATTCGTCGATGTGACTTGCAAGCATCTCTTTGATTTCTGTTATCTTATTTTGCATTGTTGAATTTGAAATTTCTTGCTGTAAACGTAAGGACTCTTTTGCGTCATTTAACTTCAGTTCAATGTTCTCCATTTGTTGACGAACCCCAATAGACGTTGCAGATTTTGCTTCTAACTGTGTAATGCCTTCCTTAATTAAAGAAATGGTTTGAGAGATTTCATCAATTATTGAGCCTTTCATTGCAGATATTCTTTGTTTCATGGTTTCTTCCACTTGAACAAATTGTTGTTCAATTTTATCATTGCAGCATTTCAATTCACATATTGCTTCTACGTTGTTTTTGTTTTCAAGTTCCACAACTTCTGACAAGGCTTTGATAGACTGGTACATATTGTTATTTTTCTCATTCAGCATGTCTTGCAACGATTGATGAGAGTGAGCTGTTAAATTACTAAGATCGCATTGTTCCTTTTCCAGTTTTTCGATGGAAGTTTTTAGAATCGGTAACGCGCTGCTATATTCTTTAAGATGATCTAACAAACTTGCCTTAATCGTTTCGAGTTTACCTTCCATAGTATTTTCTTTCTCTGAGATTAGCTCTTTCATCTCCGAAATTTGAGATAAATGAGAGCTGTTCACACTACTCTGGTGCTCTTTAAATAATGTGAGCTCTTTCTTTGTTTCTTCATCTTCTCTATCGTTTTCTTGCAACTCAGCCTTTATCTCAGAAATTGTTTTTTCAACATTTGTCAGGGCACTTCGACATTGAGAAATACCTTTCTTTAACTCTTGACCCATCATATCAATTTCGGAAATTGTAGCATCAATCTTGTTTCGGATAGCCATGAGAGATTTGTTGTTTAGTTCGTTATCAGAATGCATATTTTGATGGATGATCTCAAGACGGGTTTCTAATTCAACATCTTTTGTAGCAAGTTTGGAACATTCTTGTTTTAGGACATCCATTAACCTTATGTCGATCTGGTTGATTTCATGCTGTGAACGTTCCTTGATATTCTCTAAGGAGGATTGGATTTTGGAAATTTGATCGCTCATTTGTGACTCAAGGTGTAAAATACTTTGTTTCATCTTCGTTTCAACATTTGTTAAACCATCCTTTGTGCTTGTTTGGACCACATTAATTTCATTATTCAATTTTTGATCCACAATATTTAGTTTTTCTTGCAGTGTTTGGTCTTGTAACGCGCTATTTGCTGCTTGCTTGTTCAATTTTTCATGTAATTCCTCGATTGATGAGTTGTGTTGTTCAATCTTGTTGATATTATTAATATTTGTTTCTTCAACAGAACTTATTGTCAATTTGAGGTCGTTCAACGACTTTGCCACAGCATCAATTCCTTTGTTCAGTAGCTCTAATGTTGAGTCGACCTGTTGTTGCACCTGCAAGAGTTCAGCTCTCATAACAATGTCTTTGTTAATTTGCTCTTGTTTTGACTCAAACCTGGTAATATTTTCTATTTTCTCGTTGAAGAGGTCAAAATGATGATGGGTTGTATTTCTAATCAACTCAAAATCTTCTCGTAAAACATTAAGATGTGATTCAAGTTTCTGTTCTGTGTTCAACAAGTGCTCATGCTTGACAACTTCCTTCATAAGGGAGTTGTTGATTTCCGTAACACTCTTGTTTGTTGATTCTACCTGTTGATTGATGGCTGCTTCCATCGAGTTAAGGGCTTGAATGTATTTATCCTCGATTTGCCTCATGTCCCGCTGGCAAGACTCTTTCAATGATTTGAGGTCGTGTTTTATCTTCAACTCGAACGATTCCATTTCTTGAATTTGTTTGGAAGCAATGGATTCAATATCTTGTTGATGTTTTGCGGCTTGAGTGTGAATCTCCTGCTTTTGAGTTGATATTTCACTTCTGATATTTTCTCTTACTTCAGATATTGTTGTTTGCATTTCAATTCTCATGTCATTTACCGTGCTTTCAGTCTCTACCGTCTTGTCCTTGAAGTTTTGTTCCATTCTCAAATATTGTTCGTCTAATTTTCTCTTCAATTTTTCGATTTCACTATTAAGATTTGATTGTGCGTCTACAGTAACTTGTTCACACTTTTCATCAATCTTCGAGATGGTTTGATTGAATACATCTAACTTTTCCTCAAATTTTGTTTCCATAGATTGTAATGAATTTGTGAACGATTGAGAAAGTGACCCCATTTCTTGCTTGTACTTAATCTCTAAAGACAAAATATCCTCGGTCTGTTTCTCCCTTATTGTCGTTAACTCTTGTTTAAAGCGCATTTCCAGGGATTCGAGTTCTTGGAAGCCTTTTCTCTCGACATTTTGCAAATCCTGTTTCAATTTTGTGGTTTCTTGTTCAGTCTTGTCTAGAATCTCTTTAATTTTCTTCTGTTGTTCCATTTTCATGGATTTTTCTAGAGTGTCTACCTCTGATTTTATCTGAAGATTTACCTTTGAGTCATGTAGAGTTATCTCGTTCTTCAACGTTTGAGCATTCCAGTCAATTTCATCTCTTAGTAAAGCGTTATATTCTTCAACACGTTGCTTGGCAGACAGCACTAAACTCTTTATCTCATTCTCAGATGAATCAAGTTTCTCATAAACTTTGGCCTCCAACGCTTTCAGCTCTTGTGACTGTTTAGCTTCATTATTTTTCAACTCTTGTTTGTAGATATCTTCTAAATTTTGAATCTCTTGTCTTTGCTTGATCTCGTTGTTTTGAATATCATGCATTTGTTTTGCATCCATAGCTGTGAGTTCTTGCTTTAGTTTTGTTTCCAGAGTTTGAATATCATTTTTGACATTTGCCGCATCGATGTTCATCTTTTGATAAATAGAAGATATCTTTTCCTGAATGTCCAATTGTAAATTCGATTGCAATTTGTCAGTCTCTTTTTTAAATGTGTCCTTAAGGTCATTTTCAAACTTTAGCACTTGATTCATATTTTGGGCTGTCTTGTCTTCAATAAGACCAGTCAAACGAGAGTGCATCTCCTCAATTTTGTTTTGTAGATCGCCACTGCTGGTGATGATATGCCCCTCAGTCAATTCGATCTTGTTTGAAAACTTTTCCTCAATCATCTTAATCTCTTTTAGATACAAAGACTCTGTTGAAGAAAGCTCTTGTTTTGTTGCAAGATGAGAGATGGTGGACAAAATATCCTCTATCTTTTGAGTTGTTGCTTGATCCATTTGCAAATTATCTGCCCTAATGGACTCAAACATAGACTTGAATTTTTTAACTCTCTTTTTAGTGTACTCTTGCAGAGATTTAGCATCGCTACCAACTTTTTCCAACGTAATGTTGATTCGCTTAATTTCTTCTCTTGAAGAGTCGTTGATCCTTGTCAAAAGGTCTTCCAGTTTAGCCATCGATGTTTTCAGCCCTTGGTTTTCCATATTATAATTTTCAGTTTTTAATCTCAACTCTGAAACCATCTGCAGTAATTCATTATGATTTTGTTTTGATTTTCTCTTCATCTTTTGCAATTTTTCTGTATGAATGTTCAGTTTTTCTTCATTTTGTCGGATTCCTTCTTCTAAAGTCTTTGATTTTTGTTCAACTATTTCCAGAGATGTGATCCTGGTTTTTTCAAGCTTTTCATTCATTTGTTCCATGTTCGTCTGTATGGTGCAAGTTAACTCTTCTGTTTTGGATTCAAATGATTTTCTTGTTTCGGCTAAGCCGTTACTTAGATTGTCTGAATCTTTTCTCAGTTCTGAACATAGATTGGTGAATTTTTCGTTATATTTGGAAAGCCCTTCTTGAGACATCTGTGATAAATCGGTTAATGAAGAGGAGAGAAGGTGTATCTGATTTTGGAGATCACTCTTAGCTTGCTGGATTTGAGAAAGTGAGGAATCTATTAAACTTGCTAATGTTGAAGAGGAACTTTCCAATGATTGTCTAATGCTATTTTCAATGATTTTCTGGTCTTCCTTCACTGTTACAATTTCTTTATCCAGTCTGGATTCAAGTTGTCGAATTCCTTCTTTTGAAAACTGAAGATTATAATCAGAAGTTCTTTCCATCTCTTTCTTGAGCTCTTCATTAACTCTATGCAAGTTTTCTGTGTAATCAATTTGAGCTTTCTGTAGCATGTTCTTCATTCCCATCTCTAAAGTGTCAATCTTTTCATCAAGTCTGTTGACATGGTTCAAAAACAATGCCGATTGTCTGTCTGAAGCTTGTTGAATACTGTCTATCCTTGCTTCAAATTCAAGTTTGAGCTCATTCCTTCCTTCAGTTTGTGCTTGGTTGTTTTCTTGAATTTTGTTCTCAAGCTTGCACACCATTCTTTCCAAATTTTCATTCAACGCAAGTTTCACAGAATCAACGGTATCCATGATATTAAGTGTATCAGATTCTAATTTAGTTTTTAGGTTCGCGATTTCAGACATCATCATGGTTTCTGATCTGGACATTGATTGTTCGACGTTGTTTACCTTTTCAGTCATTTCTTGTTTTAACACTTGGACATAATTGTTCATTTCCTCTCTCAACGAGGATATCGAATGCTCGGAGTTAGCTATGGATTGTTCAAGTTCTTTTTTCAAGTTTTCCACTTCATCCCTTAACAATTCTGCAATATTTTCAAGTGCATGTTCAAGGCCATCCACTTTTATGTCGGTGTATTGTCTTGCGATATCAGAAACGCTTTGAAGAACGAACTCATCTCCTTTAGAAATGGATGTGAGAACATCTTCCTTGAAGGTGGTATTTAAATATTCATGAATTTCTCTCCTCATATTATTGGGTAGATTAGACAATTCTTTTTGCAAAACATCAAGAGTTTCAAAAGCCAGGCCAAGGTCTTTTTTTTGAGCCTCAATCTCCGAAAATGCTCTCTCGCCACTCGCTGTAAGGCTAGACACAGACAGATCAATTTTCTTGCTCAGCAATCCGAGAATCTCTTGTTTGACTTCATTTTGTTGATGCTTATGTTCCATTAGATCTTGCTTAACTACCTTAACACTCATGTCGATATATTCGCGAGTGCTCTCGATGTAATCTCGGATTTTCTCATCTATATGTTCAAACTTTGATAGAAGTTCAACCTTCATCTCATCCATAGACTCATGTTGCAATCCTTTCTCTTCCGTCGAAGTATGTGCTCGATTTTTAAGGGATTTAGAAATGGTTTGATTTTGTTTCTCTTCCAGATATTTGAGTTGTTCCTTCAACTGGCTTTGAATTCTCTTCCAGTCTTTTGTTCTTAATTGTACAAACTCTTGTTGTATTTCAACGAGTGCTTGCTGAAATGAAGAGGACTGTTCATCCAGCAGTTTCTTTACGGCAGCAAGATTACAATGATCCGACAGAGAGGGATCTTCTGAAACCTGCCCTTTCCTCTCATGAATAGGAACAAGTATTTCTTCAATCAGGCTTTTTCTCTGCTCTTCATATTCCTTTTCACCAATGAAGCCGTACTTATAAAGCTCTTTAAGCACGAATAAATCCTGAATATGATCTTTCAACATTGTCGTGCTCGGAATTTGATGATGATCCACCCAAAGCGTTGTTGTGTGTTGGAGCAAACAGGCTGTTTGTGAGACTCCACTTTGCAAATGAAAACTAAGGATTTTTTTTGTAAATTTTAAGGCTCCTCATCTTGTGTTGATCACGTGCAATAGCAACAAAATTATCAGAATCCATCATCTCCTGTGGATGGAGAGGCCTTCCTGATGAGTGAGGATCTAATGAATCTTCGATTGATTGGGATGGAATTGAGTTTTGGACCTTGATAAATTACTAGAAGTTTTGGATCCGCACAGGAAATTGATAAAAATAAAACGCATCACCAAAATTAAAAAAATTGTTCTTGAGGAGTCATCTTCGGTCTAATCAAGCTTGATACCATCTCGGCCGGCCCTTCATCATTCTCTTTCCAACGTACAACACCAGCATCAACATGTTGATGAGCACTTGCTGTAATGGAAATAATAGAAAACTATTATCCCGTACACTTCTCTCAAAGAATGTTCTTTTAAAATCTACAGCCTCGACGACTTCAAGAAAAGTCAATCAATTTTATCCAATCATCATCACCACCAATACTACCACGAGTACTACCACTTTGAGTTTTACTTCATCATCACTTCGCTCCTTTTCCACCATTCATAATTTCCAAAGAAATTCAAGTTTTGAAGAGGATGACTATAGTACGAACCCAATGAACAACTCGGACTCGGGAGCTAAAACAGAAGAAGAGAAATCCATAGAGGAAATTCTACGAACAAAAACCTCTCTTACTCCTAGCGAAATTGTGAATCAATTGGATAGATATATTGTTGGACAAGGTGATGCTAAACGTGCAGTGGCCATTGCTTTGAGAAATCGTTGGAGAAGACAACAATTGGATGGATCCATCAGAGATGAGATTATTCCAAAGAATATTTTGATGATTGGACCTACAGGGTAAGTTTTATTTGACAAGTAGTATTATTGATTCCATCCATGGATGATGGACCGTGAATGTGAACTTGAATTCTCAACAACAACTCTTTTTCATACCTAAAATACAAAAAATTGATCTGGTCAATCCGTACATAAAATGGATCTGGATGGCCACCACCTGTTTCTTTCAATACATGGACCATCCTCCAATTCACACATTTCCAACATACATTTCCCAATTCATACATTTCCAACATACATTTCACATATTTCCCAAATTTCTAACATTTCCAACTTCAGTGTTGGTAAAACTGAAATTGCAAGACGTTTAAGTAAATTGGCTCATGCTCCATTCATTAAAACAGAAGCCACTAAATACACCGAAGTTGGTTTTCATGGTCGTGATGTGGATACCATTATTAGAGATTTAGTAGATGTTGGTATTCAACACACCAAAGATCGATTGAGAAGTGCCTATAAAACCAAAGCTCATGAATTGGCTGAACAAAAGATTATTGAAACATTAACTGGAAAGAAGAAACCAACACCAGAAGATGCAGCATTTAGAGATTGGAGAGAACAATTAAGAAATGGAATACTTGATGATAAAGAAATTGAAGTTGAACTTCCAATTGAAAAACCAAATGCAGGAATGATGAGAGGAGGTGCTGCCATGGGTCGAGGAGTACAAGGAACTCCTATTGATATTCAAGATTTACTTTCTCCATTGTTTGGTGCAAGTGGTGGAAAAACAAGGAAACGTCGAATGAAGATTAAGGATTGTCTTCCAAAATTAGAAGAAAGTGAAGTTGAAAAATTATTACAGACAGATATTGTCATTAAGGAAGCCATTCGTTCAGTGGAGGAAGATGGAATTGTTTTTATTGATGAAATTGATAAGATTTGTAGTTCATTTAAAGATGGACATGATGCTTCCTCTGAAGGTGTTCAACGTGATTTACTTCCAATTATTGAAGGAACCACCATTTCTACCAAATATGGAAATGTTAAAACCGATCATATTCTATTTATTGCTTGTGGTGCTTTCCACAGTGTAAAACCAAGTGATATGTTGGCAGAGTTACAAGGTAGATTACCCATTCGTGTTGAACTTAAGGGTTTGACTGAAAAAGATTTGTACAGAGTATTAACAGAACCTGAAACTAATATTTTAAGACAAAATATTGAATTGCTCAAAACGGAAGGAGTGGACATTGAGTTTAGTGAAGATGGTGTTAAAGAAATTGCTCGAGTTGCAGCTGAAGTGAATACCACAGTAGAGAATATTGGAGCTCGTCGACTCATTACCATTGTTGAGAAGATTTTGGAAGACATTTCCTTTAATGCTCCAACGTTGAAGGGACAAAAAATTGTCATTACAGAGAAGGAAGTGCAACAACATATTGGTGTCTTGTTGAAGAGAGCTGACCTCAAGAAGTTTATTTTGTAAGAAGAATATTGTTGTTGCATGTAACCTGACACCTAGGTGTTTTTATTTTTTTTATAAATACATCTTTTGATCTCATTATTAGGATAGTATCGATATTATCATTTATTATTTGAAAACAAACAAATCCCTATCTCAAATCGAATAGGCAATAAAATTTTGAGCCACATAATAAATGGGCAAACCAATCAATGCATTGTTGGGTGATTTGTCTAAAAATTGCTGACGAGCCACAAAGATGTCACTAATTCCGAATAAAACAGCTCCCATGACTCGTAAATATGTTCTCTCCATTTCAGAGAATGGTTCTCCTCTCATAAATGTCTTGTACAATAAATTTTTGATAAATGACAGAAGAGAACTTGGTGTCATCATGGATTGACCTCCACTGGATAAGGCTGTCATGGTTGAAATCACATACAAATAGGGAATGACAAGAATATCAGCACTTCGATCTTGAATATTCAAAACGACACAATAATATCCATAGAAATATAAAGCAAGTGCACACAACACTGGAATCATGACACTCACAACACGTTCTCTTGTTCGCACAAAATTCTTCCAAAATGACACAACAAAAGACAAGGTGTAAAAAACATGACACAACAAGAATGAAAATCCTCCAGGCATAAATCCATTCGGTATGGCCAACAAGACGTCACCAATCATGGCCAATATCAATGCAATAAATACAAATATTGGAATCATTCCACCATCCCTCTTTTGTCTCCATTGATTATATCCAATATACATGAATAAAAGAGAACACAAAGTTTTTGTAATAATATTTGGACCAAACACTGCAAAGTGAAGGACAAGTAAGAGAGTGAGTGCACTCCATTCATAGAGACGGTTATTCATCACCATTATTGGATTTCTCTTGTAATTGATCGTGGGTGGTGTGGATGATAGTGGATGATGTGTATGGTTGATTTGAAAATTGTGTGTGATTTGATGTTTGATGGTACCACAGCTGATCACTGCACTCAAAGAAGAATACAATGTTGATATCAACCGGGTTGTTGTTGTTGTTGTTGTTGTTGTTCTGTTTTTAGAAGAGAGTGATGATATTTAGAATGACAATCGTGATGATGATGATGGTGGTGGTGGTAGGCGAGTGGTAGTGGTGAATGGAAAGAGGATGAGTTGTGGCCACTGTGATGGATGGTTTTGATCTTGTTCGGAATGTGTGTGGATGTGTGTGGATGTGTGTGAATAATGGACACACGTGTGTGGCACAATTTTCAAAAGATTTTTTTTAAAGAGAATCTCTCGGACCGTCCGAGGTGCGGAAGGTTGTGCGAACAGAGTCTCTTTGTTGCATCGCTGCTGCTGATGCTGCGCTCTGACACACACACACACACACTTGTTGTATGTGAGATCCTCACAGGTATAATAAACATCAATCTTTTAGACAATTCATCAAATGTCTTTTATTACAAAGCATTGATAATTATGAATATGGACATGATGATGTTGTTGTACTCAGAGTGTGGTGGTAGCAGTAGTGGTAGCAGTAGTGGCAGTAGTACTCATGGGTGCAGCGTCGTGGTTGTATGTTGTTGTTGCTGCACTTGTTGAAAATGAATGAACATTCTTGGAATGAATAAATAATTTAGCCAATGCATCTCGTTGTTTCAATAAATACTTGTCTAACAAGATGTACAAGTCTTGAATCATAAATGTACACAGTGTTTGATTCAACATGTTTGAAATTCTTTCAAATCTCTCCACAATATGTCTCAAATCTTGTAATTTGGAATAATAATATCTTGAACTACTCAAACCACTTGAACTACTTGACGTATGATCATCAACAACAACACTTGTCATCATACCACTCAAGGATGACAATTCCATTTCATAGAGTGTCATGTATTCTTCAAAACATTGAACACTATGACACACTTGAATTAACCATGGAATGTAAGGTCTCTCAGTGGTCTCTTCTTTTGTGGTTGCTTGTGTTGCTGCACTTGCCACACTTGTCATGAGACTATTGGATCCACTTTTAATGGTATTTGAGATGGATTTGTAGAGAGATTTACCAAATCCAAATACCTTACTGAATGAAGAGGAGGATGAGGACGATGAGGATGTTGTTGTTGTTGTTGGGTGATTGTTCATAGTTGTGGTGGTGGTGTGAGAACTGGCGGTGGTACTCGATGAGGTAGAACCTGTTGTTGCTGCAACATCTTCAGTTGTTGTTGTTGTTGTTGGTTTTGAATGTATGGTTGTTGTAGTGGTTGTTGTTGTTGTTGTTGTTGATGTGATTGGATTTGTCGATCTTGTTTGATCCCTATGTGCTGGTACTACTACTACTAGATCCTCCTCATCATCCTCCTCTTCTTGATGATTTTCTTCATACAAGACATCTGTGAGAGTATTCATTCCACTGGATGCAATGGATCCAACAGTATTGAATAGACTGGTGAGAATGGAAGAAGAAGAAAGACCAGTAGTAGAAGTGGTGGTGGTGGTTGTGGTATTATTGTTGTTGTTGTTCGTGGTGGTGGTGGTGGTGGTGGTGGTGGTGGTGTCTGTAAGATGTGAAGGATAGAGGGTAGTACTAGTAGTAGTACTAGTAGTGGCAGAAGTGGCAGCAGCACTAGTTGAAGAAGTTGACATGAAAGAGGAAGGTGCTGTTGCTGTCGATGATGACTTATTTTGATTCATTTGAGGTGTGGTTACTAGTAAGGGTGTTAAATTGACATATTTTGATAATTCTTTTTGAAGGAGAGATGACTGATCTAAAAATTTGTCTAATAAGGAGAGGACGAGTTTGACATTGATTTTTCGAATATCTAGAGATGAGGAGGAATGTGATGATGGTACAGAAGGAGGAGGAGGAGGAGGAGGAGGAACATTGGTATTTTTAGTAGGAGTTGTAGTAGTTGAAACCATAATAGTAGAAGTGATAGTATTGGTGGTGGTAGTATTTGTAAAAGTACTATTCGCAGTAGAAGTATTGGAAGAAGAAGAAGAATTTGATAAGAAATGTTTCCCTTGGCTGATTTCACTCGTTTGTTGTGGTTGTTGTGGTTGTTGTGGTTGTGGTTGTAGTGGTTGTTGTTTCTGACTCGATGAATGATTCATCATCATGGCCATCATCATTTCTGTTTTAAAATCTCCAATCATTTCACACAATTTTTGACAAAAATTAATCTTGTGTTGTTGTGAACTTAATTTCACTCCACTTTGAAACCATACTTTCTTACTAATATATAAATCATTGGTTAAATATCCTCCATTTAAAATAATAGATCCTAATCGATTCATTAACCAATAGGGTCGATGTGTTGATTTTTGAGGAGGATTGAGATCTGTATTGTAAGGAGGTAGAGATTCTTCCATGAATTGATACTTTTCATTGAGTTGAATGGGATTATGAATGTAATAGAAAGAAGATGGTTGTTGTTGTAAGGATGAGAATGATTGTAAGGATGATGAAACAAGTGTTGTTGTTGTTGTTGAAGAATTATGACTGCTGTTATGTAGAGAAGAAGAAGAAGAGGATCCAAGCTTGTTACGATGGCTTTTCGTTGAATATAAATAATCATGCAATTCAGAATTCAATTCTTTGACACTCTTTTTGATTTTCTTATGACTAGATAATATATTGGAAAGTGAAGTACTAGTATTCATGGTGGTGGTGGTGGTGGTAGTAGCATTACTAGTAGTATTATCACTCGTCGTTATCAGAGAAGAATTGTTTCCACTTGTTGTTGACATGACACCACCACTACTACTACTACTTTCCATCTTGCTACTATGATTATTACTTTCCATCTTATTGCCATCTCTATCACTCTTTTTAATAAATTGTGTGTCAGAATGTGATGATGAATGTAATTGTTTTCCTAAATGATTTCCTCTCTCTGAATATAATTTACTATATTTCAATAACACACTACTATACTGTTGAGGAACAAATGGTGATAATTGATTCAACATGTTTGCTACTTCCAAATACAATTGTCTTGCTTGTGAATATTGATGATCTACCATGTCATATCGAATGGCAATGGATGCTTTTGAAAGTGTTTCAATTAAATGTTGTTTTAATTGTGATTCTAATACACAAGATGGAGAAGATGGAGAAGTGGTGGTTGGTGTTTGGTTGACGACTTGTTGAAAAGTAGTCGCTGTTGTAAAGAGTTGTTGTTGTTCTGAAGAGGTTGTAAAGAGTTGTTGATGTTCTGATGAAGAGAATCTATTGTTGTTGTTGTTCTTGTTGAGGTCATCATGATGATGGATGGATTCACTTTGACCTTCACTTGTACCACCAACACTTGCATCCATCTGATGTAGTGAACGATTCAGAGTACCTCCATCAGCATTTCCAATACCTCCAGCATCAGTAACACCACTAAGAGTCGATGCATGGATACAATTTGTTGTTGTTGTTATTGGTGTTATTGGTGTTGGTGGTGTTATTGGTGTTGGTGGTGTTGGTGGTGTTGATACTCCTCTTCGACGACGAGGAGAAGTGATAATTTCAGGTGTCAGTGTTTCATCATCATCATCATCACCAACACGAGAGATGGTGGGCAGTGATGATGATGACGATGAAGGTAGTAGTGATTCAGAGGAATGAAGAGGTTGATTCATAGAAGAATTTCTTGTTGAATCATTATCAGTGAATAGCAACATGTTGTAATTCCGAATGGTTGTGTCAGTACTAAAGAGAATCTCACAAAATATTTCAAACATTGAATTTTCGGAATTGAAACTGTCAATCCGATCAAAATTAATGATGTGAGTTATTATTGTTATTATTATTATTATTGTTATTTAAAAAAGAATTGGATAATTCTACTTCTAGTATTCGGAATGAAAAGGACTCTCGTACTCGCGAATGAACACGTATGAAAAGATATTTTTTCTTTGTGTCTTCAAAAATAACTGGACAAGAACAGGTTGACGTGTGAATGCGCGAACGGAAGAAGCAAAAACAGCTGGAAAGGACTAAATGGAGGCAATGAGAGAATTTTTGAATTCTCTGGAAGTTGAATGTGAGGATCATCAAGGTCACTGGAGTCGACAGTACTACATACAACCATCCTCAGGCTCAATTATGAACTCTATTCTGACATTGAACAATTATATTCAAGAACGTTGTCACACGACTTTTAATTGTGTGTACTTGTAGTCTTTCATACTCACTTCTTGTTCATTTTCTATATTTTTAATAATTGTTGATGTTGTTGTTGAGAGACGACCCAAACAACAACAACACCAACATCCATTCAATCCTAAATTCAATCCTAAATTCAATCCAATCCATTCTGATTTCAATATCATGTAACATGCTAACACCAAAGTCAATGCCATCATCATTACCAATACAAATGATTTCATGGAATACATCATGTGAAATAAATTATTATACATTCCAGTGGCCAAATTGGTGGAAATGGTATTGTAAAATGCACATTCTTGTTTCAATGTATTGCAATAGGGTTTCAATTTGATATTTTCACCATAAATGAAGAGAGAATTGGATCCAAATAAATTGAGATAGGTTTGATAACATTGTTTGTTACGAGAGAGTAGGTTGTTGTTGTTGTTAGGATTGTCCTTACTAATAGTATTCTCACTCAAAGTATTAGTACCAGAATTAGTACCTTGTAGAGAATGAGTACCAGAATTAGTAATACTCTTATAAATACTATTTTTAGACTCACACGAATAGATGGAATGTTTACAAATTTCAAATTGCTTCGAACCATACCATTCCTTATTAATACTTGAAAAATCATTGGGATTGTATGGAATGTTCATGCTATTACTATTCATAGATCTAATAGTCGAACTAGAATCTCCATTATTATTTAACATTCCAATGGATTGTAAGGCTTCACAATATTGTTCATAACAACAATTCCATCTAAATTTTTCATGATACACCACCATACAATCTGAATCATATTTACATTTCAATTTTTGAGTATGATCATTATTCTTGTCATTCTTACCACCACCACCACCATCACCACCACCATTATTATTATTATTAATTTCAACACCACCACCACCATCACCACCACCATAATAGGTATGTGGTAATGGTTCTATAAATACTTTTGGTAATTCACTAATGGTAGTACATTTCATGGGATAGCTTTGTGTGGAGAGTAAACAATCACCCATCGAAACACAAGTATAAAAATCATGAATGGAAGATGAATGAGATTTACATTTCGATTTTAAGAGAGTGGCTCCATCTTCATCAATAATTTCTGGATGTTGTTGAGAATAGACAAAAGTTGAGGGAATGTTGAGAATAGAATGAAGGAATGGAGAGTGGTTCGAGTTTGTTGTAGATTTGTGAGAGGGATGATCGAGTCGATCATGATGAAATGAATGGAATCCTTGTACTCGTTGTAGTAGTAGATGAAAGAGACAATACAAATTGAGAGAAAGAGTGACGAGAAAAAGTAAATGATGAGAAATAAGAGAAAAGGAAAGGAAGGAGACTCTTGTGATGGAGTGTTTTTTGTGTTTGATTTGGTTTAGTCTTGTCGTCAATGATGATGAGGAGGAACAGGAACAGTCACCATCATCACCACTACTCGGTCGGAGTGGTATATGAAGGTCATCCGATTCGTGTTGTTTCAGTGTTAGTGACATTTTTTTCAAGTTGACTTCTCTTCCATCACATTCCTTTTTCTAAATCTCTGAACGGTCTTGTTTCAAAATTTGATGAGAAGAAAAAAGACTCTGGTTCTTAAATCATTATTCCAATCATCGTAGACAAGTATGAGCTGACAGGTAGGAATATGAATTCAACGCTGGCGGATATTGTGAAGTCATCAACGTGTCATCTTTCCATTATTATTTCAATCCATCAAAAAAATTCTTGTTCACACCTCTGTTGGACGCGTCACACACTCGCACACACTACTCGCACACACTACTCGCACACACTACTCGCACACACTACTCGCACACACTACTCGCACACACTACTCGACTCTGGAGGAGTCCTTGTGATCACAAGAAGAATGGCACCCAACACAACAACGAACAACAACACCTCCATTCCCTTCCAAGGTGGTGAATATACTGGTCCTCTCAATGATGAAGGTCTTCCACATGGAAAAGGTTCTCTCTATTTCCCATACACCAAACACAAATACGAAGGTGAATTTGTGAATGGTAAAGCACATGGAAAGGGTGTTGCGAGTGGTGCGTTGAGTCAAGAGATGGTTCTTGTCATTAACAATGAATTGAGAAATGTCGGTGATAAATTTGTCTCTGTACCAAGCAGTAGTACTTCCACTTGTACATCATCATCATCCAATTTGAATCATCAACCACAAGATTCCAATCATTCCTCCTCACCATTCTCCTCACCATTCTCCTCACCATTCTCCTCACCATTCTCCTCACCATTCTCCTCACCATTCTCCTCACCATTCTCTTCCGTATGGAATTACGATGGTCAATGGATGGATGGTCAAATGCATGGTCAAGGTACTTTTGTCTTTGGTAATGGTGACATGTACAGTGGTGAATGGAAAGAAGGAGTGGCATGTGGTAAAGGTCTCTACACTTGGCATTCCACCAATGATCGTTATATGGGTGAATTTGTGAATATGAAAAGACATGGATCAGGAACGATGCTCTTCTCAAATGGACACAAATACGATGGTTTATTCTATAATGATTATCGTCATGGTCATGGTATTGAAACTTATTCTAATGGTAATCGATTTGAAGGTTATTGGGTGATGGATAAGAGACATGGATCTGCATTTGCCTATGTCAAGTTTGATAATTTGGATAAAAAGTTACAAAAGAAGAGAAAACAAGGAATGAAAGGACAACCTAGTATTCCAACCAGTGGTGGTGGTAACAATGGTGGTGGTGGTAATAATAGTATTGGAAATATTTATTTGAATTTACATTCCATTGATCAATATGTGGTCTTTCTTCAAGAATATCATTTAGGAAGATTATTGAGTGAGAGGGAATTATTCCCATCCGATTATGCACCCTACATTTACACAGGTAATGGTAGTAATGGTGGTTTGAAAGCACCTATTGAACTACTCTCTCAAGACATTGATCATGTATTGGTACAAATAGATGAAGAAATTGAAACTTTGATGTTGGAGAGTGGTGGTGGTGGTGAAATGGATACAACTACGACTACGACTACTAACAATCACTCGTCCAATTCTCCACAAGCACCAAACTCTGTCTCTACTCCTCATGATGATGAGAGTGGTGGTATTCGAGGTGGTGGTAGTCATGTAATCTCTACTATCCATGCATCCAATACGACTACTACTACTATGACTGGTACACCAAGTGGTGGTAGTGGTAGTGGTGAGAATACTTGCCATTTGATGCAACACAACAACAGCTCTCCTCCTACTGGTACTACTACTAGTACTAGTGGTGGTGATAGTGGTGGTGGCACTGGTGGTGATTCAGCAGCAAATACTTCTCCTCCTCCTACTCTCACTTCCTCACAAATTCTCAACAAACTTGCAAAGAGAAAATCTCAACACCATCATCATCACCACCACCACCACCATCATCAGGGTAGTCCTGCCATGCTTCCTTCGTCATTGCTTGGAAATATTCTATCTTCACCTCCTTCACCCTCATCTTCTCAACAACAACTCAGCAACACCAACAACAACCCTCATTCCATTCTCACCACAGACAATGTCTTTGTTCAAGGTGTGGTCTGTTGGGAAGATAAATATTGGGACATGATTCAACAATTATTTGTTCAACAATTCACTTCTAAATGTGAATACAATTATACCAAAGCACTATTGAATGCATTGGATCAAGTCACTACACTTGAAGAGAGAAGACAACAATTACTTGAAAATATTGACAAGTGTGAGAATGCAAAATCTAAAACCAAATGGGAAATGAAACGTGTCATTGTTGAAGAATTGAATGCTGAAGCACCTAATGACTATTCTGGTGTTGATCTATTTATGGATCGTTTGGATGAATTAATTGGTGAGATGAGAAGTGAATTGAGTGAAATTATTGAAAGAAAGAATTCTGCTAGTCAAATTAGAGATGAAAAGAAAATTCAACTCACCAAACAACAACTCTCTGAAATTGAAAAGAAATTATTTCGATTGGAAAGTGCATTACAAACAGCTAAAAATACTGCTCAACCTTATTCCAAACTCAAATTCTTTGTACGTGATGTCTTGTATCAACAATTGTTGGAAGAAGTGGCCATTCATTTACAACGTTTGAGAGTCTTGTTGAGACGTTTAATGTTCATTCGTTATGATGTGAATAACATTAGTGTGAATGCAGATTCCAATTCTTCCACTTTGACACTCAATAAGGAAAAATTGGAAGCAATGGCTGATATTAAATTGCAAGTACAAGTGATTCAGGGTTTATTTGAGAGTAGTATTTCACGTTCACGTGGTGAGATGGGTGGTCAAAGTGGTTCGAGTGGTTCGAGTGGTGGTAAGAATGATTCATCCTCTTCCAATAATAATACGATGAATGTGAATACAATCATTGATAATGTGTTGAAGAGAAGTAGACAATTGAGTGAACATGTATTGGCTCAATAATTGTCATTTCTTTTGATTTTTAAATACATGTATGAGTAGTAGTTGCAGTAGTAGTATAATGCTGACAGTATTTTGTTATTTTTCATTATTATAATGGCATCTGTCTTGTGCATGCATAAGCGTAGGGTGGTGTGAGGAGAGAGACTCTTTCATCATTGATTGCCCTTATTACTTGCGATCGCGTTGTGTTGAGGAGCGTGGAAGTGGAACAAAATCAAAAACACACTTTCAACAAATTAAACAGCAAAAAAAATGGATCCAAACGACCTCTTAGATGGTGATTGGGACGTTCATGGTGGAGGATTTGGCTCTCGGCATGGTACCACGAAAAAGTTAGGCTTTTCAACGGTGAAGGACTTTACCACCACCACAAGTGAGGCTACTTCTGGCAGCAGTAGCGGTAATATTGGAACCCCTTCAGGTGTCGGTAATACTACCAACATCAAATCATCTCTACGGGCAACAACAACATCTTCCTATGATACCAATAACATTTCATCCTCACATATAGCAGCTGCATATAACCTCTCCGGAATGATGGATAGTGATGATGATGATGATGACGATGATGATGGTATCCGTAGTAGTGCTGCCACTAACAAACACGATAACATGGCTGGCAGTGGTGGTGCCTCTAACACCTCTGCAGGTGAAATACTCTCCACTGATCTGTTACAACAACAACAAAATTTACTTTTAAACGATCAATCTCGATTTCTTGTAGAACAAATTGAATTTGAATTTTCCAAAACATTTATTCAAGTGTGTGCTTCTAAAGGAAATCTTTTACTTGTCACTGATCAAAACACTTGTATTTATGTCGATGATGATTTTGAGAGATACAGAGAATTTAAAATCAATGTTGGTGATGATGATGAAGATCATGAAAGGATTCACAAATGTTTTATAGACCCATCAGGTTATCATGTATTGGTATCTATGACTAATGGAGACAATTACTATTTCAATACTCAAAATAATAAGAATCCAAAAATTCCAGTTTCAAAATTGAAAAATATGATTATTGAAAGTGTTGGATGGGATTCTGAAACGTGTAACAGAGATCAAACAGGTCCTATCTTAATTGGTACTTCTGATAGCAAAATATATGAATGTTCTTTAGAGAATGATTTGAAAGAACCTGTAAAGAGTCCTTTAAAATTATTATTTGATTTCAATGATTGTGATATGCTTGTGAGTACAGGTCCTATCACTGGAATTGAAATTGTATACTTTCCCAAGTTGAAGAATTCTTTCAATTGCTATCTAATATTGATTGCTACTCGATTGAGATTATTTGAATTTGTGGGTGGTCCAACACTTCAAGATGTATTTACACCATACAAACAATCCTATGATTTATTGAGATATAAGGAATTACCTGCAAAGAGAAGTGACATGTTACCTAAATGTGGTGAATTACATTTATTTAAACCATCATCCACCACCATTAGAGGTGAGAGTAGTACCAATACGAGTCCTATGAATGGATCATCCTCTTTGATCGATCAACAACAATTATCCTTCGCATGGCTCAGTAATGCTGGTATCTTTCATGGTGTTTTGAATTTCTCAAATCCCAACAGTAGACAACCTCAGAGTGGAGTGAGTGTCATTTCAGAGAGTGAAGTGATTCAATATGATCATAAGAGTGCCTCTCAAGTCATGTCTATGGCTATTAGTGAATTTCACATGTTTGTCTTGTATCCTGAAAAGTTACAAATACTCATGCAACCAGCTGGATTGTGTACTGCTGCATCAAATGTTGCAAATGTAGCTTCTGCAACCATGAATCCTCTCATGTTGAATTCACTCTTCATGATGAATAATAACAACTCAGCGATGGGAATGACCACAATGATGAATAACTCAACTCTCTATGCTGGTGGTGGTGGTGGTGCTCTCGTCAACAACAATAGCAGCACTATACAACAAGATATTGAAAAATTCTTTCAAGGTGATCATCCAATGATGATGAATCAACAACAAGAACAACAAGATTTGAATCTACTCGTAGCCTCTCTAGCAACATCCAATGTTGGTGAAATTTCACTCTCTGATATTCGTGTGGTATACTCTCAACCATTTCCAGTGAGTACAAGTGGTGAATTGATTGGTCTCTGTACAGATACTTCAACAAGAGATCGAATCATTTATTTGTATAGCTCTTCTGCTGTGTGGAGAATTACTATTGATGATGAAGAGAAAGATGTTTGGAAATTGTATTTGGAACAAGCATTGGATCCAAAATCATCAAAAGAATCTTATTTTGATATTGCATACAAATTATGCAAACAAGATCCAAAAACAAAAGATATTGTATTATCTGCTAAAGCTGATTATTATTTCAAGACTGGTAGATATAATGAAGCTGCTAACATTTATGCCATGTCTTCAAAGAGTTTTGAACAAGTTTCCATTGCATTTCATAATCGAGGTCAAAAAGATGCTCTTCGAATTTATGTTCTCTCTAAATTACAAATACTTAAAAAGAATATCAAGACAGAGAATCAAGATGCAACTCAATTGTGTTGTCTATGCACATGGTTAACAGAAATGTATTTGGACAAGTTGAATGAATTGTATGATTTGGTGAATTTGTCGAGTCCATCTAATAATAGTACAGGTAGTAGTAGTAGTAGTGGTGGTGGTGGTGGTTTGAGTGGTGGTGGTGGTATTAGTAGTACAGGTATTAGTGGTGGTGGTGGTATTAGTAGTTCACATGAAACATCCTCCTCTCTTCAACAACAACAACACCTTCAACAACTCTCCTATGAAGAACAATACAAGATTGCTAAACAAGAATTTAGAGACTTTTTAGAACAACATAAAAAGTACCTCAATAAGGAAACTACATTTAGACTCATTAGTAGTCATGGACAAACAGAGGAGGTGATCTTCTTTGCCATGCTGATTGAAGATTATGAAAGAGTTATTAGTTATTGTATTACTGAAAAAGATTACAAAGAAGCACTTGGAATTTTGAACAAGTATTGCACAACAAGACAATACGAAGATTATTTTTACAAATTTGCACCCATACTCATGCAACATTTACCTAAAGAAACAGTCAATATGTTAACACAGAAGAGATTTTTAGATTCAGGAAAGTTAATACCAGCATTGATGAGATACATTTCACAACAACAACAACCACCACATGGTTCAAGTAGTGGTGGTGTTGGTGGTGGTGATGGTGTTAGTGGTGGTGATGGTGGTGTTGCTGCTGCTTCTGGTACTACTAATACCAATGCAGGTCATACCATCACTTCCACCCATACGACTCCTCCTGCTACTAATACCAATGCAGGTCATACGAATGCCTTCTCCAAAAAAACATCTTCTTCCTCTCAATTGACCAACAACAAACCTATTGATGATGAGGACAATGATGAAGAATTTACAGACTCTCTTCTTGATGATGAACACGAAGAAGAAGATCCTCACATCTCTCTTAAACAACAACACTCAACATTGAATGAGAATCAACACTTTTCAAATTCTCTCACATCCGAACAACAAAATCATGTCATTCGTTATTTGGAATGGTGTATTCGAAAACAAGAAAATGAAGATCCAGCCATTCACAATCTCCTTCTCACACTCTATGCAGATTTAGAAGATGATGAGAAATTACTCACTTTCCTTGATACTGAAGGTGAAAATAATTATTATGATCCAAAATATGCACTTCGAGTGTGTTCTCAAAAAAAGAAAATTGAAGCATGTGTGAGATTGTATAGTTCTATGCAATTATTTGATGATGCCGTAGATTTAGCTCTTGAAAATGATCATATTGAATTGGCAAGAGAATGTGCTGATAAACCTGAAGATGATGAAAATAAGAAAAAGTTATGGCTTAAAATTGCTAAACATGTCATTAATCACAACACTGGAGTGAAACAAGCCATTGAATTTCTCTCTTATACAGACAAGATCAAATTAGAAGATATTTTACCTTACTTTCCTGATTTCTCTCATATTGATGATTTTAAAGAAGAAATTTGTAAATCATTGGAACAATACAAGGATGAAATTGAAAAATTGAAAAGTGAAATGCAAGAAGCTACTCAAACAGCTTCAGAGATTCGAGAAGATATTAAGGAATTGAAACATCGATATGGATTCATTACTGCCAATGCAACCTGTGATTTGTCATTGAAATCTGTCTTGACCACTGATTTCTACTTGTTTCCATGTCAACATGTGTTTCGTGCCGATGCATTGGTGGAAGAGGTATTGCGTCACACCAAATCCAAGGAATTACGTGAAAAGTTGAGACAATTGGAAGAGAAACGAAAATTATACAATCGACAAGTGGAAATGTTGAACAGTACTACTACTAGTACCAGTGGCACTACGAACAATGCAACACATAATGATGAAGATGACCATTCAACATCATCATCACAAACTTATTCGATGGATCAGAAAGAACTCTCTCAACTTCAAGATGAATTACGTGAATTGGATGAAATACTCTCTGCAGAGTGTCCACTGTGTGGTGAAATAATGATCAATTCCATTGATGAAAGTTTCATATCACAAGAAGAAATGGAAACATCCATTTATAATTCATGGTCCATTGCTTAACTTCTTCTCATTAATAAATACAAATGAGTATCAGGTTCAATATGTTGAATGTCTCTAGCTTCTCCTGTTAACCTCATCAATAAACCACCAAATGAAACATAGATGGATACCTTCTCAAAATTATCTTTAGGTTGATATTTGTAGACCCTTCCATACATGACGTAATCGTATTGATCCATGAGTGAAGGCTTGTCTTCGGTTCCTAGTGATGGATCAAAATAATCTTTTGTTTTTTTGGCGGCTGATGAAGCACCGTGCTCCGATGACTTTTTCGTGGCGGCTGAAGCAGCACCACCACTCACTTCGAGGCTGGTAGCCAATGAAAGAGTTAATTTATCACCAAAATCAACAGGAAATATATCCGTGTTGATATCAATGACTAATTCCATTTCATCTTCACTTTCGCAATATAAACGGGATACTTTATCGAATTTCTTTCCTTCAGGATCAATTCGCTTGACTTCAAAGAATTTATCTTCGAGGGCAATTTGGCCTGATGACATTTTTTTTTGAAGTTGGTGAACACTCAATGCTCAGGGCGGCTTGTCAAAAAGCAGAACAGTGTACAGGCAAGGTGATCACCCCTTAATCCCTTGGCATATTTGGTGGATGCACCAATCTGCAGTAGCTCTTTTCTTTTCCAAAAAAGAAAAGAGCCAAACGGATTTGTCTGTAATTTTTATTGAGCAAAACTTTTAAATTCATGGATATTGGCTATCAATGAATCATGATTTCAAGTATTATGACTCCAACTGGTTTTTGACGTACCAGTATTCAAATTTTGCAAACAGGTATGAAATCTCTGCTGTTGAGTTTTTCGCGAATTTTTTTACTATTAGATATTCTAAAAGGATTCATTCAAAAATGTTGTTTGCTGCCGTTTCCTTAAAAGCAGACTCCAAAGCTTTGAATTGAAATGGTGTTCGGATGCTTCGGTTAAATTCTCATTTATTTAACAAGAAGACATTGTTTTTTGTTGATATGCCAATTTAAGAAAGCAAATGTTGGACAAAACTCTTTTCAAACGTTGATCATTATGACATCTATTCTTTATTAAAGCGTAATCTGTGAAAATAATAATAATAATATATTATTTTAACATCTTTTCATCATTTTAAAAAGATGTATAGTTTATCGCAGAGAGAATAATCTTTAGTACAAGATGTTTATGAAAGACAATTAAAACCATTTTCTCAGTTGATTCATTATATTTTATTCAATCGATAGAAGCGAAATATTACTGGATACGATTTATAATTCTTTATTGCAACATGGAATAATATTACTGAATGAGATTTGTAGTTCTTTAATACCTGATATTATTTTTAACATCTATTGTAATAGTCGTCATTAGGTGTTTAAAACGGTGTCTATCAACTTATTGATTACAATCAAAATGTATTTCCATTACGTATTAATATCTTAGCAAAATAAAATGATGAGTTTATAATTAAACACAATATAATGTTACACAATAAATGGGTTGTCATAATTGATTTGCTCAATTTAATGACAATTCAGAATTGGATAACTCGATTTTAATCATTGGACTTGGTCTTTAAATTTTCATTCTTTACTCGTCGTTGATTTGTTCAATGATGATTTCGTCGTTTTATTAGTAACGTGATCGTTTTTATTTCTTATTTATTTTTCTGAACTAGTGATATATTCCGTAATTAATATCCATTCCTGATTGTGATTTTTCTCAATGAGGTCGTTGAGTTTTTCATCGCGTGTCATTCTCGGGACAACTGAACAACAAATAAAGCTTGTTGGTTGACACTCCAAAGAAAAGCTATAACACTCACCGCGCTACAATGATTTTTTAGAAGTTAACAAACACTTGTAAATTCTAAATAATAGGAGGGATTCTAGATGAAATCCTTAAGTGTCATTAGAGTTTGCTAACGAAGAGGGAGATGACAGGACTTGCATTCTTTGTCATTGGTCAATCTTTCTCAGCGCTAAGGCAACCTTCATGATATTCGTAATGCAAAAAAAAATGACCTCCTCTCCTCTTGCACGGAAAAAGCCTCCTCCACGTGGTCATGCACAAGCTCCTTCTCCCTTCTTCTTCAACAAGCAACAAGAAGACAACAACAAGACTCCACAAGCTGCTGCTTCCTCTACTACATCACCATTACTCTCCATGACTGGTTCTCTTAAAAATCATCCTCATCCTTCATCATCTTTCACAACTCCTTATTACCAACAACAACAACAATTTTCTCAACAAGAACACTATGATTATTCAAATATATTTCTTAATCATCAACAACATGTCATCATTCCACTCTCCACTCCATCCTTCTCATTATCAACAACACCATCATCCATCATGATGATTGAATCTACTCCAATTTCTCCATCTCGTTCTAGATTATCATCAAAATTAGGAGGTGAATTAACTGTTGGTGAAATTGAAGGTGAAATGATTCATATTTCATCACCACAAGATCAATTAATATCTTATTATTGTAATCGAGGAGGAGTTATTTATCCAAATATTATCATTCCACATGTATTGCATGATGAAGAAGAGCAAAGTGATCCTACTACTAGTACTACTCCTCCTACTACTGAACAATATGAAAAATTCTCTCAACCATGGAATGGAAAGGAAGAATCGGAATTCAATTCTTCTTCTTCTCCTTTTACTTCTCTTCATCATTTAATGAATCACACCACTACTCTCATTTATGAATATTTACAACATTTCACTCGATACTTTCCATATATGCAATCTATGGTTTCCATGAAAGTACCTTCATGTATGATGATGATGGATTCAAACATTTCTTTGAGAGGAGTGAAATGTATGGATTGGCATCCATTTCTAATGAGAATGGCCATTCTCTTACATGATGATCATATTTATTTTTATAATGTATGGAATGAAGAATGGAGTGCACAAGTATTGAGACATGAATTTCAATTCAATGTTTCAATGATTAAATATAAACCTAACAGATCAAATGAAAGTGTATTAGCAGTGGCGTGTGAAAATGGTATTTTAATATGGGATGTCAATGGAAGATTAATGACCAGTGGTGGTCAGAGTATTGGTGGCAGTATGACCAGTGGTGGACAGAATCTACACTACAATGATTCCAATGGTTATACAAAAAAGGATGTGAGTCGAAATGGTATTTGTATCTTTTTACCATCCTCTTCAAAAGTGAATTGCATTTCATGGGGTGTGGATGAATCAAAAACTCTTCTCGCTTCAAGTAGTCTCTTTGATCATCGAGTATTTATTTATTCACATGAAAGGAATGGATTGGATTGGAAACTTTTTAAAGTATTGACAAAATTCAATGGTGGTGTTCGAATGGTAGAATTCTCACCTGATTCCAAATATTTATTTGTTTCTCATATTACCAATGTATTTCGAGTGTATGAAACTAGAAATTTTGATTTTTGTGAAAAGTGGTCATGTTTTGATCGTCCTGTAAAATCAATGGCATGGCATGGATCTGAATATTTATTTATTGTTACTGAAGATTCAGATTGTATTCATGTATTGAGAGATGAAACAAGTTATTTAATGAGTGGAAGTGGTGGTGGTGGTAATTCTACTACTACTACTAATAGTACGACGACGAGTGGTGGTGGTGGAAGTGTGGATGGAAGTGTTGGTATGACAAGTGGTGGTGGTGGTGGTGGTGGTGATGAATTTCATTTTGAATATCAATGTAAAATTCCACTCTCTCTCTATTCTCCATACAAGACTCATCAAGTGAAGTGTTGTGGTAAAATTAGACAAATACAAGTACATGGTGAGAGATTAATTGTATCTTTTGAACAATCACCTCTATTGGCAGTCATTCAAATGGATTGTTCCTCACGAAAACATTTTATTTGTAGACCTATGGGATATATTCGAGGACCAACACCAAAATTATTAAGTGATACCAAAAAGAGGAAACCAAACATCATGACCACTACTACTCATGGTAGGACATTGTCTGAACGAGTTAATCATAATGTTCAACAACCAGTATATAATGAACAACAAGATGATATTCCCACCATCATGCATGATGATGAAAATTCAAATACATCCTCCTCGGATATATTTACACAAGCCATCGAAGAATCCACCTCTAATGGATATCATTTACAATTTTGGAATAACTTTGAAAAGGGAAGTTTATTGTCTGTATGTTGGAAAGGTATTGATAAGGACAAGATTTCAATCTATCCATTCTATTATCATGTTACACCACCTCAATGGAATGCCTTATACGATGAGAACAATCCATTCTATAGGAGTCGATTGCATAAGAATATTGAAAGACAGCAACAACTCTCAGAGGAGGAGGAGGACGATGATGAACCCATCGTGTCGACACGGTCACATGGTACTCCTTTTAATATTTTTGATGACTAATAAGCAAGCACAATAGGATGACACGTGTACTACGAATGAGACAACAATGGACCATTCACACACTCCTTTAGATTAACTACTACTAATGGAAATCAAACTACTGTTGTTTCATAAATCGGTCCGATGACACTTTTATTTTCTCTTCTTATTCAAGAAGGTGGTGTTTCCTGAGAAATGTTCTTCTTCCAAATCGCCACCATATTTTCTTTTGTGCAATTCATAACGTCCACGATCGTCATGAATGACCGATTCATCATCATGGTTCCTTCCAACAACAATTCTAGAGTGGCCATTTCTTCTACTACTACCACTCTCATTCCTGCTACTACTACTACTACTACTAGTACTACTACTACTATTGAATAATTTCCTCAATTCAAATTGAGCTTCACGTTGAACCTTTTCAATATCATTGGGTGGTTGTGTCAATGCATGATAATATCCATTACGTTGTGCATGTGCAATAAATTCTCTCCACAATGGTGATGTATTCAATTGTTTTGAATTGCACACAACAATGAGACAATGTTTTGCACGTGTAATGGCAACATTCATTCTTCGATAATCTGTTAAAAATCCTAAACCCTCACTTCTCACACAACTGAGAAGAATGACATCTTTTTCTCTTCCTTGAAATCCATCAATGGTATTAATATCAGTAGTAGTAGTAGTAGTAGTACTATTGCTCAATGTTTGAGAATTGTGTGTGAGAGACTTTTCAGTTTTTCTTGTTCTTGGTATCATCACATGAATATGTTTTCTAATTTCATTCACTTGTTGTTTATAAGGTGTAATAATTCCAATATTCTTTTCAAAATTCTCTAAAATGATTTGTTGTTGTTTCAATAAGGTATTGTTGTTGTTGTTGAGATGTTTTAAAATCAACTTCATTTTGATATCCATCATTTTGTAATAGAGATAGGAAATAAATTGAGCTTCTAATACATTTCGAACACTTGTAGAGTGTTGTTGATCAGTCATTCCTCCAAAAGATCTGTCTTCTCTACTGTATAACAAATCATAGACTTGAATGGGTGGAGAATCATCATTCATGGTGGTGGTGGTGGTCATTGTGATTTGATCACGACTCGAAATTTGTGTTGTTGTCATTTTGACTTGTCTCAAAATTTCTCTATATTCCCATCCATGATCATTACATTCATGATCAGTAGTACTAGTTATTGTTGTTGTTGTATTGGTATTGATATTGTTGATTCTTGTATTGATATTGGTATTAATATTGGTATGGATGGAATTCATTGTGTTGATATTGGTATGGATATTGGTATGGATGGAATTCATTGTATTATGACCACTTTTAAGTGATTCATGACTTGTTAATTGTCCTCCATAGAAACAACGAGATGGAAATTCACATATTTTTGGATGCATTCGATGTTGAACATTTAACATGATGGCAGGATATCCTTCATTCATGAATCTTTCCATCAATGATCTCGAATAATTATAATCTCTTGAATTACCAATAATTGTAGCAGGTAATTGACATGGATCACCAATTAATACAATTCTTTGAAAGTTATTGTGTTGTTGACTACCCATATTATTATTATAATTATTTTGAATATTATGACCACCCATATTATTAGTATTACTATTTTGTTGACCACCCATATTATTATTATTACTATTACCACCCATACTTGGTGATAAATAACACAATGGTATTAATAATTCAGGTTCTACACATTGACAACATTCATCCACAACTATATGACTAATACTCTCATTGATATTTAAATTAAAATACTTGTCAAATTCAAATCCACTCGATGAAAGTGTGACAAAGATAATTTCAACTTGTTTCATAATAGATTGTTTGATTTCAAATTCTAATTGATTCATTGAATTCATTTCTGAGAACACATGTGAAGAAGAAGAAGAAGAATTCATAGGAGTGGTGTTGGTGGTATGAGTGGTAGTATTGGTAGTATTGGTGGTATGAGTGGTAGTATTGAGGGTAGTAGTAGAACTAGTAATAGTTCCACTTTGATCACTTGAATAGATTCTTTCATTCATTCGATGTTTTATCAAATTCTCAATATAATACTGTTCCACACTTGGATGTATAGATTCCTTAATTCCAAATCGAACCATATTTGGATAGTAAGTAGAAAGTCTTGTACAAGTGATGACAGGATTATTGCGATGGGTGTTGTTGTTGTAATGAGTAGTAGTAGTATTGTTGTTGTTGTAATGAGTAGGAGTACTAGTAGTAGTAGTACTACTACTAGTTACAACAATTCCCTTCTCTGAAATTCTTTTTAATATTTCATCTACTGCTTGATTCGATGGTGCACACACAAGAATCTTGTTTTTACCAACGGATTCACCTCTTTCAATACGTTGTTGAATGAGTGTTGAAATGATACCAATGATGGTTGTTGTTTTACCTGTTCCAGGTGGTCCTTGAATGAATACGAATGGTAATGGTAATGGTAGTGGTGACAAGTGTTGTTGTTCTTGTTGTTTTGGTTGAAAGGATTTGAATGATTGTTGAAGTGATGATGATGGTCGTTGTTGTAATAATGGATCACCACTTTGATTCACACATGCATTGATAATTCCTGTTAATTGACTTTCATTATAGGTCTGTTTCAAGTGTTTCTTATAGATTGGATGTAAACAAAATTCAATATCATCCTTCATGAGATCATGATGTGAATAGGGATATTGTTTTGTTTGACAGAGAGGAGAACAGGATGGATTGAGAAGTATATTGTTGTTGTTGTTGTTAGGAGTGGTGGTGGTGGTGTTGTTGTTGTTGTTGTTAGGAGTGATGGTGCTGCTATTCATGGTAGTGACGGTAGGATGATTCAAAATAGACACATTCCATATTTTTGAAAATATTCCAATACTATTCACAGCATAGATTTGTCTAAGAAGAGTAGAGAGTGATATTTTCTTAATGATCCATTGTGATCCTACACGAATAGGATGATGATGTGATTGATTCTTACTACTCATTCTCAATGAAATTAAATCTCTGAAACGAATAGATAAATGTTTTGATGTTTGAAAATCATTTTCCAAGACTTGACAAAAGAAACTCGTTTTTGAAGAGGTGGTACGAGTGGTGGTACGAGTGGTGGTGATGGTGGAAACTGGTTCAATCCATGCAATGGCAGGTGGTAAGAGTGAAAATGTAGAATTATTGGTGTTGTTGTTGTTAGGAGTGGTGGTGGTGTTGTTGTTGTTGATACTATGATTACCACTTGAACTACTACTACTACTACTACTACTAGTATTATTATTATTATTATTATTATTACTAGAACTATTACCATTTGAACTATTACCATTTGAAGTAAGAGTAGTACTTGCATGATTATTTCTTTTTTGATTATTCTTACCACCTGTATTGTTGTTGTTCTGGTGGTTATTCTTAATCATGTTCATAAATTGAAAATATAAAATACATGAATTTCCTTTTGATTGATCCATTTCCTTAAGTGTTGCATGAATATATTCCACATCTTCAGAATTCTCAGTCACATGATCATTGATCGATGATTGTATTTGTGCCACACATTCTTGTAATAAATGAGGTGTAAATATATTTACATATTCTTCAATACTTTTAAAAGAATTTGGAATTTCTTTTAAATGATTCATCATGTACATTCGATCTCGAGGTGTTAATTCTGCCTTTTTTAACTTGGTTTTTTCATCAATGGTAATTTCCATATTTAGAATCATGTCATAGAATTGATTCATTCGATGGTTCTTATTGATTGAATCATCCATATGAATGTTGTTGGATGGAGTAACTGGAGGTGTGATTTTGTTTCGTTGGTGTTCCAAAATTGCTTGTCTCAAATAATATTCAGAGCTTTGAATGAAGTGTTGGTGATCATTCTTTGTTTTGGGTATCATCACAGTATCATGATTGGTTATTGATGAAATTAATGATGAATGATTATTTCTAACAGCTGTCATTGAGGTATTACCATTTCTAGATGTCATTGAGGTATTTCTACTATTTGTTTCAATGGTTGAGTGATTCACATTTCTACTTGTCATTGAGTGATTTCCATTTCTACTAGTCGGTGCATTTGAGGAAAAATTAGGACTGATACTTGTCAAAGATCTTTGACTTGAAGAGAATGATACTTGTTGATTCTTGGATTCATGTTGTAATCTTTTATCTCTCACTGAAGGTAATTTATAGGTAGTGGTGATATTAGTGGTGTTGGATGTGCCAATAGTGTTGGTGGTATTGGTATTGGTGGTATTAGTGGTGGTATTGGTATTGGTGGTATTAGTGATGGTATTAGTGATGGTATTGGTATTGGTGGTGACTCGAGAAGTACTCGTCGTTGGATCCAACATGTTGTTGTTTGATGTGGAAATATTTGAAGAATTTTTTGATAACTTTCGATTATTGAATGATGGAATAGTAATTAATGGTTTCTTTTGTACACTTGTCTTCAAATGAGTATTATTCATAGATGATGGATGATGGTTCAAAGTGATGATCTCTTCACCAAGTGTTGATTTTCGTGTATTATTTTGAATCATTTCAGAAAAAGATTTCTTTGAATTCATTGTCAAGTGATTATCATTTTGAATCATTTCAGAAAAAGATTTCTTTGAATTTGAGGTTGAATGTGAGGTCAATGATTTTGAGGTTGAATGTGAGGTCAATGATTTTGAGGTTGAATGTGAGTTTGAATGTGAGGTCAATGATTTTTTAGAATGATTTTCTGAAATGAGTGAATTCTTTTCTTCTTGTTCATGGAAAATATTATAATGTTTGGTAGTGACATAAATGATAGAATCATCAGAATCATTGGTGTCACTGTGTTGTGGAGAATTTCTAGTTGAATCATGTTGTGGAGAATTAATTGTTTCTTCTTCTTCATCTGAATCATTTTCAAGTAAAATATATTTCATTTCCAAACTAGTGTCAGAATCAGATTCTGAAACATCCTTGTCAGTATTGTACTTTCCATTAGTGATTTGAGAATCCTCAAAATCTTCATCAATTTCATCAAAAGAAGGTATTAAAACATGATCCAAATATTGTGACTCGACCGATGATGAAGAAATGTTATCCTCAATAATATTATTTTCATCATTTGTATGATTCGAATCATTATTCTCTTCTCTTCTTCCATGTGGTTGAAAATGGGATTGAGAGAGGTTCGTCTGACTCGGAGTGGTAATGACCATAACAGCAGCAGTATCATTGTTGGATTTCGACTTGTTGGTTGCAAGTATTGGTGGTTTTTTCAATGATGATTCCTTTCGGAATAATTGTGTGGTCTCATTCTCTGAAGATGATGATGATAAATATTCAGTATCGGAATGGAGAGGATGATTGCAACGACGCATGAAGTCTTGCGAGGTGGTTGACTATTTTTAAAGGAGAAGAGACTTGTCGAAAGATGCAATTTTTTTAAAGAAGAATCCAAAATTAGAATCTTTCAAAATTTTTTAATAATTGAACCTCCAAAAAAACAAATTCATCGATCGAAAAAGAAATGTTCGACGGATGATGGTCAAGAGGGTGGTATTGTGATAGGGTATTGTGGTGATTGTGTCCTTTTGACACTTTTCCCACCTACATTCTCGCAAGTGTTCCTCTGCAAAAAAAAAACACTGTTGTTTGCGGCGGATCACCAATAACTCTTCAAAACATTTCATCTCCTCGACGAACACTGTGAATTACTGAACTCCTTCTTCTTTTTCAATAGCAATAATTGTAAAGACATCAGTGACATCCTTATTCAAATCCGTTCTCAATGGATGATATTTTCCTTCAATATAATCATTCATCATGTTATCATAATTTCTTGAAAACATGTTACCATCTTGTCCAAGTGGAAGTACCCATAAATCTTCTTGACGGGTGAATGTGCTACTGCTACTACTACTACTAATAGTACTACTCCTTGTGGTCTCATCCATCATGGTCTTCCTACTCGTCATGATGACTGAACTAGAAGTACTGTTCAATGATGATGATGATGAAAATTCTCCACCTCCAATGATTTGACGATACACTGCTGCATTCACTGTTGGAATGGTTGTATTAGTTACCTTATCATAGACATAATTATTAATATTCACTGTATAGGTACCACCATTGGTATGTAAATGACGATCCGAGAGACATGAGAGTGGAGTGAGTCCTAACAATTGATGAGAGGCATCAATGTAATGCATTTCTTTCCATTTTGGAATTCGATGACCAAAATAAAATTCTAAACTGTCAACCGTTTCTTTGAAGGTTTGTTTAGCAAATTCTAAACAAGTTTGTTTTCTATAAACAATACAAGCAGTGTCATTGTTGAGAGTCATGGCTCTTCTCAAATAATAAAAATCATTCCAATACTTTTCTGAAACTTCAAATTGAGGAAGAGTAATGAGATTGGTTAAAAATGTTTCCCACAATGCAGCATGTGAAGATTCTCTTTCAATTTTACCATTCCATTGAGTGAGTAATTCATTGGCATAGTTGAAGTATTTTCTTCTTGTTGGTTCATTGCTGTTGGATTTTCTTGTTGATTCAGTGTTGGCATTAGACTTCCTTGTTGTTGATTCATTCTTGTTATTCTCACTCGTTGATTCATCATCAAATTCATTCTTAATAAATTCCAAAACAAATTTCAATTCTTCAAAAATTAAACTTTGAACATCATTTTGAATATCAATCATGTCTTTTTGTGTAAGTTTTCTCTTTTCCACTTGTAGAACATGTTTCAACATTTGATCAATTCTTCTCGCTCGATAATCAAATTCATTATCATTACTAATAATGTAGGGCCATCCTGCAGGAGTAATTCTATTATTAGCTGTAATGATATAACCCTTCTTTGGATTCACCATGTGAATTAAATCAGATCCACTTGCATAACCTTTATATTCAAAGGTTGATACATGACCTGGCATTGGAAACATTCCTGTATGTCCTTGTTGTCTCAGAGGTGTGGTACCAGTGAGAGAATATCCAATATTTCCTTCTCGATCTGAAAAGACAATACAAAATGGAAATGCAGTCAAGAGATGAGTGGCTTTGATAAATTCATCCATGGTTTTGGCAAGAGACATTTGTTGAAGACCAATCAGAGTGGTATCATTGGGAAGATGTGCAGTCCATTTCAATGCAATAGGATGAAGAGTCAATGATGTATCTTCCTGAAGATGTGAATTTCCAATTTGAGGATCCATTAGAATGGTATTGAAAATAGGTCCAAATCGACTCTCTTTCACTTCCAATACGAATGGTTCGGATTGACCCTTCACATGAATCAATTCCTCTCGAATACGATAGGCTTCACATTCTCCATCGATCATGTAATGAGTTGTACTCATCATTGGAGTGGAATTAGGAGTGTTATGGGTATTATGGGTATTCATCATTGGAGTATTATTGGTATTCATCATTGGAGTGGAATTAGGAGTATTATGGGTATTTGAATGATTATTGGATGTTGGACATGGAGTCAGAACATACAAGTCCTGTACATCTGTGAAAGATAGAGTAACACTCCATGAAAGGTGAGCATTTCTTCCAATACCAATGGAAGGTAAACCAGGGAATGAAGCACCAATTAATTCAAAATCATCATGAGTGGATGGTTGAGATGAAGACTCTTGTTGTTGATGATGAAATGATGATGAAGACTCTTGTTGTTGATGAGATGAAGATTGTCTCAAATCCTTTTCATCTATTTTTGTAACATCTTTGACCAATTTCAAATGAATTTGTTGAAAAATAATTGGAGCAGAGAAATCCAAATGAGGATCATTGACATTGTATCCAGAGGAACTATCTGTTAAATTTCTATGAATGACCCAATTGTTGGAACCACGTGAACGTCCCTTCTTCATTGGGAAGAGCATGTCCAAATAACGATTCTTGTTGAAAATGTCTATTAACACATGTCCAATACCCTTCATGGAGGATGAGGATGGGATACTACTACTTGAATCAGTACTAGAGTCACCACCCTCAACACCACCACCACCACCACTACCACTACGATGAATACTACTACTACTGCTACTTGAATCACCACTCATACCACTCTTCATTCCATATTGTTCTTCTTGCTGTGGTTGTTGTTGTTGGTGATGGAGATGAGAGTGATGATGAGGAATAAATGCACCTGATTGATCAAATAATCTTGTCTCAATTTCTTGAGCTTGTTCATCCGTAAGAGTCATATTCAATTCTTCTCTTGTAAAGATTGTAAATTGATTAGAAATGGATGGAGTCGACAATTCTGTTGCTCTCTCCAAACTCACTCCCTTCTCTAAAATGACAAGACGTGCCAATTCAAAAATATAATTATAAGTCATTTGAAATGCAATTAATTTCTCAAAAGACAAGACATCCATGACATTCCATGGAGTAGGTTGAAAACCAACAAGTCTAAATTCAGGTGGTAATCTTGGATTGGATGCAATAAATGCATTAATACCATTCACATAGGATTCAATAATTTCAAGAGTACTTGTTGGTAAATATTTCAAATTATCTTGAGCATACTTTTTAAATCCTAAAATTCGAGAAAGTTTATCCACAATGAGTGCATCTTGTCCAACAATTTCACTCATTGTACCTTGACATACTCTCTTGTAGAGTTCCATTTGAAATAAACGATCTTGACAGGCTGCCACTCCTTGTGCAAATGCTAAATCTTTCATATTCTCTGCAACCACATGAACCATTCCATTCTTTTCACGTACAATCATGGCACGTTTACCATACAATTGATGGGTATAGAGAAGACCACTCTTTTGAATTTTAGTGGAATGAACCATAAAGAGTAACATCAAGACCATCAAGATTGAAATTAAAAGCCATAAAAATCCAAAGAGAGTCACCACAGAGAGAGTACAACATGCACATTTCTTACGAGTTGAACTTGCTCCAAAATAGTGTGAACAACAACGTGAAAGAATTCTTGGAGAGAGTAATGCAAGGAGAGATGATTTTCCATTCTTGTTCTTGGTGTTGTTGTGGTGGTGGTTCAAGGGATTCATCGCTGTGGCGGCATGAATGGAAGAGGCAGAAAGTAAGTGATGTTGAGATGGATGATGTTGTTGAGGTGGTCCATGTGTTGTTTCATCATCCATCATCTCATCATCATCATTGAAACTCAATAGTCCATCATCCTGATGAGTAGAATATCGATGGGCATTCCTATCAATACCACCACCACCAACACCACTCGAACCATCCATCATCATCATCCTGTGAGTACAATTGAACAATTGTTCATGAATCAAATCCTCCTGAGTCACTTCCTTTTGTTTCTTCTTTTCAATAATATATTGTCTCAATGGATAAATCAATCCAATCAATAACAAGACAATTCCAATGACACTCAAACTCAACACCAATACAAATTCAGCACCTCCACACAAGAAACAAAAATCATGATGAGCCATCACAATAATGATTGGAAGAATGACAAAACCAATGATGGCAGCAAGTTGAGCAACAATGAAAATAGCAGAAATCCATCCTGCTATAGATCGAGAAACAATATGTGGCACTGTTTGTACAGCCATTGTAATGCTCTTACGTTTAGCCTCTGCTTCATGATGTTTCAGTACGAGATGAGTGGGTTCAAGGAAGGTATCAATATCTTCGAGTCCATGTCCGACATCGTCGTCATTCATGTTGTCAACAACAAGATCATTATTATTGGTAGATTTGTTGTTGTGGATGGGTTTGTTGTTGTTGTCATCATCATGATGGTCGTCGTCATGAAACCGGAGTGAACCTTCGTTGTTGTTGTTGTTGTTGTTGGAAGTGCCCTTGAAGTGTTTGGCAGGTCGAGAAGAGGGCATTTTTTTTTGATTCTTTGGGAAGTGTGTGTGCAAAGGCATGGATGGATATTTTGAAGAGAGAGACAGGTGAGCTTTCAGTGAGTGCTTGCACCCAACATGTTGGGAATCGCTGAGGATGATGATGGAAAACAAGTTGCCTTAGATCCACCCTCTTACAGGAGTTGAGAAGCATTTCAGCACTGAACCACCATTTATTCGCTAAAATTAAATTACTCGCAGTAGTACTGGTACTGACAAGAGTTTGGGGAGAAAGAGAATTCAAAAAAAATGAGCCTATCCTCATCATCCTCGGTGGTGATGTCTTCTCTATCGGGAGGAGGCGCTAACAGTACTACTACCTCACAACAAGCACCTTCTTCTTCTCCTCTCTCCAAAGACTATCTCAATCAAATCTGTGATACTTTCATTATTCACCTTCAACGTAAAAAAATCAAGGGTATTTATAATATTGGAAAACATACGGCTGAGATTCTCCGAGAAATTGTTGCCATCACTAAAAAGAATGTTCTCGTACAAGATATTATTGATGCTTGTAGATATGTGGGTAAGAGATTAATGGATGCCCAACCTACCATGTTAGTCATTGGAAATGTTGTTCGGAGAGTTTTGTTTATTATTAGAGATGAATTTAATACTTATATTAAACAAAAGAAACCATCAAGCAAAACATCACCAAGTATTCGCCAATCGACATTGAATATTTCAAACCCTGCTGTCTCTGGAAATTTATTAAATTTACTTGAAATGAAGAGTGACATTAATTATGCTGAACCAATTGAAGGTGATTACAAAGCTACAGTCATTGAAGCTGTCAATGCTCTCATTGATGAAATGGATGGTCTCTATAAGGATATCTCTGAACAAGCTTCTGAACATATACATTCAAATGAAGTAATACTGACCGTAGGATTATCACACACAGTTGAATTCTTTCTTCTCGCTGCTGCTAGCAAAGGAAAAGAATTTGATGTGATTGTCACTGAAAATGCACCATCTTATTCTGGACATCAAATGGTATTGAAATTAAGCAAGGCTGGTATTAAGACCACTCTCATTTCAGATGCAAGTGTTTTTGCAATTATGGATCGAGTCAACAAGGTAGTGATTGGTACACATTCAGTGATGGCTAATGGTGGATTAGTGGCTCCAAGTGGAACTCATTTGGTTGCATTGGCCGCAAAAGAAAAATCAATTCCATGCGTTGTTTGTAATGGCCTTTACAAATTAACACCATTGTATCCATTAGATCAAGATTCATTCAATGACAGACATTCTCCATTGGAAATTATCAAATTGGAAGATGGTGGTTTATTGAGAGATGTTCATATTTTGAATCCTGCATTTGATTATGTTCCTCCTGAGCTGATTGATTTATTTATCACCAACGTTGGAACACATTCTCCCTCTTATATTTATCGTTTGTTGACCGAATATTATGACCGAAGAGACTACAACTTGGATTAGGTTCGTTTTGACCTGTAACACCAACTTTTAAAGACTTTCCACCACAATCCATTATATTTCAAATGAAGAATAAACCTCCACGGAGAATTTAAAACTTTATAAACCTCCATGAATAATAATAATAATAATATACGATTGAGCTGGCCACTCTTTTTATTGAGACATCATGAAAAACTCTCTCAAATCAACAATGACAAAAATTCACTTCCAAAATCAATGATTGGGCAAGTCTTTTCATAATTCAAACTATTCATAAAGCAGTCACTTGCCTCTTCTTCATCTCCAAAATGTTCAGACAGCACTTTGCCTAAATGATACCATGACAAGTGGTTGAAAGGATTAATACGGACAGCATTCTGAAGATAATTTCTAGACATGGTATATTGCTTTTCATGTTTGTAATAAATAACACCTAATCTGAGTGATGCAATTTCACAATCAGTGTCATTGACCAATGCAGCTTCATATTCAATGATTGCATCTTTGATTTTACCAGCATCTTCAAAAATGCGTCCCTCAGCACAATGAATCCATGCATTTGTTTTCATTAAGAGTTCAATAAACTCTTGTTGTGATTCATCTTTTTGTAATCTTCCATTGTTCAACAGCAAATCAATAATAGTCATATAATCACGTGAGGTTTTTTGAACTCCTTCCATATTCAATTGAGAAGCATTATTGTCTGATTTCTTTTTCGATGTCGAAATTGGTGTTGTATTCGAGGGTAATAGAGATGCAACCTTACTACTCTCAATTTCTTCAATTTCCTCCACCAGTTGTATGATCAATTCTTTGGCTTTTGACATGTTAAATGTCGCATCGTCGAGTAACTTTTTTCTTCTCAATGCCTCACTAATAAATATATATTGTTGAATTAATTCAATCTTTTTGTGTCTATATTCACTAATTGATATAATCGATGGTCCTAAACTTCCACTAGATGTTCCTCTTCTAGACATGTCATTCACATTAGTTGTTGGTGTTGTATATAATTCTAAACTCTTATCTAATTCATCACTCAATTTCGAATAGGTTCTAACAGATCTAGAGGAAGAAGAGATTCCAAAAGTATTTGTTGTAGTCATGGTCATTGGTACAGCATTGGTCTGTCCAGCTCCTCCACCACCACCACCACCACTGTGATTGCTATTATTGCTTGTATTAGAAGCAGCATTATTGACACTATTGGCAATATTCGCATTCGAAGGTAACAGTACAGTAGTGGTTGTTGTTGTTGTCGTAGTTATGGAGTGATCACCTGAAGCATAGTTCATAGTTCCTCCTCCTCCTCCACTACTAATGCTAATGTTACTACTCGAAGATTCTAATAATTCTTCCATTCGAGCATAGAGTAATTTCAATTGAATATCATTTGGAAAGTGTTCAAGTATCATCTTGATTGCTTTAAATGATTGTACATGATTATGTCTATCACATGAGAATAACAATGCCAATAAAATCCATGGCTGTTTGTCATCCATTCGACTCAAGGCAATGGATTTCTTCACAAAAGTAAATGCTTCTTTCAATTCTCTCATTTCTGCATAGACCAACGCAATGTGATAACATAATTTGTAATCATTTGAATCATACATATCATAGACCTTATTCACAAGAGCATCTATAGAGAGGTTTAACAATTTAGTCTTCTCAGTCATGGTTGAAACATTCTTACTTTGTTTGTAATACAATAATCCTAACATGTGATAGAGTTTAGAGCGGAATAAATGATTCAGACAAGACGATGGGGCTTTCCATGAGGAAGTTGGTACATTTTTGGTGGTAGAACCAATTCCATTATTATTATTATTATTATTATTATTATTGGTAGTAGTAATAGTAGTAGCAACTCCTACATTCCTAGGAGTCGCCTCAGTAGTTGTAGTAGCACCACCACCATTACAATTACTACTTGTGGTCATGGTACTTGAACCATCCATGATATCAATCGCCTGTTCAGCTAATGAAATACTTTTTGTAATCTTTCCAAATTTCAAACCAACGGTACATGCAAATAAATAATATTTAACATTTCTAGGTTCAAGTGGAATACAAACACTTTCAACAATTTTAAATGCACGATGATAGAGTTTGTTGTTTGAAAGAAGAATTGCATATTGGAACCAAAAATGAGCATTTTCACTAAATATTCCAATTCCTCTCTCCATAATTTGTTTAAAAATATCAAATCCAATATTATAATTAGTACAACAGATGCTTGAAAGTGAAAGACATAATTGATCATAAATATTTGAGAGTTTGATCATTTGTTCTTCACTTGCTGAGAGAGGAGTGTAAATAATTGGATGAGAATTGGAGTTTGTTGAAGTTAATGATGAAAGTTCAAGTGCTGATGAAGATGGTTTGCATTGTAAATTCATAATATAAAATAATGAATGTTCACATGTGAGAAGAACTAATAGAGCTTCTTCAATTACTTTTTCAGTGTTCTCAATGGATTTCACTTGTGAAGTGCTTTGATCTTTTTTCATTGATTTTGAAGTACTTGGAGTGGTGGTCGTGTTGTTGGTGTTGGTGGCCGTTGCACTAGTATTCCACACCGAAGATTCATTGAATATCTTTTGATACATTTCTTGAGATACACTTGAAAAGAGTGTTGATCCTAATAATTGTAACATGAATACTTTGATGGTAGGTTGAAGTAGTGATTTGAAACTGGTCAATATTTTGAGAATCAATTGTACACATTCTTCAATTTTCATTTCCTTCTTCAATTTTAACACGCTTTGATACAATTCATATTGAATCAAATAAGAATGATAGGAATCTACCGACTGTTCATAAATGTTAGAAAGAGATGATAACTTTTCAAGCAAGATATTACCATCGGATAGAGAAACTGATAAACATCTAAAGTATATGAATAGATATGGTAATTGAGTATGTAAGTCTTTTGATGATGACAACAATTGATTATTCAATATTTCAATATTCGATGGATTGAAAATAGTGTCTTGGTTGTTGTAGGATTGTAAAATATTATCCAATTCGATAGAAGTTGTAGTTGTGGTGCTGGTAGTGGTTGTTGTACTGTTGTTGTCAGAGGAAGAAGTACCACGTGTAGTTGTTGTTGATGATGATGTCGTAGTATAACTCTTTAGACACCAATTAAAGTAATCACACACAACAGCACAAGATTTGAACGTATTGGATATTCTATTGATCGTAGAGGCCAATTCGGAGAGAAAAACCTCATCATTGTTATGAAAGGCTATTTCATGTAATTTAGACTCAACAGCAATACATTCGGAGAGTGGAGTGAGTCCCAATTCCTGTGCTTTTTTAGAGACTAGTTCGAGTTGAGAGGATTGTTTGTGTGGTGAGTTTTGAGATCGAGCCACAGCCAAATCACGAAGCAACTGAGTGTGAGCCAAGAGTTGCTTTTTGGACATTTTTTTGGGCGAAAGAGCGAATCAAAGACCAGTGGATGACAAATTTCCAATTCCATGTCCGTGCTTGAGGATTGTGAGTGATCATAATATGACTATTCTTGAGTCAAAACCCCGTACGGGGTGGTTATTATCATGTTCTTTTCCACAGGCATTGTAAAATCTTTCATCATCCAATAGGAATTTTTCATAAAATTTTTTTGGTTCGTTTCAGCCCAAAACGGAGCTGGCATCGTTGCATGGCTCATTAAAAAAATTTGTTGTTGATTATACGCTTGGAATCTGATCTGGATTTGAAACAAACACTTCAAGCGTAATTTCTTTCACATTGGCACAACAACAACAACAAGACCGCTCCATCAAACTTGTTCGGACACTGAACTCTCTCAATACACGACATAGATTGCACCCTTTACAGTGTATCATATCCTTGATCATGACCCTCCCAAGACATCATGCTGCGCATTCTCTCGTGAGTGGACCAATACTGGATGGTTCAAGGAAACTCACTCTTCTTTCCGCTTGCATCATTGTTGCATTTTTATTTACTTTTTCTGAAAACGTGCATTCTGTGAGTAGTGCCATCACTGGTGATGCATCACCACTCTCCTCCTCTCAATCGGTTGTGGATACCAACAAAATCATTCAACTCGTGAATCGATTGACACTCGATATTTCCAAAGAACAATCTCAGAAAGATTTACCTTTTCGATCCTTCCCCATTCAATTTGCAGAACAACAAGGCTTATTCAAGTCTTATATTCATATGAATAATGGTGGATCCGATCTAAAATCAACACTCATTAGAAGATATGCTAAAATCCCTGATTTGAATATGTTTGTTACGAATTTTGTCGTGTTAGCTCAAATTGAAACCCAATACTTGATTGAAAATTCCAAGTATGGAAAACAGGTGGACGATGTATTGGATATGAGTTCATTAGAAAATGCCATTCAAGCAATTCTCTCTTATCATGACAATAATTTCAATGTATCAACACCTGTCTATAACTTTTGGCCACAACGATTATTACCCAATTCAAAATATTATCAAGCCTATCCAGTGAATTTAGTTGATCCAATGAATGAATTTGGGAGTATTGAAAAGTATTTAGAGCAAGTTTTGAAATTTTTACATTTAGATGCATTATTGGATGATATTGAAGATTTGGCAGCTAGTTTTCAATTTTTAGCACAAGCCTTTCACATTCCTGCTGATTATGATGATACAAGTTGTAAGTAGTCCTCAATGAAGAGTTTATCTCAGGAGGGTCTATAATGATGTATCAACATTCATTTATTTATATATATATATATATATGGATATTCTATGTTTTTGAATATCATGTGTCCAATCATATGATTCAAATTCACATCATGTATGCTGGCTCTGTTTCAATGAATTTGGTTATGATGCTCTTTCTTGAACATCACTCTATAATGACCACACAATAACTCTCCTATGATATGAAATCATCATCATTTAAATATTATTGTGAATTGTAGGCAATTTGGCACTTGGTTCCATGTTGTATAAATACATTAAAAACAAGAACCCAAATCTCTATGACAAATGGAATGCTAAAAACTCAAACATTCATGCTCTCTTCAATGTGTTTGAACAATTCTCGTACCATCCATCCAGTGCCAAACAAGTACCACCACCTCCTTTTAATACCCTTTTGGATAGTAGAAGTTATTACATTTTCCATCAATTTCTAGAACAAAATCCAAACCTTCGATTACCAATGACATGGCTTATGAATACAAAACAAGATAGAGAGAGATATCCTGCTGTTGCTCAACCATTCAATGTCAATAATATTGATTTGAGTGTATTAACAAATTTCCTATTTGGAATTTCATCTCATGCGATTCATAGAAATGATTTTGAATTGAATAATCATCCCATGATTCAACAAATGATGTTAAATGCATCTGAAATTATTAGATGTGCACTCATGAATGATATTGAAATGGATAGACCTGATTTATCTTTGGTTTATTATCCAAGTGTTTATGATTTTTATTGGTTCATTTCAAGAACAAGTTTTCTCCTCAGAAACTCTAAATATAGTAACTCTGTATTGAGTACCATTTCGAATAGTTTATACAAATCATTGACCACCTATGTGACTCCAAAGATTATTAAATTGGCACAAAGCACAGAGAATGGCAAGAATGAATTTTATTGGGATGACTTTTTGGGTGATTTCAAAGACAAGAAATATGGTGAAGATCGTTTATTTTCAACCTCATTGGCACTCTCTGCACTTTTAGATACATGGACCGATGAATATCCTGTTACTACTACTCGTACTGCTGCTACTCGTACGACTCAGACCACTGAACGTGATCATGGTGGCAAGAAGACTACAACTACTGAACGTGATCTTTATAACAACATCCTCCAACAAGAATATCGTCGTCGTCGATACCATCCAAACACACCAAACACAGTCAAAGAACTCATCTCTGGTGGTATTTTGTATTTACAAGAAAATTTATTTTCCTTCATGGCAAGTCATGAGAATGCCTTCTTCTCAGGTTCAGTGAAAGGATCTTCTGATTATCCTTATTGGTATCCAAGTAATTATTGTGAATATTTAAATGGTACAAAAATAAGACCAGTGAATCAAGATGACATTACAAGTGAATTAATTGTAGGTGTTGAAGGAATTATTGAACCATCGAAATTGTATGATCAAATGTTGAAAGAGAAATGGTTTAATATGAGTGTTCCAACACAATTTCATGGTTTTGCCACTGAAGGTTTTCCATTTTGGTCAAGTCCTGCATTGACCTTATCCATGTCTCAATTGGTATTTTCTAAATGGTTGAATATGAATTGATCAACTCCATAGATGTTATGTTGAATAATTAATTTCAATGATTAAATATATAATCATTTGTCTTTTTCTCTCTTCACTAAGGGAATATGTTTTCTTTTTGATTGAAAATAAAAATGAAGAAACTTTGTGTCATTCGTGTTGTTGTTGGTTCCTCACCAGCAGCAGCAGCCTTGACCCTCAAAAAGAAACTCACTGTGGGCTACTGCTCATCACAGCAACATCTGAATTCATCATCTCTTGTACAATTGTTGTGGTCTTCACAAGTTCCACAACCATTGTTTTTAAACTCATTCCGAAATTTTCAAACGCTATCATCAAGAAATAGCAGCATTTCGAATGATACTAAATTCAAAGAACAACAACATGATGATACTTCCTCAACTGCTACTGCCACTTCCACCTCATCATCACCAACAACAGAACAAACCAGCTCCAGCACTCCACCCACAAAAAATGTAATTTCCGAAGAAGAAGAACCAATCACTTCCAATCATCGAAACAACCAAAGAAATACACCTCCATTGAAACGAAAAATTATTTCATCATCATCATCCTCATCATTCCATAAGCTTTCAAAGACATTGTTTTGGATTGCATTGACTACCGTTGGAACAGTCATCATCTTTTCTTTTTTATGAAACAAATTCTGAACGTTTGGATTATTATGTATCACCGACTAAAATCATGGAAAACAGAGAAGACTTCCCGCCAGACCGTAAAATTCGTGTTGGTGGTGTGGTGAAAGAGAATTCTGTTCGCCATCTTTCAGATGTCAACTTTTTGACTTGTTTTACCATCACTGATTTAAAATATGATATTGAGATTGAGTATAAAGGAATATTACCTGATTTATTTGAAGAAAATAGCACAGTAATATGTGAAGGATTTATGATGGGTCATAATAAGCTGAAATGCACCAATGTTTTAGCAAAACATGATCAAAGAAATGGAATGCCTCCTGAAATTGCGTATGAAGTTGAAAAGAATCGAAGAGAAATTGAAAGACGAAAATTATATGAAGAGCAACAACAAATGATGTCTGGTGAAGCTGTTTCTTCAAAATAGTGGTCTTTTAAATATTATTTTTCAATTATTAAAAACAGTACACGACAACTAGCTGTTGGGAAAGTCATGACATCACCGTTCAATGGTATTTTAATTGACATAGCATTACAAAATTCAGGGATGGGTTTATTCGATGATAAACGTTGTTCGATGGTTTTATGTACATTATTTACAAGCCGAACGTAAGATACCCTAGCAGGCACCCCGGAAGTAAAGGTGTTTAAACTGCTCACGATAACAGCAGCAACCCCTGGGATTCGAACGCTGGACCAGTTGGCTGCCACAGTTCCAGAAAAACCACTCGACCATATGCGGGCAGCATCGCATTACAAAAAAATGGAAAAATTCAAACGATACACCGATGAAGCCACAGGAGTTAATCCATTTGTTCCCTATCGCAAGAAACTATCGGATTCAACTCCAGCTGTACAGAAATTTCTTTTGAATCCTCTCAGAGTGGTTTTTCTCTCTCCAATTCTCTTTTTATTTAAATTCATATTAATTCTAATTTTTCTATTGCCATACATTGCCGTTCAATATATTTCAATCATCATTCCTATTTATACCATCAAGAGGCTATTACATCGATACTCTAGTATTTTGTGTTGTGGAGCTTCTTTATTTACATTATTAGGATTTAGTACCATCAAATCTAAACATGTTGATTTGGAAGGAAAAGAAAAGACGAATCATTCTACCACACTCAATCATGGAGATTTAATTATTTGCAATTATGTTTCATTCATTGAATTATTCTATTTGAATTACAAATACTCTCCCACATTTGCAATGATTGTAAAGAGTAGTATTGAGAATGGAGAAAGTAATTATGGTGTTCGACCTTGTGGATTCTTTTCTGCTTTAAGCTATACCTTCTTTGGCCAATTCAGTGAAACTCAAACCTATTCTGATTGTAAATCATTGCCTGAGATTGTAAAACAAGCAAAAGATTACAAACAAGGGCCTGTTGTTATTTTTCCAGAAGCTGTAACATCCAACGGAAGATCTGTATTGAAATTCCAAAATCATGTATTCCAAGATATGGAACAAGTATTGAGAGAAAATAAGAACTATCAAGTACGAGTGATTGGATTTAAATATTCATATGAAGAATACAGCCCTGCCTACCATCTTGGAAATTTTTGGTCACACCTCTATAAGGTGTTAACTCAATTTTACAACACTTTAAATGTAGCTCACATCTATCTCAATGCAGATGACATGAAAACTCTTGAACAAAGTAAGTTATCACATATTTATGAGATTAACTCATCTTTTTATTTGTTGTCATCAAGATTTTTCTGTCACTGCCATTAAAAAGCTTGTACTGCCAAAAGTGTTGGGTATTGTGTCAGTGAACTCATCTCCTCGAGAAAGAGAAAAGTTCTTGAAAGAGTGGAACAAGAGCGAAAAACATGATTAATTTGATGTGACCACTTTATCGCACCATATGGTAAATAAATGGCAAAGTTTATCAAGCTTTAGACAACTACACCAACTAGTTTTTTATTTGGCGAAAGAATGAACAACAATCGACTGATTGATTTGGAGACGTGAGCAAAAGTCTGGATTTAAGCGAATCTCCTCTGTAAGGATTTACTCTGTTTTCGCTCACTACCTTACTGTATCTGTTCTTTTCAATTATACTTGGTTGACAAGTCATGGTAGAACTTTTCAATCTTCTAGTTGCATCAATCTCGATGAAGAGTAAAGTAACGTATATTTTCCAAGGACACCTTCCAATTCTCTCATTGTGTCATCAAGAGCGAGCGATGATTCCAACAGCACATTACTTGTTGTTGATTGCTGTTCACGTTGTGAGATGATCACAAAGACACAAAAGTAAACTTACGTTCTGTTTGTGTGGAAATTCTTTCAAACTGTTTGGATCCACACCAAACTCAATAAGCTTCAAAGACATGCTTTCAATCCAGCGTCTATATTCTTGAAACTCCCGATCGCTGTGGTCTTTTTGGCGAAGTAAATCATCCTTGTCAATAATTATCTTTTTCTTTTTGAAGAAGATCATTGTGGAGTTTTTGAATTTGTTGTTTCAACTCCTCATTCTCTTTTCTCAGCTCTTCATTCTCTCTTAGTGTTTGTGATGTTGTTAAAACAGATTTTTCTTCAACGATACCATTCTCATCGCTCATGATTTCATCACTCTTAGAGGAAACTCCCAATTCTTCCATATTGAAACTGTTATTTAAATTATGATAATTTCCAGCAGAAGTGATTTTTGCTGTTGTCTGTGGCTTTTTAGTTCTGTTTTGATGAGAGAAAGATCCAGACAACGAGTTTCTATTGATATTACTCATATTGGTACCATTTGGAGGATTTGAAACTTGAGCTAGTGGAGTTCTACTCGTTGAGCTCTGAGTGGAAGAGTTTGGAATGGTATTGAAACCTCCGTTTAAAGCAGGATAAACAGAAGATCTCATGACAGAGCTCGTACCAAAACTTTCTCTTCTATTTCCAATGAACATGGATTGTGGAGTGGAAAGTGAAGACTTGGAAACATTGCTTGTTGTTGAAAGTGTTGTTGTCGGTGTAGGTGTGGTTTGGTTGTTATTGCCACTTGTTGATGAAGTGGTGTAGAAGGATGATCTTCTTCCTCCAAGAGAGGACGGAATGGATAAATTTGTCGGAAGAACGGAAGATCTAAAAGAATAATTGGATGATGAAGTGGTCGGCATTGTGTTGTTGTTGTTGTTGATATTATTATTGTTACTCAGACAGGACTGAACGCCTCGACTGTTCATCGATGATGAGAGAGAATAGGAGGAGTTGGAAGACATTTTTTTTAATTCTAAAAATTAACGGTCAGTAGTTTCAATTTTGGCGCCAAGGTTGCGACACGCTGATCTGACCTCTGAAACAGTTGAGTATCACTATTATTCATCATGATGATGAGCATGGAGGATCCTCCATCACAACAACTACTACCACCAAGGTGTGAATTGAAAAGGTTCTTTCAAAATCTTTTCACCCTTAAATGAATAACATGCAGAGAGTTCATTCTGTGAAGGAGAGTGTTGTTGTTGTTTCAACAGTTTTTCCAATTCTTCCAAAGCATTCTTTTCAAGTTCAATCAACATGTCTTCCTTTCGATAAAATCTTTCATAACACCACTCGGTGAACTGTTTCTCATCCTCCACTGGAATGTCCGCAATATCAATTTTCTTAATATTCACACAAATTTTGAGTCCACTCAAATTTTTCAAAAGTAAATCCGCGAAAGGAACCACAGGAAAGACACGTTGTTGTTGTTGTGGTTGTTGTGGTTGTTCTCGTTGTGGTTGAGTGTGATTTAAAAAAGAATATTTTGAATGTTCATACGCCTTAATGAATTGTCTTGTGGGAGGATATCCGAGTGTCACATCATAGACCCATTTCACACCTTTTGTATGCTTGCAAGTTTCTTTTTGATGTTTAATGGCTTGTAAAATCATTCGAAGTCCTTTCACACGAGGATAAACTACTTTGGAAAGTTCTCTCAAATTTCGTTCCTTCGAGAATTGAATGGAATTTTTTAAATTCTTTTCGGAAAGTCTTGTACCTTCTGGAAAGAGTGTAATGTAACATGGAATGTCATCTTTGAGAACGGAATTGACAGATTCTTGTAAATGTTGTTGATCTTGTTGCCAATTTCTATTTAAAATGATTTGACCTCCTAATAATAACGTGTGTGTCAATCCAATTCAAATGAGAATCATCATTGGTTGGTTATATAGGTCATAATTGGATTTAAAAATGTCATCATTAGACACGTGTCATAATATGGACATCCATTAAAATATTCCAAATTTAGAAATAGACACAATGAATTCATCATCATCCTCACTACTACTACTCTCTCCTACTTACCTAACAGCATGGCAGGGAATCCCAAAAATGGAATGTACACCAAATCCTTCTTTGCCAAATACTTTAAAAAACTTAACATTCCTTTTCGATAAGCAATTGCAGTCAATATTAAAAAATCAACATTACTCAAATGATTACTCATCATTAATGCATTTTCACCATATTCAATAACATCTCCACTAAACTCCAATTCCACATCTGCAAATACTTCTAACAAGAACACAAACCAATAAAAACCAAATCCAATCAATCCAATATTTAAATGTTTAATTTTCAATGCAATTCTTGAGTCAAGTCTTCCCAAGGTGTGAAGAGCTACAAAGAATACTAATTGTGGAATATTGAGAACGACAAAAATGTACAATAAAAACACAATGGTGAGAAGGATGGTCACGAAAATGAGAAAGACTTTGCGAAGAATTTGAAAGAGAATCGAGTGAATGAAAAAGGAACGAGGAAGAGAGGAGGCAATGACATTCGAAGGAGGTGAAGGATTGAGATCGGAATGTGATGATGATGAATTTTTGGTGGGTGTCATGATGAGAGAGATAATGGAGAGAGAGAGAGCAATGTTGTTGTTGTTGCTGATGGTGGTTCTTATTGTGATGAGAAACAATGGAATCAGAGAGAGCTGAATTCACGACAACGTCGGACACTTCTTGAGAGAGGATGACACTCAAAGAGTTCGATGATCGAAATTTTTTTCTCCTGAAATATGTCCAATGTTTGTGAGAACAGATCGAAGGGTGACAAGAAGAAAAATTCCGATCTCACAATATATTGTAAACTTGTTGAGTTTCGATGAAAAACACCTTTACTACATCATCTATGATGGAAACCTTGCGCGTGAAACTTTCACTAGTATAAAGTGATAAGCACCTTTAGCTCAGCTTGGAAGAGCATTGGCCTACGAAGCCAGGGGTCGCGGGTTCGAGCCCCGTGAGGTGTAAAAGAATTTTATATTTTCACTTTGATATCTGTTTGTTGACTGCTAACCTTGACACTAGATATTGTTTGAGAACCCAATAACGAAGAATTTCAGTCCATTGCTGAGTATTTATCACAGCATTTTCATCACAAAATCATAAATCACACTTGCTGTTGAAACAATTCCCAACACAAAACAAATCAATGCAATGAAAAAGGCAAACCATTTTTTGTATCGATTGGTCTCAAGTAAGGCATAAAATAAACATGGAAAGATGAACATGACAATCATTCCAAATGAGGCACCTGTGTTGAAACAGATTCAGCAATGAGATATTCAATGGAAAATGCAATAGACATTCAATAAAAAAATAAAGTGTGCAAAGGAACATGGTTTCGTCACCACCGGTAAATATTCACTTACCAGTTAAACCAAAAATGGTCACCAAATCAAAAGGTATCAACAATGTCACTACAATCAGAATTGCAAATACCAATGCCTCAACAATCCATCTCACGTATGAAAATGGTTTCTTTGGAAATAATAAATGATCCAAAGTCTCTCTCAGAGGAAAATGTACGAGTGGATAAGCCACACCTGAAAGAATAATCATTGAAAATTTGGCAAAAATAATCCAAATACTTGTTCGATTTGGAAATGAATTTAAAATATTATCTCGAATTCCAGAATCTCCAAATTGAATATATCCAAAAATTCCTGCAATTAAATAACAGGTTAAACAAATCAATGAAGCACCATTCACAATATGAGACATTTTCTTTTGAGATCTATTTTTCAATTCTAAATAAATTGGAATTAAGGTAATGGAGTTTCCAAATGAAAAAAATAAAATTGGAAATGCCACAAATAATTGGAAAATATTTTCAGGAGTTTGAAAGAGAAGAATGGAATGATCCAATCTCTTATCAAGTGAGGGTAATTTGATGAAAAATCCAACTATAATCACCAATAACACATACACCACACAAATCACTGCAAAATAGGAAGTGAAAAATAAAAAACCAATTCTCTTCAAACACGTTAATGGAAAGAGTATTAAAACAGTGAGAAAAAAATTAAAACTACGTGAAGAAAGAACTTGAAAAACACCATTACTACCGTCATTACCACCACTCCCATCACTACTAAGCATGATTTTAAACAATCCTGCCGAATAATCTCCAACAATGGAAATATATCCCACAATGACTCCAAAACAAAATACAATGATTAATAAATCAATCATAATACCAACATAATGAGAGTGTTTCTGTTTTTTAAATAAGGATTGAAATGCTTTCATTCCAATTCTCTTAAATGTATATTCTTTTGAAATTTCACAGGCTCGAATGAGAAAGTGAGCTGCCAATGTGGCAATGATACAAACTAGACACAAAATGATAGAACCTAACACCACACCTGATTGATGAAAGGAAAAAGGAATGGCAAGAATACCTGCTCCAATGGTGGAGTTGCTCACATTGAATAAGACAGAGAGAGATGAAGATTTTCCAGGAGGAGGTGGAAGTATTGATGCATTATTATTATATTCAGAATCTTTGAGTAGTTGTTGTGGAAAGTTGTGTTCATGTCTGTCTTCGAGACATGTTTCATGTTGATCGTACGAATAGTAGTTGTTGTAAGATTTGGAAGTGTGATGTGGTTTAACAAGTAGAGGAGAGGATTCATTGCTTACAAGGGAGGGCAGGCAATGTTTGGTCAATTCTTGAGATAGATATTCATGATGGATCGTACTTTCTTGATTCAATATTGAACAATCATTCGGGGTGGTGATGGTGGTGCATTGATGGTGCCAATGATTTTAATTCACTTTCATGTGAAGAAGAAGAGGAATCTCTAGCAGTATCTTCCCGAAGAGGTGGTTCAGAGGATGTTTGCCAGCATGATGATGGCGGAAAGGAATGTTTGAACATTTTTTGAAAGATCTTTTCGAAAGCTGTTGTTGAAGATTCAGAGGGTAAGAAAAATCTGTGAAATCTGTCAGCATGAGGTCTGATGACGACACTCTCAATGATCATCCTCGTCATGAAATTACAAAAGATCACTAGATCACCTGATTCGAAGTGAAAGGAAAGGAACTGAACGTTATTTGTTTATGGCCCTTCAAAACCTTCACCTGTCATTCCAACTTAAACTCATCAAAAAAAACGCAGGTGATTTGAGAGAGAGCTGCTACCAATCGACCAACAATACAGCATCGTCTCCATCATCATCATCACGAATCATCATTTCGAATTACGTAATTCCGTGTGTATTGTTGTGAATATTTAAAAACTCTCCCATCTAGATTATTTATATATTGTCATCATCAATAATCGAAAATGTCACTCGAAGACAATTCAAATCCAATGGAGAACACCAAACAGCGTCTCAAAGTTCTCAATTCATACATGGTTGAAAGTAATCAGCCAACCATTGAAGCATCCTCTGATTATATTAGTTATGAGACTGGAGCATTTACGAGTCCAATGTATTTGGCTGATCGAGATGGATATGCGACACGATTTGCAAAGGAAGCAGAAAGTATACAGATATTGGTAAGTTTCTGGATCAGTTGTTATTGTTGTGGAGTTAAATTTGATAACGAATTGTTATGCGGTTGGTTGTTGTTCACATACACATACACACAACGGATGATATCATTCTGTTCTTCAACTACTACCATCGTCATCACACCCCTTCACAAACATCCATTTAAATTTACTCGTGTAACGACCATCATCACCACCACCACTAACAACAAACGACCATTACCATTATCGCTACTACACATTTCTCTCCAACAACAGCAAGAAATCAATGAACGAGGTGAAGCCTTCATTCATACTCTCTACACCTATCGTTCCATTTCACGTGCTCTTCCACAAGTACAAGCCGATGCTGATAACAAGGCTGAACTCTATCGTAAATTCTTTGATGTGTTAGAGCCTGAGATTCGTAAAATTAGAGATTTGATGGCATTCCATAATGAAACAGTCAAAACACTCACTCGAATCATTGTAGAAATGGTTTCTAATGAGAAGAGAAAGGAAATTCCAAGTGAGACCATGTTTGATTACTTGATTCAAGTCTTGGATACCATTCTCAAATTGGATGCTCTCAAGAACATGAAAGCAGCCATCAACAACGATATGGCCACCGTGAAGAGAGCCTCACAATTCATGGATAAGAGTGGACTCACTCCAGAACAATTGAATTTCTTGGATACAAAGAGTGAAGAGAATGCCCTTCTCTATTCCTTCCTCTCTAATAACAATTCAATTATATCCGGTCTCAAAGATGCTCTCATCAAGAATGCAGGCTATGAGGACATTATCATTCTACTCATTGAGAGATGTGCTGATAATTTTGAACAAGGACAATATCTATTCTGTGATCAGAAACACTCATTGCTTCGTGTATTGGTATTTGGTATCTATCTCATTGATAACAAGGATACCTCCAAGAATAATTATTTGAAAAAGATTGGAAGCAATTCCTTATCGAGATTTTACAAATTATTTAAATCCTATCCAAATATTCCATTGTATGGTGATATGACCTTCTCAATCAAGACTGTACTCAAGAATTGCCCAAACTTGTCAGAAAAGGATTGGATACTCACAGCAAAGGAAGAGGAACAATTGGCCAAACAATTCCTGCTCATTCATCGTATTCCCAAAATGCGATACGATTTCCAGACCTTCACAAAGAGTTACAAACTTCATATCAATCGAATGAAGAAATTGATCAAAGACTCTCCAACCAATCAAGAATTGCTCACCATCATTCCTCAACCCGTACGAGAGAAGGCTAAGGAAATTACTGAACAAGGCTTGAGATTGATTGCTTCATGGACCACCGCTGTGTTGGAACAATGTGCATGGAAATACTCCCATCCTATTGAGGACGAACAGGCACGTCAAATGAAACAACGCCAAGAATCTGATGATAATTTGAGTGTTCTTTTGGAATATGAGCGAGTGGTTCGTTTCAATTACGATAAGGATGAGCGAAGTGCATTGGTCGATGCCATCTCCATGATCAAAGGTCTAGAGAATATCATGTTGCAACAAAATGCCATGATGGCTCCATTGATTCGTTCCGAAATCCACTATCAACTCCAACAATTCATTCAAATGGATTTACCAGAGTTGCTGTACCACACCAAGAATAAGCAAAGACCCATTTTTCCAACCGTACTCGAATTGCGTAATTTGGCGGGTGATTGGCTTCAAGACCCACCACAAGAAATCACCAAACCCAACAAAAAGAAGGGTGAATCTTCTGTGGATTTCCCAAAGAGAATTGTTGGTCCATCATTTACACAGCTTCACATGATTCGTTCCATTGTCTCAACCTTGTACTCTGAGAGAAGTCCAGGTATGCAAAAATCAGGTATCTTCTCCAAGAAGGACTTTAATGATTCTCATGTTGAAATTCTTCGTGATTTCTATAACAAGACCTACATGTGGAATTACTTGTTGGCCTACTCTACCTCATTCAGACGTGCAGCTGATTTGGCCGATTTATGGTATCGTGAGTTCTATTTGGAAATTTCTAAAAAGATTCAGTTCCAAATTGAAATGTCCTTGCCTTGGATTCTCACCGAGGAAATTCTCAAGAGAACCAACAGTGCACTCATGGAGTCAATCATTTATCCAATTAATATTTACAATGACGCTGCCTATCGTGCACTCTTTGTATTGAAACGTAGATTCTTGTACGATGAAATTGAAGCCGAGGTGAACTTGGTGTTCGATCAAATGATTTACAAATTGAGTGAATCCATTTACAAACACTACAGAACAGTGGCTCTTGGAATTTTGTTGGACAACAAATTGAGAGTTCCATTAGAGAAGGACCCCAATGTCAAGTCCAATTACAATTTCACATGCAGCAAATTCGATGTTTTGCTTCTCCAAAAGCACATTAACATTTTAGGAAGATATATCGATTTGAATTACATTATTACACAACGTATGAACATTAACATTAGAGAAAATATCTTGGCTCTCATTAAGAAATTTGAGTCTCAAGAATTGACTGGCATTGTTGAGTTGGAAGTCATGTTAGAAAGTGTTAAAATCACACACCAACTTCTTTCAAGACATTTGGCTTTGGACTCTTTTGAAAGTGTCTTTGCTGAAGTCAATGATAGCACCAGTGTGGTTTCATTTGAGAGTCGTATTGCAAGACACATTTTGGAAGAATTGGTGATGGACTTCTTCCCTAATTATTGTTTCAATACAGTCACTCATCGATTCGTTCGTAGCAAATATACATACAGTGACTTGGAATACAAGAGAGAGAATTATAAGATTCGTTCTTTGCATCAATATGTTACTGCTAGCTTCTCTGAGGCATTTATTCCTCTCTTGGATCAATATAAGGAATTTATTGGTCGACCTCATATGGAGAGTATGATTCGTTTGGTCGGACAGGAATCTCTTGCTCTCATTATTGAATCAAGTATTACTTATATTGAAGACAAACTCTACAACGACATGTCTCCATATATTGGTGCCATGATGGAAGCCATTCCTCCAAAGATTACTCTCCAACCTGCTGCCTACAAACTCATTGGTGTCTATGCCTACTTTACGGCTCAATTTAGAGATTTCTTGGAATATGAAGATTTGAAGGGAGGTGTGTTCCAAGCCTTTAGATCCATTGGTAATTGTATTTGTTTCTTGCTTTTAATTGATTCAAGCATGATGCCTCAAAACATTGCAACCTATATTGCCAGTGCTCCATTCTTGGGTATTCGACCATTGACAAAGGGTGCCAAACAAAAGAGAGCTGAGAAATTACAAGAGGAGATGGACTCTGAGGATGATTTTGCTCAACAACAAGAACAAACACGAAATACTTTATCAAGAAAAGGCTCTCGCTACGGACTCACTAGCGAACACTTAATGTCTGAAGATTTACTTCAACTTCAAAAAATTACCGATTATTACATTCGTAAGGATGTGGATCATGCTCCATTGACTTCTACCATTGCTCAATTCGTGAATGACCCTCAGGTTCAACAAAATATTCATGCTCCAGAATTGTCCAAGAAGTTGACTGAACAAGCAACTCGTGCCGTGAAAATGTATCAACCTCCTCGTGAATTGTTGTCCCTCTTCAAACAATTCTTGGAGAGAATGAGTGGTTTCCTTTCAAACGTAAGAGAGTCATGGAAGGGTACTTCACCTCCTGATCGTTTGCAAAAGTTGGACTCTTCCAAAGAGTTTTATCGTTTGTGGGGTGTTTTGCAATTCGTGTTTTGTATTCCTCCTGAAGTTGCTAATGAGCCAAGCGATTTTGAAGTGTTCGGTGATGGTTTCTTCTGGGCTGGTTGTACGATTGTCTACTTGTTCCAACAACATTTGAGATTTGATGCTTTCAACTTTTCAGATCACGTCTTGAATATTTCAAACATCTCCAAGGAAGGTATGGAGAAGTTGAAGCCTTTCCTTAACAATGCCCACATCATTCGTTCCATCAACAACCGTGTATTCAATTGTCTTCGTTCATATTACCCACTCGTTGATAACACTCCTGATGATTACACTCCACCAACAGATGAAGACTTTACCAAGGTGAGAGTGGTGGCTACGGTATCCACAGACAATACTTCTTCCTTCTCTTCTTTCAGACAATCACCTGCAAGTAATAGTAATACCATGTCACCATCATCCTCATACTCGCAACAACCACCTCCACCACCTCCGTCTCAACCAATTTACATTGATCAAGGTTTTGAGGCGAACACCTATTCGTCATCTCCATCTTCATCCAATTCTCCAAGTTTCGGTGTACCTCCTCCACCACCAAAAACTGAGATACCTCCTCCAGTGAGAATGGGAGGTGGTGTTCCTCCTCCTCCACCAAAAGGTTATTAATAAGACACTTACGAAAGAGCCATCTGTACGATAAAAGTTGATGAATTGCAATAAAGAAGACATAATTTGTTATGAAAGGCTTGTTTCCAGCAAATTTAAGAATCAAAAAAATGCCTTCTCAAGCACCATCTCAGTCGCAGCGACGAGAGTTTAGAACATCATCACAACGAAATTTTGTGGAAACCGATGAAGACGGTGTTCAACCAGTGGCAAGAGCATCCTCTTCTTCTCCCGAAGAAGTGATGGATGAAAAAGATATTTTACGAATTTTGATAACAACGGACAACCATGTCGGATTTAATGAACGAGATCCTGTTCGGAAAGATGATTCATTTATCATTTTCGAAGAAATAATGCAATATGCTCATAAATATAACGTCGATTTTGTTTTACAAGGAGGAGATTTATTTCATGACAACAAGCCTTCACGTGATACTCTCCATAAAACTATTTCCATTTTGAGAAAATATGTTTTCGGTGATAAACCAGTTCCATTGCAAATTCTAAGCGATCAATCTGTAAATTTTAAATCGAATCCTGGTGGAACTGTAAATTATGAAGATCCAAATGTGAACATTTCTCTTCCCATATTTGCAATCAGTGGTATGTATATGATTTGTTGTGGTCAATAGCTTATTTTTATGATCATTAATAGGCAACCATGATGCATGGTCTGGGGAAAACAGTCTGAGTGTATTAGATGTACTTTCTCAATGTAATCTAATTAACTACTTTGGAAAATGTGAGACTGTTGATCAAATTCAAGTCAAGCCCATTCTCATTCAGAAAGGAGAAACCAAGCTTGCATTATACGGACTAGGGTATATCAGAGATGAACGTTTATATCAAACATTCAAAAATCAGAAAGTAACTTTCTTTAGACCTGCAGGAGAAGATAGCCAAAATGCAAGTGAATGGTTTAATTTGTTTGCCATTCACCAAAATAGAAATCAACATCACAATAAGAAGGGTAATATTAGTGAGAGCATGTTGAAAGGATTTTTCGATCTGGTAGTGTGGGGCCACGAACATGAACAGCAAGTTGTTCCCACAAGAAGCGTTTCAGGAGGCTTTGAGGTGATGCAACCTGGCAGTTCAATAACAACCACATACACTCCACAAGAGGCTAAACCAAAGAAGGTAGCTGTTTTAGAAATTTATAAGGACACATTTAGAGTCATTCCTATTACTCTTAAAACTGTCAGACCATTTGTATTCGATACAATATCTCTCTCAGACTATGAGGATGATTTAAAACATATCAAGAACAACCCTGAAGAAATTGCCGATTTTTTAAAAGAGCATGTCACTCAATTGATCAAACAAGCAAGAGAAGAAAAGTTGAACAACTTTGAAAATGATGAGGAAGCTTTGACTGAATTGAAGAACTATTGCAAGAAATATCCTGGATTGGATTTACCTATTGTTAGATTAAGGGTTGATTATAGTGGTGGTTATGCATCCATTAATCCTCAACGATTTGGTCAAAATTTTGTTGGAAAAGTTGCCAACCCATCAGATTTGTTATTGCTATCGAGGAAAAAATCAGAAAAGGCAGATGCTGCGGTTGTTGAAGATGATGATGACCAAGAAAAAGTATCTGAAAAGAAGAAACGAAGCAAGGAACAATTATTAACTGCTCTGATCAAAAATGATAATAATGAAGAGTTTGCAGATGCGGCAACTGATGCCTTAACTGATGGTATTAAAATAGAAGATTTAGTTTCTCACTATCTCAGAGAGACAAGTACAAAGAAATCAGGTATTGCTGGACTTCTAGTTCTTAACGAATTTGAGTTTCAGAATTCTGTGGTTGACTTTGTAGAAAAAGAAGAACTTCATGCAATAGATGACTTTGTCACTAACGATATTAAGACAAAGCAAAAAAAATTGTGGTCAGATCTGAAGCAAGCACTAAAACAATCAGACAAGGATTCCCTCACAGAAGAAGAGTTAGAGGCCTACTTGCAGAAATACAGAGAAGAAGCAAGGGCCAATTTTGAATTGAATAGAGATAAGATCATAGGTGATCGCCTTTTAAAAAAGGCTTCAAGTTCTGCAGATGGCGATCATGACGAAGAGCAAGAGGAGGAGGAAGAAGAAAAGCTATCAAAAAAGAAAACTTCTCGTAGGAAGAAGGCCGACAGCGAAGAGGAAGAGGAAAAGCCAAAAAAGCGAACTAGCTCAAGAAGTAAAAGAAAGTGGAAGAAGAGGATGAAGAGGAAGAGAAACCAAAAAAGAAAGCTACAAAACGAAAAAAGAAAGATAGTGACGAAGAGGAGGAAGAGGCACCAAAGAAAAAAACGACTAGAGGCAGAACAACCAAATTGAAACCAAAATTTAAAGCCATTGACGATGAAGTAGTTGAGGAGGAACCACCTAAAAAGAAGACTACACGAGGAAGACCAAAAAAAGAAGGTAGAAGATGAGGAAGAAAAGCCTAAGAGAAGAACAGCTGCTAAGAAAAAGGTCGTTGATGATGAGGATGCAATTGTTATTGATGATGAGGATGAATAAAATTAATGTTTATTGGAGTCGGGCAGTTCATTTCTAAGAAATGATCATATCATCAATTATCCTTAATCTTCTTCAATATATCCGTATTTTACAAGATTTCTATACTTGTCTCTCAAACTCAAACTATCTCGAACCGGATTGAACATTTTCTTATAGGTTGCTAATATCTTAGCCCAATTTCCTCCAAATCTCTTGTAGCCAGCTAACAATGCATCCACCTCTTCTTCGGACCAAAAAACCTTCTTTTGTCTTGGTTTAGAGCTATCACTAGTGATCTTCTTTGGTTTTTTCTGAGCAGGTTTGTGGAAAAGTACTCGTTCAGTATCTTCCTCATCTGAATATTCTTCAAATACATTTGTTGATGTATCTCCTTTTTGTTTCTTAGATGGGGATTGTTGTGACCTCAAATGTTGCTTAACAGTTGCCTTAGGTGGTACTTTAACAGGTGGTTCTTCTTCAGAATCTGATGCAAGTTCTCTATTAACTTTAACTTTCTTAGCATCAGAGTGTCTTTCATTCAATCTTCTAGGTTGTTTTTTCTTTGGTGTTCCAACTTCTGATAGAGCCAAGGTGAGAAGCTTCTTTTGTACAGGTTCAGATTTTCTCTTAGCAATGAATAAATTAGTATCCTCTTTCACAGGATTTCCTAGTGCCATTGCTGTACATGGTTCATTGAATTGTTCAAGAGAATCAGAGTGAATTGGAAGGTTTGAAATTGATGTTCTTCGAGCAGATGCATGACCATTCATAGACTCAGACGAACTAGCACCACCACCACCACGTGGAGTGGATGTAATAGATTTCTTTGGACTTGTACGCACAAAAGATGGTTGTTCTTGATTTTCTTGTTCATGCTTCTCATAGTCTTGTAAAATTGAATAGAGTTTTGGTGGTTGAATGTAATTACCCAAAATGTTAATATACTTGACAATGGACAATAAACAAGAATATCTTTCTTCGTAATTACTTTCTTCTTTAAAAGCTTTCCACCATTTGTTCAGCTTTTTCATGTAGGCTAGAACAGTGAATGAAGCATTCTCAAAGATGCGAGCAAAATCATCTTTTCTGTTCTGAATGAGAGAAATCACCTTTTCCACACAAGTTTCGATCAAATTCAAGCGATCATTCAAATCTTGTTCGTTTGTTATTTGTTGTGAGGTTTCGTTGAGCATATTGATCACCAATCTCACCTTAACATTCAGAGAGTTTGTATCGAAGGGAAGGCTTTTAAGCAATTCATCAACCACAGAATCAATACGGCGGTACAATAAATATTCAATAACCAGTGTATTGATTTGAACAGATAGAGAAGATTCCGTAGAATCTTCGTCCGATGATGATGCTGTTAATTCTTGTTGATGATGATGATGACGATCGGTTTGTTCTTGCGGATTGCTTGGGTTTGTCATGTCAAAAAAAGGCTTGGGTTTTAATGGGTTTAACGGCAATTTTTTTGGCGGTGTGGGTTTAAGAGGAAGAGTCTGCTGGAACGTTTTTTTGTTCAAAAATTTTACAAATAAGAGTTTATTTGGAGGAAGATTTGCTTGAATGAGGGGTGGCATTGCTTCCGCCGTTGCTCTTTTCATGGGTCTGGCTTGTTTTCTTTGGTGTTGCAAACACTTCACGAGGAGAGTCACGCGATGAAGACTTGGAGGTATTCGAAGATGAAGAAGAAGCACTCTTGCTTCCCTTATTGCCGTTGGAATTTTCATTAGGAAATGGAGGAGACGATACAGAATGAGCTTGGAATTGCTCAGCTAGGGCTTCAAACATCTGTTTGTGTTGTGTTAACTTATTGACTTGATCTTGAAGAGGTGGAATGTGTTGTCTCAAGTATGAAGCTCTGTGTCCCATCAAATCTCTAAGTTTATCTGCACCCATATTCGAAAAATGTACTCTGATATTGTTGTCCATATTCGTGAATATTGGATCCAAAAAGAATGCGTTGAACTTGGCTCGAATATACTTGACAAACATTGCTCTTACACCTGCAAATAATTGTGCAGCAGCTCTCTTAATTTTCTCACATTTTTCTTCAGTAAGTTCTCTTCCCTTCAATTGGTCGAATATGACATAAAGAGAATCATTGGATTCCTCAAGTGCAACTTTGACACGTTCAACAGTATCTTCTTCTTTTGGATGCAATAAGTCATATTCAGGTCCTTTCTTTGGTGGTTGTGCCGAAATTAAATCCCAATCCATGATCTTTACAAATGTTTCGAATTCATCTGAAGTCTTATTTCTAACATCTTTGATGATTGATTCAATAAATTCTTCGCAAGCTTTGTAAAGTTCATTCGAAAATGCCTTGTATCTTTGAGATAATGAATTATTCTGAAGCATATGACGAATAATTAATTTGAATAACTGTTTCATGACGAACTTGCTTCTAATCAATAGGCAATCAATTAGTGGTTTGAACACAGCTCTACATTTCTTTTGAGCTAAATCAGTTACTCCTCTAATATAATCTGGGGATGTATGCATTGGATTGACACCAATAGAAACAGCAACTTCGTCATTTGATGTTTGAGGAAATTCTTGAGCAAGAGAAACCACTTCAAATTCAGATAATAATCTTTCTAGTTGAGCACCTCCATAAAGTTTAAAGTTTCTATTTCTAATTGGAAGTTTCTCTTGAAGCTGTTGTGAAAATCCAGGCCATTCTTGTCCAGATTGAATTCTTTCTTCTTCAAGGGTTAGTCCATTCTTTAGAGTATCAAATTGATTTGTACCATTCAAGGCTTTCACAAAGTTTGTCATAAAAGCGCCAATCATGTGTGTTACTTGGGCTTCAATGTTCTCCTTCTCAATTTCTGCTAATTCATTCGTTGCAGCGTCTAATGATCGTTTTCTCTTTGACAAAGAGTTCTCAATATTGTTTAGCACTGGAGAGATATTCTCTACATATTTTTCATTTAACATTCTTTCAAGATGTCTCTTCAAATTAAAGAATCCAATTTGTGGCTTATACTTTTGTTCATCAAATCCAACCTTTGCAAGTTTCTTGTAATCCTTAAGATAAGTATTGATAATTTCATTCTTGAATTCTTCCTCTGCTAGATTACGAGTACCATGTCCAGATGGTAATGAGATATAGAAAACCTTAGAGAGATCTGGAATGTGTCCATCCGTAGCTAAGTAATCATTTGCTTCTTTTGCATCTCTAAATTGATTATTCCTATTATTGAATTTTGTTACAACAAATATGGTTCTTTCATAGTTTGGATCTACTTGCTTAATTAGAGGTCTAACTTGAGTATTGCACCATTCAACAGTGGATTGTTCTAATGCAATAATAATTCTGTTTTGAGGTTTGATGGTATTCATAACAATCTTATGAATTCTTTCTGCAAGAGGATCTTGTTCACCTTTTCTAAAACCTGGAGTGTCAAAAATTGTTAAATTTGCACAATATTTGTATCTGACACGAAGTACAATTGGTCTAGAGTTGACATTAGATTTACCACAAAGATCTTCTGTTCTTTTTCTAATTTCTTTTTCGAGATCTGGGACAGGAGTGGGTTCTTCTTCAATCTCTGATGGTGTAGCTTCTTTGAAAAAGTTGCAGATAGGTTTTTCTGCACTTGGATCGTTAGTCATTTGTAGAATTAGTGGTCTTCTTGTTCCAATTTGTGTATCAACTGTATTAAATTGGAATCCTAGCAATGCTTCAACAAAAGAACTCTTTCCATCGGATTGCATTCCGACTACAACAAGTTCAGGTGCTTCGAATTTCATTTTGTGTTCATTTACAACAGTTTGGAGATTGTTGAAGGCTTCATAGAGTTGCTTATTGTCTTTCGAATTACCCTGCAATTGAGAAAGTAAAAGTTGACGCTCCTTTTCAACCTTTTCTGATAATTGTTGTTTGTCTATAGCCGCTGTAACCTTCTTCTTTTGTGCAGAGGGAGGTTGAGCCTTTTTATCAGTAGAAGATGGAGTCTTCGAAGGTGAAGACACAGATTTTGGATTTGGTGATGACGGGGCATTATCGAATTCTTGAGAACTCAATTCAGTTCCGAATGAGCCTCCGAGGTGAGGTTGAGCTTTGTTAATGGTTTGACTAGCGGTACTCTCTTCATGATGATCGTCCAACATGGCATCATCCATTGGCTGGGACAATGAGCCTGATGTCATATCGTCGAACGTTGATGATAAATTTAATTGATGATCGTTTGACGAGACTGGTGGAGGGGAGAATGAAATATCATCATCGAAATAGGATGAGGCTTGCTTGACCTTCTTGCTCTCGGAGTGATTTCCGTTTGGAGCTTCTTTTCTCTTCATTCTGGCGTGATGAACTACGTAGTGGGTGTTTTTTTTTGATTTGAAAAAATTCAAAGTCGCTTTTGCGCCTTCCAGTTTTTGCCAGAATATTTTGCTTCCAATTTTCGCAAGAACACTGAGTGAGGCTTCTCCTGTAAATAAGGGAGAACACTGAGTGAGGCTTTCGTGAAAATTGGAGCGCTTCATGAGGCCCATCAAACCTGCAGTTCTCTGGCCTCTGCTGCATGGAGGAAGCTTCTTCGTGGGTCATTGATGAAGAGGAACGTATTCCCAACCTCAAACTTCAACAGAACTAATCCGAAGAAGAGTGATTGCTGTTTCGCATGCCAATTCTACCATATGTTGTTTGACACGAGAGTCCTCAAGAAGGAAACGTTCAAGCACATTCTCAACAATAACACTCTCATGAGAGCCGCTCATATTGGCAAATAAATCAATTCCGAAAAAACAGCCTTCTTCCTTATGGTCATCAGTGTTCTTCTCGCACTGATGTTTTGAATATTCTCTTTTGAGTCGTAATAGATCATTCTCTCGAGACGATTCGAAGGATGAGGATTGAAGGATCATTCGGGGAAGGCTCAGAATGCAATCACTAAACACCTCTGAAACACTCGCAGGAAGTTGAGAACTCTCTTGTCCAGTGATGTCTGACCATAACTGAAATTCGATATGGCATCCACCACCACATAAAAAGTGTTGATGAGGAGATGGCATATGGTCACTCCACACAGCTTTATCCAATAATGAGAAATGATTCTTAATCACTTCATAGGCGTCTTTGAGTGATCGTTTGGTTTCCTTTACAATGGTTTTGGATGGTCCTCTCAAAACAAAGTGAAACATGTCTTGGCATGTATTTGGAATACAAATGAACAGTTCTTGAGAAATGCATTGAATACTTGGACACTCCTCGCTGATTGGAGTGGTTGGAATGGCAAACAATTCTTCACCACTAATTTGAGACACTGAACCCACTTTTAGAACTGGAAAATCAATGCATAGACTTATTTGATTCAACAATTTAGGATTCATGTTATCAAAAATAAATACAGAAGAGTTATTATGATAGGAGATGTGGAGATGAGGAAATGTTCCTTCCATTAATATTATGATACCACTATCAGACGTGGATCCAATTTGAAAAATAGATTTCCATAATGTTCTTTCAAAATTGTTCACGTTTTGATTTTTTCTGCTGAGTAATAAAATTTTGTTGCACTTATGAAACCTTGATTGAAGATTTTGAGAATGATAAAATTTTGAAGAAAAGGATGAACTTGTCACGTTACAAAATAATCCTCTAAAACCAAAACTATCACTCAATTGTCCTCCTTCGATACAATGAAATTTTCTTTGTTTTGGTACCTTTTCTCCATGAGCAAAGCAATCGATAAGAAGAGTTGAAAAGTGATTTACCATATATCGAATGTCTTTGGACTGTAGTGAATTTTTAGCCATGTGAAAGATGGAATCCTTATCCGAATAAATCAAACGAGAAATCTTTTCGCTTTCTAATAATCTCATTCTTTCAAATGATTTCACACAAATGTTCTTTAAAATAAATAAATAATTGCAAATAACATCCAATGGTAATAATTGTTTTAAATGCAAATCTTCAATACTTCTCAATACAAGCTCACAACATAATAAAATGACGCCTGTTGTTCCATCTCCAGCTCGTTCCTCTTGAGTTTTCGATAAATCACACAAAATTTTTCCAATTGGATTTACAATTGGTAGTGATCGTACAAGTGTTGCTCCATCATTGGTGTAAATCATTTCTGGATGGATGTGTTGATGATACTTTACAATTAATTTATGGAATGACATGGGTCCGAAACTTGAATGCAGTAAATGTTTTAGCTTTTTGCATGCGTCCAAAATGATTGGAGCGCTCGAAAGAGAGGACAGACTCATTTTTTAAGAATGACGAAGAGTCTTCTTGTTTCCTCGTCTCATCCTCTTACTTCAATATTTAGATCATCAACATTTTCATAAACAAAGCATTCAAAACACGGCGTTAATTACATCCACAATTGGATCCAGTCCTCCTCTTAAAACATTTTGTGTTCGCAACAATCATCCAAGAAATGAGAAAATAGCCAATGGAAATTCCTCCGATTCATTCCATCTGTTGACCAGAAACTTCCCTCTTTTTTTTCTTAACATTGGAATTTCCCAAAAACGATACCCATTCCAGAAAGCTTCTTCAAATAAAACAAGATCTTTGCTATTGCACATTTTCCTCATCAACCATGTGCATGGGAGAGATTCAAGCCCCGATCTATGTATTTGCTTATGGTTCGTTGATATGGCGGCCAGGTTTTCCCTATGAATCAAGTTTCTCGGGATTCATCAAAGGCTTTCGGCGACGGTTTTGGATGCAAGATACCTTTCATAGAGGACATATAACACAACCTGGCAGAACACTAACAATATTAAGAGAGGAGGATTACAATCAATTAATTCAGAACAAACAACACACCAGCGTGGAAGTTGTCAACAACAATAACAACAAGGGTTTTATTATCAATGACTGTTCATGTCAGCATCAACATTACTTTCAAAGACACTCAAGCTCGGTTCTTCTTGAGGAAGATGAAAATGATTTGAGGGTTTGGGGAACCTGTTATAAAATTCCATTTGAACATGCAGAAAAAGTCATCAAAGATTTGGACTATCGTGAATTAGTAGCAGGCTACCACAAAACCTATGTGTCTGTTTATGTGTCTGATTCGATTGTGGCATGTAGGAAGGCCATTGTCTATTATTATAACCCGTTTGAAAAAGAGGAAAGCGCCGAGATATCCTCTCCTTTTGTTGGACCTGAGAATTTATGTTGCACAGCAATGCTCATCGCAAGGTCTTTTGGTCATTCTGGACCTAACAGAGATTATCTTTATCGCTTGCATGAGCATTTGCCAATACTTGACAAGTATATTGGTGCTTTGGTGGAATGTGTTCGATCCATTGAATCTCACTATCCAATGAATAATTCGATACAAATGGTTTTAAGAACAGAAGAATATAAGGGAAAAATTTACATTGATCAAGGTGCCACCTCTGCCCTTAGCCAAAAAAGTAAGAATTTATTGGCATGTGGCATACGGAATGTATTTGGGGAATTTGAACAAGATGACATTGTGGTTGTGGTGGATTGTCATACCAACAAAGTGGTGGCCAAAGGTTTCTCCAACTTGAGCGCTGCTGACATTCGAATCATACAAGGAAAGAATTCAAAGGCACTTGGCCAAGAATTTCTCAAGAACCCATTGTTGAATGCATCAAATTTGAGTCATTCTCGTGCTCCACATGAAGTCATCAGTAAATCACGAATGATCCTGCTGTAAGTGCTAATGATCAAATGAAGAAACAACTTTTGAGCTAATTGAAAAAGATTCAAAGAATCTTTTTTTCTGTTCGTTCATGTTTGTTGTTGAAGGGATCGATTGCTTGCTGAAAAAATGTCTCAACAACAAACCCAACCACAAGATAAAACGAGCAAAGACTATTACTTTGATAGCTATTCTCACTTTGGTATGTTTTGATATCGGGTGAAGCTTGTTACCTTTGAAATATTTTCATTATTTGATGAATTGTTTTTGATGAACGATTTTCATCATGATTTTCAACAACAACAACCAACAACAGGAATTCATGAGGAGATGCTCAAGGATGGTATAAGAACCAATGCCTACAAGAATGCAATTCTCCAAAACAAACATCTTTTCAAAGATAAGGTTGTTCTTGACATTGGATGCGGAACAGGTATTTTGTGCCTCTTTGCAGCAAAGGCTGGTGCCAAACGAGTGATTGGTGTAGGTTTTTATTGTTTGTTATTGTTTTTTGAATGAATTATTTATTATTATTGAATGGTTTCATCGGATGAAAATACTTGTTCATCATTGGGTGATTTTAATATGATCATCATGTCGATATAACATATCCACTTTTATATTTACAATTCATTCATCAATTCACTAGATTGATATGAGTGATATCATTGATAAAGCAAGACAAATTGTTTCCGATAATGGTTATTCTCATGTGATTGAGTTAATCAAGGGTAAAGTTGAGGACATTGCTCAATTACCTTTCGGAATTGAGAAAGTAGATATCATCATCAGTGAATGGATGGGATACTTTTTATTGTACGAGAGTATGTTACAGACTGTTCTCAGTGCTCGTGATAGATGGTTGAGACCAGGTGGCTATCTTTTCCCTGACAAATGCACCATGTACATTTGTGGTATTGAAGATTCAGAATATAAGAGGGATAAGATTGATTTCTGGGACAATGTCTATGGATTTAATTTCAGTGCTATTAAAGCAGATGCATTGAGAGAACCTTTGGTTGACTTTGTTGAGTCACAACAAATCATTACTACTCAATCCAAGTTTTTAGAGATTGATTTGAACACTATTCAACCTGAAGATTTGAAGCAAATTACTACCAGCTTTGAATTTACATCACAATATCAAGAATATTGCCAAGCATTTGTTGCTTGGTTTGATTGTGTCTTTTCTCGAGGTCCTCACAAACCTGTTGAATTCTCCACTGGACCATTTACTGAAGGCACTCACTGGAAACAAACAGTTTTCTATTTAGAAAATGATTTACCATTGAAACCTAACGATGTGATTAAGGGTACCATCACCATTTCTCAGAACAAGAGCAATCATCGTGACTTGGATATTTCCATGAAGTATACAGTGAATGGTGGAGCCGTAATCTCTCAAGACTATATTATGAGATAATTAATTTATTCACTTTTCAAAAGTTTATTGATATGACACAGATGAAACTAGGAATAAAAGTAATCTTCTATCAATGGTGACATCTGTTGTCACTGAGGATACAGAGGAAGGGATCAATGTGAGAGTCCATTCTATCGATTCGTCACCATCATCACATTGGAAATGAAAAATTGAAATCATATGAATCATTGAACTTCATAATTCACAGACACACACTTACCATCTCCCCACGAGACAATGGTTTGAACAAATTCTCCAATTCTCTGATTCGTGTAATATTCATAAATATCAAATTGTTTTGGTAGAGTTTGTCTTCTCTCAATCACCTTCATGATTGGCCTAGAATTAAAATTACTAATCACAAAATCACTCCATACAGGATCAAATTCTTGTAAAATACTTCCAATCACAGTATTATTACATCCATAAATTGTAATCGAATGTCCAGTTTTCTTTCTGGCATCAATTGCAAACGAGTCAGTCATGGTAAAATTTGAATTGATCAAATCGATGGTCATTGGATAATTCAAAACGGAACGACTTTTCAATGTTGCTATTAATTCCATTTGTTTGTTGTTATTGACATCCGTTGTCACTCGACTCACATCAATATAATGATTATAAATATTTCTCTTGAAATTGAGAATTAAATTTGTAGTGTTGGAATTACTTTTTAACCGATCGGAAATACTTTCTAAATTCGAATATCCATTATTACAAGTCATCATGGGTGGTGGAATCGACCACGAAACATTCACTCCAATCACAACAGCCAATAGAACAATAAATAATGAACCAAAAATTGCGACACAAATAGACCCTACACAAGTTCTTTCTTTTGAAAATTGATAATCGGCTCGGGTCGTTTTGTCATCATCGTCACAATCAATGTTGCACATGTTTTATGGAAAGTGATGATGAAAGGTCAGTCTCGGTAAGGATAATGATGACGGTGGTCAAAACAATTTTTTTTTCGCCTGTCACGAGAGTGTTGGAAGTTCAATAAACAGAAGGGTGTGTTGGTTTTTATAAAAACTGAGTGATCAGCGGATAGTTCCTGTTGTTTGTTGTAAAATCAATTGAAGTTGTGTCACGTTTGTGTAAACATCTCTATCCGATTGGATAAATTAGAATAAACCATGCACCATTTTGAATGCCTTGTCATTCGAAGACTTTAAATGAACATGATCAAATTGAGGAGTAAATACTCTCGTATCTCCCTTTGTCTCGGTTGTGACTATCATCGCCGATATTTGCATGGTTGTCCTGTCGGATTTTCCGTCATAATTATAACCATCAGAGATGATGATTACAAATCAAACAAAAAAAATGGCGAAACTCATCACGAAACAAGAACTCTCATCCCTTCTTCAAACCAATCCTTCCCATGTGGTGTTGTTAGACGTCCGAGAACCAAGCGAGTATACATCATCGGATTTACCAGCAATTCATTCTTCAGCCCACAATATTCCAATTAATACTTTGAAAGAAGCTTTTCATTTGAATGATACCGAATTTAAGAACAAGTATGGATTTGAAAAGCCCAAGCCCACGGATTCCATTGTATGTTATTGTAAGCTCGGAGGAAGAGCACAGAAAGCCACGGATACTCTAGCCGAACTTGGTTATGAAAACGTCCGATGCTTTAAAGGAAGTGCAAGTGAATGGTGGTCAAATTAGAACTGACATGTGTAGAATTGTAATTGTTTAAAAGATTTCTGATTAATTAAAATCTTGCAAGATTATTTTGATCAGCTCATGATTCGGTGCATTGATGATGATAAAGCATTTCATTGAATTAAACACTTCACTGGCGCCTTTAAATCAACATTTTGAACAATCTCCACTGGCGGCAAAAAACGAACTACAACGAAAGCTTAAAAAATGAGGACAACCTTGTTGTGGGGCGACAACTATGTAAGTAAGCGGATGTGACTGCTACGAAGTGGTTGTATAATCATCATGAACACGATTGATGTGCGTTTTACATTCCGATGGACCAATTCATACAACGATACAACACAAATGAACAGACTGATAAGAATGGGTCTCCGACATCAACCAATGCTGTAGCCTATTCACCTGATGGAAATCTGTTGGTCTCTGCCAGTTACAAACATGTCTTGATCTACAATGCTGCAAATTTCCAGTTTATCAAACATTGCAGAGCCCATACGGACACTGTTTATTGTCTGGCTTTTGCTAAGGACGGAAAAGTTTTTGCTTCGGGAGGGTAAGTCAGATGTGGTGTTGTTCATCACCAGTTTTATTTATCAACTCAAAAAAATAGCGCTGACAACACTGTGATTGTGTGGACAAATACCGGAGAAGGAAAATTGAAATACAGTCACAATGATTCCATTCAATGTGTAGCATTTAATCCTTCAACTAATCAATTATTGAGCTGTGCCTGTTCTGATTTTGCAATATGGTCACAAGACGAAAAGGAAATACAAAAAACAAAAGTCAATTCCAAGATTTTATGCTGCAGTTGGACAAATGATGGTCAGCATTTAGCTCTTGGTTTCTTCGATGGTAATGTCAGAATATACAATAGAGAGGCAAAAGAGCTGGTGAATTTCACTAGATCGGAGCCAATTTGGACAATTTCTTTTAATCCTTCCCGAGATGAACAATACGACATTCTTGCGGTTGGCTGTTGGGATCAAACACTCTCTTTCTATCATTTGAGTGGTAAACAAATAATTAAGGACCAAAAGCTTGGGTTTGATCCATGTTGCATCTCCTACTTTAGCAATGGAGAATATTTATGTGTAGGTGGTTCGTCAGGAGAAGTTTCTCTTTGGAACAAGGATGGAATTCAATTGGTTCCAATTTCAAAACATCAAGGATGGGTGTGGGGAATCGCTCAAAAGCCAAATCAAAACTATGTGGTATGTTTTTAATGCTCAAGATATCAATTTGTGTTACAAGTAATATTAGGCTGTTGCAACCAATGAAGGGGCTCTTCAAGTTTTCAAATTAGATTTCATTACTGTGCATAGTTTGTATGGAAATTTATATGCCTTTAGAGATTCAATGACAGACGTTGTTGTTCAAGATCTTGTAAATGATAAGAAAGTTACTGTAAAATGCAAAGATTATGTGAAGAAAATCGCTATCTACAGAGACAGAATGGCGGTTCAACTTAAGAACAAAATTCATATTTTGGAGTTGACTCATTCCAAAACCGAAAATGAAACAGGAGAAGAGGTTGAGGAAGAAATGCAATATAGGATTATAGAAAAAATATTTAAGGATATTGAGTGCAACATGCTTGTAATAACTTATGGAAATTTGATTTTCTGCCACGAAAAAGAATTGAATTTATATGACTTCAAAGGAAATTTACAACGGGTGTGGGATTTGGATGCACCAATCAAGTACATTAAGGTTATTGGCGGGCCCCCTTTTAAGGAATCTCTCTTAGTTGGTTTATCAAATGGATCAATTCTGAAAATATTTGTTGATAACCCTTTTCCTGTGCAACTCTTGAAGCATGACTACTCTATTCGAAGCTTAGATCTCAATATGAGGTATGTATCACAATTAGCTATTATTATTTATCATTTTTCGTTACGTTCATTAGCCGAAGAAAGTTAGCTCTTGTGGACCAAAATAATGATCTCATGGTTTATGATTTAAAAGAAAAGAAATATATTTATCAAGAAAAGAATGCAGAAGGTGTTGCCTGGAATTCTGAACATGAACATATGCTTTGTTATTCAGGTGGTGGTTTTCTTAACATTAAGACAGAAAATTTCCCTGTCAATCAACACAAACTACAAGGATTAGTGGTTGGTTTTACTGGATCCAAAGTATTTTGTTTACACCAAGTATCCATGAGTACTGTTGACGTACCCCAATCAGCAACTCTTTTCAGATATATTGAGAAAGGAGACTTCCAAGAAGCATACAAAATTGCTTGCTTGGGTGTTACGGAATCAGATTGGAGATCTTTGGGAGTTCAGTCATTACTAGGTGTAAATTTAGATATTGCGAGAAGGTGCTTCAATAGAATTGAGGATACCAAGTTTATATCTCTCATTGACAAGTATGAAAAATTAATTAAGCAAAATCAATTCAATAGAGATTTGTTTGTTGGTGAAATTCATGCTTATCAAGGACGATTTGATGAGGCATCGAAAATGTTCGTTAAAGGAGGACGTGCAGATCTCGCTATGGACATGCTGTGTGATTTAAGAAAATGGAAGGAAGCTAAAGAACTGGCACTTACCTATGACAACATCAACCTCACAGATATGATATTGCGCCAAGCTAAAACATCAGAAGAGGATAACGATCTTAAATCAGCAGCAGAGTTATATGCCGCGGCTGGTAACTACGAAAAAGCTGTACAGATCATGGGTGATAACAAATGGTTTGACTTGTTATTGGAAACTTGTAGAAATTTAAACCCCAATGAAGCTCGAGGAGTAGCCATGTGTGCAGAGTATTTCAGAAAGAACAAGCTCTATGATCATGCAAAAGAAGCATACCAAAAGATTGGAGATTATTCTTCGTTAATCAAACTGTTTGTTACCTCAGAAAAATGGGAAGCAGCCTTCGAAGTTCTTGAAAAGCATCCAGAATTTTCTGCAGAGGTGTACCTTCCATACGCAGAGCATTTAGCAATTGAAGACCGGTTTGATGAAGCTCAAGAAGCATTCAGAAAAGCAAATAGACCAGAAAAAGCTCTAAAAATCATTGAAGAGCTTGCTCAAAATGCTATCGACGAGAATAGATTCAAAGATGCTGCTTATTATTTATGGAAAGTTGCACATGAAATCATGGTCAATACAAAGAACGAACAAGTCGTGACTGAATCAGTTTGGAAAGAAATCAAAAAGTTTGAGAAGTATTACCGTATGAGCCAAATTTATTTTGCTTATGACCTTGTTCACAAGTATTCTGAGCTTCCCTTCAATTCGGTAGATACGAGACATCTCTTCAATGCATGTTTGTACCTTTATAATAATCTGGACGTTTCAAATCTTCCAACAGGAATCTCTAGGATAACAATAACAGTTACGATGGCCAAGCTTGGTCTTTCACTAGAAAACTACAAATTGGCAAGGGAAGTTTATCAAAATATTCAACATTTACGATTGCCAAAACCAATAATGGATGAAATTGAATTATCCAGCATTTCTATTCACAGTAAGCCAATGAGAAACAATGAAGAATGTACACCAATCTGCTTTAGATGCTCCGCATCAAATCCTTTCTTGAATGAAAGAGGAGTTGACAGTTGTATGAACTGTGGCCATCAATTCCAAAGATCACCTCTCTCGTATCATATACTTCCTCTTGTTGAATTTGAACTTGAAGATGGAATCGAGGAAGAGGAAGCAATTAAATTAATCAACCAGGCACCTCCATCGCTCTCAAGAAAACCATCAGACAGATGGAAAGAAAGCAAAACTTCTAATGTCCAAACGTTGCGCTTAGATGGAGAGGATGAGCCTTATGAAGATCCTTCACCAATTGCAGATCAATTTAGCAAGGCATTGTTAAAAATTGACGGCAAAATCGTAAAAGTCAACAGGGAAATGCTCAAATCTTTCAAAAGAGAAGACGTTTTTATTGTGGATTGGAAGAATCCATTGATCAGGAGACATTTCTTCAAATGTATCATTCCAAATTTCCCAATCGTTCAATGCCATCACTGTAATCTATTTTTCCATCAAGAAGATTTTGAATTTGAGGTTTTAAAGAATAATGGAAAATGTCCATTTTGCCAAAACTAAATTTCCACTTTTGCTCTGGTATTTATATTAAATTTTGATGTATATTCTTTTTGAATCTTCTTCTTGAATATTGTGAACAAGTGATCTTTTGCAGTCTCATAATTGGAAACAATGTAACGAATCTTTTGAGAGTCATTCATGGTTGAAGTTTCGTCTGGATTCATCGTATTACTGAGTTCAATAAATTGATTTTTGAACGATTCATCCTTGTGTTCTTGGATAAGCCGTAGCAACGATTCGATATTCTTATCACAAACGTTATATCTTACAAAAGTATACAGGGCAATTAGTAATGAGTCAGTAACATCATAATTAGATTCATGGACATCTCCATTTCTAGTATATCGAACTTGATATGTTGAGGGAAGCAAATGTATCAGTGCATTGAACACTTGTTTTTTGATGGTTTTGTTGGCTTGTTTTGATTTGTCGGCTTCCTTGATTAAGAAGAATGATCTTGCAGCTCTAACATTTAATTTCAATAGCTTTGTAACTGGTAACTCGTTAGCACATTCGTAACATGCAAGAGTATTACAATTTGCCAATTTTGCAATTGTATTTGCAGATGATGTCGATTTAAATTTTAACAAAAATTCCTCAGCGCCTACGATCCATTCGTCATCATTTGATGATGACCCAGTGTAGCGTTGAGAAATATTTCTGAAATTTTCTTTCATGAACAATCCAAATTGTTGGAGTGATGTAATGTGAGATGTATCAATTAAACCACATTCTATAGCCTTTCCATTCTCGTTTAAAATTGAATATCCAGTTTTCGAAGATGAAATATCCAATCCCAAATAATAAGTTTTCTGCCTTCGAATATGAGACTCTGTAACTGTGGTAATATTTTGATAATAATGAGATGATGTTTTTAGGGTAGATTTGAATGCTCTTGATGATGGGTCTTTGATTGGTGTGCAGAAACGCTGGAAAACGCGTTTTGATGAGTTTCTGAGCATTTTTTTAACTTTTTCCTCACAAATCAAAATCACTTCGAGGCTTTATTGAGAGTCTGAAACTCAATCAAAAATCAAATTCTTTTTCTTTTTGGTCGATGAATGTGAAGATTGTTTTTTCTGAGATTGAAATCCAGCAGACTCGTTAGCATGACGATCGCTCACATGAGCTCTTCGATGGGTTAAAAACCCGTCTGTTTGAATTATCCAACAAAAAATTTTCATATGAACTACTAACATTCCACTCATCTTGATACTTACCAAAATGCGAATGATCATAAAACTCTGTTTCAATCACTTTCTTTTTACTGTATTTGGTTGAAGTGACAGGTTGTAGATCTAAGAAGAAGTCCTTATCATCACTTGTCACATTTCTTTCTGAACGAACTCCCCATCCAATATCAGTAGAATCCACTAAATCAGAAATGTTTGAAAACCAAAGAGCTGGCATGGCTTTGGCAATGTTGTTGGAAGATGTCGAGGAAGAAGTAGCATTGGATACAATTGAAGCCTTGCTTGCAGTGGATGTTTTTGAAATCGATGAACAATGAGAGGTGGATTCCTTTGCAGAAGAACAAGTAGATTTGAGAGGAGAATGTGGTCGTGTTTTGCGGCTTCCAAACGTACTACAATTACTATTATTACGACCATTTACATCATTGTTTTTGATGGATGCCGATGAGGAAAGCTTTTGATTGGAGTGCGATGCAAGATCAATGGAAGGACGAGCATGCTTATCTCTTGAGAGTTGAATCATTATTAATGAAGGTTGGGCGTGATGAGTCTTCTTTGGGCTTTCTTCTGCAGAAGGGTTCTGTCCCAGCCAAGCTCGTTGTTGAAGTTCTTCCTTTCGGAAAGTCTCTTTAAGAACATTGCACATCGTGTTGGACAGCTTTTGATGGCCTAATGCTTGGAGCTGAGAATTGATCATGTTTTCATCAATCGGAAAGGTCATCATGGATATTTGGACTTACCATTGTGTAACAAGGTACTCTAAGAAATTATGAGAAGAGAAATAGGTGTCTTTGTTTGTGTTGTCTTTTTAGAATTTATTCTTCCAAATTGGTTCAGCAAATAATGAGGCCCGAATGTGGAGTGTTGCGTTTGGTTTTTTTTAAGGGAGTGAGGACCAAAAAGTAGTACAAAGATTCCTTTTATGTTATCTCTCGTCGTTTTATTGAAAAATGGACAGGCTGTTAAATCTCTCGAGTGGTCAACTCAAAACACAACGATGGAGGGATGTGAAAGAAAACTCGTTGATGTTCTTTTGTAAAGGTTTTGTCGAACACACTAAAGTGCAAAGTAGATTGAATAACATCATCATGTGTCTGCTGTGGGGATCAAGTGACGGGAAGTGAAAGACTTCTTTAAGCTCAACAGATGTCTCGGAACTGTTTTTCCAGAGATTAGTAGATTCTAGAGTCAAGGATGAAAAACCTTGTGATAAAAAATGCTTCCATCGGCTGCCCGTATCCTCTCAACACTTGCCATTTTGATCATCATTTGTTGTGGTTCTCAAGCAGCCATCAATGAGTTCGGAAAACTCTATCCGCTCACGGATAATACAGGATTTTATTTAACTCCAAATGAGCCATATCATGCCGATTTCGGATTTAAATTTTCAACTGATACTGCTCAAGGCTTGTATTCTGTGGATGTCATGGATACTAAATCGTATGAAAATTATCCAAAATTAAATGTTGAGAATGCTACACAATTACAGCTTTTTGGAATGTATTCCCTGAACTTGACGCAAGCAAAATATGGTTTTGGTAATTCAACATTATTTATGTATCTCTCCTATGCTTCTGGAGTGTTTAATCTTATTCCAAATTCAATGCGTTTAATGCTTTTCAGCGTTATACAGAAATCTTTCGTCCCGATTCCAAATCAAGAGAGAGGTCTTGTGGACGTACGATATTCAAATAATTCAATTTTTGATTTAGCAATTTCCTCTTCGTACAATAGTTCATTTATTTATTTTGGTTTTTTTGGAGTGAAAAAAGAACAAACTCTGGATTTAGGTCAGAGTGAATGGGTCACCATTTCCTATCCACAAGTTGTGAAATACAAAATGAATCAATTGAATCAAACATTGAATGTTTTTTACTACGACCCATTGAGTAAGGTCGTTCATCAGCCACATTTCTATAGGGCGTATTTTGTAAACGATGCCATCTCAGCATTAGAATTACCGTCAACTGACTATGTTGTTCTTCACAGGTTTACTATTGTTGGAGCAGAGGATCAAAATCCTTCACAACCCGAATATCGTGGTATAGGAGTACCTAATTTCATATTCACCTATGATTCTAACTTGGGATTTTCTAATTACATGGGAAATAAGATCAAAATCAACGAATCGTCATTAACATGTGCTTATCAACTGCAAAATACACAAGTCTTATCTTTAAAAGAAGGAACTGCCATTGTAGACCCCCAAACACAACAAGTGACTTGCATTTGGTATGGATCTAGCAGTAGCTCCATTGAAACAATAGCCATTATTGCTAAATCTTCTCATGATTACACCACCATCATTATTGCAGTGACAATATCAATTGGTGGAACTCTATTGCTCATTGTGTTTACTGTAGTTGCAACATTATTGAGCTATTTCATATGGAGAAGAAGACAAAAGAGAAGGTATCAAACATTCTAAAACTAATAAACTAATTTACAAAAGATCCATAACAGCACAAGATGACACAACGTGTTGTTTCAACGTTCCAAAAAAAATGGACCAAATGAATTTGGAGGATGCTGCCAACATGCAGGTCTCCGAAAATACTCATGAAGAAAACAACGACCAAGAATACCACTTCGGAGAGTTTATCAATTCGTATACATTTCCTCAATCTATCTATACGATTAAATTGAATACAATGATGGACATTTTGCTAGTAAATAATTTTCTCTATCGAATTCCGAGTATGGAAAGGCTGTTAGTGATATCGGGAGGAGAAGATAGAATGACCCATCAGTATAACAATTTGTTTAGCCCTTGTGGGGAATATTTTGTCAAGTTAATGGATGGTGAAATGGCATTGTTTCGCATTGATAACAAATTGGAGGAAATTCCATTGATGGGCAATTACAAAATCAATGGAGAGGTCTATGACATGGAATGGATAAGTTTGGATTACAAACATAAGGAGCATTTTATTGAACCATTACTGATGAAATATGATCCAAATGCTACACCAATAATAGCATCTACAGCTGAGAGTGCTATGGCTGGAGTGAATCAACAACAGCAAACAATGTTGGATCCCTCCCAAATCAAATTTGAAACATGCAACAATTTACTAGCGCTGTATATGAAAGATGAAACTAATGCCATCAACAATGTCGTCTTGTATTTGAATGGTAAACTACCCATCTTAAAATTAGAAAGTACTGAAAGAATTACCAAATTCAAATTCGGAAAGGACCTTCTATCACTATTGGATTCCTATAACAAATCTTTGCACGTTGTTCCTATTTTGGAAAACCTAAAAGCATGCTCAGAAGATATTTTCAAAGCATGGAATGACTTTTTTGCAAATCCCACGTTTCAAAAATTACAACTTGTGGACATTTTCGAATTAATGGCCACTAGATTGAACTACATTAACATGGAAATATTTTCTAGCGTTCAGGATAATTATTACTCGAAATTATACCACACACTATTGCATCTCATAGAGAAAATTGACTCTATTTTTTTGTTAATGATTTCATACATCGAGTATTTGGTTTCTAATATTGAGGACATACCCTTAGATTCATATTATTTGATGCTGATTGAAATTCATCAATCTTGGAAAACCGAAATTTGTGAGAATACCAAGTCGATAATCTCATTATTAGCAGACATTCAAGCACAGAAATCTAATATTTTCCCTAATATCGAAAGCAATTTTTTCTTTTTCAAGTTCGATAATTTAATTCAACTTGTGCAGTCTCTTTTTGAAACCATGATGACATCTCACTATTTTTCTGTGACAACTCTAGACAAGTCTCAATCTCAAAAATGTCTTAAAACGAACCACAAATATTGCAAAAATAGTTCAGAATATTACTATTATGTAAGCGACAACACTCTCTACATATTTCAGGAAGGAGATGATGATAGACAACCTTTCCAAATCATATGTGGACTGGTAGATGACGACATTACAGAATTGTATTTATACAAGGAAAAAAGGTATGTATTCAAAGATGGATCAGTTGCGTCTTTTATTCATCCTCTGGTTATCAGATTTATTGCCTATTCTCCTCACACGGTGTTGTACCTAGCCGACAACAATATCATCAAATACGCTCAATTCGAAGACAGTATTTCAATGTTCGCCATATCGACACAAAGAAATTTATTTGCCGTTTGTTTGTCATCCAATGATAGAATGTTTTCAGTGTATGAAATTACTGATTAAATTAACTGGAGAATATTGTGTTACATGAACACATTTGTAAGAATTCCAGCAAGTTCATACGTTTGTTGAGTATTCAAATCCTTGGTATAATCTGTCAACTTTCCAGGATCAATATCGCTTACCGAACCAAACGCACTATCTTTCTTACCCTCAAAAATTGTAAAGTATTTGCCAAGTCCGGATGTACCTATCATTTTCTCAACCTTCTTTACAACATCTGTTTCACCTTTTTCTAACAGCTCCTTGTAGAGAACAATAGCCATTAAATGCTTGCCTTTCTTCATCTTTTCTGGTTTCAAGCAATATCTGTATGGCTTAAAGATATATTGAACTCTCTCTTTTTCGTTTGTTTTTTGTTTCAATGTTAACCCAACTCGTCCACTTCTCACAAATTTATCAGAAGTTGGTGTTGCTTTTGGCTTCAAGTAGAATGCTGATTTGGTGTCCAATGCAGCAAAGTGTTTTTGCTTGGGAAAATGCTTAGTAACAAATTCATGAATGGTTTTACAATCGTACGTGTTGATGATTGCATCCACACACAAAGAAGGTCCTTCAATCAACTTTTCTCCATCCAATAAACTTCTAATTAACACTCCTCCTTTGAACTTTCCACAACCTATCGTGATATCCAATCCTTGATAACTTCCTCCCTTGTAATTATTATCATTTGTTTTTGCTAGTGATTGATGAAAGTACCATTCACCTTTAGTAGCTTGTAATTCATGACAGTGGCTGAACGGATCATTGTGAACTGGTGGACAAGTATAATAATATTCTACTTCTGCAAGTCTAAATGTCTTATCCTTCACAATTAATTCTACGTGATTAAACAAATAATCTGTAATAGAAGTAAAAGTATCTTCAAATTCCTTGATGGTTTTGAAATTGACACAGCTATCTAATTCCTTTAATTTGGTGTGAATTGGATTTTCATCGGAAGATGTGGATGATGATCGGGGAAGATTTGGTTGTTGTTGTTGTGGTTGGGATGACATTTTCACTTTTTTAGTCTCCTTCTCTTCATCATTCGTCTTGTTGCTAGAAGTCGTGGTTTCTGGATCGTCCTCTTCTTCATGATCGGTACTACTAACGGTTTGTTCCTTCTTTCGTTTGGCCATTTTTTTTGTTTGCTTTTTCCTGAAACAAACAGAAATTCAAATCGCTTAACGAGAACCTTTCACGAAATTTAATGCCGCCAAATTTTACATTGCGCCAAAACCAATTCAACTTCTCAAAATTCAAAAAATATGAGTGAACGAGGATCGAGCGAAACTTCCGCTTACTATGAAACTACGACTAGCGGAACCTATGAAAGCAATGACATGAATACCAAACACTCCAATCATCAGGCTCTTGTTGAAGAATTAATGAATCAAAAAAAAATTCACATGCAAAATGTTGTTTTGAAAAAACAATCTTCTTCGGGTAGTTCAGTCCAAACGCCAATGAAAGGAATCTTAACGAATGGAAATAATTCTCCTAGTTCAACGCAATACACAACGAATTCGAATCCATCCTCTCGGAAATCTTCTCCGAAAAGCGTTTCGATTGCTCCCTCCGCAATAAGTGTCACAAATGGATCTGAAAATAATTTATTTTTTGAAGAAATGAAAAAAGCGTTCCAAAGCATCGATGTCAATGGTGATGGAAAATTATCAAAGAATGAACTTGCTGTTGCTATTCGATCGTACGGCTTGGACCCTTCTTCCAAAGAGCTTCATGAACTTTTTCAAATGGCAGGTTCGAAAGATGGTTTTATCGATTTCGAACAATTCTCCTCTCTTATGAAGAAAACTGTAAATATTGAACTGTTCGAAGATGACAGAAAAAAGAAAAAATCAATAGCAAAAATTTTTGATGCTATCGACAAGAACGGAGATGGTTTTATCGATCTCAATGAATTCAAAGAATTGTTAGAGAGTATTCCAGGAGGGTCCAGAATTAATCCTGAGAAAGATATTCAAACTATGAAAGAAATATTAGGAAGCATGGATCAAAACAAGGATGGTTTGGTTGATTTAAATGGTATGTTAAACTGTACAATCGATCACTCAAATTAGAACAATATCTCAACAGAGTTTTATGAATGCATGCTCAAGGAGAAAGATTTCTATGAAAAATGTAAATCACTCTTTGAACCTTCTCCTTTTCAATACATTAACGTATTCAAGACTTTGCCGTCTAGCTTCAGAACATCCACTTTGTATGCTCTCAAGCAATCTGGAAAGTACAACACCTCTAACTTTGTGACACCAAACTTGAATGACTCTGGAATTAATTACTTGGATCTCACCTTAGACACATGCTCCAAAAATATTTTACCAATCTATGCTTCCAATTTTAAAATCACATTTAATTCTGCCAAAGGAGTACCTCTCCCAAGAGAGAATGTCAAAATTCTTGAACGAAAAGTTTACATGATACTTACTTCCAATGACAAGTATATCAGTAACATTCACCAAGTCGCTGCCTTTTGGTCTCCCAACAAGTGTGACGAATGGACATTCACAAACAACCTTGAAAGTAATGTCCTTTTAAGGACAATGGTTGATAATGCAAATACCTCTCTCCTATTAGAATTTGTGATTGTTGTTGAAGGAGAAAGAGGCTCAACCCATGAAATCTGTTGTGGTCATACTTCCATTCCTCTCAATGGAGATTATCAAAATCCCAAAAACTATGACTTTTTCATCATGGGAGGAAGCATCAAAAAACCAGTTGATATTGCTCAGGAGGATATTATTTTCAGTAAGAATAACGTTGTGGGAAAACTTGGCATGTTATTCAAAGGTTTACCAAGACCACAAATTTCTCTCAAAATCATAGCTGTGACCTCTGTCCAGAAACAACAAAAATTATCCACATGTCCTCCAAATATTGTCACCAATTATTCGAGTTGGGAAATTCTATCCACCTATCGAAAAGTGTTGGCCAAGAAATTATTTCCATCACGAGCACTCGATGAGAGAATGATCGAGAGCACAAGTCCAGAACTGCGATGGTTTCCTCAATTATTAGATGACAAGGACTTGTGGATGCTCTTTCTCGATAAATGGAAACTTCTCGTCAGTGCTGCCAAGAAATCCAAAGATAAGAAACCTGAAGAGAGTGTCTTGATGAAACTTGTTCACGATTCGTACAGTTCCTTGTTGTGCATGAATTTGCCAAAATACACTGGCCGACAAACAGTGATATCTCTCTTCTTTGAGAGTCCAAAAGAAGTGTTAAATTCAAATGGATTGTTGTTTAGACCCTTTGATGCATCTTCGGAATGTGTTCTTTCGCCCATCTTCCACTGAAACAAACAAGCTTTCTTTCTTGAGGAAATTTTTACCTCCAAAAATAAAAAATTGTAAAATCAAAAAATTTTCAAATTCATCATCATGAAAACCCGACAATTAAGAAAAGTAGGTTTTTTATTAAACTATTTTTGTAGAGAAATGATTGTGCGATTTTAAAAGGCACTCACTGAAGAAGAATTAAAGGAGTTTAAAGAAATATTCGACTTGGTGGACACAGATGGAGGAGGTATGCACTTTCCGACTAATTGCTATTTTCATTTCCGATAATCGATGATCATCTTGATATATTCCCAATAGGCTCGATTCAGAAAGAAGAATTGAGACAGCTCATGGAAACACTTGGTCTGAACCCCACCGATGAGCAGTTGGATGAAATGATGTTGGAAGTGGATGCTGATGGTTCAGGAGATATAGACTTCAGTGAGTTTGTGACAGTGATGTCACGAACTGTTGATGCAACATATACGAAGGAGGAATTGGTGAGAGCATTCAAGTTATTTGAAAGTGAGGAATATGGGAGCGGAATTGTAAAAGCAGATGTTCTTGAGAAAGCCTTAGTAACGTATGGAGAAAATATTTCACTTGATAAAGCCGCTGAACTGTTGTCAATTGTAGATCCTGACAACTCTGGTAAAATTAATTATATGGAATATATTAATATGATGATGAACAACGAGTAAAACATGTCAATCTAATTATTTATTCACAATATTTGAATCATATATACTCAAATTGGTGACTCTCATCTTTCCAGTTGGTTGAGGTTGAGTGGGTTGTTGAGGAGGTTGAGGAGACGTAGAAGATGCTGAAGCTGCATTTCCTGATAGGTGAGATGTGGATTGCCGTCTGGTCGATGCAGGAGGACTTGTCTTTTTTCGATCTCCTTTTCTTCCAGTCGAAGGGTTGCTAGAGGGTTTGGGTTCTTTTGTTGTCAATGAACTGCTGCTGGATTTAACGTCAATTGGCAAGCTCTCCATTTGATGTTTCTTTGAACTTGTACTTGAAACAGAGCTTTCTGAATGTTGCAGAACGATTGGTTGGGGGTGTGGTTGAAGATATCTCGGCGATTTTTTGAGGGCATCCACATTTTGCAACAGATTCGACATTGAGGAATGTTTTGAGAACAGCTCCTCATCCTCCTTTTTCAATTTCTGATATAAAAGGTCAATCTTTTCTTGCTTATCACTTCCATACTTTTTCAAGTATTCCATCTCTAAATCATGCAACCTTACACGCATATCTATAATATCCATTGAACATTTTTCTCTTCTTCTCTCCATTTCTTGTGTCTGCAGCTTGGTGGATTTTATCTTGTCTTGAAGAGATCTAAAAACAATTAACCATTACTCTCAAAAATCTTCATCAAAAACACAAACCTTATTTCTAAGTCTTTTTTACGCTTTACATCAGCCAGTCCAATCTTTAGCTCGTTTAAATCATGCTCAAGCTCTTCTTTAGCTAATAAAGTGTAAATATTGTCCAATATTCAATTGTAGATAACATACCTGTTTGTTCTTTTTGTAATAGGGATGAAAGCTCTTTCCATCTTGCGGAACTGATTTCGTCTTTTTTCTTCTTATCTTCCAAAATTGTTGCAATCTTGTTTTGGTAATAATCTATTCGTTTCTGCTCTTCCTGTATTTGCAGAATGATCTCATTTGCCGATGCATCCGTTTCTTCTGTGATCACCTTTATCCTTTCATTAATTCTTTCGACCTTGGATGTGGTTTCATGTCTTATATTTTCTTGATATTCTAACTCTTTGGAAGCCTCTTCCAGTAAATGTCGAACATATTTTAATCGGATAACTTCTCTTCGTAGTTTGTTGGGTTCGACCAACATTTTATCAGTTTTGTTCCTTTGCATAAGTTTTTTAATCTTCAAATAGGTTGGATGGTCTAATTGATTGCCTCTCACATCAAACGACACAATGGTGTGATTCTTCTCAAGCAGATCGACAATCGCAAGTCCAGCTTCTATAATTGAGAGTAAAATTAAAACCACTGTAGTCGAAAATACATACCTTCAGAAATATGATTGTTATGTAATTTTAAATACAATAAATTGGTGTTACAGGTGAGGGCTAAGCATAGAGCTACGGCCCCACTATCTCCAATACCACAAGCGTTTAACTCCAAATTTACAATTCCACTTTGGTCATATTCAATGCACTTTGCCAGTGCTTTGGCTCCTCCGTTCCCCATTCTATTATTACTCACAATTAATGTGTAAAGGCAGGATTGAGGGTTGTTGATAGCAGCAGCGATACTTTCAATCCCTTCTTCTGCAATTTGGTTGTGACTAATATTTAGATAGGTCAGGGTGTGACGTGTTGCTAAATAGTTAGAAATGGCAAAAGCACCATCGTTTGTGATTCCGTTACCTGCCAAATTCAAAACGGTCAGAAAAGAGTTTGCCTGTAAATAATTGCACAATATTTCTGTTCCCCTATTTTTGATATTATTGTCATGCAGAAGAAGCACAGATAAACTCGGACATGAAGATGTCATCTTTCCCAAACTTTCAGCAATATCCATAGATAACTTATTACCATGAATATCGAGATATCTTAAATGTTGGTTGCCTTCCAAAGACTGAATAACATTGATAGCAGCAACAGAGCCCATGTTTGTTTGACCTAACCTTAAACAAGCTATTGTTTTGTTTTCATCAAAGGTATCAGCAAGAGCAAAGAACGCCTGTTGGGTTTTCTTTCCGAGTTGATGATTTCGATTAAAGTCCAGAGTGCTAAGGGTAAAGTTGGAAACCAAGGATTCAGCAATAGCCACTCCCCCTTCTGCGTCTATTTTGTTTGCATACAGATCAGAATTATCACTTCCGAGCAATAAAGTTTCGAGCTTTTGTTTTTGTTTGATCAACCTGTTGTTGTTCTTAAAGACGACTACTTACTGTACAATCTGGACTTTTTAAATATTCAGCCAGCAATAAGGCCGATTCCGAGCCTAAATCATTACTACCAAAGTCCAATAATTTTAAGGTGTTTAATGTTTTCAATTCTTCCATCAAGGCTTGGACTCCTTTATCCCGAATTACATTTTCATGTAGATCCAAAATTAGTAATGGATTTTCCTTGCTATTGACTTGAGCAAAATACCTTGCCAATGCGCTCGCTGTTCCTAGTCCAATTCTTTGAGATCTCATCACAAACTTCTCGGAATTACAGCGTTTATCCAACATTTGTTTCAAATTCAGAGCCAATTCTCTCTCGGGCCGTTGCTGTGTATCGCCACAGTACGCCAGAAAGATCTCTGAAAAGTACTTGTCCAGCATTTTTGTTGTTGTGGTTGTTGTTTTGCTTAAAAGGTGATGACATTCGCAGAAAACCTTTCACGCGCGATATCTAATTAGAAAGGCTTTAATAATAGAAAATTTACTGTAAGCAAAAAGAGATGCAACGCTAGAACGAGGGAATTTATTATCTCGTCGAAATAGGAGTAGAAGAGTATTGGTTGTTTGAATGGAGGGAACATGAACCACGCTCATGAAGGAATTTTCAAAAGGACGAGCCCAATGAAATCCTTCCCAACACCTTTCATCCCATATATAGTCATCTTGCTTTAGTTTTCTTCAGGATGAACCCCTTGTTGCAACAAAAAGGACGATCATCATCATGAAGAAGAAACAAAAAAATGAATACTCAAGGCAATGCTTCCTCCGATCATCCACAAGCAGCATCCACCACAACTACCCATTCGGCTGCCATGAACATCCCGAGGACATCCAACATTGAAAACGCATCATCGCCGGTGAATGGAGATTTCTCTCCCACATTGCTGAGTAAATTAATATTAGAAATGGAAGAAAAAGTGGAAAGACTTTTTCAGCAATTAGACGACTATAAAAACGTAATAGGAATTGATTTGGATGAAGAACATTTTGATTTAGCCAAAACAATTAGTTATATAAAACTTGAAGCAGGATGTAGTGCAACAAAGCCACGTAAGTGTGTCACACGATAATTATGTGGTTATGAAATTAATCGATTCACACTCATTGTGAAAATTAACTATTGATGACAATATTAACAGCGTCATCACTAAGAAGTCCACAACAAACAAAAGAAGCCGGTGAGCTTGCTCGATCAGGATCTTTTTCTAATGATAAAAATTTGTATTCTAAATCTCCTTTAAAAACTCCCACCATTCCTGATAATCAACAAAAAACAGGACCTAAGACAACCATTCAATTAATGAAAAATCTCAAAGATCAATTCAATGCACAAATTAAGAAAACCATCACAAAGTAAGTTTCTTTTTATAGAGATACATATTTAGCTGAATCGAAATGTGATCAAGACAACCTGACAAAAAGATCATTCGAAGATATTTATTTCATAGAGACGCAATATTCGATATTAAGATGTCTCCTATTTGTAGTGTAGATACATCGACACCACTATTTGCAACAGCATCTGCAGACACGACATGTTGTTTATGGGCTTCCAACTTGTCACATCTAAACCCGTTACTTGTCTATAAGGGTCACAATGGGGCAGTCAACAAATTGAAGTTTCATCCAACTGCCCAAATAATATGTTCTGTTTCAGGAGATCAGTCAATACACCTTTGGAAATTTGCAGAGACATTAAAACAAAACGAAGCAGTATCATTAAATAAGACGGACAGTCGGAATAGCCACATGATGGGAGAAAATGAAGATGACGATTTTTCGAATGGCAGATTTAAGTCCTATCTTAAGCATATTAAACTTCCATCCATGGAAAATCTTCACAAGAGTGGAGAGTTTAATGATGAATCAAATGAAAGAACTCAAAACAATGATCTTTTTACACAAGATTTACTGGACAGTCACATTGATTTTAAAGCCTATCAAAACGAAGGGGTAAACACGGATAGTGAGAATGACGACAGTCTCAATGAGCTTCAAAAATTTTATATCACGGAAGGTAAGTGAATAAGAAAATTCAAAACATAATTAACTAACTTTGTAAATGTAGAGGGTGTGCAAGGTATGATTAGAAACAGACCAACCTACTTAAGAAATCCACATGTTAAAAATTCTGATTCACACAAAGGAATAATATCTAGTTGTGATTGGACAAATCATAACAAAGGAGAGCAAGTTGTCACATCGTGTTGGGACGGAAATATAAGAATTTTTAATTTGGAACTTCGAGAAATGCAAAAAATTGCCTCTCCAAGTGAAACAGCATATTTGAATGATGTTACGTGTGCCTACCAATCCTCCCTTATTGCTAGTGCTTCCTCAGATGGGAATGTATTTTTATGGGATTCACATTCTGATTCCAAATCTCCCATATCCGCTCTGAAATCTCATGCTGAGTAAGTGTTCATTGTTATTTTCGTTCATTTGTATCTGTAACACCAAACAGCCCTGTTAATTGTGTAGCATTCACTCCAAGTGATAGATTCATTGTGACTGGAACTGATAGTGGAGATCTTCGGATTTTCGACCACCGAAATATGACCAAACCAATGAAAACCATTCCAATCAAAGCTGGTGGAGTGAACAGCATATCGATATCGGAGTACCACCAACGAATACTCGTCTCGTTGGATAAGCGAGTTGCAAAAATCTACGACCTTAGTGGACATTTGCATTCCAGTCTGCACGGACATGATTTGATGGTGACATCGGGTTGTTGGTCGTTCGACGGATCTACATGCTTCACTGCTGGTATTGATCGACAAATAATTCAACACGAAATCCAAAGCTCTGCTCTAGAAACAAAAACTACAACGATCAACAACGAAGAGTAAAGCTTGCCAAATTAGTGACCTTAGTGTCAACCAAGCGCTAACCCTTTGTTGCAATGAATTAAAAAGGGCAATCAGGTAAAAAGATTTATTTCTGAAAGGATGACAAACCCTAATCATCTGTTACATCCCATAGGTTATTCATTCGTTGTGGAATTGAGAAAATAATAAAAATTGGGAAAAAGAGTTTTAGAGAGCCTTGACTGGGCCAGATTGTTGTGAGTCCTCAACTTTTTCATAAGTATAATCTTGAAGTCTGTCTTCACGGAATTTGAACTTCTCCATATCTCGCAACAATGTTTCGAATTCCTTGTCTGTTTCTTCTTTGTGAACTTGAGCCAATTCTGCATTTTCAGTAGCGCTCTTCATGATCGAAGCTTGTTCCTCAGGAGTTAATTCACGGAGTTTCTTTGCAGGAACACCAGCCCATATTTCGCCACTTGGAACAGTTGTTCCAGGTGTCACTACAGATCCTGGAGCGATCATGGCACCCTTTCCAACAACAGCTCCATCCAACACAGTGGCTCCCATGCCGACATAACATTCGTCCTCTAAAGTACAGGCATGTAAAATAGCACCGCTTTCAACAGTAACATTATTTCCGATAATGGTTGGCTTCTCATGTCCACTCTTGCCAGTGCAATGAATAACAACTCTGTCTTGAATGTTGGTGTTTTCTCCAATTTTTATAGTATTCACATCGCCTGTAAGTTGATGAATATTGCAAAAACATGATGTTCGTGATATTGGTGCGTTGTCGAGAATTAGGTTGTCATTTGATGAAAAAGTTTTCAGGTGGTATCGATGCCGTTCAAGTGATGTTGGCATGAATAAATACATGTTGATATTCATCAAATTTCATGGTACGTTTGGAACGTATTCGAGAATGCCAATATAATACGGAATGTATGGAATAATATCAATACAATATATTAATAATATTATTGCTCGCTTCAAACTTACCTCTAACAACTGTGTTGTACCAAATTGAAGACTTTGGACCAATAGTAACTTTACCAATAACGCTAGCATTTGGAGCAATAAATACATCTGTTGATTGGATGGTTGGATTATTACCAAGGAAGCCCATAACTCTTCTTGTTCTATTTACTATCATGTTTGATATTACCAACAAATTTCCAAAATTTCCGTGATGTTCAATTCATCCAAAACAACAATAATAACAACAACATCATTATCATTCGTTTTCATCATTCCATTCCACCATCATCATCGTCATTAAAATAATACCAATAATATTACAAATGATCATCACCAACAATAAAAAAAGACAGACACTAACACTCTTCCTTGTATGCCATACTTCCTTGTAGAAAACATCCCATGCGGTCCATAGCCTCTCCAGCCTCACGAAAGATGGAACCCACAAGATAACGGATGGAATGTCTCGAAACGCTCTTCATTATTTTTTGGAGTCTTTGAATTTTTTACAATCAACATCACTCTCAACAAGATGAAGAAGCACACACACACGAGAACCTCAACCAGGGTGGTTGTAGTTACACAGTCTCTGAGACTCTCACTCCCTTCTCGAGAAGAAGATATTAGCTTCATTTTCTCATGTTGAACAACGAATGTTTATACATGCTGCTTTATAAAACACTTGTTCAATTAATAGGAAATGATTGTTGTCATCTCTTTTTGTGAGTGGAAGACCAGAATTTGTTGAATCTTGTCCAAAATAATAAAATTTTGCTGGACAGTTGAAGGAACTCCCTTTTCAAAAAATGTCTTCACACAACATTTCTGATGAATACGGTGCTGAGAGTGGGTATGTTTATTTGTTGATGTGTCATTGAATATCGATGTGTGTCTGGTTCTTTGTGTCCTTTGATACGTTCCATCATCACACGATGCAAATGTCAAATGCCATCTGATGACACACTTGTGGCTATAACGATGATTGTTTAAATTATCTTGTTAAAAGTATTCCAACTTTCAAAGTTATTGTTATTGGAGATGTTTCCGTTGGTAAAACTTCAATCATTTCTAGGTTTTGTGAAGGTGAATTCAAAGAAAGCTATCCATCATCGTTAGGGTATGTACAAACAATTATTGTGCAAACATTTAATAATAATTATTGCACTGAACAATTTTTATCATCTATTTTGTGAACTGTGTGTTGATGTTCGGTGATGATAACACTTTTTGATTCTCCCTGTCATCTCTCTAAATTTGGAAACTGTTGTTGATGATGAAATGTGTGAATTTTATTCAAGTGTTGATTTTAAAATGAAGGAAATGAAGGTCTCGGATCAGTCACTCATCAAATTACAAGTTTGGGACTTTGCAGCAGATATTCATAGCAGATTTGCCAATGTCGCTAAACATTCTTATTCAGAAGCTCATGCAATTATTATTGTGTTTGATATTACAAATAAGGAATCTTATAAAGACTTGGGTATGTTTTGTTTTGAAGAAGAATAAGTGGTTCATATTCTTTGAATTTCCGACAATTTAACAGACACTCACTGGCTTGGCGAATTGCAACAACAAACGTTGAGAGAAAATCATGTTAAAATTCTTGTGGGTAACAAGTTAGATCTTGTTGACAAGAGAGCTGTCACAAACGCTCAATCTCTTGCATCAAAATATGGATGTGAATACATGGAAACTAGTGCCAAGAAAGGAGACAATATTGAAAAACTTTTCCAAACTGTTGCACAAAATGTTTTTGACTCTTATCAAAAAGGAGGATTTAAGGAAGAAGTTTGGACAGAGGATAAAGACAAGAAGAAGAAGTGTTCTCTCCAATAGATTGCTCTCTCATTATGATTGAAAAGGTTACAACCGTGTGCTTACTAATGTATTTTACTTCAAAATTATTCAACACCACCACCACTCATAAATTTCCTTGGAATCTGTGAGTGCGCAATATTTACATTAAATAATTTACATTTATTTCAAGGGATTTCTTGCTTCTTCAGTAAGCACTCCCTCCTTAATCTTTTTATCAATTCTCTTAAGAATGGATTGAATAACGGTTTTGCAAAGACCTTTCTGAGAGGCCTCAGCGAGTTGGAATCTCTCTGATAAATCGTCTTGTGACATGTCATACAGCGTTTCGCAAAGAATTTCAGCATAAATTTGATCAATAGATCCCGTTGCAGACAACACATTGTTGTTCGCAGTAGAGTTATTTGAGGTATTTTTGTTGGATGGGGTAGAAACAACTTGCTTTGGTGCAGATTTCACAGTATTCATAGAAGTACCTTCATCATCGCTGTCATCGCTATCGTCACTGTCGTCACTATCTTCGCTGTCTCCAAAATCAAATTTCATCTTATTGGAAGCTTGTGCCTTCTTTGGGGGTGTTTGTGGAGATGCAATAGAAGTTGCTTGTTGAGTAATTTGTTGTTCAGGTTTTGTTGGTTTTTTCTTTTCTTGAACTGTACCAAAATCCCATTTCTTATTTACAGTTGCACCTTCTTCATTTTCTTCTTCGTCGTCATCTGACTCATCAGAATCGTCTGAGTCGTCAGAATCTTCGTCTCGCCTTCCATTTGAGAGCTTAATAGGTTTCACATAGTTCAATTTAGCCTCAACCAAGTCAGAAAGAACAGAGTTCTTTTTGGCACCTTTGATGAACTTGCACTTGAGAAGTTCTTTTGCACTTGGTCTTGCGTTGGGCTCTTTTTGCAGACAAAGATCCACAAATTCTTTAAAATATTTAGAAGCTCTAGGATCATCGAGTTTGGGAGAAGGTTCTTTTGGAATTTTTAAAAGAGCTTGAAAGGGTTTCATGTGACTTAATGGAGGTGAGCCTTTAAACATTTCTATTGCTGTTATTCCTAAAGACCAAATATCAGCTTTTTCTGTATAACCTTGTCTAACAATCACCTCTGGAGCCATGTACTGGAATAATAATAATTATTATAAATTTTACACAATGCTGACCAAGCAAAGATACCTACATAGGGTGTTCCAACAAAAGTATATCGTTTTCGATTTCCCATAGTATTTGTTAATTGGCCAGAAACTCCAAAATCTATGTGTGTTCGAGTGTGCGCAACACAAGACAGTAAAATGCAAAATTGCAAAGTGCCGTCAAAATTATGTTCGTATTGGATCGAATAGTTTCATGAAAACATACCTCCAATTTTGATTTGACAATCCTTTGAAATCAAAATATTTGCACTTTTGATATCTCTGTGAATTTTGTTTTCCGAATGAAGATAATCAAGACCTTTCAAAGTTTCTCTCATAATTACAGCAATGTGTTTTTCTTCTATACCGACTGTTTCACTTGCACCTCGTTGTTTTGTTAATATTTCCATAATATCTTGAATAGAGCAAAGCAAAAGATCCATAACAATCCATAAAAACGATCCATTAATAAAAGCTCCGTAAACCTTTACAACATAGGGAGAGTTTGCGCTCATTTGAACATGAACCTCTTTTTGAATGTCTTCAATTTCGTCTGTTGCTTCTTCAAGATCAATGATTTTGATCGCTACTGTTTCTCCATTTATTTTGTTAATTCCCTTCCTGTTGAGCGAGTATTTTCATATCCGAGATCAATGTCAACACCATCATCATCATCATCATCATGAGATAAAAATATAAAAATAATGAAAAGTAATCATGACAGAGAGGTTGATCCTTTAAAGGTTGCGCAAGTAAAAACCATTACGTACCATACTTCTCCAAACGCACCCTCTCCAATTTTCTCAATCTTCTCGATATTTTCAGCGGAAAGTCTTTGGGTACTACCACCATAAGTATCTGAAGATACAGACTCTGATCTTCCTCTCGCCATTGGAGAAGATACAGGTGATGTACTCAAAACGGATGATGCACTAGTCACACTCAATGCTCCTCCTGCTGCAACTGATGAGGTCGAAGAGGCAGGAGAAGGCGATGCTTTGTTATCCTCCTTTTTCCTCAGTGATATTGGCATTTTTTAAAAATTGTTCGGCTCTTGGTTCATCAGCTTTCAGACGTTTTGAGTGATTTGTGTTGGGCCAAGTTTTATTTAAAGTGAATGAAAAGATGAAAACCTCATCAGATGTCTAAGGTTGATAATTACAACGAACTAGTAGTGAGAATGAAAAAGAGTTGCATCATCATGCAAACACCCTCTTCCTGTCTACTGCTAACTGATTCGGTTACGTACTGATTCATCTCTTTTAAAAAAAATGCAGAAAACTGTAAATGAAACGACAGGCAAAGCAACAACAACCACAAAAATTGGGGAGACAACAACATCATTCAATCATGACTCCTCTCTTGAGAATAGCAACAAATTGTCAAAAAGAGTTTTTGATCCCAACTCTCCGAGCCGATATGCCGGAAAACCCGGATCGGTACGATCGAGCAGCATGAATTTCAAAAACGACGAAAGAGTCTTTTCCACGCAAGACATTCCCGAACGAGTGCTTGAAAAGAAGATCGAAACTTTGGAGCTCAAGATGAGAAATAGGGAAAATAGAAAACCAGAATGGAATTCTTCAACGTTTACAACGCATGCTTCAGAAGAACGAGCATTGTTGAGGACATTGGCAAAGGAAGATTATCTTATTAAAATGGAACAAAGAGAAAGGAAAAGAAAGGAGCAACCACCGGACTGGAAAATGAGCACATTCTTTACCGAAAAAGAGAAAGAAACAAAGGGAGATGAAAAACTGTCAAAATCATTGAGAAACACGAAAAAAGTTGTTTCCGAAATTTCGAACGCTCCTTCTCTGATTGAACGAGAGAAAATGAGACAGGAAGAAGAGAAACGACAAAGGGAGGAAGCAACACGTGTGACCATGCGAGAACATTTTTTGAATTCCCCTCCAATAACGTTAGGGTTATCTCGAAGGCTATTTGGAGAACAATCAAACACTCAATCCAACACTGTTATCGTGAAGGATATCATTGATCATGTCCAGTAAACAACTGTTTGTGCATGTTGTTGTCCGTAGCCCTGAATGAAAGGCTTTTTCCATCCCACACAGGAAGAAAATGGCGCCAATTTTAAGCGCCTTTAAATTTTTAACAATCAAAAAAATAGCATTTCTTCTCATCACACACTCACCATGCCAAGAAAAAAGACTAGTACCAATTCAAAGAAGCCAAAAGCCTCGTCCGAGAGCGGTAAAAGAAAAAGACGAGACGAGGAGGAGGAAGAGGAAGAGAGTGATAGCGATCAAGAAGTGAGAGTAGTCATTTCTGATGTCAGCGATGATGAAGAGCAATCAGCAGCATCCGAGCCAGAAGAGCCATCATCCGAAGAAGATGATGCTTTCAAAGAAGATGAAAGAGATCAAGATTTCCAACCACCAAGAACATCAAGAAAGAAAAGCACTTCTACAAGAAAGAAGAAAAAAGATACATCAACAACTCCTAAGAAAAAGAAGCTAAAGACTGGCTCATCATCAAAGAAGAGCAAGTCAAGTGATTCCACAACGAAAAAGAAAAAGAAGGCTAAAAAAGAAGAACTAGAAGAAGATATGGTTGTTTTGAATGAAGACAAAGAGTCATTATTTGCAACTGTTCGACAAGAAAGTTCAGCTATCAGAGACACTGTCGATAGTTGGCAAGAACGATTCGAAACAAGCAAATCCAAAGCAACAGTTGAATTGATTGTTTTTGTTTTACATTCATCAGGTGCAAAAGGTGACCTCGTTTTCAACGAGAAAAAACTCAAATCTGAAGATTCCAAGACTATTCAAAAAGTAATTGATGATATCATTGAAAAATTCCTTCCTGACAAGCTTCAAGTTTATCCAATCATCAATAACCATCCTTCATTGAAACATTTTAGGAAAAACTTTTGCGAATTTTGGAACACATTTGTTGATGTTGCAAAGGAAGGAGGTCAACTTTATGACAAATTTATTCAAGAACACTTTTTGAGATGGTTGACCTTTATGACGACATCTACATGTAGAGCAGTTCGTCATACTGCATCATTGGCCATTTATCAAATCGCTTCTGCGGTAATTGAGGCAAAGAAATCCGAGAGCAAACAACTTGCTAAATTACAAAAACAATCTAAAGCAGCAGCAAAGAGCAAAGACAAGAAGAAGGAAAAAGAACTGTCAGCCATGTGTGAGCAGTATCAAGACAAGACAAATACTCTCGAAAAGATAGCAGCAGACATTTTTGCGCAGGTTTTCACAAAGAGATATCGAGACTCTTGTGATGATATTAGAGCATTGTCACTTCTTCAAGCATCTGAATGGATTATTGAATCTCCAGATCAATTCTTGAACGACAACTCTTTGAAATACTTTGGTTGGATGTTGAACGACACTGAAGAAAGCGTAAGAAAGGTTGATATTCAAATTTTAGATAAGTTCTATAGCAAAAAGGATTGGAAAGATCAACTTGCAAACTTTACAAAGCAGTATTCGGGAAGATTTGTAGATTTGACAAACGATGTCTCTGTCTCTGTTGCCGTTGAAGCTTTGAAATTCCTTACTACACTTCTTCAAAATGGCTATTTGAATAGCTCCCAAATCGATACTGTGAGCAAAATGATATTTGACGAAGTTGCAAGCATTAGATTTTATGCAGGAAAATTTGTCTACCATTATCTGTTATCCAAGAACGAAAAAGAGGCTTCCAAATCCAAGAAACATGCCAAGAAGGGAGGAGTTAGTCTTGAAAATATTCTTGATTTTATTTCTGAACATGCAGAAAACTATCCAATGGCTGCATATTATCTTGTTGATACATTATGGAGTACTTCAGATGAAGTTTTGAGAGATTACAAGACCATTTGTTCTATGATTAATGATGAAGAAGGAGATGCACTCACTCTCATTAAATTGTTGAATGCATCCATCAAGAAATTGAAGGGTCAGCTGACAAGTGTCACAAATGCTAGCGATAACGTAAAAGTGAGCAACAAATCAAAATTGTCAACAAAAGAGACTGAAGAAGAGGTAGAAGAAATCACTGGTGTTTTGGCTCCATCTCTTTCTGCTATGATTGATAAGTATAGAACAGAGCCTGAAATTGTAAGCGAACTTGTTGAGATTCCACAATTCCTTGATTTAAAGAGTTATCCAGAGAGTCATTTCTCTAAATTATTGAAATCTTTGAAGGAGGTTTTGAATAAGAGTGTTACTCCATATGTGTACGAGCAAGTTGCAAAGACCTTCAAGTATCTTATCAAAGACCATGATGATTATCCACTTAAATCAGAGGCGGAAGTTCAATACAATGAACTGATGAGAGAAACGTCATCACAGTTGAAGGATGCTGTTCGTGCTCTCCAAAATGAAGAAGAACCAACCTCTGATATATTAGCAACTCTCAACAGAATTAGAGCATTCAGTAAGGTAGTTGGAACATCACAAGTGATTTCAGACGATGTTTTACTTGAAGATTTACACAAGATCTTGGACTCTAAGGTCACTGAAATTGAAATGTCCCAAAAAGACGAGACTCAAACAAACGAAGAAGTTGATGAGGTGACTCCTCTCATTATTAATATCATCTTTGATGATTTATATTGGTCACTACAAGATGTACTTGTTGCTAAGGGTGATTCACGCAAACAACTCGAAAAGAAATATTTCATCAAACAAGAAAATTTAGCCAAGCAACTGTTCTACATTTTAGAAAATGGCAAGGTCACTTCTTCTGTTACCAGAACCTCATATTCACTACTCTCTAACATGTTTATCATGACTAGCCCAGTAGTGGTCGGATCAGGCGCACTTGTTATGGTTTTGGGTAAAGAGAGAATGGCCATCTTGACAAAATACTTGCAAAAGGCAATGGATTCACTCCAAAAAGAATATTCCAAATATGATAAGAAACCTAAAAAGAAAGATGATGAAGAAGAAGGTACAGAGGAAGACGAAGAGGAAAAGAAAGCTAGGTTGGAAAAACTCAAAGTCGTCAGAACACTCCTTTCTGATACTCTACTCGGATTATCTAGAGCTATTATTGCCAAAGCTATCAGCGACGACTTTGCTTCACATATTCTTTCATATTTTGTTCGAACAAAGATCCCTATTGTTGAAGAAATTGTGAAGAGATTCCATCATGAACTTAAGAATTCCAATGAAGAAAAATTATGGGAATATGAGTTTGGTGCTCTCAAGATTTTGCATTCAGAGTATCTGGATAAGGTGGAACAAGAGGAAGAAAAAAGTGTTTTAAAGAGAGCAATTAAGGACATTGAAGAATTAGGATCTAGGCTCAGCAAATCTCATTTCCCAGGAAAAGATGTCAAACATATCGAAACTCTTGTTCAGCACACAATTAATTTTGTTTTTGATGATATCAACCAAAACCATACATTCCTACTTGGTATTATGAAATATAGACTGAAAGCAATTCCAGACACTAAACGAAAAGAATTCCTGGCTACCGTCACAAGAAAGATGGACCAAATGGAAGATGTTGATAAGGCCGCCAAAGAAAATGTGGAGAGTTTCAAGGAGTTATTGACTGTGAAAACTAGTAGTAAGGAAAAGTCAGATGAAACGGATGATGAACGAGAAAAGGAACCTGAAGAAGAAAAATCACAGAGAGAAGAGCAAGCTGAACATCAGGAAGATGACAACAAGATGAGAGATGAGGATGACACCCAAATCTCTGAAACTAAAGAAAACGAAGAGGATGAAGAGCTCATTTCAAGCAAACCTAGAAAATAATGTATTTTATGCTACATAAACAACTTATTTATTCTTCTGTTTTTCTTCTTGAGATTGCATTTTTGGCAAGATTAAAATTATTTTCTGAGCTTATCCAAAGCAACACCAAGACCAATTCCACATATCATCATACTTGCAACGCTAATAAATCCAGCAAAACTCAACTGGCACATCTGGGAAAGGCCATGGCCACTTGTGCAACCATTTGCAGTTCTGTTTCATGCATTAAATAATTGGTCATGAAATAATTATTCAAACAATGTTAACATACCTTGCTCCGAATAGCAATAAGAAGCCTGATGCTAGAGCCATAACCTTATCTTGTGTAGTGAGTGCTCGAGTGGACTTGTATCTTGTATTACCTAAGACTGCAGAAACGTATGCTCCTCCAACCATGCACAAATCGTTGACTAATTGCCATACATTCTTTGGAGTGTTAGGGATGTACTTTGAAAAATAGCTCTGATTGAGTGGCAAATACTTTGTTACGAAAGTAGAAGCAGTCACAAAGGCAGAGCTGGTACCTAAATAAGCCTTAACAAACAAATTAACTGGAATTTGAAGTGATCCAAGAGCAATTCCGGACCAAATAGGATGCCATTGTCTCTTTTTCATGCATTCCGTATTGGACTCATTCTCAACACGTTTTGGTGATGGGAAGATCTTTTCAAGGCCACATGCAATACCAACAAGTGCAATACCCATTGGAATTGCAATTGTCCACATTGGCTTTCCGAGTAATCCATGCAAAGTATTGTGTGGACCCTTGACTTCCGTTGAGCTCAAAATGCTCTTGGCCCACGATTGATTAATCAAAATGCCATACACAGAGGCACCCAACAAACCTCCAAGCAGTGAATATGGAGCTGTTTCAACACCCTCTCCGAGCTGTGCAAGCATGGTACCTGGACATGCTCCTCCGAGAGTCATACCAGCACCAATGAGTGCTCCTCCAATCAAATTACCCCTCCAGTTGATGTCCATTGGGGACAAGGTTGCCAAACCGAATAATTGCAATAAACCAAAAGAGATGGCACTTGTACCCGAAGCAGAAAGGAAAGTCTTCATCATGGTCCAATCCTTGAGAGCCATTTGGTTTTTAATATTCTCAGGAGCAGACATTCTACTTTTCTGTAACAAGACTCCAAAGACAAATCCTTGGGGTAAACCAACGAGTGGAGCGAGTGGATGAGGAGAGCAAGATGGACACGAAGACATTTTTTTTATGTTGTGTTGGTTGATAAGATTCCCGTTTGGACAATCAGAATTTAAAAAAATTTTTTTACTGGACTGACATTTCGCCGTTTTTTCCTCTTATCGGAAGCACTCTCTCTTTGAGAGAATTGGACAACAAAAAGCAAAGATGCCACTCTTGGGTGCTGAATCTCTCCAACACCCATGAACCCACTCTCTCCCGAAACTCAAAAGGTTTCTGAAAATTGTATGTTCAATGGAAATTATTTTTTCCTTAATAGCAAAAAAGGTTTATCCTCAATTATCAGCTCCTCCACCTTCTCAAACTCCGTTGCATCATTGCTTGTTCTTTTTTTTACAAACTCGCAGTTCTGATAAAGTTGAATTTGAGTTGAACCATGCACTTAATATAACCATTGGAACTGCCTTCAAATTCAAATTTCTGAAACAGCTTGCAAAATCTATGTTGATTTCATCCACGAATGGAACCCATGAATGATTGGTATGTTTATTGGTCTTATAACATTCATCTTTAAAAAAATGTCAACTCATCATTTATCGAAAACAAACCACATGATTCAAAACATGATCACCCAATCTGAATCCTTTCATCCTTCCGTTTCTCCAAAAATTATTTCCTCCATTCATGCATTGACTCTTGTCGTTTTAATATTACTTGTTGCATTCCGATTCTTGATTTCAAAATGGATGAAACATTCTTTTCGGATTTTCCAATTCATTTTAGTGGTTTTCAGCTGCACCTTTTCTGTTGTGTCTTTATCGATATTAATTTTTATTCAAATGACACATGTCGTGAATGAACAAAATTTAATTCTATTTCGATTATTGTTGGGAGGAGTGTGCATGCTCATTCCTGGAGCAATTTCTATTGTATTTGAAAGAGAACATCAACCAAAGACTCCCTTTCAATGGAATTTTCAAGAAGGGTTGAAACAATTTGTGGAGTGTTCGAAAATTATCATTAAGGATAAGATTACTTATTTTGGAATTTCCACCATTTTGTTTTTGCAAATCGTGATTCCTTTAGTTTCAATTGTAAGTTAGGAAAGAGAAGTTGTGACAACGTACATTCTTGAATTAATGATGGAATTTTATTTTGAACATGAATAGATTCTAATACCAGGTGTGAAAATTTCATCTTCCTCTTCCTATTTAAGAAGATTTATTTCTGAATTACTTTCAAACATGCCTTCCAATGAAAGTTCATCAACCACTCACACTCTTCTCACCCAACTAGAAAATGATCAGTTTTTCACGTTCTATCTCGTGATCATTGCTACTTCATTACTAAATTTGGGATTGAATGGATTTTTCGGATACGGAGAGGAAAAGTGTTGGATAGAATATTTATGGAATCAATATTGGAATTCTTTTCTCCAAAAGAACGATAAGAATTACATCTTAGAAAGACTTAAAGGTCCATATATTTTCAAATTTATCAAAATTTCTTTATGGATTGGATTCGTTCATGGCTTATGGCATGCACCTTTGATTTTATTAGGACATAATTATGGAATTCCAGAAACGAATTCTCCTAATTGGAAAGGAGTATGGATGATGACTGCAAGTTGTACCTTTCTTTCGCCTCTCCTGTGTTTTTTTCACATAACGGAGCCAATTATCGAGCTCTTCTGCTTCGTGTGATTCTTCAACAGACAAGTCGAACACTCAGGTCGATGATCACTCGTGTGTTCATGAAAAAGTGGTCAAAAACAGAGTGAACGGAATTCTTGCTGGCATTCTTCATGGACTGTTCAATTCATCCTTTGTATTGAGTTTCATGTTTGTGGAGAGTGAAAATGTGTTGTGGGTTGGATCGGTTGGATTGGGAGGTTGTCTCACACTGTTTGGTGATTCTTTCCTGTCAAATGCCAAAATAGTTCAATTCTGAAAGCTCCTTAACCTCAAGTACACACCTTTTCCTCATTCGCATTCACAGAATCCCGTACCTAGTATATTTCCTTGACATCCAATACAATCAAAATCCTTTCCAACTACAATCAAATTGATTGTTTGAAGCTGGACGACGTCCTTTTCCAGAAACTGCACCAAAAATAACTCCGCCACAGCACTCGTATCCGCCACTTTGCAGGCAACGCTCTTTTCTCTGCTGTTGCCAACGGACGTAATAAAAGACGTTGCTCAATGTTGAAGATGATTGTGAGAGGAGGATCAATGATGATGATTCAAATATAAAATCTTGGAACGACTCCGAAAGCTTTTTTCTTCAAAAACAAAAGTGTCCACTTCTACCACTACTCGACGATATCCTAACCGATTGATTCATACTCTTGGAGTCCTCTCGTAAGATCCTTCTCCCAAATATAACCACCAACGAATAATGATGACTACCACCACTCTTGAATGTACTCGTGCAGCCCCTTTCACCTCTAATATTGGAATGATGGTGGATACTTCCTCAGTACGAACCTCATTGAGCTCTTCTCCAACCTCCTCATCATCCACCTCCTCATCATCCTCTCATAAAAAGCATTCTCCCTTGTTTGAGAGAAGACACTTGACTCAACCCTTATCCGTTTCATTGAAACCTTCTCCTTCATCCTCATCTTCCAACAAGTCTTTGAATGGTCCAACCAATTTGAAACCAACCTTTCACCTCTCTCAATATTACACACGAGACGAAATTGAAGAAATTTACTTCCATTGGATTGAAAATACTCATTATATCAAACTCTATGAATAATCACCGTCATGGTTATTCCTAACACCACCACCACTACCATCACCAACACTTCCATTACCACTACTACCACTGTATAAATCCAACATCATTAAACCTCCCTCCCACCCCCACCTCTTCTAAGGATCGTTTCTGTACAAATATATTTACACCAACACATATTGAATGAACTGAGAAAATAAAAAACAATTTTGCCTCAATCATCATTATCCATTCACTGACTACAGTTTGTGATATGGTCAGAAATCACAAAATCACGACTGCTGCAACTGCTACTACAACTGTTTGTGATACTTGGTTGCATGATTTTCCTTGTCATTCATGTTTTCCTTGCACGGAGAGGCAGAAAAGGCAATCGTTGAGAATCCAAGCGACCCTCCATGCATCACATCATCCACCCTCGTTGACCTCAAATTTTGAAATTTCACACAAACTCCGAGGGTCGTTCGTGCTAAAAAAATGAAGAATCTTCGAGAGATGGATCATCAAGAAGAGGAGGAATCTCGCTCGTTATTATTGAACTCGGGTGATGCTGCTGTTTCTCCAAAAAGCTCGACCGATAAGTCTTTTCATGTCAAGGAAGAAGTTTCAATTTATGGTGATAAAAAGAAAAATCCAATTCTCTTACAAATCATCAAATTTAAAAACTTTTATCAATCGGAATCATTGAGAAGAGTGAGAAGATGGGTGGCATTAGTTATTGGAGCATTGGTGATGATTGCATGTGGAACTCAATATTCCTTTTCATCGATCAGTCCATCTCTCAAAAAGTAAGTGTAAAAAGTTTTTAAAAAATCTGAAAAATTTATTAAAATTTATCATGTTCACAAAAGACGTTTCGATTTGACTCAAACCCAAGTGAATACCATTGGAACAGCAGCTAATTTAGGAACCAATTTTAGTTTTCTCTTTTCTTTGATCAATGATTTTTTAGGATGTCGAGCATGTTCTTTTGTTTCTGGCTTGTGTTTATTTACTGCTTACTTTTTAATGTCACTTGCAGTTTCAGGCGCATTGCCATGGGCTGAAAATTATATTGCCTTGTCAGTGTTCATGTTTTTGATGGGAAATGCTTGCGGTGGAGGATATACAGCTGCCATTGTGACAAATATTAAGAATTTTCCAGAAAGAAATCGAGGACTTGTTGGTAAGTAAGAGAGTGAAAAATATTGTCATTCGAATGGACATGATGGGTGTTCCATTCATTGAATTTTTTTCACAATGATCATTCATGATTGACAATACTGTTGGCATCCTGAATGAACATGATGTTGAATATATATACATGTTGAATGAAAATACTACCATGAATACTATACCATGAATGAAAATACTACAATGAATGAATTGATATCAATTCAATAGTGGGTGTCATGGCTTCATGTTTTGGTATTAGTAGTGCCATCTATTCCTTCTCCTATTCCTATATTTTCCAACTCGAATTACAACCTTACATGATTTTCTGTGCCATTTTAGGAGCAGTTGTTGTGATGGGTTTAGGAACCATCTTTTTAGATAGTCATTCATCGGCAGATTCTCCAAAAAAAGAATCAAAAGAAAGTTCTATTAACACATCCGAAGCATCGAGTGAAAATGTGATTGAACAACAAATGACTGAAGAAAGTGTTGAAATTGAAAAGATTAACATGAAAATGAAAGAATTGGAAATGCCAAATTTGAACTCGTTGAAAATGTTAATTTCTCTTGACTTTTATTTGGTGTTTTTGATTATATTTATTGTGATTGGAGGTGAGTGGATCATGACATTAGTATTTGATAACCGTGTGAGAATGATGATATTCTTAACAATACTTATTATTACCTGTGATTCTTTACAAAATATAATTATTGTGACTATTATTCTATTATTATGAATACTATTATTAACAACTCTTTCACAATTTATAGCCGGTATTACTGTCATTAACAATTTGGGTGGAGTGGTGTTGGCCTACGGAGGTTACAATGGACAACAAAACATCATGGTCATTATCTTTTCTCTCAGTAATTGTTCAGGACGATTGATTTTTGGATTTTTGAGTGACAAATTTTTGAATCCAAAACGAAATATCACAAGAATTACATTTCTTGCTATTTGTACCTTAATGATGACGATCGTGCAATTTTTATTTGCAGTCATGCCATTGGGTGGTATTTATGTTTTGGTCATCTTGTTGGGTGTAAGTAGAAGAGGAAGAATATGGGAAGAATTCATTCAAAACATTGTTATTATTGTTATTAATAATAATATTTCACAATTTTACAATTTCATTCCACATGTGAATGCTGACATTTTGATTTCAACTTTGAATGTGACACTTAAAATTTTCTTTGAAACAACAATCATTGACACACAGATTTGTTATGGAGGTACTTTTGCATTGACTCCAGCCTTCAACAGTGAAAGATTTGGTTCTAAATATTTCGGTATGAACAGCACCATTCAAAGTATGGCAGCCTCACTTGGAAGTTATGCCTTCTCGACAGGTATGGCAGGTGCCATCTATCAGGCCAATGTGGTTCCACCAAGAACTCTCACATGTCATGGAAGAGATTGTTATGAAGGAACATTTTTCATCTTGTCGTTTTTATGTTGCATTGCATTGGTTTTTTGCATGATTTTGCAATATAGAACCAAATGGCTTTATTCTACCATGTATAGAAGGAAGTTACTTGCTCATCGTTTAGAAACACTTGAGAAACAACAAAAGGTTTAATAATATGATATTCGATCAATACAAACTTACTATAAATATATATTGTGACTACTACTCATACTACTGATGGATATTTATTTTGATTGCTGGTTGTGATAAACCATTTTTTCAACGTCCCAGCCTGCTAATTTGCAGTGACGTCTGCTTCCCAATTAGCTTCCATCTTTTGGACTCGTTGAGTGTTGATTTGTTTGATGAACAATTGGAGATGGACCATTTTGTTTATAATTATAAGTTGTAATGATGTGTGTTCTCGAGATTATCTTTTTATTGTTGAATTGTTCAACTAATCCTTCCTCTCACCAACTAAAACAACTAACGAGTTTTTTGCAGGGTTCATCTCTAAAAGAGAAACTAGGAGATGAATAGATGGAAGTAGTCAAGATGGTTCATCACTTTAACTTCTCGCTTTGAGGATACAATTTCTATTGTATTAAAATGAAAAAGTAGGATCAAATAAATTGATGATCAAGTCATGCATTGCTTAATTGAACGCACACACATTAGAAAGAGTACTCTCCGTTTGAAAATTTCACATCTTTAAAAAAAAAGAGAAAACACATTTTCGTGTCTTTCTCCGAATGTGTTCTTCAAAAGATTCATTTCAAAAAAAAAAAATGAGCGTCTTTTACAAATTTAAGTCCGCCAAAGACTATGACACCATCCCTTGCGAAGGAACAGGTGTGAGTCTTGGCAAACTCAAACAAGCCATCATCACACAAAGCAAACTTTCTAAAACCATGGATTATGATCTTGTTGTTCAGAATGCCCAATCGGGTGAGGTTTACAAGTATGACCAAGATATTGTACCAAAGAATACATCCGTATTGGTGAAGAGAGTGCCTCTGAATAAAGGTGGTCTCGGATCGGCTAATAATAACCCCAGTGCGAATGCCCAGCCTGCTGTTGTTCCTCCAAATTTATCATCAATTAATACACCAACATCATCATCAGGAAGTACTAAAAGCCTCACGGGATCTTTGTTATCGAGAAGTACAACAACGTCATCATCATCAACAAGCGGAAATACCGCAAGTACTGGTCAACCTTCGTTTTCATCCCTTTTCCCATCACTTGGAGGAAATACGAGCGGTGAACAACCCAAAGAATTCAATGAGGAAGAAAAATTGAAAGCTGTTTTGACTGGTATGACGGAAAAGTGGATTCCTGAGACATCTACTCAACATCATCATTCTCATTCAAAAACTCGTGGTGGCGTTCCTCCACCTAATTATATTTGCCATCGTTGTAAAAAACCTGGCCATTACATCCAAAATTGTCCAACCAATGGAGACCCCAGATACGATATTAAAACAATTCGTAGAGCAACTGGTATTCCAAAGAGCTTCTTGACTCCTGTTGAGACTCCACAAGTTGACCTTTTAAGCGGATCAGTTGTCACACTTGGAGGAAATTTGGCTGTTGTATCTTCGAATGATCAAATGTTTGCTAAAGCTATTGGAAAAAGATCTAATATATCAGAATTGAAAGATATTCCAAAAGAATTTCAATGTCCTTTATGTTCCAAACTATTCAACGATGCTGTTACCATTCCGTGCTGTAAAACCAATTACTGCAATAATTGCATAACTCATGCTTTAATACATAATAATTTAACATGTCCAAATTGTCAATCTCCTGAACAGTCTATTGATAGCTTGACTCCAAATTATGAATTGAGAAACAAAGTGGAAAAATTTAAATTAACATTAGATCCAGATCTTGCAAAAGCAACTGATACTAAGGATACATCAAGTACACCTCCACCAACCACCTACAATTCTAGAAGCAATGTTTCTGATCACAAGAAACATCTATCTCAACACCAGCAACAACAACACGCACCTAGGAATAATTATCCACCATCTAGTTCATTACATCAACCTCCTCAACAACAACAATATTATTCTGGTGGAGACAATAAACAAAATCTCCCCTCACAACAGAGTAACATCAGCCGTGGACATCCTTCAGATCATAAACATGGTAAATCTTCACCTCAGCGAGACAATTACGACAGAAGAGGAACTACCTCGGCTCCTTATTCTTCTTACAACAGAAGCACTTCACATGATTCATACGACCATAGAAGAGATGGTAGACGAGACGATAGAAGAGACGATAGAAGGGATGATCGGAGAGATGACAGAGATTACAGAAGAGGAGGCGATTATCATAAGAGAGATCGATATGAAGGTCGTAAAGATTATGGCGATTATCACGATTACGACAGAAAGAAGAGAAAGGATTAATTTTGCAGTTTTATTTCTACGAGTTGAAATTGATCGTGTATATTTATATGATTATTATTCATACTAGTTCAATAAATTATTTTCTTTTTCAACCGAACTTGAAAGCTGTTTACTTAATTTAGAATAGGAAAGAAACAATTAATCCAATCATGACGGATGTCATCATCACACTCACAACACCACCACTTCTCTGCCCACCTTCATTACTCTTCTTTGGTGTTCCACATGTACTTCCATTCGAATAGAAATCAATTCCACTCGGATAAATGGCATGAAAATCATGAACCACAAAATTGGTGGGACTCAAAGGTTGTTGACTTGATTGAGCCGCTAACAAGAGAGTGGTTTTAGTTCCCTTCGAGAATGCATAATAAGTACTTGGAGCATTTTGAGGTCGACTCAATGCTCTCACCAATGTGATGGTCGTCGTGGAACCAGTGGTCAAGGAAGTGGCTGAAGTGAATTGATTCGCGGAGAGTTTACTGGGTTGAAAGTTTCCACTGGCATAGTACTAGATTGTCGTGATCATCATTTTGACGTTACTCATCAAACTTACTTCATTTATGGTTCCGTTTCCACTCGTTCCATATCCCAAGACAATGGTTGCTCCTGTCATTTCACTTCCATCACTGGGTGTTTTAAATCCAACAGCTCCCCAACCTCCTGCATTATTGAGAGTGAATCGAGCACTTAATTGGTTTTTGGTTTCATCCAACGTCCATTCCACTTTGTTAGCTCCGAACATTTGACAGTTGCTGTAAGTCTGAGCGTTGACATTTAACAGGCAGAGAGACAAGACCAACAACAAGAGAGAATAATGAAGAGAGGTCATCAAAGTTTGTGTTTTTGTTGTTTTGTTGATGTTGATTTTAAAATGATATTCTGAAATCTTGCCAAATATGACAGTTGGCGGATTCCAATACATTTATACGCCCTCGTCATCTGTTGGATTGGTTAAGAATATTTCCTAAAGGGAACTATTTCCATTTGGAGAAATTTAGAACACCAACATCTATATCAGTATGATGTATTATTGTGCATGTTCATATTTGCCACCCAACAACCACACACACTAAAGAAATATGTTCTCTCCAAACAAGTGGTCATGTTTGACAAGTGAAAGGTCAACGAATTCATTTTTATGATTGAACACAATCTTCTAAAACATCAAAACAATCAATCCAACGACAACTCCCCACACAGTTGCCACCAATCTCTCAGAATTGGCATCATTGGTTTTCTTACTATTCGAAGCCATTGGTTTCTTTGCACTCGTCGACACTTGTGCTTTCTTGGACGAAACAGGAGTTGGCATTTGACAGGCTTGAATATTATTATTAAAGAAATCAGTGGCATTAATTTGAATATATCGAGCACCATGTGTTGCGTTATTGCATCTGGATTACTTGGAAGAATGTTCGAAGAGGCAAATAAAAGTGTCACATTTTCACCCTTAATGAATTCGAAATACGTATTTGGAGCATTGAGAGGTCGAGAGATAACGAACAAAGGAGATGATGGTTGTGGAATCAGAAAGGGAAGTATTAGCAGAAATGAATTGATTGTTGATTCTGGTTGGTTGAGAATTGGCATCGGCATAGTACTGGAGAGTGTGAAAATTGGCAAGTGACAGAAGTGTTCATGGACGGTATGGATAGTTTAAAGTAATTGGGTGATCATTAAATATTCGAACATACATCAAGCAAATGTTCAATCATCAATAACAACACTCATCTCATTGACATTCGTTCCTCCATAACCCAATGTAATAGTAGCTCCAGCCATTCCATTTCCTGAAATTCCTCTTTTGAAACCAACAGCTCCATATCCAGGAGAACTTGGAATGGTAAATTGGGCACTGATTTTATTGTTTGCTTCATCAATGGTCCATTGAACTTTGTAATAGTTATTGATGAGTTGGCAACTAGAATAACTGGTTTGAGCCAATAGGAAGGTATTGACAAGTGACAGTGTCAGAAAGAGTTCACCTGATTATTGACAAAATCCACTGCCAATGAATAAAACATGGTCGAATCATGTTTCGAAAAGGGTTGAGGAGATGAAGTGTCCTTCAAGTGGCAAATAACAAGGTGGTGTATGTTCCCTTTGAAAAGGAATAATAAGTGGAAGGAGTATTTGGGGGTCGAGATAAGCTTGGAAAGAGGGTCAATGTGGTCACGGAATTGGTAGAAGTGGTGGTAGTTGAATTGGAAGAGAGAAATTAATTGGTGATTCTTGAAGATTGACCATTCGTATCTGCGTAGTGCTGTCATTTGGTGTGAAAAGTGTAAAAATTAATTTTACGGTATTCATAAATATTTTCTCTGAATATTATTTTACTTTTGTAATCCATTACGGCAAGTGGTGTTCATCGGGTAAATTTTTGGCTCAACCGAGAAGCACATATGTTTGATGATGGGGGATGAAGAAAACCACTGATTTTTCAGCTATCAGCAGTTGTTTCATTTTGAAGGACTACAAAGATGTTGGAACAGGTTAAATTCGGGTTTTACCCGCAAAAATGTCAGGCAAACGGATTCCTGATATAACTAAACTACGTTCATCGAATAATGATGATGATTGAAAACGACGACCTTATGATTTTTTGTATTCGATTATAATATGAATGTCATGCTTGTTGATTATCGAATCGTACCACTCTGTCCGTTTAGCTTGAAAGAACTAATGACCAAGGTAAGGAAAAAATGTTCTTCCCTCACAAGCTTCAACAGTTATGGGTTTCCTGTTGTGTTCTCTTGGTTTTGGCTTGCTTTTCACTCGAGTTTAGGGTTTCGTCAGCACAAACAGGTAATTGTACAACAGGTTGGACTGGCTTTCAATGCTCTATTTCTACAACTTGTCCAAACAAAGATGGCTGTTTTACGTATTCTGTATCAAATGTGATGACGAATTTGGAGTCATCGCTTTATGACGTTGCCATTGATCCCATGAGTGGTGATTACTTGGTGAGTGTTGTGGGATATATCTATAGAATCAACTCTACTACTCTAGTGAAGACCGTTTTTGCAGGAGATGGTACTCAAGGTCTTGCAGTGAACTACGTCTCAGTTTCGGGCGCCCGGTTTCATGATGCCAGACAATTGTTTGCCACCAACAACTATGTGTATGTGGCTGATTCTTACAACTATATAGTGAGACAAATTGATTTAGCTACTAACAATATCACTTTATCTATCAAGATACACCTATTAGAGGTATCAACGGTGTTGCTCCGGCAAAAGATGACTCTGTGGTCTTTATTTGTGACGAATGAAGAGGACAAGTCATTAAATGGACGAGAAAAGACAACAAAAGTATTGTGGTAGCATCAGGATTGAATTATCCATTGTGAATAACACTCACCCCTGATGGAGACTTGTTCATTGCTGATACCTGGAATCATGTCATTAGAAAACTATTTGCGAATGGAACTTTGACCATTTTTGCAGGAACTCTGGGTCAACCAGGATATGGTGGTGATGGTGGTCCTGCAACTTCAGCACTTTTAAGATTTCCACAAAGTGTTGCATACAATAGCATCCTGAATGAACTTTACATTGTTGACAGACATAATCATGCAATCAGAAAAGTTGACATGAATGGAATAATCAATACTGTGGCAGGTAATGGTCTACCTGGAGCACCTGGTTATTTTAATGTCCAAAAGGTATTGTTTAAATATCCTGTTGAAATGACGTTTCATGGTTCAAAACCAGAATTCCTTATAATAGATACAGATAACCAAGTATTGCGAAAATTGACCATTGGATGTGGGAGCAGCAAGTCCTATTTCTTGTCTTCTGCCTTTTCCAAATGTCTACCACAGTGTTATAACAAGAAAGGAGATAATCCTAGTGTTTGTCGTGGCCATGGCACATGTATTGCACCTAATCAATGTAAATGCAATGTGGGATACTATTCCAGAGAGTGTGACTTGTATCAATGCAACGGAATCCTTTTCAATGATACTCAAGTTTGTTCAGGAAGAGGTACTTGTTACGGTCCAGAAAATTGCACATGCAACCCAAATTATGGTGGCCAGTTTTGTGAAAATCACTACTGCAATGGAATTTTAAACTCTAGCTCGAGTGTTTGTTCTGGACATGGTATTTGCTCTTCTCCTAACAATTGTACATGCAATGCTGGTTATTATGGCAAAAATTGTGAAATGAATGATTGTAATGTTGTTCCGTTTAATTCATCCTCTGTTTGCAATAATGGAAGTGGAATTTGCATTGGCCCAAACACATGTCAATGCAATTCTGGTTACTATGGCTTCGTTTGCTCTGAACCATTATGTTTTGGAATTCCTGCCTCTAATAGGAGTGTTTGTGGATTCCATGGCAAATGCATTGCTCCTAATTTGTGTCAATGCGAAAACAGCCAATGGGTGGGATTTGATTGTTCGGTTCCAACTTGTTTTCAAACTGAAGTGATCAATGGAACTTTACAATGCAAGAATGAAAGTCAAAATAGTGACATTCATTCGATCATTAAGCAACAATTTCAAGTGGAGACTTTGACCAATGTGACACAATTAGACTCAAAGAATGTCACTTTTGATAATTTTCAAAATATTCTTGTTCAATTTCCTTCCAACATTTCAAAACAAATTTCCAATGATGTAACAAGTGGAGGAGGAGGAACATCCATGATTTCACTCGTTGTGACCATTTCACAAAATGTGACTGCATTGAAAGAAGAAGTTCGACAAATTCTTTCACCGATTGTGAAAATTGTTCTTTCAAAAGGAAATGGAGATGAAATTCAAGTGAAAAATTTGACTCATGCCATTGAAATTTCATTTCCAAATGTGACCAATCAATCTGAATTGGGATGTGTTTATTTTGATGAAATTCAACAAGAATGGAGTCCTGAAGGAATTGTTTCAAAATATGACTCAATTTCACAAACAATGAAATGTTGGACCTCACATTTGACATCATTTGCAGTGATTGACATGAATTTCAAGAAGACTTCCAACAAAAACAATCCAAAACCTCCCTCTCCAACTCCACCACCCTCCTTTTCAGTTCAAAAAGAAGAAAGAGCTCAAGTTGAATCTGCAGCTGCCATTGCTGCCACTGTTTCAGTGATTGGAGCACTATTAGTGTGTGGAGTCATTGTTGTCATCACCATTGTCATTGTTATGTTATCCAGAAGAGCAAAAAAGAAACAAGAAATCTAAACTTGTCTCAATTTACTATCGTTCTCTCATTTTCTTTTTAGCATGAACGAATCTCTAGTGATCAACACTCATTGACATTCTTTCGATCGTTCCGAATATGGTCTCTCAAAAAATCTCATTCCAAATCAATCCCCACATGAGCGCTTCCTCTCCATTATGTATGTAATTTAGGATTCTCCAATGGAATGTCGAATCCTCATCATCCTATTATTATGATCATTATTATTATTAGTATCATATTATAAAAAAATGAGTAGTGTGAGCCTTCTCTATTCCTCGCTCAATGATTTGAATCAAGCAGCCATCGCACAAGTGATGGAAGTTGATGATGATACTCCTCTTGAGATTTATTTTACTACGGCTCGGAATTTGTTGAAAGAAGCAAAATTATGTCGGGAATCTCAAGATTTAGAAGGAATGTACAAGTGTTTAATTCAGTATTTGATTTTGGTGGTTAAAAAGTTGCCTTCCCACAAGGATTTAAATGTGGATGAGGATCAAGAAGAATCCGATGAATATATTAAATGTAAACAAGAATATGATTATAACTTTCAAAAGTGTGATCTAGTAAAACAGGAAATTGAAAAACTGAGAAGTCAACTTAATGATCTCTATGAAGAACAACGAAAAGCTAAAGCCAAAGAACGATGGGCAAGCTTACAAGACTCGGATTCTTTGAGAAGGAAAACAGTGATTCAGCCAATTGTGCCAACTGTATCTGTAAATGCAACGACAGACAAATTACCACTTCCTGCATCTCCAAGTGTTTTAAACAAGAGATTTATCATGTCAATAAGATCATCAAATCCAAATATTATTTGCAAGACGCCAACCATGATTGCACAACGTTCACGAAATGATCCAAATAGAATTGTTCGTGTTCGATTACTTCCAGGTATTATTGCACACGAGGGGGTTCACACACCAACAAGTGTCTATCATTTGGTCACACCCAAGCAAATGAAAGACAATTTTGAAAATTACATGCCTCAACCACAGCAACCACTCCGTAAGATGTCCAAACAACCACCTGCATTCCCAAACTCGTACCAAAAGCCAACCAATCACCCTCCATCTAATACGACCTATCAACAACAACAACAACCGGTCTATCAACAACAACCTACGATGTATCAACATCCACCAATGTTTCATCCACAACAACAACAACAACAGTACTCAACTTATCAACAAACCACACCGGTAGTTCAGTACACTCCATCGTCACAAACCTATTCTACATCAATTTATCCACAATCTTACTCTCAAAATAACTATGTTGAGAGTACATATTCAAATGCAGTAGAAAATGTTGCATATAATGAGAGAGTTCAGGAATATGTCGGAAAACAAGTTGGAAACTTGGCAACCAATGAGAAAGTTCAAAAACAAGTTGGATCATCTATTTCCAACGCTGCTAAAAATCAACAAGTGCAATCTACAATTGGAAATGCTATTGCCTCGAGTTCTGACAATTCTCTTGTTCAATCTTTAGCTACCAATCAACAAGTACAATCTACCGTTGGAACTGTTATTGCCAACACAGCTGGTAATGAACAAGTCCAAAAGGCAGTTGGAAATGCAATTCATAGAGCTGCCAATGACAAGGAAATGCAAAAGAAGGTTGCTAAAGGATTCGTCAGTGTTGCTAAAGGCGCTTTTTCAGCAACAAAAGCAGGTGCTAGCTTAGGCTACCAACTTTACCAAGAAAATAATCAGAAATGATTTTTCCTCATTCCCAATTTTGGAAACCTATTCTCTTGATTTTGCTCTATTGCCTCCTATTTATTATTAATTTATTGATCCCATTTTGTGTCACAAATCTATAAATTTGATTTTGAACAAGCATTCTTGCTGTTTACATCTTTACGGAGTTAAGAGTGACACAGTGGTTTAAGGTTTGCGAAAATTTTCTGATGTGTCATTGTGATTATTGTCATCCATTCTTTCATTATTAATATTAAAAAAATGGCACAACCATCAATCTCCACCTCTTCCAAATTGTCGGAAACAATGACAACACCTAAAAGAGAAAATTCACAATCGATACCGAAACGAATAATTTCAGATTTAGAGAAAATTGAACCTAGATATTTCCGAACTCGATCGGGAAGTTTTGATATCTCAAGTTTTAAACATCATTTAAAATCGGATTTTAAACATTTCCAAAAGAAAGACCTTTCATCAAGAGAATTTTTCATTTATGGAATCATTTTGGCAGTGATACCGTTCTTTATTTTGATATTCTTCATGTTAACATATTTATGTTACTTGTCTCCGAGATTATGTCCAGTTATCCATGTTAACACAAGTTTCACATCACAAGAGAACAATACTTTCATAGAGTCTCTTTTGTGGTTGATTTCGTGGTGGTTTTATGAAGATATATACTTTAAATTTTTAATTCCGATGGCCATTCCTGTTGTTGTGTTATTCATTTACTTTAATTGGAGGTCATTCCAAGAGTTTAAATACAACTAGACAAATACAACTATCACTACTACACAAGAAAATTTGAATATTTTAGGAAAGACAGAGAAATTAATTTAAAATTAATTAATTTAATAATTTACATCTAGTTTGCATGAATTTCCAAAATTGAAAAGAGAAAATTGTCACAAAATTATTCGTCATCTTCTCTCTCAATGACACCAAAACCGAGTAACTTCTTTCTAAGAGTCGTCGTCGTAAAGTTTGCTCCACCCAAGTCATCCAAACCAACAATAGAATCATCTGTTCGTCCATTCTTGATGCACACAATTGTTGGCATCATCCAGATTTTCAAATGTTCTACAACAATAGGACATTGCTCTCCATCCACCTTAATAAACAGAGTTTCTAAATGTTTTGGAGCAATCTTTTGTAAATGACTCAATACAATATCACAGTAACTATTCGATGGTCTATAAAACAAGACAACAACGTATTTGTTGTCCTTCACATGTTGGAAAAATTCTTTGGCATCTCTCACATCCATAACTTTTCCGTGTCCCTTTTGCATCCATTCTTGTTTCAATGAATGTTTTTGTTTTAAACTTTCAAATCTCTTTTGTTTGAGCTTCATGTAATCATCATCGGTCATTTCATCGAGTTCTCTCAACTTTTCATCAATGGTTTTCTCAATGATTTGAGCCGAAGCAAGGAGGGCGTTATCTAACACTGCTTGTTGTGCGCTCATGATGATTCCGATGTTGTTTTAGGCGCCTAAGAGGAGAAGGAATGTGGAATGATTTTTTTGAATAGTGAACAGTGTTTTTTTGTATTTGTATGAAACATGTTGTAAAAATTGGCGGGCTTGGGTAATACAAATTATTCAAAGGCAATGTCGCATTAGTATTTATAGTAATATGTCGTATTAATTACATGGTGGATATAAATGTTACAGCTTTGGAGCAATCATTTCAATAAATAATGAATTTCTAATTGAATAAATTCTAAATTGAATGATTAGAGAAAGTATTATTGTTGATCCATGACATCTAGTTGTGACGATTTGTTCAAATTACTTGATCTACTTGGATGCCTCACTTTTAATCGATTATTCGTAACATCTTCAATGGAGTGTGAAACACTCTGTAAATAATTTTCAGCAAGTTCAATCCTCTGTTTCAAAATTTGTGTTTGAATTTCATTTTGTGTCTGGTAATCTTTCAGTCGATTCATTTGATCATCCTGTGAACGAATAAGCGTTGGTAATTCATCCAACATTTTTTCAAATTCCAAACAAGCTGCAACTAAATTCTCTCCTGCTGTGGAAGCCTCTTTTTTCAATTGCTCCGGTGTCCATACTGCTTTACTTGTATCGGAAACCATTGGAATGTTATTCATAATTTGATAATCCGTTATAGCTGGAGGAGCATCTCTTTGTAACACTCCGAGAGCATCAACCATCACTCGAGAAATTTGGCAGAGTTTGTCTTGCAAGTGAGTAATCTTATCACCCATGATGATAATTTTACAGCTTCAAATATTTTTTTTAATTCTTCGTGAAAAGCCTTTAGGAAATCTTTCATGATGAGAATCTTCTTCCGAAGGGAGAGGAATACTTTGCATTCCTGATTCATCTCATCACGAAAGAACTCGTAAAGGCTTGAAAGAACATGTTCTCTTGGGTTCATTGATGTAATTAATCATTATATCGAAATAGAGAAAAAAAGCAACAAAAATGCTCCACAAGACGGTTGATGATCCGAATAATACATCCTTTTCATCATCAACGAGAGAAAATGCTTCCTCATCATCGTATCCGAATAGACAAGCAGAGATTGAATCACTCAAATCACCATTTAGTACAAAACCCGTAACATTGGAAGAGGTGGAGAAAGAGGTTTTAGCACAGGGTGTATTTGATAATTGGTGCGACCGTTTGTTTGCAGAGTTTGATAAATCGGTAAGTGGTAGTTTGAATGGATCTGAATGTATTCAGTAACGAGCTAACTGATCCGATGATATTTCTGTTGTGAATTGATGATACATTGATGATTTACACAACATTCCGATGTATGGTGATATCTCATCGATTCCGATATGTTCAACCAAATCTTATTGCAAATATTACAATATTATTCATTATGTAGGGATTGAAACAAGACCTCTTAAAAGATGTTTCCTCTCTTCTCGAACAAATTCTCAATACTAATCAAAGTTCCAGAGAAATACCCTCTGTTCAAGAATTACTTTCTCAAATTGATCGAAACGAAGATATTCAACGAAAATTAAAATGTTGGATACACAGAAATTTATATCCACATCTCAGAAATGCACCAAACAACAGACGTGATATTATTCCAGAAATTGCAACAGAAATTGAGAACACTATTGATGACACAATTCGAGAACTACAAGATAGTGCCTTTACACAAACTGAGAAAAAGATAAAGAGCTTAGAAAGGACAGAAAGATTGGAGCAAAAAGCTTCGACTTATAAACACCTTACAGAGGAATTAACAAAAGTAGATGAAAAAGTTTTGGATGAAGAACAACTAAGTGGACTAGTTCATGCTAAGCTGAAGAGAAAAGAAAAGTCATCTAAGGATGTGTGGGACGATGAAGAGGTAGAACTTTCTGTAGAGCACACCAAATTCATTACACATGATTCTAATGTGAACGAGGAATTATTTCCAATGAAGAAACGAAAATATACCAACCTCAATACTTCAAGTAATACAATCACGGCTTCCTCTGTTGCTCCAACAACAAACACTGACTCTGAAAGTAAGAAAGAATAAACAATTCATGAAGCAAAAGATCAACTTTTTATGATTGGCTAAAGGAGAAAACTACGAACAAGTGAATGCGCTGGAAAAAAATGTTTATTGGACGAAAGCTTTAACACAACTCGAACGTGTCAAAAAAACCATAGCTAATCTTAGAATTGTTTAATTTTCTTCTTGTTTGAAGGAAGGCAAACGTTATCAAACTCGTGTTGATAACACGTTGATGTAGAAGGCTTTGGATGTTCTTTTCTCTTCTTTGGATTTTCGCGTTCACTTTCAGCCTTTCTCATCTCGATTTGTTGTTTTACCCAATTTTCATTCAAAGGGGTAACGTGTGAGGGAAGAGTAACAGTCGATTCGTGTGGTTGTGGCGATTGGGTGAACCAAGGATGATTAAGAGCTTGTTTGGCAGAGATACGTTCACGTGGGTCTAACTTTAAAAGTTTTTCGAGGAGGTCTACAATTTGGGGATTGTAGTCAGCAAATTCCTTAAACCTTAAGCGGAGCGTATTTGGAATGGGTTTGTTTGAGAAATATTCCTTGAAGGTCGAATGCTTGCATGCATCAGGCCAATTTCGTTGATTTGGAGTTCCCAGAATTTGGAAAATCTTACTCAATTGCTCAATTTCATCAGAACCAGGAAAGAGTGGAGTTCTCAAGAGTAATTCAGCAAAGATGCAACCCAAACTCCACATGTCAACTTCTGCGCCGTATCTGCTTGTACCATGTCTATCAACCAAGAGTTCAGGAGGTCTATACCACAAAGTGACAATATTTCTGGAAAAATGTTGTACTAGCCCAAGTTCTTCAGGATGGATACGTCTACTCAGATTGAAATCTCCAAGTTTAACTTGTCCATCAGAGTGTAAGAACACGTTAGATGCTAGTAATTTTAAAAAGTGTTGTGTTAGGGAATGTAAAGCAAAAAAAGAGATACCATACTTTTTAAATCACAGTGGACTGAGCCACTTTCATGAATAAAAGCAAGAGCACTCAATAATTGCTTCATTACAGACTTGATAAATGCTTCATCTAACACAGACTGCAAGCAATTGACAACTCCAGAGAGGTCATGAGGTACGTATTCCATCACCATACAAATTGTACTATCATCATCAGTCATGAACACGTCTTGGAGTGCTACAATGTTCTGATGTTTGAGAGAACGTAGGTGAGTCAACTCTCTAACTACAGCAATGGGAATACCGTCTTCATCGTTGGCAAGTCTAATAGTTTTAATAGCTACCAACTTGTTGTTGGAACGGCATCTTGCAGAGTAGACACGCCCATATGCGCCCGAACCAATTTCAACAACCTCCTTGTATTTATCCCACTCGACACTAGATAGAACAACACAACAACAACGATGCGGCGATGAGTAGTATCATGATGTAAGTTTATGAATATAAAAAACAAATAACAACAACAACAAAATACAACACCACCATCATCACGAAGCAGAATAAAATACAAAAAATAGAGACATAGAGATGACGATGGTAAACAACAAGAAGCCATAATTTCATCATAACAATAATGAAAAGACAATATGATGATGAAAATTTAAATGGCGGTTATAAAAAATCGCGAAAACACGTGGATGATGACTTGTACGTACCTTCTGAAAACTCCAGAAGCAGAGCTGGATGAACGAGAGGATGTGTTGAGTTGAGGCATTTTTGCGGTGAAAGGCGATGACAAAAATAACCGCCAACCGTTTTTTAAAATAGATTGGAGGTGATGTCTTCAAATTCGAAAAGCAAGGCTTGTTTTTATTCACGAGAGAAATTCAGAACGAGCGTGAGAGTGGTCACACACGACAGCCAATCACCAAATCCACCTAAAGGGTTACAGAATGTATAAAACTTGCTTTGAAATCTTCAAAGATACCCTGTTGTATACATTCACGAATCTTTTTAAAGAAGGAAAGATATCTGTGAAGATTGTGCCTGTAGTTGTCGTGTCAAAATGATATTTCGATGTAGAAAAAGAGTCACGTTAAGTGCCTTATTGCAAAAGGTACTTACATGGTCAGCAAAATTTCCCCTAACATTTCATGAGTGTTCAACAAGTGATGAATATAAGCCTTTGTATGATTTCTACAGGTGAAACACTTGCATTTTGGATCTAGTGGAGAAATATCTTTTTCATAATTTCGATCTCTTAGATTAATTGTCATGTTGGATTTTTGCAAAGTGTTGTGATTGTTCGAGGAGTTTGTGTTCACAACTTCGTCCACTGGATACACACACGCCATTCCCATTTCTGCTGCAATAAAAGGATAAACTCCATCAAACAGGTCGACACCCTTTGCAACACATTCTAACACTTCGAGAGGATGATCTTTTCCAGAAATAAATAATAATAGTTTTTCTACATCACATTTCTGTTTGGTCTTGAGATGTTCCTTAATTTTGTCAATTTTCTCTAAATTATCCATTTGTGCAATATCAATATTAATTCCTTTGATATTATTTGTATTTGAGAAATATTCTTGCGGCAGCAAGGTTGTCATCTCATCGTTGACATAAAAAACAGAATAAAACATCTCTGGAATGTGTAAAGACTTTCCAGAGTCAACAATTTCTTGTCTCTTAACGACACAGTGTTGTCCCCATTTCTCAGAGCACGTTTTGGCTCGCTTCCATTGCTTTCCACTTCCAAAAGAGCCATTCACAGCACACTTTATACTCGTGTCATACATTCCAATAAATAAAGTTGGATTAAAAAGGGTGAATGTCTGGCTTGTGAACTCATCAGCTGATGTCTTGATTCTTCCCTTGTCTAAATCTGCGTAAATTCCCTTCTCGTTGGCATGGCTGGTTGGATACGGAAATTCCACATTCCGAATTGTCTGAAAGAGTGGATACTTTTCTAAATGTAAATAATTTGAGAGAGTTTTTTCTGGATGATCCTTTTTGTACTTTACCAATACATCAAGGCTTGGATTTTCCATCAAATCCCAATAATTAATATTCAAAATGACACTTTCATTAGAGCCTAGCACATTTTCAATCAATTCATCAAAATGGTCGCAAGTAATAATTGGAATTGCTCCTCTCCGAGTATGAACAATATAGGCAGGAGTACAATACTCCTTATCAGGAAATTGTGGGAATGAAATAGAGCCGGTTCTTGCCTGTGATTGCGAGGAAAAAGATGAAAGCGAGAATTGCATTTTTTTTATGGTGATTTTGTTTGATCGGATTTTTGTTTGGATGATTCAAAGAACATTAATTCACAAATCTTTAAAATCAAATTCAAAAAGAGTGAGGAAGATTAAGCTCGACATTGAAGTCATGACAAACACTGGTCAACATGATGATATTTTTAGTCTTTGTCTTGATTGATCTTCAACAATTTCAATTTCAAAAAAAATGACTCAAGCCAGAAGGCATCAAGCCTTTAGCGCACAGCAAAAGAAACAACAACTTCAAGATAAACGGAAAAAGAAGAAGGAAAAGGAGGAAAGGAAGGATGAAATGTATGATTGGTCCAAATGGAAGGAAGTTAGTTATAATGACAAAGGAGAGAATGAAGATCATGATGTTGATCAACAACAACATGTTGCAACAATGAACATTCCGAAGGCGAATCCTTTGGAAAGAATGGGTGAATCGTTTGAAGAAGAGCCTGAAATGAATGTTGAAGATGATGCTGGAAGCTCTGATTCATCTTCGGAAGAGGGAGACTCGACATCATCAGGAGACGAAACAACTGATAAACAAGATCGAGAATATACATCCATGGTCACATCGGAATATAAGCTGAAAACTAAATTTGCAAAAGAAAGTGAGGATATTATACAGAAAAGAAAGATGGAAAGCTTACGACCATTGGAACCTTATTTAAGCCGTCCACCAAAGTTCAAGTCACTCCAAGCCGAGGTGAATGAAGGATTTTCAATGATTCCTATGCCAATTCAGCCACCGATTACTCCTGGCATGACAAAAGAACAAGTCGAGCGGATGGAAGAAAATTACTTTAAGAAATATCTTAGTGAACAAATTTATGGAAAATACAAGCAAGAGGATTTGAATTACTTTGAAGAGAACGTACATGTTTGGAAGCAGCTGTGGAAAACCATTGAATTGTCAGATATTCTTTTTGTGGTTGCCGACATTAGACATCCACTTTTTCATTTCCCTCCTTCTCTGTATGATTACATCACCAACGTTTTAAAGAAACCTTTCATGTTAGTGTTAAACAAGTGTGACTTGATTTCACAGGAGAAACAACAACGATGGGCCAAGTGGTTCAAAGACAACTATCCAAACGTGCAAGTGTGCTTATTTACAAGAGGAACCGGCTCAGGTAAAAAAACAAAAAGTAAGGAGGTCAAATTGGAGGAGCTTAAAATCGAAAAAGGTTATGCGAAGAATATTTGGCGAGTTGCCAAGTCTCTATACGAATCTTTCCACATTGAAAAGAACAAAAAAAGCAAGGAGGAGGAGCAAGAGATTGTTGCTCAGCTTGTAAAGGAAGATTTTGATGGTTTGATGGCTGATTGTGACAAAGCTGAGCTACCCACTCCAAAACCAAAATTGAAAATGAAGAAAAAATTAAGAAAAGAGCGAGAGGCCAGAAAAATGGGAAATATTCCTGCTGAGGAGGAAGAAGCATCAAGTGAGGAGGAAGAAAAAAGTGACGAGAGCGAACAACAAATTGATTTAGATAAGAGATATGACGGATGTGTGATTGGCTTTGTTGGACATCCCAACGTAGGAAAGTCAAGTATTATCAACGCACTCACAGGAAAAAAGGTTGTTTCGACATCGTATACTCCTGGTCACACCAAACATATCCAAACTCTCTATTTGGAAACCAAGAATAAGATGATTCAATTTTGTGATTGTCCAGGATTGGTATTTCCTGCCGTCGGTGTCTCCAAAGCTCTTCAAATTTTATGTGGAATTTATCCAATTAGTCAAGTGAGAGATCCATACAGCGTTGTTCGATTTTTGGCTGAGAGAATTGATCTAGTGAGGCTTCTCAAACTGCAACAAGATGAATATGACGCTGAAAATAACATTCCATGGTCTGCATGGACGTTATCAGAGGCATATGCTCGAAAGAGAGGATACATGACAAAGAAAAATGCACGACCTGATGTGTACAGAGCTGCTAATGAACTCTTACGTCGTGTCTTAAAAGGTGATGATCCAGCCTTAATATTAGCGTTTGATCCCCCAGGAACAGAGATTTCTAAAAACCAACAAGATAGTAATGCCTCAGCAAATTCATCCTCTGATGGACAGACCAATCAAAAAAAGAAGCAAAAGAAGAAGAAAAATGATGTAGATTATATCAAAGAATTGGAAAGAGACACAATGAATCTTTCTCTCGATGATGAACAGTAGGAATGAAACTATTGCTACACATGTGAGTTTTGGAACATCATCTCTTAAGAGTTGTCTCAAATTCTTCTTGTCACAGCAACTCCAAATGATCTCAACCATTTTTTATATTGATTGAGTCTCTCATCATCAACTAATTCTTTGGTGGATCAATAATTTCTTCAAAAAGCATAAACTCTACTTTGGAAATTTCTTAAATCCTTCTTCATGTGTTTTCTCGAGAGAATGATTTGAATGAATAAATTTGTCCATCATTTCGTGAAGTTTGAAAATGTTTACATGCATCAAAGCAGGCTATTACTTTTCTCTTTTGATTAGTCTTCTTCTCGTAGGAGCACTCTTCTCATTGGGAGTGGCTGGTTTGATTGAATTATCATTCCACGACCCAAATGCAGTGAAAAACACTCCTCAATGCCAATTACACACCATCTATGCACTTTTTCTTGCCTATTCTCTTTTGGACGTTGTTTTCATTTTCAATTGTTGTGTCTCTGCCATGAGGAAGAAGAGTTCCGATGCATTCATGACGGTCGCTGGTTGTTGCAATTTGATTGTATTTGTTACGTGTGAGGCCTTGTTGATTGCCATGACAGTTTTACTGTTTCGATTCGATTGTGATTATTGGAAAGAGTCGAACATTCAACCCATTGCCATTCTGGTGGTGATTGGATTGTGTTTGAATAGCTTGGTGTTGGGTTGTGTCGTGTTGGGTTGTTGTGCATGGATGTGTGTCATGATGTGTTTGGGGATTCCAAGAGTCGGCTACGAGTATTTGTAGTCACTTTCATCAAATGATGAAAATTCGAGTTCGTTCTTATTTGGAGATTCACTCATGAAAACAAGAGCAAAGTGGATTTCAAAGTGGATTGTAGTTGAAAACACCTTTTATATATTGATTTTATGTGAAATTTCCAAAATTGAAAGTGTAACCTTCTTCAACCATGTAGTGGAGTGCCATCTCATCATTATTCCGTTTCCACTTCTGAAATAATTAAATTCCAAATTTGATCTCTCTTTTCACTATCATTTTCAATTCCCATAAAATTTGTAATTAAATCTCCATGATAAAACGATTCGAGTAAGTGAAATTGAACATTTTTAGACAATTCTGAAAGTTTTTGATAAAATGATTCAGATTGTACATAGGGACAGGTAATATCCTTCTTTCCATGAGCAATGACTGTGTGTGGCCATTGTGAAAATAGATTTTTCAAATTCTCATCACTATTTTCCTTTTTTAAAAAATCAATAATTAAGGAAGGTGAAAAAAGTGAAAACCTTTCAGTTCCTTTACACACTTTCCACATGGGTGAAATAATGTGAACTTGTCTCTTCTTTTCATATTCATAATGAGTGACCATATCATAAACTCCACACAACAAGACAAGTTTTTTCACTTGATGAATATTCCAATCGGTGGGTTCATAATCGATCGATTTGGAAATCTTATTCATGAACACACAGGAAAATAAATGAGCACCTGCAGAGTGTCCAACGAGAATAAATTCCGGCTCTTCGACGAGTAACTTTGCACGTTTCATTACAAAATCAACTCCTCGATCGACATCTTCAATCATTTCTTCCAGGTGACCTTTTGGAAATAGTGTGTAATTCAAATTGTAGCATAAATGACCATTTTGTTGACACACAAATTTGGAAAAGTTATGGTAGAGATCTGCATGTCCACTGTGCCAAGTACCACCTGTGTGGAACGATGGTTCAAAGTGTGTTTTCCATTCATGGTAAATTTTCAAATAAGGAAAATAAAATTTGTGAAAGATAATCCAACACATATAGAAACATTAATTTCATCAACAAACAACACGAACCATGTAGAAAAATCACCACTCGACACTTTTCAAATTTCTTTCCTTCCAAATTTTCCTGCCTTACTTTCATTGGAATATATTCATTCAAAGTTTGTCGATCACGTTGATCTGCATATCTCATTCCATAATTCAAAATAAAATTATTAGAAGATGCATCGGAATGTGAAGATGCTCCAAATATGGCTCGAACCAAATGGAAGATGAAATTTCTCACAAGATTAAAAATTCGATAAATTTTGGAAATTTTCACATGAGAGGAATGAAATTCATGATGATTCGTGGTAATATCTTGAAACACATGAAATTCATTTCTCAAAAACCATGGAATGTGTCTTATTTGATACCAAATAATATCGAGAAGAATAATTGCTTCACAACATTTGCGATAGAGGAAGGACAACATTTTTTTTCGAAAATTTATTTTTTTAATTCTATATAATAATTTATAGAATGTCATTTATATTAAATGTAAATCAAACGATGGATTTACAATGAATGTGTTTGTGAGAGAATTCATAACCTTCATTTAAAAAAATTTTATTTAATTTTTAATTGATTCTCAAATTCCAATTTGATTTTTATTGTAAAGTGTTCACATCGAGAGTGACGACCACTCGATATCTGTTTTACAATTTCAAACTGACAAAAAAAATGTAAGTACATCCTCATGTACGGATTCAATGCATCCAACTACTAAAATTTCCAAAATCATCGGATAACATGAACCATCACGATTATCAACTTTTAAATCATTCACTTTTTCCGAATATTCATAGATACTGTCATCATCATTCAAATGTCATCTTCTCATCAAATTTTTGATTCTCTTACAAGTGGTAAATCTGTAGCAGAAAGAGCTCGCTTCATTCCTCTTCGTTTAAATTTAGAAGAACGAAAAAAGTTAAGATTATTAGAAGCTGCTTTGAATGTATCGGAATATACGGACAAAATTGATACGATTCGGACTATGGGTAAATTGAAAAGAATTAAAGAACAATGTGAAGAAATTTGTGCAATTTTGTGTGGATTGATGGTTGCTGCGGATTACAAGCTTGGACAAGAGTTGATTGCGAATAAGAATTTTAAAGACAATGAAGAGTTCTTTCAAGAAATGTAAGTGATTTGTGAAGTGAGTGAAATGATGTATGAATGTATGAAATTCTCATACTAATCAATACTACTACCAAAAATGTTTCAATCATAAATTCCATTTCACAAATGACAGATTTGAAATTGGTCGAAGGTATGTGAAAAGACAAACACTTTCTGTCAAAATTCTTTTTTTACATGAAATTCTCATGGAATTCATGTTCACCTTTTTACAATCTAAACAAATTTTGTGTCATCATCATTAGATATAAAATCATGAATCCAGAAAAGATGAGAAGTACCTACGGAAAATTATGTTACATTATTCAAGATTCACAAATTCCAGAAGTTCAAGAAATGCTTGGATTTAAATTAGATCATCCTGTTAAAACAGTTTATTGGTTTTTAGAACAAAAAGGTGTTGCTGAGCTACTTGAAGATCCAGATATCAACATTGCCACCAATGAAATTTTTGCAGATGGAAAATCAAGAAGTTTGGTCGAGCATGAAATTAAACTTAAGGAACAAGCTGTCAAGAGAATTTGTAAAAAATATTCTGAAATGAATGATATTGAACCAGAAGAGATTGAAATGTGTCTCTATTCCATCAGTGATTCGAGTAGTTATTTGAGACAAGCAGTGTATCCTGTGGACACCATTCTTCAATTTTTCCTTAACAATTTCTCACGTGATCATTATGAAGAAGGAAAATCATTGGCCATTCAAGCTGGAAGAGAAGGTGCTCGTCTTTCACACAATCATGCCATTCAATTTGATTTTGTGTATCAAACTCTGATGCTTTGGAAGGTATGTGAATTTGAATTTTATTGCTTGTTTTGGATTCAATAACCCATATATCGTGAATACATGTGAAATTTATTATTGTCACTCACGAACAAACGTCAATGAATGATTGAATTTAGAATGTTGGAAGAGACATGTTTGAGTTATGGTTTTTGGCAGAGAGAGATTTATTTTCTTCAGATTATCCCTACTCATTGACCAACACTGGTCAAGGCCTGAATAGAGTTCAATATTCACCACTTGTGAGAAGAGCAATGGAAAGGATTTTATTACAAACACAAAGAAGTACATCATCATGGGTTGGATCTTCGGTCATTCACCTTGGAGATGATGCTGTGCCAAATGCATTGATGTTTATTGACAAATATACACAAGGTATGTGTTATTTGGAATTGAGTATACTTTAACTTTGGAACATGTTCAACACTTGGATACTATTCTTGCAAACCTCTCACTAATGCCACTCTCTGACATGCTGTCTTTGTAATAATTTTGGCTGAATATGATTCTTTTAACCATTTTTGGATTATTATTAATGATATAGTTCCAAGAATTTTGAATGTAAGTGTGGAATTTATTTTTGATGGAGCGTTGGTGGTCATTCTATAATCTTTGTTCAGCCAATTATTCAAACCTTGAAAGAAATTGACAATTATTTGGTCAAGGATGACAATTTAAAGAAATATATCGACGAAACCTTTGGAGGTCCAGAGGAAGCCAAATTAATGATTTTGTTGGATTTCTTTAGGTAAGTGTCTTTGGATCAAAACAACATGATCTTTGTAAACCCTCCAAATTGAATTTCAAGACATGGGTTTGATGGAAGTGGTGCAGATAACTTTTTCATGGCTGGATCTTGCATTGGTATGTTTTTTCAATTAATCATCATGTAATTTTTCTAATAATTTCACAAATTACCATTTAAAGATGGAAGATTGACTTCAGCTTGGAACTGGACTTCAAAGATCAATAAGAAACCATACTATCCACTCTTTCTTTTGGGTGGTTTTATTGGTTTCGATGGAGAATTTAGAGGATAACAAATGTTTTCAACTCAGTATATTGTTTTACGTGCATGAAAGTTCACTCAGTAATAAATTACAAAACATTTCAACAAAATTGTGTGATAATCATTTATCTGGTTTCTTGTACCAGCCTTCAAAGATAGAATCACCATTGCTCACATTGTCAAAAAAATTGTATTCTGCACCAGGTGAGCCAAAGGTGTCACTTGGCAGAGGTTGAGGAGTCATTGCAACAGTCGATTCTTCTTGTGCTGGTGTCGTCGCCACAGTAGCAGCAGCTTCTTCTTGACAAATGCTAAACATCCAAACATAACCAAACACTGAGCCATTGCTTTCTGTCACTTTTTGTCCGTAGCAATTCATCTTGAGGTTGGACTCACTGGATTGTGAGGAATCAGGAGACATTTGAGCCTCCAGCTTATCTGGCAGATCCAATAACACGGTGTTTGCCAAAATTTCCATGATGGTGCCTTTCATTTCTGGAATGTCGTAAAGCCTTCTTCCAAAAAAGCTTTTTCTGTTAGCACTAAACAGGTTATCAAATCGTTCATTGTTCCATAATATCACAGCATTTCTGTCATAAAAACACGTTGGTTGCTTTGATCCAAAAAGTCTCTCTAAAATTTTCAAAAACATTTGTTGAAATGTGAATGAGCTGTCTTGAAGCAACGATTCTCTGGTAATAACATTCAAATCATAATCTGGCCGCAAAAACTCTAGCTGTGACTGAGGTACATATTCTTCGATATTTGAAATCTTGAGGTTTGGTTGTGATAACCTAATTACTATCCATTGAGGTAAACCTAGCTCATTTCTGATGCAGCAAAATTCAGTTGCTAATAGTACGCATTTTCCTATTCTATTCACAAATCTAATGGGATGTTTGCATGAGTCCGTATTCGTACTAAGCATTTGTAATAGCAGAATGTCATGTTTAATGACATCTTGTGGATGAAGAAAATTTTGAACCATTGCTTGAAATTCTATCTCTCCTACATTTGAAAATCCCAACATATCTTTCATGGCTTCATTAACTTTGACTATAAAACCATCTAATAATGTAACCATGCTTGGAATTGTGTGATTCATAATTGATTTGTCATCTCCAAGAATATCTATGATTGATCCAATGACTGAATTTTTTTTCCTATGATTAATAATTTGAAGTCTAGAGCTAGATTGACTGATGGGTACCTTTTGTACTTTTTTCCCTCTTGATTTGTCTCCATAAAAGCAGCCTTTTGGTTTTTGTTGAAGAGGAGGATAGGGGTTTGAAATTTCTGGAAATTGAGGCACGTCTTGCCATGAAGAATAATCCAGTTCTTCATTGAGAAAATTTCCTGTTGAGGATGAAGACGGTGTTATGGTGGTTGAGTTTACATTTGTTGAGGGTGTCAATTTTGGCATTAAAAGATCCGAGGGAATATTGTTAATAAAATTGTTTGATCCCATTGAAGGTGGTAAGGAAGAAAGAGATGGAGTAGAGGAAGAAATAGGAGCAATGTTCGATTCTGTTGTAGTTCCTGTATTATTGGAGCTAGATTGGGCCATTGCTTCAGCATTTTCAGTGGATTTGCTTTTTTTGGTGGCCTCGATTTTCTTTGTTGTTTTTCTCTGTTTGGTTTTAAGTTCAGTTCCTCCAAGTGACGATGACGATGACTTTTTTTGCTTCGATGGTGTCTCACTCGAAGATGCCTTAGAGTTGGAAACACTTGTTGACGAGGCAGCGTTTGGAAGTGACGATGAACTCGACGATGTTGGTTGTTGCTGCTGTTGTTGTTGGGCAGCCGCCGCATTAGCCAATAATTTGGCATTTCGTCTCTTCTTCTTTTTGTCTTGCTCAAGTTTAAGATGAAATATAAATTCTTCCTGTGGTCCTCTCTTCTTTCCGCACCTCATCTTTCTCTTCTTCTTCTCCACAAGGTTGTACTTTTGTGCCAGTAAAATATCAGCCGGTATCGACCCTTCATCATCTTGTTCAATGACAGTCGGACTTGATGGCCTTGGTGGTGGAGACGGTGATCGTTGTTGCATACTGGGCGATTGTTTTGATGAGGATGCCGTTGTGGAATTATTTGCTGTCGAAGAAGACGAGGATGGGGGAGTTGGTGCCAAAAGCATAGAAGCAACCGGTTGTTGAGGTGGCTGAATACCTCCGAACATTTGTAACATTTTCATCATCATCATGGGGTCTATGTTTTGATTCGAATTATTTTGATTCGGATTGGTATTATTCAATTGCATACATTGCTGTATCATTTGCATCATCACCATTGGGTCATCAATTGAACCATTCATTACTAACGAAGGAGGTGGAGGCAAATTATTTGAAGACGTGTTAGTTGATGATGAGGAGGAGGTATTTGGTGGTGTATTCATATTGTTACTGGGAGTGTTGTTGTTGAGACTCATTTTCAAATTGGTTGACGTGCGAATAATTAGGATTATGGATGATGGTGTTGTTGTTGTTGGTGGAAGTTGGGGTGATACTACCAAACCACTATAGGAAATAGGAGGGTAATGATGATGATGATGGATGTGAGAGTATTGTTGCGACACAAAGGCTTTTCTCACTAGTAGTAGTACTCTCGGTGTGTTGAATAAATTACTGATCGGTTGAATGGAAACCCTGTAACAATATCTGATGCCAGCAGTGGCGTTGATGATGAAATAATCCGCGGTTTGTTATCAGCAGCAGCACAAATTGTTCCACACCACACTACTACCAATCACGACAATAATAAAAACTCCGTACGGAATAACCGCGGTTGTTTGCTAAATAATGAGCAAGTAGTTTCTGTTGTTGATGATGATGAATCGTGTGTTATGTATTACTATTTCAAAATTCACCTATTGTTGTTGATAATGATGATATTGTTGTTGATGATGAGAGGGTGGTGAAGGAAGCAAAACGTTGGCGCAACAATTCAAGAATTGGAATTTTTTCTTTGAATCATCCATCAACAAGAAAATGTTGCGAAAGGCTTTTAACACGTTCATCGAAAAGGTGAACGGAAGAATGAAAACACTTGAACCATTAAGGTAGATTTTGAAAAGAATTGGCACCAGTATTGATGTCAATTTTAAAGAGTCTATACTTGAGTCAATACTTTTTGGGTCAATCGAATTATATATTCTCGAACGACAACAACAACCAGAAAAAAAAATTCCCTTCTCTCAGCATGCAGTGCACGGTTTGTGATTCAACGGTCAAGAATTTTGTGTGCTCATCGTGTCTGATAGACGCCACTCGGAACAAGATAGAATCTATTCTGAAATTACAAAAGAAGAGAGATGAATTGAAGAAAAAAGTTGAAGAACAAATTATTGCACCCGAGAAGGATTTGAAATCCCGAGAACGAAATATTCGGAATCAAAAACAACGAAATAATACTCTCCGAGAATATGTAAAACAAATACAACAAGAAAATACTGTTCAAGAACAAATCACGACTAAAAAGTTTGAAGAACATATCGCTCGGACAAAATTATTTTCTGCAAGCAGATCTGAACTTGTAGAAATTATGAAAGCAAACAAAATTAGACCTTCAAATGAAATTGAAGATCAAGATAGTTTCATCAAAAATAGAAGACAACATTGTACTAATTTATTACAATATTTCCCTATATTCACAAATAAGGGCAGAATCACGACAAAAATCTTTGAACGATCAACCTGTATATTGTGCGCTCCGAATAGCAATGTGCTGTACTTTTTACATCGGGAATTTCACTTGCCCATGGGTGTCGTGAATGAGGGTTTTGATTTTATTGAAGCAATTTTAAAGCATGACAATCCAGAATATATTCAGAGCCAAAATAAGCTTAACCCATTGAGCTCTTTCAAAGAATATTGGCCATCACAAAACGCACTTTATGGAATGCTTGGATACATTGTATTAATTGTTCAACAGTTGTCAAACATTCTTGAAATTCCACTTCCATACAAAATGGAGTACAAAGGATCAAAATCTATCATTATGGATATCATTGGTTCAGAAATGAAAAAGAAAAAGATTGAAACATCTGATTCTTCCATGATAGATTCACCATTTGAATCTCCTTACCACTATGTTCCAGAGCCCAGATACAAGAAATATGCTCTTTATGAAAATGATTCAACATTTAATCCTGAACCAATCCATGTCACACCTTTCAGTTTGAATGATATTTCTTCTGCAAGTTCTGGAAAATCTCTACCCAACTTACCTTCTGGTAAAGAAGATGGAACCCTTTTGTCTTCACTCAGCTCGAGGGAACAGTTTGCTGAGAGTGTACAGTTGCTGAATGATAACATTGTTGCAATTTGTCACGCTCAAGGCATCATGGTCTCTAAACATAATAGCAACAACTTATTTCATAATTTATTAACCCTGTACCACTATGAGAATATTGGACGTTTAGGTCCCTTTTCGTTCTATGGATATTCCAAACATAGGAATACCAGTTCTAATGCCACCGTCACTCACTTCAAATCGAATATATTGGAAAACTATTACTACGATCAAGCCATGGATATTATGAGAAAGATTATTGTAAATCCTCCTGAAGATCTTTGCTTACCTCAACGACCAACGGCTTTCAAAGACATGTTTGCAAACATTATTCAAGAAAATTATCTTCATGACGACGATGATGCCTGAAACTTGTGTGAAATCATGAATGAACTTGTACAGATCATCTTGTGAGAACAAAATCTAACAATAATTTATTTACTGTAATTGATTGTATTTTCCTCGTAATCATCTCTCTCAAAATGTTGAGCTAATCTTGTGGATTCATTAATCTCGTCCATTGCTGCGTAATCCTTCCGTCGGCAGCTCACAGCAACACTAATACAAACCACGACTGCCATCAAGATGACTGTCATTCCAGCCGCTCCAAATAAGAATGAGGAAATGCTGTAATATGTCAAGTATTATAATGTAAAATCTATTCTACAAATGGATGAGAAATAACTTACCTAAACCAATTATCACCTTGATTCTCTTTCCACAACAATAATGTGAATGTTCTAATTTTTCCTGGAGCAAGCTCAACTCTTGTAAAGTTCATACGATTCTTAATCAAGTCATTTAAGGAAAGAGTTTTTTCTGCCACTTGCGAAAGAGTGTACTTTGAAAAGATGGACTCTGGATACAAAATTGCTGGAACTGAGAAACTGGGACTCTCACATTTCTCATAAATATGATGGAATCTAAGAACAGTGAATGATGACTCATCACTACTGTTTCTTCTTGTTTGCAGTGATAATAAATGTACATTGGATGGAAGTGCATTCACAAATCTCTGATTTACAATATATTTTGAAGAAAAATCTCCAATCGCCTGTTCAATATCTTTTCTTGTAATGGAAGCAACATTGGTGGGCATGAAGATGGATTTGGAGACAATCTTTAGAGCTGGATGATTGAAAAGTTTGGCAATTTTTGGTCTTAAATTATTCGAGTCGTTAGGGTTGGCAATTAACACTCGTAATGGAATCACAATGGCTTGAGTGACATTCAAATTTTCACCTAACCCTCTGTCATCATCTGTTAATGTATTTCGATTTAACATGACTTCAATCGATCCATTGGAAAGACTCGAAACTCCCATTGCTTGTTTTGAGAAGAGAGTTAATTGAGTATTGGAACCTCTCACAAATGAAGATTCCACAAGTGGGAAATAATTTCCACTAATTCTATTGTAGAGAGAGGTGTCGTTAAATTTCACAGGTTGGTATGGTCTTTCAATCATTTCAAATCCATTGCTGTCCGTATATAACTGAGTTTGAACATTTTCCATTGAAAATCGAATGATTTGTTCTTGGTTGTCAGGTGTCTGTACACTTGTAATGACATCAAAATATAATCCTTGATCTGGATATTCATTTTCATTGTAGAGAAGGAAAGTTTGTGTGACATTATTGGTGTATCTTTGGCTTAATACTTGTACCACATTTCCTTGTGAGAATTTGCAATCCACGTAGGCCTCTTCAAATGGGAGTGCAACAGCCTCTCCTAATGGCCTGAAAATATATGCTCCATCACCGAATGAAGTGTATTGCATGATTTGTTGTGAGAGTGGAGTGCTGACACTTGTCAACTTGTTTGTGACACTCTTGAGAACATATGGCAACTTGCCATTCACAAGTTCAAAAGTGACACTCACAAAGTTATTCTCCATAATGATGGTATTATTGTAGATCTGAGGAGAATTGGGTTCTTTCTCGTTGGAGAGCTTTGGTTGTTGAATGATAAATACAGTGGAATATCCAACAGGAGGAAGCGTCACTCTGAAATGCAAATGCAAGTTTGAGTTGACATCCTCAACGACTTGAGATTCGAGATCTAATAAATTTCCACTCTCTTCATCAATGATAAATACCATGGTATTCTTACTCTTCACCAAAACGGAAACATATTCTTGAACAGTCCAAGCGAGTGAGTTAAATAACGCCATTGAATAAATTTGGTTCATCGTATCCAGTGTGTAAATTTCACCCATGGATGCATTCAACTGAATATGGGTACTCGATTTCAAAGATATGTAATCGAATAATGTTGATGCCTTATTCTTCACAATCTCAGTAGCATTCTGAATAATGTCTGTATAATTTCTCAATACAAATCGCTTCTCTGTGCCTGTAATTGCATCATGATGAAGAGCAAGAGCAAGCCCATTTCTAAGTCCTTGTAATGCCTCTTCTGCTTCTTTCAATGTTTGAGAAATGTCCTTGTTTAGATAGTATCCAACTTTATACATTTCAGCTTGACAGATAGTGTATATAAATTCGCAATTTCTCAAAAATCGTTCTCCTTCACGTATGACTGCTTTGAACTGTGGTTCAGAAGTGAAATATCCAGACCAATAACCATTGCAATTTCCAAATTGGTCATGGTCACTTCCCCAACAAGTATCATATGGAAAATAATCGCTATATCCAAATTCATTGTTATAAGTTTTGAGTGGGAATGTTTCTATTGAAGCAGAACTTGTCACACTTTGGAAATATTCACTCAATGTCGAGTATTTCATATTAATCTTAAATCTATTAAAGTTGCTATTGATGTATGAAATTAATTTATCCATATTGTCCCACATGAGATCAGCTCTTTGGAATCTAAAATCATTACCAAATGGTATTAAAAAGTTGTTGGTTCTGTAACTTTTGTTTGTAACATTTTTGATATAGCTCACTAATAACGATGCTCTTTCATCAATATTTTGAGGAGTGATAGGAGGATTGACCTTTGGATCACCCTCAAAATCAAAGCCAGTACATTCACCGTTATCAAAACAAATTTCAGGAGCAGAATAGTGATGATCAAGAACATGTGTGAAAATACATGCCGTAGGATCCGACTTTGAAGGGCACCAATTAAATTCAAATCGTTTTTCAATGACATAGGTTCCACTTTCTTTCATAGATGTATACTTGTGTTTTAAACGTTCATCAATTCTATCCAAAATGTGATATTTGAAACCCATTTGTGTGAGTAAATAAGCAAAGGTTCTCGAAGCTCCAAAGGGATCAATTTGCCAACCAACAACCACAGGTGTCACTCCAACATTTTCCTTGATAAATTGGTGACCTTGAGTCATCTATAAATTTCACAATTTGAGGTCAATGAATTATCATGGTTATTTGAAAACAATAAATGTTTTAATAAATGTTTTAAAACAAACCTGATCAATCATGGATTCATAGGTTGGAAGAGCTGAATTGGTGTTAAATCAATGAACAAATGGTTACAAATAACTCACAAATTCCAAGATTCAACACTCACCTTCATCATTCATCACCCATCCTCCATTCACAATTTCAATTTGCTTCTTATTGACCAAATTCACAAAAGCATCTCGTTGTGCTTGTGTTGCGTTATTCCTCCACCACATTTCTAAAAATACAGATTCAGACCAAACAAATCTCTTCGTTGGATCTTGATTTAAATACTTGATCACATTCGCCAAAATGACAGAAACATTATATTTCGAATAAAAATTGACTGTTTCCAACCATCCCGGATCACAATGCGAATGAGCCAAAATATAGGCATTAATAACTGGATAATCATTCGATGAATCATGAAGAGGAGACCAACTGCCATAACTTGGCTCTAGATCAGCATTAAAGGATTTTCCATCCCGACGATGATTGGATTGAGCCTTGTTGTTGTTGCTTGTTCCTCCGAGAACAACGAATGAAGAGATCAGTACCAATAGGAACACGATCAAAGAATGTAATAATACTCTGTTGTTGTGGTAATGGTTCGGATGATCACCGACCTTGTGGATCATCAATGATCGCCAACTTGGTTTGATCATTTTTTTTGAATTTATTGGAAAATAGGAAATAAGATGGTGGGTTCATTGAATCTCATTTGAGGAGACAGTTGTGGTGGAATGAGATGTCATGTGACACTCGGAAAAATCATGGTGACCAATGCAATGATGCACGAAGTGTTTATGTACAATGAATATTGAAAATTCGATTCGACCCTGTTATTATTAATCACATTATTCGACGAATAATTTCAAATGACAACATAATTTCCATGAAACGACGAGTGTGTTTCAAATCTCCATCAATTGAAAACACCACAATTTCACACAGTTTCTACTTGGAATGAAATTTGAACCTTATTCGGATCATATCGCAATTGACCTTGCATGGTTCTCTTTTCTCGTCGATGCAACACGTAGAACACCAAAGCACAAGGACAACAAAAGAGAAATAATAAAATCCAAACCCAAAGAGGGAACCTTTCAACTTCTCCCATAAATCGTCCCTTTTGAACGGGTTGAGCAGATGGAGTCATGATGATGATGTTTGTTAATATGAGAGTTTGTGTGAATTGGTATTGTTTATAAATTTAGAAGGAATAAAGAGGTGACAAGATGGTTCTAATTGTTGTTGTCGTTGAAACGATGTTTGTGGTGTGGGTGCCCAATTTCGTTTTGATTTTTTTCTTTTAATATTGACAATTGACAGTTGGTCCGACTGACTCATAAGCTTCTTAAAAGTGAACTCACGTCATCATCATGCAATACTAATCTCCTTAATATTTCCTTTTGAATTGCAAGGAGGATGAATGTTGTTTTAGTCTCCAATCATAATGATCGGAAATATTTGGTGACCATCACTTCACAAGCCTTTGAACCAAATAAAACCCATTTTCTAATTATATTCTCTTGTTTCAAATATTCAAAAAAAAGTTTTGGAATTTCGAACGTTCAGCCTCTGAGTGCATCACTATCATCCGAACGAGCAAAAGAACAACAAGTCCTTATCATCGCGTCTTTATCATTCACAACAAGAGCTTGCTCGATGAAAGTGTGAGTTCATGAGGCTTTTTTATTTTCATATTTGATTGTTTCAAACAAGCAGACTTGGTCCATTCTGCCAAACGGATTCTTTATACTTTCAACAACAATACTTTTCTGTAGTGTGGTTCTTCTATGAACAAGAAAGATCATCATCACTTGTTCAATTTTTAGTTCATCAGGAATATTTAATATTCTCATATTAATCAATTTTTCATCACCACATCATCAACCATTCTTATAATTCCGCTCCTAATTTCATCCATTCATTCCTTCATCCATGAATTTAAATTACTTTGGAGTCAATAGAGGATCATCAAGCAATAATAACAGTCAAAACAATACTCCAACTCTCGGAGGTATCAAACTAAGTTCGAGTCAACAATCCACGTCCAGTAGTGTAATTAGCAACAGCCATAGCATCAATAGTGCTACCAGCAGCTATTCATCAACCACGTTTGCAAGTAGTATTAGTAGCTCAAGCACAACTGGTCTTCCGATGTATCATCATCATCATCAACAACCATCCACTCCTTCTTCCGATCACGATGATTTGGAACAAGATAGAAATGAAATTCTCAATGCAGAACCTCACATTCTTTGTTCATCGAGCATCAACATCAGCCCAAATCCTCAAGAAAAGAAGGCTGGAGGATCAGGATTGAATGCATTGAGTGCCTCTCCTGATTCTAGATTAATTGCTGTTGGAGGTCGAAAATTATTTAGAATTGTGAGAGCCTCGTTTCAAGAAGATGAAAAGAAGTTCAAACTCGATATTCCAATCACAATATATTACTCAGGAAAGAAGAGTATGGATTTTGCGGTTGTTGATCTCAAATGGCATCCAACACTTCCGAATGTGATTGCAACTGCTCCTCCGAACGGAAAAGTAATTCTGTGGAACGTGAATAGCAGTTCGAAAAGTGGCAAGATTATTACGAGATTTAATGGTCACGAATGTACTGTTAATTCCTTGTGCTGGCAACCACATCAAGAGAATAATTTATTGAGTGCTAGTGTCGATCATACGGTTCGTTTGTGGGACAAGAGACAAGGTGGTGATTCTGTTCAAACCTTCAACTGTGGAAGTGTTGTGAGAAGCATCAAATTTAACCCATTTTTCCCTAATGTCTTTGCAGCAGCTACGGACGGTGGAGACTTTCAAGTATGGGACATCAGAAAGCCAAACCTCTATCAAAAGAAGGTACCAGCTCATAATGGTTTAATTCTTTCTCTGGATTGGCATCCAAAGAAGGGAAGTATCATTGCCACCGGAGGTAGAGACCGAGTCCTTAAGGTTTGGGATCTCAACGATACAAAGAAGCCCTTGTCAACAGTTCAAACGATTGCCAGCATTGCTAAAATTGCTTGGAGACCTGGCAATTATAATTCTCATATCGCTAGTTGTGCCAAGAATGAAGTTGGTTCAACATGCAACATTAATTTGTGGGATATTAGCTCTCGATATGTTCCCCTATTAACATTTACAGGACAACGTGCAGATGTTACAGATATTGCATGGATGAACAATTATCCTAATTTAATGATGAGTTGTTCCAAAGATAATACTTTTATGATTCATAGTGTTTACGAAGCTGAGTATGAAAAAGCGAGTCTTCCTACTACTTCACTTTCTTGGAATATTAATAATGAGCTAGTCAGTTATTATGATGAGATTGATCGAGAACAACATCAACGATATCAAACTATCCTTCAGACAGTAGCTAAAAATCCTCCTTCAGTGATCAAACAAATTAACAGGGAGACTGAAGTATTTACATTCAAGGAGGCTCACTTGAACAAAACAATTAATGTTATCAAGAGTACTGACCAAGAATGTGATTTATTTGCAGAGTCTGATGTTTCAAAAATCAAGTATTTAGCTGAAAATTATGTACTTTTTCGGAGATGACACTTTCCAACAAAAGTGTGATACCAATGCTCTAGTAGCTTCAAATATCAATAACTACAAGCTCGAAAAACTATGGAAATTAGTCAAAGAGCTTCATACTCCATCTACGAAAAAAAGAAGAAAAAGATGGAGCATGATAACGATGCATTTGTGAATCATGAAATTAAACACAAGCATCATTACACACATGACGATAACACTCAACACAACAGCACCATTTTTGAAGACGGAAACGATCAACAAAACTCAATCTTCCGGTATGGAGTCGATCATGAAGGAGAAGAGTCCGAAGAAAAATATAGCACCAATTCTAACTCACTAGATACATATCCTTCCAATGGCATTCTGTATTCTCCATTAAAACAACCAAGTGAATTCCATGGAGACGTACTCAATCTGGCTACACCACCCACTCAAGGATCTCTCCGTAAAAAGGCCAAGTACAGAGAACTCATGTCACAGGACTTTGGCCCTCCACCAAAATTGAAGATGTTTACAGGAAACGATTCGAAGAAAACACAGTCCAACATTCAATCCTTTGATGACATGGAGCGACCTAGCTCTTTACATCACCACCACGAAGAAGACGCAGAATTAATGGATATTTTAAACGAGAAGGATGATCTTGAAAAATTATATGAATCAAGCATCCAAGAAACGATAGAATATTATGCAGAAATGGGAGATATTCAAACATGTGTGGCTCTAATTGAAGTTCTCGACAAGAAACATGAAATGAGTGGAGAACGAGAAGCTCAATGGTATTTGAGTTACATTGAGCTATTGAATCGACACAAACTTTTCACATGCTCGAATGAGCTTATTAATGGATGTTCTAACTATGATGTGCATAACTTGAACAAACAATCAACCTCTATAAGGACAAGCTGTGCTAAATGTGATAGCGTTTTACAAAACACAGACACCATGTGTAAGAAATGCAATAGCAGGACCAACATTTGTGCCATTTGCCATTTACCTGTGGATGGACTGTTCTTCTGGTGTCAGCGATGCGGCAGTGGTGGTCACCTTCATCACATGACTCAATGGTTCGACAAGTACAAGCATTGTCCGGTTTGTTTAACTCATGTAAGCAAACTTCAAACCCTTACTTAATCCATGTCACATCATTAAAACTAATTTATTTACAAGCTTCATGGTACACTCTAATTGTAACGTTGTTGTTACAGATCTATTTCATCAGTTGAATGATTTTGAGCAAGAATGGTGTTAGTATTTCTTCTCATAGCCCAAAGCCTTATTGCCGGAAGATTTGGAATCGTTACCACGTGAATATCCAAGGTATCCACCAATACCTGCTGAACCTTTACGGAACTTGGGCAATGATTTGGAACGCTCCTTCCACTCCTTTTCAAAATCTTCTTCCTCCGTAACATTCTCCAACCTCTTTGTAATTTCCTCTCGTCCCTCTTTGTCTTTTATCTTCTCCATGACGCTTCTCTTGTCTCCGACTGCCTTAATAACAGAAACTTTTTCTGTACCTGTTCTAGAGTCTTTCACTGTACGCTTTGTCTTTGTCACACCATCACTCGATGTCGTTGTTGTAGTTGATGAATAACAAACGACATTATCACCCATGGCCATCTGCCTCTCGAAATGTTGATCAAAATTCCTAAACATCTCGTCTGCACGTTGCATCATGGATGAGAAATGTCCAAATGGATTCGAAAAGAAGGGATCATTGTCGAAAAAACTTCTGATTGCAAACGGATCCCTTGCACGATCACTTCTCTGAGCGTTGGTGGACTCTCTCTGTCTGGGTTGAGAGGAAGATCTGTGGTGGCGACGGTGGTGGGTATCTGACGATCGTCATTAGTACAAATATTTCGGGGGATATAGCAGTAGTACGCGTGGGCGTGGATGAATTGGTGCGAGAGTCAACGGATCAGATCTCTTGGTAAGTGTTTGAGGAGACTACTTACTCACCGCATCATCATCTGGATCTTCATATCTTACTGAACCGGCACCACTACTACTGGAATGCTCTTCATGGTGGTTTTCATCATCGGAGAGTTCCTCAAAGGTTGGTCCCTTTTCTTGGCGTGGATGTGTTCTCTTCATGTGTATGTTCTCAATGATCTCGACAATTTGTATATGATTGAATAAAGGAATGAATGAATGAATGAATGAATGAAAATATATTCAACGATCGTCGGGTCTCCACCAATAACAGACACTGACACTGCTATTGCTTATTCCGATCTCTCTTGTTATACTCTCTCAACAACGCGCGTGAGTACTCAAAAAAATAGAAAGACTTCTCTCTCGAGATGCTCCTGCAAAAAATGTTTGAGGTTTTTTTTTGAGAGCTGCGGAATACAATTCCGAAGCCTTACTGCGGTTGAATGGAGAATGAGAAATTAAGCTCTTGATGAATGAACCCTCATCAAACCTCATGAATGATTCTCATGATGATGGAAGGAATGAATTCAGTAAAATTAAGCAAATTTGACCATCAAAATGATAAATACAATAATGCCAATAAGGATGAAGAGGAGAACTCCTAAAATGATTAACACTCGACAGAGCATGCCATGATTTGTTTTCCGTGCTTGATATATGAAGGTTTGAGAATCATGACTCAAATCGGAAGTTCGTTGAGAAAGCTCTGCAGTTGATTCCATATTTGAAATGAGTTTGTCAATATTCGAAATCATGATGGATTTCACATCTTCTATTTTGGATTGAACCAGCACGATCTTGTCATTGGTTTTGACAAGACAAAAGTCTAATTGTGTTTGTAAAATTTTGGAAACTACTTGTCGAGTAGAGGCGTCTTCTTTGTGTAAGATGAAAGAAGATGATTGAACTTTTGACAAGACTTGCTCTCTCATGTCATTCTTACATCGTTCCAATAATCCAAAACAAACTCTCACAGGAACATTCAAATGTGCCAAACATACATAAAAGAAAAATCGATCTTGGTAATGGTGTTCCAAGACATGAATATTCAGATTTTGCAATTGATAAGTGACCTTCATGGTCATAAATCCATGATTGCTGCTATTGAATTGATTGAGATTGATTCGTTGTTTTTCAATGACTTGTAGAAATGTCTTCTTGACAGATTCCATCGAGAGTCCAAGTGATGGTAAGATTGTTGCAGAGGATGAATGATTCATCATGATGGGAGAGCTGTTGACCATTCCATGTGAAAGAATGGGCGAATTGAAGGGAGTGGCATTATAATTATTTTCAAGGCATGGACCCGATCGTGAATAGAGAGCCACTACGAAAATATCATGATGATTCGTCGACGAATCAGAGGCAACATCATTGATTGCTGTTGTGGAAGAGTGGTGAGAGCTCCGAGAGAGAAAAGGTGTGGACTCGTTGCTGGTGTGATCCTTCGACATTTTTTGGAATTGGAAATTGGGTCTTCGAAAAAATGTCTGAAAACCAAACCGCCCTCGGCGATGAAGACACTAATCACCTTCGCCATCACGCCTCTATCAAAGAGGTCGCTATTCGCCCGCATACTGCAAACAAATCTCTTTCTGCTCAAAAATCGGCACATGATAAATGGAGAGAAGAAATGGAAAATGAAATTCTAGAGGCTCCGTCTTCCGTCAATATAGCCAATTTGTCGGAAATACAACCAAGCCCACCCAGCATATACAACTCCCCAATGTTGTCGCAGCCAGAGGTCTCTAATATTACTACAACCTCTGGAGTCTCAGTTTTTAATACCTCAGCCATGACCGATGACCATTCTACTAAATTGAAGCGACATCATAAGCTCTTCAGAGTGGTAGCCTTTACTACCAACTCTGTCGAAGAAGTCCTTGCAACCGTCGCAATGAATGCCGATACGTTGTACGGTAGTAGAGTTGTCAGTGAATTAGATTGTATTATCTTCTTCTTCAAGTCGCGCAAATTGGCAAACCAAGCAATATCTGCTGGTGCTAAGTCCAAGCTCACTATGATACCTCAAACCGTCAAAACATCATTCCGTTATAAGGTCGACAAGGATTTAGACAAGACTAATATGCATTCTATTATCTCAACCCTTGGTTCTTCTATCAACAATATCAATTTTAGCAAGATGGATGATCAGGAATTTTGGGCTATTGGTACTAATATTGAGTTACCTGCCAATCATTTGAAGAAATTTAAGCTTTCCAAAATGAGAACAGATATCTCTCGCTTCCGTATTGCCTTTAATGGTAAAGAAAAAGATCTTCCTAAACTCAAGGGTGCCATTAGTTCCCAATGGAAAGTCAAGATTGAGAGTATCGAGTTGGCTAAGAAGATGGCTGTTGTTGGCATTAAAAAGATCAAATTACCAATAACATTACCAAGTTCGTCCAAGTTGGTAATTATAGTTTCAGAAACCTCTCATTCTCTACTAGAGTTGCCAATTCTATCAGTCACAGAATGGAAGCTGTTGAAAAACAAATGTCTGAAATGTCATCAGCTCTCCAAAAATTGACAAAGGAAATGGTTGTCTGGTCTGGTAAAAAGGTCACGGAAGGCTTTAATAAGATCAACAAAGCTGTTGAAGAAATTAATCAAAAAATCAACGCTCTCTTAGGTACTACTACTCGCAACAAGGGTAAAAGTGGGCATAAGAAGGGCCGACATTCCCTTTAATGGACCCTCATTCTAAAAGAAACTCCTTCAATTTAGGTACTGCTAATTTTGGAGGAGTTGGCTGGGTAAAACAATCTCAATTACTTACCTTAGCCCGCAAATATGAACTGGATGTCCTTAATATCCAGGAAACTCATTTAAAATCCAGTACGAAAGACTATTGGAATATATGGTATTTCAGATCCTTCTTTCGTGGCTACTTAGTTTACAATTCCAACGCCACTGAAGGTGATAATGGAGCAGGAATTGCTACTATTATCAGACCGTCACCTTTTATTAAGGTACTCCAATTCGTCGAACATATTCAAGGCAGATTATCAGAAGTCATTTTGGAACATAAATACCTAGGTGTGGCTCGCATTTTCAATTGGTATGGCCCGGCTAACAAAAACAAACTAGAATTCATGAATAAGGCTCTCAATATTATCAACATTTCTGCTCAAACAGCGGTCTTTCATGGTGAACGTATTGTCATATTGGGAGATTTGAATGCCAATACTAAAACATTCAATAAGGTATCTTATGCCGCCCATGAACGACTATTAATTGACCAATGTGACAAATTGAAATTCTTTGATGTTGTTCCTATTCCAAACACACCTTCGTTTTCTCAACGCAACAAATACTCTCATGGTTTTTCTCGCCCGGACCATATTATTACTTCCCACAATGATTATTCTGGTGTAGAAGATGTTCCTACTGCTTATTCTCACAAACTTTTAACTATTTCCTTCCCCAGTAATCCCATTTTAGACTTCCCAGAACAGTTCAACAAATATATTATCCATCCTAAAATTTTACAATCCAAGATGAAGGAAATTAATAACGATTTTGCTAAAGAAAACCCTGACACTCTTTTAGAAGCCCAAAATACCCTTGCTAAAATTGTGAAGAAATATGGTTCCCTTAGCACAAACAAGCCCTCATTGATCACTGATAATCGTAATGTCAGACAATTTCAGACTTTTATTTTCGATTTGAAACAATATCTCTATAAGCGTAAACATGTTTCTACTATCACCAGCCAATTTTTGAACAATAATTTTAGCCTCAACAATGTCAAGGCTAAATTAGAGGAAGCTAAAACCTCACTCAACAAGCTTATTGGATCTTTATTGGCTGACCGTAAACGGGTCTTTGTGAATAGAATTAACAATCTTAACTCTAAACAACCGTATTCCTATGCCTTCAGAAAAGAACTAGTCAGTCCTTCTATACTCAATGTAGTCCAAAGTAACCATAACTCGACAATTGTAGATCATTTTTCAGCCATGTTTAATACAGAACAAGAAGTGACTAAAACTCTCCCGGAAATCAAGAAAAACAATACTGTAGCCCAATGGAAATTCCATCATATCACTGCCAAAGAGTTGGATAAAGTTATTTCTAAGACAAAAAATTCTATGGCTGGCTATGATAACATTTCGGTGCCATTGTTGAAAATTCTAGACAACAATTCGCTCCAAATACTTGCAAAATGTATCAATCACACAATTGACAGTGAAATGGTTCCTAAAGAATTGGGTATCGGTATTCTACTCCCATTACCCAAAATCAACATGCCTTCAAAATTATCAGACTTTAGACCTATAGTTGTATTATCCGTGATCTATCGTCTATTTTCTTCTATTATCAACAAACAATTCATGAATGTCCTTGAAGAGGCTAATTTAATCCACACTGCGCAACGAGGATTCATGAAAAAAGGTTCAACATTAGAACACCTTATCAGTCTTCGGACTGCCTTTGCATACAAATATCAGCACAAACAAGAAGTATTTGCTATGGCTCTGGATATCAAAAATGCTTATGGATCAGTAATCCATAAAAGATTTATCAGCATTCTCAAGAAACATGGTTTCCATAGCTCTGTCATTAATCTCTTGACATCCATGATCTCCAATAGCGTTATGAAAGTACTAGTCAACGGATTTCTATCCTCCCCTTTCGATGCGAATGTTGGAGTTCCGCAAGGCGATCCTTCAAGCCCGGCATGGTTTAATCTTTATATTAACTCCTCAACTAACATACAAGAAAAGCTTAAAGGAGTTCAAATATTTAATATTACCATCCTTTTATTATTATATGCCGATGATATTTTATTGATAGCTAATACTAAGATCGAAATGAATTCCTCTCTAAAAAGCCTCGGCCGTGAATTAAAGAAAATAGGACTCGCTTTAGCTCCCAAGAAATGCAAACTCTTAGCTATTACAGCCAAAGCCAAACTATCTAAGGCCCTAGTCACTATTGGACAGGATATAATTGCCACATCTTCTTCTATTGAATATCTTGGGGGTATATGTACCTTTAAGAATGATTTTTCTTGGTCCTCTGATAATCCAATCAACAAAATCTCGAATCAACTGGCATCAGCTAAAACTTCTAATCTATATCTCAACAGCATCACCACTACATTAATGTCCAAAATCATATCTTTGCCTAGATATGCCTGTAGTTTCAATGGAATCAATAAGAATTCTCTAGACAAAGCAGATATTATGGTTGCTAATTTTGTCAGAAAGGCTATTGGATTAGATTACACATTATCAAAATCAGTCATTTTTAATTGCAAACAAATTGGGGGCCTTGGTATTACTCGCCCCTCTACTTTATTCTCCATTGAACCTATTTGCACAGCAGTTAGATTATTCAACTCCTCCTCCACCATCACCAAAAATATTGCTTTGGCTGCTTGGAATGATCTTACCTTTAACGAACCATTTTGGAACCACGTGAAAAATATCGCGGCTCAAAATAATTGGTCTCTCCATTACATTGATGAACGGTATTCATTTGTCAATGAATACGAAACCCCTGTCGACCCTAGAACTGAATTACTAAACAACGATAGATCAACCATGAGCATCTCAGGCCTTGGAATCTTAGACCATAATAGAACCTGGCATCCATGTACCATCTCCTTTTGGAGCAATTATTCACTCAAACCCTTCCAACAACGACTATTATTTGCTCACCTACACAAAGCAGAAATCCTTAGAAATTTCGGAAAAGATTACCCTAATTGCCACATTTGCAATACCAAAGCCAACTGGGAACATGTATTCACCTCATGCACCATGTGTGGTCCGGAAATCAAATCATTATACACAAAATGGGACAACAGTTCCCTCAAATTCAATGCCCCTCTTATCAGACTTCCTTCAAACCATTCTCTCTCTTGTATTCCAATGGATTGGAATGGTAGTATCAAAGACGAACCTCTTCAACAATTAGACTTATCTCCCCCAGCTTTGACTGATTGGCTAAATGAAATATATCTCTCATTCGCTGCCTATGTTGGCAGTTGTTACAAAAACGCCACTTGGAACAGTTCAACTGTACTCAAGAAGGCTAGAGGATATATAATTAAACCCAAAACTGCAAAATTTGCAACTGCTTGGGAAACATTTAGCAGTCAGCTTGGCGAACTCAACTCCAACAACATCTACACCTCACACCTACACACCCATTAGACACACTATCGTCGGACAATTGAGTACCTATAATTTGTTTATTTTTCAATAAACCCATTCCTGTATTTTTTGGAATTGGAAATTCAGAAGTAAATTCATTCGAGGAATTGTTTACAAAAAAATGATTCAAAAGCCGTTGACGGACCATCGAGAATATCAATGGTTGATGTTGGAAAATGAGTTGGAAGTACTTTTGGTTCGAGATACGAAAGCCTTGATTGCATCGGCTTCGATGGATGTTAATGGTATGATTTTTTGAAATCTTTCCGAAATGATCAACTTGTGTTTTCCTTCTTAATTTGATAAAAATTATTGATCAAATGCATGTAATTGCAATGAAATAATGTTATATATTTCAATCATGATATTATTTATGGTCCATAATATTATAAATGATATTGTTATAGTTGGACACATGAGCGATCCGAAGGAGTTTCCTGGATTAGCCCACTTTGTTGAGCACATGTGTTTTATTTCATCTGAAAAGTATCCCACAGAAGGTGATTATAAGAATTTTATTCGTCAGCATTCTGGATCTACCAATGGCACAACCACTGCCGAACATACGAACTATTATTTTACAATTTCAAATGAGTATTTAGAGGAGGCCTTGGATCGATTTGCACAATTCTTTATCAGTCCTTTGTTTGCTGAGAATGCAATTGTGAGAGAAGTGGAGGCAATAGATAAGGAGTTTAAGAAAAACTTTCAAATAGATTCGCGAAGATTGTATCAATTAATGAAAGAATCATGCAATGAAAATCACCCTTTCAAAAAATTTGGAACTGGAAATGTACAAACTTTAAAGATAGATCCTGAGGCCAACCATTTAAATGTTCGAGAGCATTTGGTGAACTTTTTTAATAGATACTATTCGAGTAATCAAATGAAGCTCTGTGTGATTGGGAATTATTCCTTCCAAGAGATGGAGAAACTTGTTAGAAATTCTTTTTCAGCCATCAAGAATAGTCATATTTCTAAACATGAATTTTATCCTCCAAGTGATGCCACAAAACCATTTCAACCATCTGACTTGGCCAAACTGTTCAAATATGAACCAGTGACAGATACCACTGATCTAACTCTCTTATTTCCTCTCTCCATCGATTGTCCTAAAATTATACAGAGAAGAAACATGTACTACAAATCCTCATCTATTTATTGTTTGCTTCAGTTATTTGGACACGAAGGAAAAGGCTCTCTGTATTCTCTACTCAAGCACAAGAGTTGGGCAGAGTCACTTACTTCATATACCTATGACTACAATGGTGTCAATGATCCTGGAAAACAATTTTCTCTATTCGCCATTAAGATTAAATTAACCAAAACAGGAATTAATTTTTGGAAAGAGATTGTAGAACATGTTTTTGAGTATATTCAGATTCTTAAAACTCAAGGTGTACCTCGTTGGATATTTGAAGAATTCTCACACCTCCAACAGCTAGCATTTGATAATGCACAATTTACTTCTTCCTATGCAAGTACATTGTCTGAAAGTCTGCAACAATATTTACCAGAAGATGTCATTGGCGCTAATTATTTATTATACGAATTTGATGAAGATCACACCAACTATATATTGAGCCATTTTCATCCTGACAATTTGAATATTTACTTGTCAAGTAAGACCTTTTCCGACTTGGACTCCTCTGAACGATGGTATGGCTTCAAATACAGAAAGGGCGACTTGGAAACAAATTTCATCAGCACATTAAGAAATAAGAAGAACGAAACACCACAATTGCACCTTCCATTCAAAAATACTTACATACCATATAATTTGGGACTAGTGACAGATACCAATCCGATCACACAATATCCTGTTAAAATTGTAGATAGACCCAAGATCAAAACATTCTTCAAAAAGGATGATTATTTCAATACTCCCAGAGCAGACATTATTGTCTTGTTGACCATTCCTCAAAGTTTTGAGGCGCCATTGAACGTTGTTTATGTGGAGCTCTTTGTGGACACGGTTCGATACTTACTTAATGAAGAACTTTATATGGCCTCATTAGCGAAAATTGCCTCTAATATCACAAATGTTGAACGAGGAGTTGAAGTTCATGTGAATGGGCTCAGAGAACATTTAGTGGATGTCATTATGGTAATTTTAGAAGAGATTGTGAAAGCAGCTGACGATAGGAATCATTTAACACAACATGTTTTCGACTATGTCAAACAAAATAATCTCAGAAACCATCAAAATAAGAAGTTCTCTTTCCAGTCTCATGAAATTGCTACATATGAATCCTCGCGACTCTTCCTTCAGAGAAAATTTACATTTTTCGAATTTGCACAAGCATTAGAAAGAGTAGAAATTGATGAATTTAAAAACTTTGTGAAAAGTTGGTTAACAGTGTTGCGAATTGAATGCTTGATACATGGAAATTTCACAAAAGACAACGCCTTACATATTTCACAGCAGGTTGAAAAAATTATGTTTGATAATAGAATGAATGCCAACAAGATTTTGACACCACTTCCATCTCAAGAATATTTGCGAAATGTCGCTGTGAATCCTACAAATGTGGAGCTTGTGGTTCCAATTTTAAATTATGATACTTCCAATCAAAATAACGCAATTTTAGTTTCGTATCAGATTGGATACAGGTCATTGCGATCTGATTGTTTATTGGAATTATTCACTCAAATATGTTCGAGCAAGTAAGTATTGAACAAGGTATGATTTTTTGGAGCATTTGAAACGTCATTCAATGAACTGTGAATTTTCAGATACTTCACACATATGAGGACGCAGAAACAATATGGATACATTGTGATGTGTTATCATCGTTTTATTCATAATGTTTCTTTCTTAAGCTGCTTGATACAAACAACCACACATGAGCTCACGGATATTCTTGTTGAAAATGACCACTTCTTCAAGAATAATGTGTCAAAACTTCTGGAAGAGCTCACAGAGGAACAATTTAACGATATTGTTGGTTCCATCATTCAAAAAGCTTTGGAAAAAGAAAAGACAGTCCAACAACGATCTCAAAGGTTCTGGAATGAAATTGAAAATCGACAACTCAAGTTTAATAGATATGAGCTTAAGGCAGAACAATTCAAAAAGTTTACGAAAAAGGATATCAATGAGTTTTATGAGAACTTTGTTAATGGTCCACATTGCAAGAAATCTGTATTTTTGGTCTCCAACAAGACATATCACAAGGATCAATTTTCGAATCCAAATATTGTGCTTGTAGAAGACATTGCCCAGTTCAAAAGCACTTTGGAATACCATTGCAGCATTTCAGAATTCTAATTTCGTTTATTTCAGGAATCGAAAAAGGAACGATAAATTTTGTAAAAGGTGTCTCCATCCACACTGCAAATCAAGTAGCTCGAAACTAATTGAGAAAAACAGAAATTGGGATCACTCTTCATCTGTCTTGATACTTTAGTAAATAGCTCCACAAGAAATCGTGACACAAATTGTTGATGAGTGACATTTTTCGAGTGTTTCAAGACTTCGGTCACAAAATTTGATGATCTAGCCTTTAGACTCTCATCAGTGCAGTGCTCGAACTCTGCACAGCAAGAGCTGTTACCAAAATTTTCCTTAAACTTTCACAATTATTTTGCAATGTATCTAGGAGAAGCATGTCAACATACATGACATTTTCCACATAGTTTATGATACGCTTAATTGTCTTTTCGTCTGAAGTTCGTATGAGGTCTAAAATGATACTCTCGACTGTGACACCTTCACTGCAGTTTTTTGCATTAACAGTTGTCAGTAGTGCATGTTGAGGCAATGAATACTGAATTCGTAAAGTATGTGAGCATTAGCTTTTTTCAGCTGTTGTCAGAGCATTCAAAAAGTAACATACCACTATTGGCCCATCCTTCGTACCGTACATGACAATCTCCTTGAAAAATACTGAATTGTACTTGATCGCAAATGTTTTCAGGTGAGCAAGAGTTTTCACCTTTGGTTCGAATGAGATTTTAGTTTGAAATCCACACTCGTCAATAAATGATGTTAGGTCTACAAAGCATTGGGAGTGCGATTCAGTAATGGAGATGAGAAAGAAATGTATGGAATTATCTTCAACACGTAAATTCTTGTTGCGTCTTCTAGAATAATTAGGTGAGCATTCAAATGTAAGAGTAATGTCTTTTTGACTCGGAAATCTGAACCCTTTCTGTTCAAATTCTTTCCAAAACAAGTCATTCAATGAATGTTGTTCCTTTTCGCCACAATAAATAGTTTCGTTAGCGTCGCAGGTCATATTGCTGCAAATTTGCCATTTTGATTCATATGGATTGTAGAATAAATGAATAAGAATTAAAGTTTCTTGTGGTACATTGCTATCAATGCACCATAAATAACATCCTTCGCTACTCTTCAAGTGATAGCAATAATGGTTATCAGATGGAATGACTCTTCGCAATGGTAAGCATAAAGGTTTGAAATTCATTAATTCTGAATGTCCAGCAAGAATTACTCCATTAAAGCATTCGTTGGACGCATGAGAATAAAATGGTGACTCATCATTGGTTCCTCGAATGTACAAATATTGAACTCCGTTATTCGAGACGTGATATGAAGATTCTAAAGAAAAATACAATCTCAAAACCTCTGTTAAATCTTGAACATTTTTGTAGAATTTTAGATATTCAAAGAGTTGTAAGGACTTTTCTTTAGAAATCTCAAAGCATATCTTTTTGGGTTGCATGGTCATGATATTGATTTCTTCTTTCAAACTGTTCGTCATTCTCGAACTGTCTATTCAAAAGGTCATAATAAATGTTATTCGCTTCGGAATAGTCAACAATCTTGCAATGATTAATTAATTGTCTCACAAGCAGTAAATCTCTAAAGGTATGAGCTATGTACTTTTTTGACCTGTAATGATTATTTGACTTGTCGCTCCAGTACTTTTTGGCAAGCCTGAAATGCCCACCAGCCTCTGTAATTCCTGAAACTACAAGTCTTCTCAAGTATATCTTGTAACATATGTTTAGCTCTGGAAAGTCGACTCTCCAAACAAACTTTGACTCCATATTTACACACATTAGGGCTTGCAACCAGTTATGTTTCAACCTCTTTCTAAAAGAGCTGTGTTTGAACAGATTGACATTCACCTCAAATCCTGTCCTTTTGCACCATAATGTTAGACATTGGAATTCTCGACCATCTTTGGTCATTTCCATTAATTTTCCTTCATCAAGTGCATCATTTGTTTTTCTTGTTTTATCCTCTTCGTCATTGTGAACAACAATCCATTGGTTTTCAAATTCATGATGATTTCTCTCTTCCTTACAGTCCCTTTTGTAATTTAAATTTAACCATTCGTATAAATTATCATGAATAATTACGAAGAAATCATAATCAGAGTCCTCTCGAGCCGTTCCATAGACTCTCGATCCAAACTGATACACATTACAATAATAATCAAGCTGCTCCGTTGTTCTATAACTCTCAAACATTAAACAATTCATCAAATCCTCCAAATTCATCATCCTCTCATAACTATTTTCACCTTCCTTGCTGCTACAACTGTTATTTTCTTGAAACAATGTCATCTTTACTCTTCTCTCCATTACTCAATTATTGATCATCATCACCTCAAAAATTTAAATCACATTCATTCATTCGGGAGCAACTCATTCCGATGAGGCTATTTTTTTCAATAAAAAAAAATATAAAAGTCCAACGAATCCAACACACACGCGATTCACCACTATTACGACGACGACTACTAGGAGAGTTTCTTGAATTTAAAATTCAACAGACGTTTTTTTCAACAGCCACAGCAGCAACAGTACCCATCACAACAATAGACTCAGCAGCACTCATCAATAATTATTCGAACAATACTTGATACATCAAATGGTAGGAAATCAACAATGTTATCATCAATTTAGCTAATCAACAACCTTTCATCATCATCAAACAACAATAATTTATTAAAAACATTTTTGTGTGCGTGCGGTATGAATCGGATATGAATATGGTGGTTGATGATGGTTCCATATGGATATTACCGCAACCATATGATGGCAACTCAAAACGCTCTTACACAACAATACATTTTAATGATATGAATGTTGTTGTATCATGATTATTACTGCTCTCAACCGCAGCAACAGTCTCTAGATTCTACACAACAACACACCACAGCAGTAACTAATAATAGCAACAACGTTGCTGAACAACATTCAAATAATACCTCTAATCACCCAAGCGAGCATCAGCAACACCAAGAAAACATGAATACTCAACAACAACAACAACACCACCATAAACTTCAAGATGACGAAGAAGATCTGTCAGATTCTGACGAGAATATTATTCAACAACATAAACAACAATCCGCACAAAACGAATCGGGTGATAGAGTCCTTTTTGTATTCAATCTAACGGTTGATACCAAGGAAGAGGACATTACTCGAGAGTTTGAAAAGTATGGCAAAGTCGAAAAAGTATCCATAGTGATGGATCGAAAGAGACTCATCAACAGAGGTTTCTGCTTTGTAACAATGTCAACAAGTGAAGAAGCCAATCGAGCACTTGAAGCCAAAGTTGTGGTGAAAGGACAACAGCTGACCGTCGAAAAAGCCGCAAGGGCTGAAGGTCATAACTCCACTCCTGGTCAAGGATATCAAGGCAAGAGAACACCAAGAGAACGTCTCATGCCAAAATCCATGCGCCATGGAGACAAGGACCATTCAAGGTCGAGAGGAGGAAGAGACGGTCGAAGAGGTGGAAAGAGTTCATCCTATAGAGACAATAGTGGAAGTAGTAGTCGGGATAGAAGTTCTCGAGGGAGTGGCGGCGGTCGAGGACGAAATAATGCACTTCCTGGATATCCACCCCATCATCTTCCTCCACATACAGCAGGTCAACCTCCGTATGGATACTATGATTATTACTATGGATATCCATATGCATTGCCACCAGGAGGTATTTCTCCATCGATCGATGAACAACATGCATCAGCAGGAAGCATTCCACCTAGAAGTACGGCAGGTAACGGTAAGGACCCATCGAGACAAATGCCACCTGGCCTTAGCACTCCTCCTCCAACAACAGGTTTTTCTCAACCACCACCTTATGGTACTGGAGCTTATCCACCAGGAGGTTATCCTCCATATTCTGGATATCCACCTTATGGAGGTTATCCTTACAGCTATTATCCACCTTATGGATATGACTACTATGGAATGCCAGGTAGAGAAGATCATGAAGGAGGTAATAATGCCTCACCTCCACAACATCATCCAGGTGGTGCTTCATCTAGGAGCGTTGGTGGCTCTGCTGGCAATAACAGACCTTCACCGCAACGTGGTGGCCCAGGTAGATTTTATCCTTCGTCAAATTACAGATATCATCCATATCCTTCTGTTTCTGAGGGTGTTGCCTCTGGATCGTCACATCACAGTGCAGGAGGTTCAGACTATGGAGATTCGCCTTACAATGCTGGTGTCTATGGAGGAGGTTATCCCATTGAGAAATAAATAATGAATTTACGAAATTCATTGTTTCACATTTTGATTTCAATTTTTTTGTGAATTGTGAAAGTAAATTCCTTAGTAAATTATGTTTCCTTAACATCTTAAAATTAACACATTCCTTTAGGAAACCTCAAGTCCTGTTGCTCTGAATTTAGGATGCATTCTCTAAACATGAAAGAATTGAATTAGTTGGGCTGTATGACGACAGATTCTTGCACATTTGCCACTGGTGTTGTCCTTCTAATTTATTGTGCTTTTGTTAATAGTAAGTGTGCTGTCACTGACGTTATGTTTGACCAACTTCCTTTCTCAATCGAACCAATCAATCGGTTGCGACCATCTTCTCTCGATGTACAAATTTGTAAGCAAGTTTTTTACAAATGGATAGATTCTAATTAGTGCCGAATCCTTGAACTATTCGAGTTGGGAAGTCATCTTACTAATCCAGCTAAAAAAAAATAATTAACACCATGCACAATTTTGAGGAGGTAAAGGGTGGTCTCAGAATCCTTTCCAAGCTCCTTGTTTGTATAGTATGCCTTTTGGTGTTGGCTTTTAGCCAGCAAGCATTCGCTCAAAAGATGGGCTTCGAGTCAGAATCCGAAACTGCTCATTTCTTTAATGGTGTTCTCAATCGACAAAGTTCCTGTGAATTCATAAACAACAACAACTAATTAGGGCGACTTGTTGGATCATGCCCCTGGATATAAACATGGCAAAATTCCATTGGTCCATCCAACCTTTGAAATTATTGATAAAACCTGTCATCCTGTGGAATTTGTGAGTGATCCGATTCCGTTCTCAAGGTAAGTCCTCAAAAAGTTTCTAACACCCATAACAAATAATCTAACTGATAATCTCACGGATGGTCTCACCAATTTTGGTATCCTTCTTCTTCTTCTTATTTATTAACAGAGGTCTCAACGATATTTGTCGAGTCACTAAAGATTTACAGCAAATGCTCGACCAAATTCGATATGAGGGAAGCGAAAACAACATTATAGACAATTACTTTGTTCAACGAGGTTTGAAGTTAGTCAATGGACACAAGGGAAATGTGAATCAGGGTTTACAAATTACCTATTCTTTCCCATTTCACAAGGCTATGTTTTCATTGAGAGCTCTTTCTAGTTTCTTTACTGCAAGACAGGCAGAGAAAGCAAAATGGGTCATCGATATTGATCATGTCCTGTTCAGTCATCTTATCACATTCATCGATAATGACCAAGACTTGCGGAATTATCCTGAACATGTCAAATTCTTCCTCTTTGTCATGCTTCAAAATTTCTCATATGGATCTCTCCTAAAATGTAGGATTGGACGTTATGCGAAACTCATTGCAGGATTAATTCTTCTTCGTACAAACATGTATGAATTTGTGAATCATGGAGGTCAACAATCGGTGCGTCACTTGTTGCGAGATCCACTGAACACAGTTGTAGAAGCTTTTGATCGTTTCAGAGATTACTTTAATCCTATTAGAGGAAACATACCTTCACTCGAAGAATGTGTTACTCATCCTACATGCGTTGGACAATGCTTTAGACAATCTAAAACGTATTACTTTGCCAAAACCTATGATTTGTCCAAAAAATTTCCTTTTTCAGCCAATGAATACTTCCAAAACTTGTTTAGAAATAATGGAAAAGATTTATTCTCCACTCATGGAGAAGATTTCGATCATGCATTTGGAAGATTTGGCCTTAACGTGGATGGTCAAGCGACTGTCATTTATGAGCTTCGTATGTTGCATGGTTTCTATTATGACGGTTCTCCTCAAACTGCCACTGTTTTGCACAGCAGAATTCCAACATTCTTCCATTTAGGAAATGAAATTATGAATCACAATAGTTTACAAAACATTAATGTTGGAGTAAATATGTGCGACCATCAACATCGATTGGTCCCATTGCAAGATCCTCAGCCAGAACCACCAACTCGACCACAGCAGCAACACCTTCCAGCTCCTCAACAACAAAGTATTCACAACATGAGAGAAGAGAGAAGAAACGTAAATGATGCAATTAGAGATCAAAGGAGAAATTCAATGCCAAATTTGGGAGAAGCTCCAAAGAATACAACACCAACCACATACAAGGAAGCTAAGGTAACTGTTCTTTCTAATGAGGAGCCCAATAACATTAGTATTTTGAGAGAAGCAAGAAGAAAAGTTCGAGTTCAAAAGAGATTCGATCGAGAGTTGAGAAGAACAACAGAAACTCGTAATAATTCTACTCAACAACCAACTAAGGATCAAATAAAAAGAGAAGCAACAAGATTGGCAAGAGAAAAGAAGAGATTGGCTCGAGAGGAAAAACGAGATGTAAAAGCTGGTGTGAAACCTGTGACGGATCAAGATTTGAAGCAAATAATTCAACAACAGAAAAAGAAGAAGAAACAAATTCAACAGACCATGATACCTGCGACACCTTTTGGAAGAATTCGCCATCAAGTGGTCAAGAAGAATCGAAATGGTGTTCGTGTTAAATTCAAGTTGAGATTGTATGAGTGAGTTGAGAAAAACAAGTTCTTTCAAAGTGAGTCTGTTTCAAAATCACATACAAATTAAACACATAATTCGTTATGTTAGGCGGACCCAATAACGATGAGATCTCGTTGTTGTTTGAATGATTCATATATCAATTTCTGTCAACTGATGAATTCAATCATTCCATTACAGTAATGTATTTCATTGAATTTCTCAACATTATCAATTTATTCACCATTGATTCAATAGTTGGTTTTATTGACTGAAATGATCATTTCATTGAATGGGAGTCATTCGGAGAGAGAAAATGAAGGAGACATCATTGAGATCGTAACTACAAGTCTACATGTCCAACCTGTGTACAAAGTTTGTCAACTCTGAATTCTTCTCCCAAATTGTTATTCCTTTTTTTTTATTTATTTAAAAAAAATTGAAATAATAACCATGTCTTTCCTTTTCTGTTGTTTACGAGGAGGAAGTGAGGACGGAAGGAGGCAGAACCAACAACGATTGTCCTCTTCCTCCCAACTCAAACAGGATGATGATAAGGATCGACCCTTATTGCAACATGAACACTTTTCACCTTCCTCAATGAACCCTCATGATGATCATACAAACCATGAACATTTCCACTCGACGAGGGCTAAATATTCTTCCCTTTCTTCTTCAAGGTACAATTCTTCACAAGATGTAAACAGAAAAGAAGTACCACAAAACAAGAACCAAGACTCTATACATGTAGTTGATTTGAAGAATAATAGAGATCCGAATGAGCTACACGTCCATTCATCGCTACTCTCGAATTCTGCAACGGAAAGTTATTTCCTTGATGATTCCGCCTTTGATCATCATAGTCATTCATACAGACATGATGATGAGGGGAAGGAAAGCTTGGTGGATCAATACGAAAGTACCCCCGATTTCAAAATACCAATGAGAACGCATGCTGATTCCGACCGAGAAGAAGAAGAGTACTTTGATGATGAACATTTAATGATGATTGATCATGAAACTACCACCACTGGTGTACCTCCTCACATGAATAAGGCATCCAATTTGACATCTCAATATAATATTGGCTCAAATAGTGAAGAAGACATGTTTCCCTCTCATGGTGGTGATGATGATAAAGAGTTGGAAACGGAGGAAAGTTCAAGTCCTCCAGAAGAGACTTTTGATGAGAGTGAATACATTGATGATGATGATGAAATATTCCAACAGTATTATGTATCGGTTGTGGACAATATTGATATGACCATTGTCGAATTAGAATGTAGAAATAATAGAGAACGAGATGTTAAGAGAATGAGAATAATTAAGGAGCTAAAGAAGACAGAATTTAATTATTTAAAAACATTGGAAACACTTCAAACCTATTATTTAGATCCCTTGAAAGATGGAAAGAACAATATTGTCTCAAAGGACTTCTTCCAAAAGACTGTCGGAGAGTTGAGTATCATTTATGGAATTAATCAATTGTTTTATCAAAAGCTAGCAGAAATGATAGACATTCCAGAGGAAGATGACGAAAAAGCAATGTATGAATATCTTATAACTAAAGCTTATGACATGGAAGTGAAATTAGTGAATGAGATTGTGAAATTCAGTCAAGCGTTAAAACTCTACACGGGTTTCATTACCAAATACAAGAATTCTTTGGATCAATTGAATACAGAGCTGGAACGAAATAAGAGATTACAACGATTCATTAAGGAAGCATTCAAATCAATTCAACTTGCAGGGCTGAATCCAGCTCCTCCAAGTTCCTATTTGATTGCCCCCATTCAACGAATACCAAGATATCAACTCTTGCTGAATGAGTTAACCAAAAACTCTGCTCACTATCCAGAACTGCATGAAAAGTATCTTCAAGCTACAGAGTCCATTGCCAAAGTTGCAGAATATTGTAATGAAAAAGAGAGAGAAGTTCAAAACTTGGCACGAAGTTTCTCCATCTCTAGGAAAATTCGAAGTAGAAGCATCATTCAACCATCAAGAAAATACTTGGATGAATGCTCGTTTGATTTTAAAAAGAAATCTAGAAAGGGAAGTTTGACTGCCTATTTATTTTCTGACGTTTTAGTTATCACAGAAAAGAGCATGATGCAGCAAAAAACAAAGAAATTAATATTTAGCAAGGAAATGCCAATATCTTTGGAGGATGTTGGGGAGAATTTGGTTGCAATTTTACAAGGAAACAACAAGTACTGGTCATTGATTATTGATCCTACCAGTGCAAAGCAACGACAATTTATCTCTCTTCTTAAACAACGATGTCAACAACAGTAGAACTGACACATTGGTTTGCGAGAGTATCAAAAGATGACGAATGCAATATTGGTCGAAGAATATTTCTGCGTTTTTTCAGCTGTCGGTGAACAATTGCAAGATCAGGAAAAACACATAAGAGTGCCTTTTTCTTTTAAAATGATGTTTTGATAAAGGAAAGTTGTGTGAATTTTGGGTCATTGTGGTTTATTGCTTGCTGACATGTTTCTTGGGATTGTAAACCTCCCATTTCGAATAAGGAAGCTCATTCTTGTGTTTTTCAAAGAATCTCCGGTCTACTATTTTGGAAGCGTGAGCTTCTTGCTTTTCCACAGTGGCGTCACTCACTGCTCGGACGTCATCGTGAACGTCAAATCTAAACATGACACCTGTTTTTCCCTTTGTATTATTTACAATTAAATCATAGAAAGAATAGTGATGAGGAATGATCAAGTCTTCCTTAATGTACATTAAATCAGAAACAGAAATTCTCTTCAATTCTTGCCACTCTTGTTGGACCTTATACAAGAAGCTCTCCACAGTCGTTCCTTTTTTCACAACGATAGACTTTCTGTGACCGCGTCCATCCCAATAACTGTATGTAATTTCAATATCCTCATTCTTAATTTTTTCTTGTTCAGCAAGCCATTCCTTTCTTAATTTTTCGATTTGATCTTGTTCTTCTTGTTCACGTTGTTTATCGGGTAAAAAACTTGTATCTACTTGTGGATTTTTCTTGATTTTTTTCATTTCAGGCTCGACACCTTCTTCCTCCTCTTGTAATTCATCTTGAAAAGACAAGACATGAACCAGCTTTTTCTGTTTCTTTTTTTCTTTCTTTTTTTGTTGACGTTCCTTCTCTTTTTCCAACTCCAAACGTTTTCGAGTAAAATCTTCGAGTGTTACTAATCCGATGGTATGTTCAACGAGCGCATTATCCCGAACGTTCTTTTTCTCATCGGCTGCAAATTTTGATGCAATAGATCCTAATCTATTCTTTTCCTTCAACTCGGATGCTGTTTTTTCAAATTTTTCTAATTGCTCCTCTCGTTGTTTTTCCAATAAGAACGCTTTCGTTAAATCTATTTTATTTCCTTTATACTCCGCCATGATGATGGTTGAATTGTTTTCGTATCTGATACGTTGGAATAGAATTTTTTTAATTAAATTTCTAATTTTGAATTTCAAATTGAACGTGAAGAATAAATCCAACAACACAAGACAACACCAACCAATTGATTGATTGTTCTTGAAAGTCACACAACACTTCTTAATGTTCCATCATGGAATTTTTCTTCTTTTTTGCTCTTCTGGATAACATAACAATGACAATGGTGACAGCAACAATGACTCCACACACTAATAGTGCTCCAATCACTGAAACAGTGGCAGCAATGGCAGCTGCAGATTCAACTTGAGCTCTTTCTTCTTTTTGAACTGAAAAGGAGGGTGGTGGAGTTGGAGAGGGAGGTTTTGGATTGTTTTTGTTGGAAGCCTTCTTGAAATTCATGTCAATCACTGCAAATGATGTCAAATGTGAGGTCCAACATTTCATTGTTTGTGAAATTGAGTCATATTTTGAAACAATTCCTTCAGGACTCCATTCTTGTTGAATTTCATCAAAATAAACACATCCCAATTCAGATTGATTGGTCACATTTGGAAATGAAATTTCAATACCTTGCGCCAAATTTTTCACTTGAATTTCGTCTCCATTTCCTTTTGAAAGAACAATTTTCACAATCGGTGAAAGAACTTGTCTCACTTCTTCTTTCAATGCAGTCACATTTTGTGAAACGGAAACCACCAATGAAATCATGGATGATCCTCCACTTGAAATTTGTTTAGAAATGTTGAAAGGAAACTGGACAAGAATATTTTGAAAATTATCAAATGTGACATTCTTTGAGTCTAATTGTGCCACATTGGTCAATGTCTCCTCTTTAACTTCTTGTTTGACCGAGCTGTCATTCTTGCATTGCAAAATGCCATTAATTACTTCCGTTTGAAGACAAGTCGGAACCGAACAATCAAAACCAACCCATTGATTGTTTTCACATTGACACAAATTTGGAGCAACACATTTGCCATGGAATCCACAAACACTGTTCAAAGAGGCTGGAAGTCCAAAACAAATGGGTTCTGAACAATCTTGACCAAAATATCCAGCATTGCATACGCATTGGTTGAGAGAATAACAACGACCACGACCAGAACAAACACTCGAGCTGGATTTCAAAATTCCATTACAGGAAAACACGTCACACTCTGTACCGGAATATCCCTCATTGCATTTACATTGGTTCGGTGCAATGCATGTCCCATGACCACCACAAACACTGATCGAATCACCTGTGAAGTTATAACACATTGGTAAACACTTGGTATAGTCAAAAGACAAACGATACAACTTGCTGTTCCCGCAATTGATGGTGAGCTTTCGTAACACTCCATTTCCTGTATCGGTGATCAGGATTTCTGGTTGTGAGCCGATAAAGGCAAGATCCGTAGGCTGGTTCAGTACTGGTTGTTTGACATTAAGGAAACCAGGAGCTCCCGGCTGACCATTTCCTGCAGCAGTGACGATCATTCCATTCCGATCTACCTTTCTGATCGCATGGTTGTATCGATCCACAATATAAACTTCTTTAGAAACTGAGCTATAAGTCACACTTTGGGGATAATTTAATAAGGCAGAAGTGGCAGGTCCGCCATCGCCACCATAACCCGAAATGCCCAAAGTTCCTGCGAAAATGGTCAACGTGCCATTCGCAAATAGTTTTCGAATGACATGGTTGTAAGTGTCAGCAATGAATAAATCACCTTCAGGTGTGAGTGCCAACCCAGAGGGATGATTCAATCCTGTTGCAACCACAACACTGGTATTTGTGCGTTTCATCCATTGGATCACCTGTCCTCTTCCTCCATCACTAATATAGACAGAGTCATATTTTGCGGCCACTCCAAAGATACCTCCTTCTCCAACTGGAGCAGCTTGGTAAATGATTGAAACGTTTTTAGAACTAAAGTCATATTGTCTCACCGCATAGTTATATGAATCTGCAATGTACAAAAAGCTGCCATCAATCGCCAGTTGTGTGGGATGATGATACTGGGCGAATGCAGCTGGAACGTTGTTGATTGCAGGCCCCACAATACCATTGCCTGTTAAATTTGACCGTCCTAAATCGTATATGAAAAATCTGTAGACGTATCCAGCAACGCTGACTAAATAATCACCATATCCCAAGTTGAGGGTAGCAACTCCATAGAGAGTGTCTTCCAAATTGGTCAATACATTGGAGATAGAGTAGTTCACGTCAGTGCTAATTCTACAGTTGTCATCATGACATGGTTCTCTCACACACATGGAAAAGTTGGAGGACCAAATGAAACCTCTCTCGCACCCAATCGAGACTTTTCGAACTGCCCCGATTGTTGCTTTATAGTCCGTCAGGATGATCTCTTGCCTGGAAATGTCCACAACGAGGTCAGTGGCATAATCGACGCGAGAACCAAAATCTGTATTAAAAGAAAGTATATTTCCAGAATCAATGGTGAAAATCATTCCATTTCTGTCCACTTTTCGAATTACACAATTATACTTGTCTGCGATATACAGCTCATTCAGAACACTATTGTAGGCAACACTCGTTGGATATTGCAAAAAAGCTGAGGTTGCTTGACCATTGTCGCCTCCATACCTAGGCACCCCTAAAGTTCCTGCGAAAATGGTCAACGTGCCATTCGCAAATAGTTTTCGAATGACATGGTTGTAAGTGTCAGCAATGAATAAATCACCTTCAGGTGTGAGTGCCAACCCAGAGGGATGATTCAATCCTGTTGCAACCACTGTGTTTGTGTTTGTGCTTCTGGTCCACTTGATAATATGTCCATTTCCACTGTCAGATATATAGACAGTGGAATCATCGCTTGAGGCAGCAACTCCAGAAAAGTAGGATCCAAACGATACGCTGTTGTAAACAAATGAGACCATATTGGTTGTTAAATCGATTTGTCTTACGACACGGTTGTATGTGTCGGCAACATAAACATATTTGCTTGTCACACACAATTGGCTTGCACCATTAAAAGTGGCACTTAAAGCTGTGACATTATCAACTGCAGGACCTGAAACTACAGATACGTTCCCTGCGAAAATGGTCATGGACAAGGAAAAACGATCAAATCTGTGAATATGTCCATTCACACTCACCAAATAATCTCCGCTTGGATGAATGGCAATTCCATACACCTCTTTGTCCAATCTCATGAGTAAGGTTGAAAGAGAATAAGTGAAACAACCATCCTTGTATGGACAAGTTGTGGAAATTGAACAATTCAAACCAGTCCAACCCATGGTACAATTACACATGTCTGTACTCACACATGAACCATGTCCAGAACAGACCTCTGATGATGAATTGCTGGGAATTCCAAAACATGAATAGTCAGTGGTTTGTGCAAAGGAAAAAGTGAGTGTGAAACATGCTATTCCAAAGAGAAGGCCCAAATAACAATACGTGAACCATAGTTTCTTGAACATTTTTTCCTGACTGGATGTTTGTCGTGTTTGTTGTGAGAAATCAAAACAACTTTTTGACGTTTGAAGATTTAAAGGAATTAAAAGCCGGCTTTGATAGTAACGCGAGAGTCTGCAACAAATATGGAAAGCAATGTGTTGCGATTTAGAACCGGATGGATTGGACAACATGGAATTGCAAGGTCATCACGCTCAGCGACAAAGACTTTCGCGAATTTGAAACAATTCCTTTCGATATAAAAGGAAGCCATGAAAGTCGTATTCTATACCCGACTTGATCCTTATTTTCAAATTGAAATCCTATTGACTCAAGTTTCCGATTTCGTTGTTGATAATCCTTGTCATGGGTGCTTTGAATTAAGGTGATGAAAAGAGAAAAAGATTATTTATTGAATATTTGAGCACTCTTTTTGAGTGACAGCGATGTGCTGAAAATCAATACAAGTGAAACAACGGCCGCAAAGCATCTCAAGATTTGAAGAGGGAAGTTTCCTCATCAAACCTGCAGCCGCAGCGAACAGCCATTCAGCCAGATGGTCCTCGCTGCCAAAGTTGTTGACAGCTCCAGCACGAACACAGCCGATAAAATCCGGCTTAAGAGAGCAATATGAAGCGCCTGAATCCTCTTCCTCCGACCAAAGTGATGACGAAAAAGATAAGACTTATGAACCCAGTTCCAGTGGGAAATCATAACAAATCAAATCATTCACGACAACATTCACGAATTATGGAATGACGTCGTTACAAAGCAGATGCACCTCGATCGAATCTTTTTCACAAGTATTTAATGAACTAACTTGTGCTTCAAAATACCTTCCTTGTTTTTCTAAGTATCTCTTTCATTGATTAGTAATTATTGAATTAGAATCTTTGGTTTTTTCTGTTTTCAAAAAATTCTTCGTGATGTGTTTGACGCGCCCACCAAATTCCGATCAGAATACTTCTCCTAATCATCATTCAATTCCTTCACCCCTCGAGTTCCCTGTTTAAACATGATGTGTTGTGATTTTCTTTGTTCCGAATTGTAAATACTTTTGTATTTACTTGAAACAGCATCATATAACGACTCGTCGTTTTTATTCCCATTTTGAAAATCTCTGGCAATATTTTCGCATCCTTTCATAGACTATCATCCCTTTCTTAAAAACAACCCGCACAATCACTGGTAATCATGACGATTTTATTCGAGTACGACTTTCATAAAAGAAATGTCTCTTCCAATAGAACCAACACCACAACAACAAGCACGACGAGGTAGTATTATTTCATATGTAGGAGGAGCTGGAGGAGAGAGTTATTTATCCATAGGTTCTGAAACTTCTTCCTCAACCAATGCTGACGGAATTGTATTTACAAAGAATTTAAAGGAATTTGTGGTTCGCTATGTGACTGTCATTCAAGACAAGCCGCAGTTTGAAGGAAAAAAGTATTTGATGGCCTCTGTAGCATTTCATTGCTTTGTCATGTGGACCAGTGTCTTTCTTCCAACTTTGGGTGACTATTCTTGGGGAAGCATTGCAAATTGGATATTTACTGTAGCCAATTATCCAATCACATTTTCATTGAATTTACTTTCGTATTTTGGAATGATTGGGGTGGGGACTTTTTGCTTTGTGATTGTTTTGATGGCTGTCATTGTGACATTATTATCATTTTGGGTAATTTGGAAATCGAGTAAGAAAATGAAACAAATCAAAATGCTTTGTATAATTACTGGAAGTGTTTTGAATTTGTTGTGTATGACAATGTCATTTGTGTTGTCATCCTTTATTGAGTGTGACTTTGAAAAGAAAGTATATTTCAGTAGCATTGAGGATTGGGACTATGCCTTGGTGCGATATCCCTCCATACAATGTTTTGGGGAGGAAAATAAGGCTCCATTCATTATGTCCATTCTAGTGGTGGTAACCCTCATGATCGTTATTTCAATACTCCGTTTGACTTGGTCTCCAGGTCTTGCCTGTAGTGCTGCATTCAAAACCAGCTATGACTGGCCTTTAACATTTCTGACACTCTCCAAGATGGCACAGTTGTTTTTCATGTATTTTATTCCGTCATATTTGATGTATTTGAGAGCATGTCTGCATTTGGGTGTGTCACTTGTATGGATAGTTATATTATTTTGGAAAGTTCCTTTCACTAGGAGATTTGAAAATTCCATTTATTCTGGAGTGGCATTAGCAAAGGTTGGAGCTTCTATAGGATCTTTGGTATCCTCTCTTGTGAATAAGGAAAAAGCAGTTGAGATTGGTTTGGCCATGTTTGGTCTAACAATAGCTCTCATCATCATTGGATTTTTGTTTGGCTATCTTGCTATGGATGTGTATGTACGCCTGGCTTGTCGATCCATTAGAAATATTTTTCACAGTGCCATTCAGGAAGGATCCTCACATCATACTGTCACCACTACTACTGAATGCAATCCCTCTACTTTAATTGAGAAAGAGGCCTATTCCATATATTCAAGTATTGTGGAGAGTCGAAAAGTTGCATTTTTGAAGCTATTCATACGATTTTGTACCATTTCAAGCAACAACTCGAGTCGAAGCTCAAACGAAGAAGCGAACAGCACTCTCACAGATTCTGGCCTTGTCTTATCATTTATTAAGGGAGTTTCATACCAAAAACAATTCATCAATGCCGTTTCTCTGGTCTTGATTTCAAGCCTATTTTTGCTCTACAATTCACACGCAAGTTATGCTTTATCTCTTGCCAAAAGATTGTACAGACGTAAATTGAGTCTTTTTGAAGCCATATCACTTGCTGGTACCTTAAATGAAATTGATTCCTCGGTTAAGAATTCTCTTCAGAATATTGAACCAGTTGAGCATTATTTGGTCATTTTGGACTCTAATTATAGAGAAATCAAAGGTCTTCACAAAGAATTTTTGAAAGAGCTAGCCAATGATTCTGTCAACATTGATTATTTGGAATTAATTAATTCTCGATGTTCGAAATTGATGGCCATGTCAGAAAATATTATTTCCAATGTACACGAGCAATACAGGCATGATCGAGGTTTCTTAAGAGCCCATGCGCAGTTTTTGGAGGAAGTGAAATTTGACAAAGAGTCAGCCAATGAAATATATTCAGAAATTGGTTCTCTCGAAGAAGACTCGAATGAAAGGAAAAGACGCATGAGTATGAAATCAAAGAAAAATCAAGTGCAAGCGCTTGGTGATGATGACAGTCTAGTGAATGGCTCCTTCAAAGAAAGTTCTCGATCATTTCCCGAATCAAAATTTAAAAGAAGTACTGTCTATTCGGTTACAGATGAATCGAACAAGGTTGCGAATGAAATTGAAGCCGACCGTTTGTGTGATGACATGGATGGAGTTGAAAATGATCCATATATTAAGAAGCAAATGACTTATCAGTCGTCTCTATGGGCCAAGCCAAGAAGTGATATTTTCTTGATTGTTTTATTCATTTATGGATTATTGAGCCTTTTAATACTTATCGTTTCAATGGCACTGAGTGTCTATTTTTCTCAAGATGTTCTTGGAGATGTTCGATTCATACAACAATCCTGTGAGCCCACTGTTTCTACTTATGCAATTTTGAGAAATGTTAGAAATCAACAAGCATTCAATGAAATCATAAGAGAAGGAGTTGTGACTCCAAATGAGATCATATCGTCGTTAAAAACAGATGGAAACTAATCCTTAGATGGCTTGTTCAAAGAACGATTTGAGCTTTATTTTGGACATTTAGAGGACATTCAACAAATGTCACTCACGAGCTTTTCTCCCTACATGTTGCTTGACTATAACAGTGAGATTAATGAAATACTAATTCCTATTATTCAATCCAAGCAACAAGGAGCATTTATTGGTTATGAGAAGAAGAATGTGTCCATCTCAGAAATTTCATCCCTTTTGCTGAACATTTTTGCAAACTATCCCAGCAATGGTTTTAATGAAACAATAACAGTCTACGACTTTATGATGCTCTATTTGAATCAAGAAAGATTTACGGAGGCCTTTGTGGAACTGTGCTACTCGTTCATTGATCGATGTGAAGAGTCGTATCAGGAAGGAGAACGGAGCTTTTCTTACTTTTTTGCTGCAGCCCTTCCGATCTATTTCACCGTGGCTCTCATTTTGATTATTCTGTTGCGAGCACGTTATGCAGACTTGAAAAGCATGCTTAGAATGTATGAAAAACAAATCTCCAAAGACCTTGTTGGAAAAGCATATCAAGGACTCGCGAAAAAGATTACTGAAACCCAAACATTGAATTCCTCACAACCCTTTTGGAGAAGAGCAAAAACATTAGTGGTGTTACGTATTTCATTTATTTTCTGCAGTATTGTATTATCCATGATGATGATGTTTGTAGAATTGAAATTGAACTCAGGACTCGGATTTGTCACACTTAAAAGTGTTAAGAAAACGGTGAACACCTTGGTGCTTGGTCAAGCCATTAATTTTAGAATGGGAGAGCTGTTTATATTTAATGAGCTTTCAAAATCTCAATTGAACTCGAACCAACTATTGAGCTCTCAAGACACTCTGGAACAGTATCGAAATTTTACTCGATTCAATATAACGGAAATGAGAGGACATTTCAATGATTTAATTTTTGGAAAAGTTGGAGAGTCTGAACCAGTGTTAGGATCCTCGAGAAAATTCGACGCTATCATTAATGGAAACTCGTGTTCATCAACTGGTTGCACAAATACAAGTATGCTCTCGATATTTGATAACCTTGCAATTTCAGTGAGCAAGTATAACGAAGAAATGAATTTGAACTCGGTATCCACACGAGAATTACTATTCAAAAACTTACAAATTGACAAATTCATGCAAAACCTCTCTGAAGATTTGCTCGATTTTTTAGCCATTTTCACACTCACAAGGGCTCAACCTTCGGTTGTGTTATTGATTGTCTTCTTCATCTTTGGCTTCTTGTCATGTACTGTTTTATGGTATCTCATTTATGGAAATATTACAAGTTTCCGTGAGGAGGTTCATCACATTCGATTACTTCTCAATTATATTGGCTTTGACTATATTGATTCAAACAAAGTCTTGAAAAACTTTGTTCTTTATAATGATCTTCCAGTGAAGAGGACATTCTTAGGAAGTAGTCGAAGCAAAATAACACCTCTTGACTCTGGAGAAGAAATCAAGCTCAATAGCATTCTCAATGCAGCTGTAGATGGAATCGTACTGTGCAATGCTGATTGTGATATTCAATTATTCAATCCTGCTGCACAACGTATGTTTGGATGTCAGCAAAGTGATGCCATTGGATCATGCTTATTCTCTTTGTTTGATTCAAATTCTCAAGTGGAAAAGATCATTCGCGACATGATCAAAATATGTAACGACTCTAAAGGTAACACAAACGGAGAAACCGTCGAAGTGGATGCCATACGAAAGAATCAAACAAAATTTCCAACTCGAATTGATATTTTTACAACTTTGTTCGATGGAAAACCATTAGTATCCATCATGATTAAGGACATTACTTCAGAAAAAAAGCAAAATGCGCTTCTAGCTCAGGAAAAACAAAAATCCGAAGCTCTTCTTAAGAATATACTTCCTGACAGTGTGGCCCAGCAATTAAAAGCTGGAGAGACTTTTATTGCAGAAAAGATCAATGATATCACGTGCTTTTTTAGTGACATGGTAGAATTCACTTCTTTAAGTTCAAATCTCAATTCCACGCAATTAGTGAAAATGCTCAATACTGTGGTGAATGGTTGTGACTTGTTGACAGAAAAACATCAACTTGAAAAAATCAAAACCATTGGAGATGCCTATTTTTGTGTGGGTGGTATTGGCAATACTCAATCAGATCATCCAGAAAGAACATTACGATTTGGATTGGACATTTTCACAGTATTAAGGGAATTTAATTTGAAAAATTGGCGCGATATTGGACGACAAATTAACGTACGAGTTGGAATTAATACTGGACCAGTGGTTGGAGGAGTTATTGGAACAAAGAAGGTACGAGTTTTGTGTTTTGTTACTAAATTTCTAACCCAATTTGACATTTGACAGTTCGCCTATGATTTGTGGGGAGATACCATCAATGTTGCTTCAAGAATGGAATCCACTTCATTGTCTGGAAGAATTCAAATATCTCGTTCCACCTATGAACGTGTATGGGACATTATGGGTCTTTCCTATGAAGAAAGAAATGTTCAAGTGAAAGGAAAGGGACTTTGTACCACTTATTTAGTCGATGCCAAACATCATGTCAATCCAATCGTGGAATTCGAGAATGAAGAGGAGGTTGTTTCCTCAAAAGATATTCCAGTGGATAAAACCAATATTTCAGATATTTAACCAAATTAAAAAACAATTAAAATCAACTTTCCTGTCAACATTTGTATTATTGAGGCCAATGATTTTTAAAACTTATCACTTAATCACTCAATCTGCATTGATCTGAATTATCTGTTGTTTATTTGATCAACTTTCTTGCAAACGAAAAAGCTTGCAAACACCAATCGCTAGTCGATCGATTACAAAAAAAATGTCTCGTTCTTCCTTTCTTGATGAGGAGTTATTGGCCGATGAAGATATTGCTGATTTGGTGAATTATTACAATCATCATCAACAACACCAACCCACACACGGAATGAATTATATGGCACCACCACCACCACAACAACATGCTACTGCTGGTTATAATAATAATTTTCAACAACAACAACATCAAGGCTCTCCATTCTTTTCATCATCCACAATGGTAGCATCATCCTCGCATCAACAAGGACCATCATTGGACGTTTCTATTGAGACAGCAATTGATGAGCCTTTCCGACATCAATGGTCAAATTATGATCTCAAGAAAGATGATGAAATGTATGAGAAATATAATGTTGCGTTGAAAATTAAGAACAATGCCAATAGTATCAGCGCACCTTTGTTATTGAATTGCAGACATGAAATTCATGACAAGGGAAATATTTGTGAGATGATTCACAAGAAAACCAATGTAACCGGTTATTATTTGGACTTTTTGTTGTTTGATTCTCAACCCTTCACGTTGCAACCACTTGAAGAAAAAATTGTTCTAGTATCAATATCTAGACCATCCCGAACCATGGTTTCTCATGGAAAATATTATATTCAATTCTATGTTCTTACAGCAGGGAATTTCCAAATGCTTTGTCACACGCAACAGGTCAAAGTTTTGACAAGCAAAAATAAGAATAACAGAACGAAACGGGTGTCACTTGATCCAACAAAACAAGATATTTCTGTCAAAAATCTAGTTCCAAAGGAGTGGCAACACATACAAACATCTCATCAAGTATTCGAAGCATGTTTTTGGGATGAAGTCGATTTAACTGGTGAAAAGAAAAAGTACACTCCACCACCTGCATCTGCCATATCTTCCTCATCGAGATCTAGCGCTTCATCGTCTTCATCCAATAATAATCCTTCAGCAACAACAAGCACTCCAAAAACAGAAATTCAAAACAATGGAACACCTCAAAGTAGCTCGGCCGGTATCATGAATCAACCACCACAACAGCAAACAAATGGTGACCTATTACTTCAACATCAACAAGGACACCATTTCCCTGGTTTGGGAGACGCATCTCCTCTTTTCAAAAATCCACTCTCTCCAAGTTTAATGGCAGGATTATCGTCACCAAACCATGACTTTTTGAGGAGCCCTTTCAGAGAGGATCATCATGCGCTTGATTCGGAATTTCATGGCCATTCCTTCTTGGAAGAACCCGCTGGACACATTCAAAATTACATTCCAATTAGTACTCATACATCTATCATTAAGATATTCCAAAAACAACTTGATTTTTACAAACAACAAATGGAAATTCTGTTGACTGAGCTAAAAAGACATGACAAACGAATGGCTGAAACGCTCTATAGACAATATGCATCTGTTTTACAACGAGACTCAATGTCATCAAGCTCTTCCTGGGATGACTCTAATATTCCATCCGAAGAGGATTTGGAAAATATGTTTAACAAGATGAAAATTATCAAGGAACAAGTTGAGCAGTCCATCAATGATTCCAAAAAACCGCCATGTTCTCCTGTGGCGTACTCAAATTTTTCTCCACATCATGATTATGTACAAAGTCCCATATATGCTCTTTACAACTCTAAGGATTATGATTTCTCTTTTGATGAGGATGTGACCATTCCTGATTATTATGAGGTCAAGTGTAATTCTACTGTTCTGAAAACATGGCAAATTACTAATTGTGGAATACCATTTCCTCGAGGTACAAGAATTGTTGTCAAGTCAGATAAAGAAACACCATTGGAGAATGATGAGCAATTATTACCTTTAAGAAATACAATTGAGGATCGTGTTTTGTCGGAGAGTGAACTTGCTGGCTTCAACGAAACGAAGAATATTTCTTGCTCCATTAAGACACCAAATGTAGAAGGACTCTATCGGAGAGAATTTTGTTTGCAACTCCCGAATAATATTGAATTTGGAGATTCATTGGTTGTCATTTTCAGAGCTGTCAAATAGAATCAATTAAATGCATTGGTGACTCATTCATTTGAAGAATGTTCGGGTCGAATAATCTCTCAAGAAGAAGTGAAATGTTCGAATGGTTCGAATGACTTCAGAAATTTTCAAATTTTATTGTTGATTGCTGAGTTTGTGAATGACTAGAGGTTCCAATCCACCAAGAACAATCAATTCTTGAGCCACGGGACCAACAGGATGGAATTGATATTCTTTCTTTGAATCCCCTTCCAGTAAAGTCAAGCATGAATTTCTAAAATCAATTCGAATTTTAGCATTGCGGACGAGAACAGTCTCCTTGCTGGTACCTTGTGTTTCTTTCAAATAGTCCACTAGTTGGGGTACCTCAATACATAAGAATCCATTATTGGTGGCATTTCTCTTGTATGTTTCACTGAAACTTCCACCAATGACCACTTGAATACCTAAATATTTCAAACATGTAGCCGCTTGCTCTCTCGAACTGCCAGTTCCAAAATTGTAACCACACACAAGAATGTGACCCTTCTTGGCAATTTTAACAAAGTTTGCATCATAATTTTCCATTGCCACTTGGGCTTGTTCTTCTGATGTGATGGATTCCTTGTAGGTGTATTTTCCAGGATAAATTCCATCCGTATTGAGATTGTCTTGATGAATAAAAACTACTTCTCCTTCCATCACTTCAGGAAATCCGTCAATAATTTTAGTGAGGGAAGACGATGACGATGTAGCACTTTGTGAATGATCGATTTTGGTAAACTTTGCACCTTTGGTGCTGCTTGTAGAGAAATATTCTGGAAGAGAAATGAAACCCTTCAAAGCACTGGCCATCACGACTTCAGGTGACGCCAAATAAGCTTCTGCATTTCGAGATCCCATTCGTCCCTTAAAGTTTCGATTCGTACTCGAAATTCCTACTTCTCCATCTTGTAATAGACCAGTTCCCAAACCGATACAAGGTCCACATCCGGGTGGAAGAACTTTAGCACCAGCTTGTACCAATAAATGCCAATCTCCAAGTTGTTCACTTTCTTTCTGAACTTTGTCACTCGCGGCAGAAATGTACAATTCAACACCTGGTGCAATTGTTTTTTGAGAGGATTTTCTAATGACGTTGGCTGCTTGATGAAGATCATTCACTCGACTGTTCACACATGACACAATATAGGCCTTGTGTACTTGAATTTGTTTTTTTGCAATTTCTTGGACACTCTGCATGACTTTGACGTGATTTGGTCCAGAGACATGAGGTTCAACAGTTGAGAGATCCAAAATCAAAGTTTGAACGTATCGCGCATCAGAGTCAGGAGCGAATTTTTTGTAACGTTGTTCTAATTCTTGAATGTCTTTGGATTTGTTTGAATTTTGAGTCTTTTTTAACCATTCAATGGTTTGAGAATCTACTGGAAAAACACCAGCTAAAGCTCCCCATTCAGTAGTCCTGTATGTCAAATATATTTCGAATGAAAGCCATTACATTGAAAAGAGGTTTTGGGAAGAAATGCAGGGTCAACTCATTAGAGTACACACATCACACACACTTACATATTGGAAATGGACAATCTTTCATCAATTGACAATGAACTAATTCCCTCACCAGTAAATTCCACACAATGATTTAACACCTCATCATGATTAAAAAGTCCACACAATTCAATAATCACATCTTTACCACTCACTCCTTCCCTCAATTTTCCAGTCAACTCAACTCTTGTAATTGGAGGAACTTGCCACCAAGTCGATCCAGTTGCCCAAATGGCAGCAGCATCTGTTCTCACTACAGGAGTTCCCAAACATCCAATTCCTCCATACATATTCGAATGAGAGTCACTTGCCGTTGTAAATGTGAGTGGCCAAGCATATCCTTCTTCGATCATGACTTGGTGACCTATTCCTCTTCCTGCAGGATAAAAGACAATTCCATTTTCTGAGGCAAATTTTTCAATTTTTTTGTATTTGGAGAGATTGGATTCGGAAGTGTCCTGAATGTTATGATCGAGAGCAAAGACGGGTTGTTTTGGATTTGCAAATTTGAGTGATTTTTTACATTCTTCGAAAAAGGCTTTGAATTTGATCATGACCGCACTGAATCCAATTTGAATTTCCAAATTCGGAAATTATTACAAGAAGAAATTCAACAACAATAATATTAACGAACACAACACAAGTGTCCTCCAAACCTACCTTGTATTGTCATGAGTTAAAATATGATGAGGAGAAATTTGTAAATAATCTCCCGAGCTCACCAATCCATGATCCTGAGGAGCATATTGTTGTAAAATTTTGTGGATCATGGTTTGATGTTGTTGATGAGAGTGGGAGGTGGAAAAGAATCGTTGTTGTTGTTGAGAGGAAAATGCGGGTTGGACAAGTTGGAGCAGCAAACTCTTGTTGAAAAGATAATGCCGTCCTCGTTGACGCGTCATCGACGAGGAGTGATGGAGCATTTTTCTTGGTTCGCGAATTTACGGAAATTTTGTTTAGTAGGTGTGACATTTCGCTCTAAAAAAGGAAATTTGTCTAATTCCTGTGAATTGTCTCAAAGAGATCAAGATCAGATTCGTCGTCATTCTTGTTCAAATCATGACTTGGTTGGGCACTTTTTCCATCATTGAAATTCGACCAATCCAAGTCGTAGTCGTTGAAGAAGGTCAAATCATCATCCACATGCAATTCGTTGTGTGCAACCTCAGTGGTGGGTATGTTCGAGCTGACTGATGAGGGAGCAGTAGAAAGAGTGTTCAAAATCTCTTGACCAGAGGTTGGGGCTTCTGCTGGTGTTGTTATCTTACTATTGTACATGGCTATTTGAGTTGTAAGTTTTTCGATAGTTCGTGCGAATTTTACACAACTTTTTGTTAATTGTTTGTTTTTCTTTTCTAAATCTTTGATCTGGTTACGAAATTTGTCAATTTCTTGGTAATGTTCCTGTTTCATTCTTTCTTTTTTTATGACATTTTTTTCAAGAGCTTTTTTGTACCTTCGAATGAAATCTTGATAGGGGTTTGGAATTTTTGTCTCATCGATTTCTGGCAGTATATCATCGTTTTGTACTTCCTCATCCGTAGAATCTCCAGCGTCTTCATCATCATCAATTTTTGTTTTCTTTGAACTCAAGGGCTTTTTACCTTCCACTAATTTTCTCTTTCTTTCCTTGTCAAGATCTGTGCTGTTAAGGTCATCTTTCTCGTCACTATTTTTACTACCTCCATCTGGTAACACAGTATAGTGTTCTGCGGAGATATAAACGTTTAATTCTTCATTAATCGAAGAGATTTCTGATGGTAGTCGTATTAAGACAAGTCTGCATTTCTTGCATGTCTTCATGGCCTATGTCGTCGCGCAATAAGTGATGAATTTGTACAACAAGGGAAATTAGAATGTCAATATAAAAAAGTTTAACTGCAGTATAAAACCTTACCTTGTAGGTGGTTGTGTCACATTCAAATTCTTGAATTATCTGACTGTTATTTTTCGCTCTTGCTTTGGTCTTAGCCTCCGATCCTTTGGTTTCTCGCATCCTACCAATGAAATTGATGGTCAAAGACTGTAGAATTTCACAACTTTCATTGATTCCAAATAAGAGAAATTCAGCTCCAATTTTCTGTATTTCTGGCATGCAGAGCTTTAATTTTCTCCTTCCTAGAAAAACTGGACCTTTGTGGGTACATTTAAAATTTTGATTTAAATCGACTCTAATTTCTGTATATTCTGAGTTTGATGCTGCTTTTGGAAGGACAAAAGTATCTGACGCAATATTGTTGTTGGTCGTTTCTGCAACGGTGGGCAGTGTTGTTGTGATCATTGAAGTAATATTGGAGAAAGTAGTTGGGTCTGCATTTTCTACACCGTTCTCGATTATTGAAATTTTGTCGAGATTATTATCTTGATTTTGTGATGATATGTTGGAAATTTCTGCAAAGGGTGCTGTAATTATTTTCGTTAATATTTCTTGACATTGTTCAGGTTTGAACGAAAATTGCAAGCTTCCCAATTCTTTCAAAAAGTATTCCGTAATTTTGTGGAAGACAAAAGGAATATGTTCTTTCTCTTGTTTGTTATATTCTGATTTTCCCGTATTTTTTAAATTATTATCTGAAGATGATGATGATGCTAATTTCGGCTTTCTTCCCATTGATATATTCTTTCGAGATTATAAAATTGTTTCTACTATTTCCAACCAATCTATTCCTCCTTTTAAAGATTACCAGTCTTCAATATTTACACGATGCTAGTGGTGATCGTTAAATAATTTTTTCAATGAACTCGGATGTGATTCGACTCCAATAGAGGATGATGAAGCACTTGTTAATGAAGTCAAACGTTTGTCTTTGTGCGGATTTTGTTGAACAGCTTTTTTTTGAAATTTTTTTTTTGAAAAAAAAATGTTGAAAAGGTTTTCATTGACCACTTCATGCCAAGCCTTCCCGTTCCTCGGAAAACGAGTATTACAAGGATTGAATCGGTATGATTGGCTGGCTGCGAAAGCAGTAGCTGCTACATTGTACATGGTCCATCCTATGAGTGTGTTGTACAATCGAGTGAGCAAGGAGAGGTCTATGAGTCGATCATCATCTAAAGGCTCGGAGAGGTTGTTGTCGGATTTCAATCAAATACTTTCAAAGGCTATTCAAGAAGGAATTCTCACCACTGAAAGCCATGTACTTTATAAGAATACAAGTATTAATATGAAAAGTTGTGCTCAACAAGAGAAAAATTTTGAAATTGAAAAATTCAAGAAAATGGAATCTTTGCAATATATTATTGCTAAATTTGAGGATTGGAAAGAAAAATCAACATGTCAATTTCTGGAAAATTGTACATTCAGTTTACTTTTTTCAGAGCCAAACACACAAGTGTGGAAAATGACAAACAATAACGAACTTTTAGGGTATTTCACATTGAAAAAGTCGGATTATATGCCTTCGCAGGACAAAAAGGAAATTATATCGCTGTTTGATGAAAGTTCGGTATGTATTTGGGTGGCCTTGACTAAGGTTACAAACCCGAAACATTATTGTCACACTTAAAAATTATTGAAATCCTTTAGAAACATTGGGATACCATCATCTCCATTTCAGGTTATCAATCTGTTGTGAATTGGGTTCAGAAAACTGCTAAAGCTTGGGCATTAGAGGTGAAAAACAATCTTTCCTCATCTCCTTTACAGACAGTGAATGTTTTAGATGCAGCTTGTGGAGGAGGTTACACCTCTCGACCTATTTTCTCCATCCTCAATCATGAAAACGGTTTCACGACAAATATCATGGGTGTAGACATTTCTTCTGGAATGTTGCAAGTTGCATTGCAAAGATCACCTCAAATATTTCAAATGGGAATGGCAACACATGATCTTGATGAACCCATGAAAATGTTTCCCGATGAGTGTTTTGATATCATTTCGTGTGTTGGAGCCATTGAGTTTTTACAAAATTTCGAAACTGTGACCTTACCAGAGTTTAAGAGACTATTGAGAAAGCACCAATATGCAGAAATGTGGCTTACTGCTCAATTTCAATCTGATCCTGCCGTGACAAGCATCGAGAAAGATAAAGACGGTCACCGTCTTTACAATCAAACAATTTTAGAAACACTCCTTGCAAAGCATGATTTAATAATTGTAGAGAATAGCGTGGAAATAATTGAAAGGGCATACAAAACAGGTGAGGGTAAAAGAAACAATGTTGCAGATACAATCTCATTCATTGCAGCTCGAGTCAGACACAAATTGTAAAAAGTATTTTTCCAACTTTGGATTCATGAGATTTCACATTTACTTATTAAGACATATTTGCAACTTGAAGACATCTTAAAAAGGAAGTAATTTAAGAGCTATTCTCGATGATCATCATGTGTTTCTACGATCTGAACTTGTTTGCATCCAAAATGTAGTTCTACTATATTAGACTATTTCCCTCATACAGCCTAAAGCAATGCAGATAAAAGTTGAACTACATTTCACATTTTCTCGAAACAAAAACAACACAAGATGGATCAAAACATTGGCAAGAAAGAAGAATTTAGCGGTAACAAGGACATCCTTGGCGGAGAGAAGAATTTGAGTCAACAACAAGGTGGTTTAAGCTCAAACCTTAACAAGGGTTCTGAATTCATGAGCGTCGGTGGAGAAAAGAGAGACCAAGATCTTAATCTCAACAAGGACATTTCTTCATCCAGCAAGAGTACTGATGTACCAATTCAAAGAACCTCGAATGTTTAAACGAGTGGTGGCACATCGACTCCAAGCAGTCGATTGTTTGTCATTCACATTCTGAGCACTGGTATTTGTGATCATTTGTGTTCTTTTAAATGTGTGTGTGTGACTGTACATTGTGTGAAATTGTGCGTCAATAAAAATTCTGATGAGTGTCTACAATATTAATTAATTTTATTGTTTGTATTCGTTTTAAATATTTGTGAATTAAAAGTAAATATACATTCGATCGTGTGTCATGAAAATCCTATCACAATCCTTCAACAACAACAACTCGGATCCAACAATTCCATCCACTCCAAATACATCAAACATGAAGGATAATTGTCTGAAAATGGGACTTGTCAAAAAATCGAATGCTTGAACGAGTGAATTCCAAATGATACTCTTGCATGATATCATTTCCAAGTAAATATTGAATATTGAAATGAATCAAGTGACTAATACTAGTTGTAGAAACGAGTTCTTGCTTTTCCAAGTTGTATTGTATTCCACAAATTTCCAAAGTGGAATATTCACTGGAGAAGGTCATTGGTGATCCAGTATCGATCAATGCATAGAGAGATTCCGATGAAGAATGAGATGGATCATTGTTCTTTACAGGATTTGGGATTTCCATGATCAAATGTCCATCAAAAAATTGAACCTTGTACAAAGCAAGAGGTGATGTTGCAATCATGGTGGTTGTTGTTGCGCACGTGTTCATTGTTTTTTTTGATTATTCTTGTTCAAAATGGGAGATGGATCGGTTCGAATTTGAAGCTCTGCGTGTGTTCACTCACGACGTGAATTGAAATTATTGTAGTTCGACTACTAAAGATTTCACGAGAGAAAGATCTTTGCGAGATGAACATGGAACAACAACTCTCTTTCAAATATTTAAGAGAGTTAAGCCATCACGTATATTATCACTCAATATTGGATACTTGGTACCATTATAAAGTTTCTTGAACTGAAGTGATTTCAATAATAATTTTTAAAATTGTTCAGAATTGTATATTCAAAAGGAAAGAAGGTTCAATTTTTTTGAATATTTCTTTTTTGGTAATACCAAAAAAATGTCTTCATCATCATTACCACAAAGAGAATCATTTTCCTCTTCTTCCGACAAGAACACCAAGACTACTTTGGTTGAATCTGCACGAGGAGGTAGTGAAAATTTTTCATCAAGTGAAAGTAGTCGTAGTATTAGTAATACGGATCGATACTATGATAATAAAAGATATGGCATCGGAGGTGAAGGAGGATATAGAGGGAGATCCGATCGGTACAATGACCATGATGACGATAGAAGAAATTATAAAGATAGAAATTATAAAGATAGAAAATATAAAGATAGAAAATATGATGACAGAAATTATTGTGGAAGAAGGGACTATGATGATCGTGAGAACAGTTATTCGGGAGGAAAGAGATTTGACAAATATGATCGATATGCGGATGATGATAGAAAAAATTATTCCGATGATGATCAACGAGAAGATCGCTCCTCTTCTAGGTTCCGACACACACAGACAAATATTCGTGATGATTTAAAACGAAATGAACATCAAGAAGACAACCATAGAAACAGCAATTCCACATCAGCAGAGAATGAGAAAATCGATCTTGTAGATGCAAAAATGTCACCGGAAATACAACAAGAGACTGATGGAGAACAAGTCTCCTCTGAAAAAACAATCTCCGAACTCAATCGTTCATTGAAACGAAAAATGGAAGAACATCAACAAAAACGAAAAAAGATGGATCAACAAGATAAATATAATATCGTCACTGATAAGGGAGATGAATTTATAGGATTAATGCAAGACGATGAACTCGAGAGTAGGATGGAGGACGAAGAAAAAGAAAATTCCATCCAACAAGTCGCAGAACAGCTTTGGACTGATGAGAAGGATTTCATTCTCAAGCCAAAAACTATTGACGAATTAATCGAACTTAACAAAGTTCACGTGCTACGAAAAGAACAGTATGAAAAGAAGCTAGAAAAGTTAGAGAAGAGAAAGAAGAAGAGTAAAAATGGAAAGAAACGAAAGCACAAGGACGAAGAAGAGACAGTCACAACAACAAATCAAGAAGAAGATGTTGGTCCAAAACTGTTACCCGATATGACTCAAGAAAAGGACACTAGATATGAAGTTCCTTTGCTGCCTGGAGAAGGTGCTGCTATCGCAGAATTCATTCAACAAAATAAGCGTATTCCTAGAAGAGGAGAAGTTGGTTTGACGAGCGAGCAAATTACGGATTATGAGAATTTAGGATATGTCATGTCTGGTAGTAGACATGCAAGAATGAATGCCATCCGTATCATGAAGGAAAATGAAGTTTACATGCAAGAAGAAAAGAAACGTCTCGCTCTCTTGAGCAAGCAAGAAAGAAGCCAAAGAGAAAACAAGATTATTTCACAATTCAGAGAAATTGCAAAGAGGGAATAGAAGTATAATCCTATGGTGTGTCTTGGAGATAATACATCCAGATGTGAATAACTGGTCATGACAGCCGTATACTTTCGGACTTGTTATTCAAATATTTTGAAGATGTGGTGTTTCAAAATATTGTTTTAGTGACAATGTCTGGGGTTGGTTTGTGTTGTTTCAGCCTTATTTCTCTCAATCATTTTTAGTAACCCAAGGGGACTGCTCCAAATGTCAGTATACTATTGATGTTGTTTATTCAATCCCTTAAATCGCCCAGGCAATAAACATCTTGGACAATCTCTTTCCAATTATTGTTTGAATTTGCTTGATTTGTGGCGCAAGTAACTATCAAAAACTTCATTCTCATTCTCGAGAACTTTAAGGGCTTTTTGGAACGAAAGTATTTCCTCCATTATTACGTCTCCACTGACATTTGTGGACACGACGCTGCCACTCTTTCTGTGTGTGAACAAGCCTGGGAAATATTTTGCTTTTTGTTTTGAGGTCACAACTTTTGATTGTAAACAATTCCAATATTCGTCTCTTTCGTTGCTTTTTAACGGCTCAATCACACTAATTTTTCCTTCAATCATTCGATTAACAGTAGTACAAATGTTGGGATTTACATTAAGTGGAGACGACAAAATAATTTGCCTTAAAGTTGATATTTCATTCTGTACACGACCAATGTATTTTGCATACTTTTGGTAATACATGAATGTGTTGTTTGCAATGTCGGGATAGGCATGCGTGAATTCTTTCTTGCGATGACCATAATAAAAAAAATCCGCTCCACTGACACATGTCACAATATAACAAAGAAGTGGAATCGCAGATCGTGGAGACAAGTTAAATTGAGAAAGGGTTGGGACACATTTCGACAACACATGATCTTCCAAATATTGCTCTCCCTTAAGTGTTGGCGACTGTTCTCTTCCATTAAAAACGTAAAGGAAGCAATTTTGCAAGTCATGCATATCAGAAAGACGCTCATGATCAATACTAGGTGAACTTGGATGTTGAACATGTTCATGAATCCTATCATGAGATTCAGTTGAAAAATAAACAAATGCTCCAACACAATACCAATATCCAAAAATTGAAATAGCAGCAGAATATTTGGTTCGAGCAATAATGCATTCATCTATACCACTTATTCTCATTTTGATTTTCATTTCAAAAATCTTCTGATATTTATCAAACTTTTGATCCACATTTTCAAGTGAAAAAGATTTCATCTTCAATTCTCCATCTCCAGAAAAATAAATTTTCTCAATTTTAATTCTTCCACAAATAAATTTTGCGAATTGCCTCAAAAACGGATGAACAGATGAATGGTTCAAAAAGGCCATTTCTTTACTTAGGTCATGGGTCTCATGAGAAGATATACAGTTGGAAGCTCTCAACTTGTAGTTGGAAAAGTGATCACGGATCATATTTCGCCAAAATACATCATCCTTCTCCAACACTTTCGTTTCAATACTTGTTTTTCCTTTCTTATTATTACTCATCAAATGGAAATACCATTCCCACAATGCATTGCTACTCACAATTTTATACCAATCATTGCATACAAGACTCAGTTTGGGAACATGCGAAAAATCCAAAAACATGAAAATTGAAAGCAAATCATCGTGAGCGAACATTTTTTTTGCAAAAGGTTTCGAAAAATAACTTGGAATATAGTCACGCATGTTTTTACATAACCTATGTTCAATTTCAATAAAACAGATCCAACAATAATAATAATTGTTCCAATAAACACAGATCAGAACAAAGAAAGGAAGAGGTGATTCTGATTTTTCAAAAAATACAAACCTTAAATATAATTTGCGTCGACCGGGAATTGAACCCGGGTCACGGCGATGGCAACGCCGTATTCTACCACTAAACCATCGACGCTTCTTCGCTCTAAATTATCTTAATTACATGAGTTTTTACTTAGTTGTGTAGGGAGCTATGTGTCTGAAATATGCATTCATAAACTGATGATTCTCGACGCAAAATGCACCAAATCCCTTTTCATCAAACAAAGAAACTATACCACTGAATGGAATCCCATTTCTTGTGTTATGCAGCTCTCGAAGGTCTATGACTGGCCCTCCAGAAAATCCCTTGTTGATGGTGTTCGAAAAATATCGAATGAGAGTATTGTTGTTAATGAATTGATGGCCAATAATGTTTCCCAAAGAGATAATTGGGCTCTTCTCGTTGGTCATCATTAGTTGATTGATCAACTCGAGAGAGAGGGAAGGGTCATTTCTCGTTCTGGCATCCATAAATTGTTTGTATCTTGAAGGGTATCCAATGACTATTGTATCAAAATAATATGGAGACGATTTGCAAATATTTGATATATTTTGAGACGAGATATTTGTTCCCATTCTCTCACTTCGATGTTCTTTTGGAATAAAGTATTTTTCTGGAATTTCTCGAATATCGTACCTGTTTTTTCTTATAAACTCATCAGCGTTACATTTTAAAATAGCATAATCAATGTCATTTTCTCCATCATAATGAAATTCCACAATTTCACACTCAATTAGCTCTTTCTGCATCTTGGTAGAATTTGTTAAAGAGTGGTTGTTGATTTGCTTTTCCAAATATTTTGGAATTAATCCAACCCTCTTTACATCTCCATAAGGAGTAATGACACAATGTGCTGCAGTAACCAAATAAATGTCCCTATTATTGCCAACAGCAACAATGGGACTCACCACAAAACATGTACCTCCAGAAATTCGTCCCGAATTTGTAACTGCACCTATTGGTAGTGACTTGACATGAAAAACTAAATAGGTGGTAATTTCTTTCAAAAGGGATGAGCTCACCAAATCTTCACTCAAACACATTCCATTCGAAGTTTTTTTGAAATCCAAACTCTGACTTGTAAAGGCCAAATGGTTGGGAGCATAATTTTCCTCCGCATGAAATTCAGCAATAGATGGATTCCTCCAAGCATCGATCATAAGAGAGATACCAACTCCAGCAATTAGAAGGATGGTGATATTCCGCTTGAATTTACTCTTGTTTAGAAAATCATCCTTTGAGCTATGATTAAAATCAAAACGATTATTTCCCAGAGTTACACCGTTTTGAAATAATTTAAAATCAAATAATCCTTGATGATGATGATGATTCTTCCGAGAAGAGAAAACACTTCGAGCTCGAACGAACGTCAAGTCCAACAGTTTTTTCATTTTTTTTGTCTCAACAAGCTGCCCGCATATGGCCGAGTGGTTTTTCTGGAACTGTGGCAGCCAACTGTGGTCCAGCGTTCGAATCCCAGAGGTTGCTGCTGTTATCGTGAGCAGTTTAAACACCTTTGTGCCTGCAAGGAAGTCACTACGTATCTTACGTTCGGCTTGTAAATAATGTACATAAAACCATCGAACAACGTTTATCATCGAATAAACCCATCCCTGAATTTTTTTTGTCTCAACAAGACCTTTCAAATGAGACGAAACGACTTTTCAAAGAGTGGTTCAGTTAATAAAGAATATCGAACATCCAATGACTTGATCAAGAGCCTCCAACCACTCCCACACCTGCAAATTGCCCCATAACAGGTCATTTTCCAGCACCTCACAAGACCGATCAAGAGAGTCAAGGCCTTAATTCTTATGTCACAACCACTACTAAGGCTTTGTTCATACCAATCTCGCAGAGAGAGTTCGGATGCTCTATTTTCCACCAAAAGCGAATACAAAAAAACGCTCAACACAAATTTCATCGAACATGCACCACAAACATTCAATAACTCTCAATTTTCATCACAGCATGAGCCTCTACTTTGACCATGAGGTGTCTGACCATCAGGTGAACAGAGTGATTGATGTGGTCGGCTCTCGTGCCAAAGTAGTCCTGCCATCGAACAGAAGCAATGTGATTCAGGTTTTTGCTGACAATGAAGAAGATTACCAATCTTGTTATCATGATCTCCAAAAAGACATCGATCAAGGTCAACTTTTCATCCTAAGCCCTACGAACTTCCAGGCCTCTGAACATACATTGATGTTCTACACTCCAAATAAGGCCAAACATTTATCTTGTATTACAAGCCCTCTTGACTTGATTTATAATGAAGGAATGGAATATGATCAATTCAACACCACCTTCAAAGATAAACTCTTTAAACTCAGAGTATCCCTCTACTCCAAAGAAGATAAGACCATGATCATGAACAAACTTGTTGGATTCGAGGAATATCGAACTCTTGAACAAATCAAGAAGGAAACGCCAGACACCATATGGCTGAATGTAACTTTGATCCCAACTTCTCCGAGAAGAGCATCAAAGCTGGTGTCACTCTTTTGGCCAAACGTGTAAATGTTAACATTCAGGAAGGACACATACAGATGATCAAACAACAACACAACAAAGGAATTGAATCCTCATTCTTCATTTGCAAGGTCCAATTATCCACAAAAGAAGATTTACGCAAATTTGTGAACGTGGACAATGGTTTCAAAACCAAAGATGGACGAGTGGTTGTTAAACAATTTATCTCATCCATCGACAACATTAGTGCAAAGATAGCCAAGAGCAATGAGAAATTTCCTTCATCTCTTGTAACTATTCCTAATTGGAAGATAATTGAAACAGTAACGACAAAATCAACAATTTCAGATGACAAACGTCAAACAAACATTGAGCAAACCAAACCTCAAACCAAGAATCCAGACCGTATTCAACTCCTCGAAAATCGACTCTCCCAAATGGAACGCACATTGGAATGTAGATTTTCTCGAATCGATCAAGCACTACAAGTTCTCACCAATTATCTTGTAGTGCTTGATCTATTACATTTAAACCAAACAGTTCCCTCTCAGAATGTCAATAGATTCAGTCACTCCTCAATTAGAATTCCAACCAACGGATTCGGTGTGCCTGTACCTCAATAATTACTTTTTGGTATAATCATTAATTTCATTAAATTTCATTATTGATATAATTAATTAATTAATTTGAGAATTAATCAAAAGTGTGTGACTCAATATTTATATCATTAATGAATATTGCTAATACCAAAGGCATAGGTCCATACTTTTGCATCAATGATGAATCCATGATTTTTGGTCATTTCTTCCAAAACGTCAAATAATTTTGATAATTTTACGAGGTGAATGGTGATATGTTCTTCATCTTCTAATTGTTGTTTAGGTCTTTCTGAAATTTTAATTGGCTCAACCTCACAACACACAATTCGACAATTGGCATTCGTCATTCCAACTTCTAATCCTACAATAGAGGACACTCGTGAAATTTTACAAATTTTCAGTCCAGTCTCTTCGAGCAATTCCCTTTCGGCAGCTTGTTCTGCACTTTCTCCCGAGTCACATAACCCAGCTGGAAATTCAATACAATAGGCTCTCATCGGAGGTCGATATTGAGAGATTAAAACCACATGTTTTTCAGTTTCCTCCAAAGGAATCATAGTGGCAATGATATCAACGCCATCAATTTCACCCGATCGAGTTGTTCTTTCCACACAATCCCACTCTCTCTTGACTTGACTCTCATCCATGTAGGAGAGTTTTTTCAATCGAAGCCATCGGGTTTGATGAAGAGTTTCTTCTGCAAGATGTGTTGAGAGGGAAGTGTGAGGTTGATCGGAAGGTGGAAGACTCATTTTTTGAATGGTTGTAATTGTAACTAAAATCTTTGTGACCATTCTCAAGTTGAAAGAATTGGATAACAATTTCATGGGATAACAATTTGTGTGAAGACATGTTGAGACATCAAATGGGTGACCTATGATAACCAGGTTATTAATAGACTTGAATATCATCACGGTATATCTAAATATTTAATGTGTTGTATATATATAGTTCATTATCGAACTGCATTCCTTGACATTTAATCCCACTTGTAATCTTGAATTGAGGCAAGAACTCGTTCATAAACTTTGTCAGCAGTGGTGTTTTGAGCAAAGTATTCAGCCAAGTGACCATAGGGATCCATTAAATAAATGAAAATACTATGGTCGACCAAGTAGTCCTGCTTTCCTTCCTTGTAGTCTGGAGCATTGTAGTAGACTCTGTACTTTTTACAGACTCTACTGATTTGATCAGGTGTTCCAGTAAGGCCAATAAACTTTGGATGATAGTCCTGAAGATACTCAGAGACAGCGGTACATGAATCACGTGGAGGGTCACAAGAAACAAATATTGGAACAATTTTATCAGCCAATTCAGGGTGTTCCTTTTCAAGCATTTGCAGTGCCTTAGTCATCTTTTTCATTTCAGTGGGGCAAACATCTGGGCAATTGGTAAAACCAAAATACATGAACATGAATTTTCCTCTAAATTCAGAGTCTGTAATGACCTCTCCTTTAGTGTTCACGAGAGTGAAAGCTCCTCCAAGTTTTGGAGTTCCCACAGCTTTCACAGCTTTGCTACTTGCTTGTCCTGAATGGAACAACAGAAATGGTGTGTTTGTAGTTAAAAATTAAAACATGACCAAAATCGTTGCAAACATCATTCAAAATTATTAAATAATTATTTAAAATAGTTTCATTAAATAGTGAAAATATGCCGTTCGAAGCAGTTTAGAATATTTCCAAAATATTTTCCGAAACTTACTGTCCAATTCAGCTTCACGTTTCTTTTGACGAACATCATACTTGGCGAAATTATACAAAATAATTCCGAAAACTGCAGGTAAAATCAAGTTTGCTGGAGAGAGCAGTTTTTTAAAGTAGCTCTTCTTGGGGGTTTCATCGGATTGTTGTTGCTGATCCGTATTTTGTTTTTGTTGCTCTTCCTTTGGCTCCTCTTGTTGTGACTGTGCTTGTTGTTTCTTTTCCTCGTTGTAGAACACAACCGATCTCGAAAATGAAGCTCTCTGATTATTTGCCGATGGTTTGAAGATCGAATTTTGATTCGGAGAGAGATGGCTCAATGCCGAACGGAACGAGCAGATTTGAAAGGCTCGGGTTGTTGTGCTTGCGTTTTTCAAGAGAAGGCTCTGAGTGAATTTGATTGAGTGGCTTGCCAGCATTTTTTTTTGAAAAAGAACAAAAAATTCGGAGAAATCATGACGGTTGTGACCTCAAAATGAGAGTTTATTCACATCTTGGTAAGGCGTTCAAAATGCTACAAATTCTCTTATTATTTCTACTTTTTGCAACATAAGCTGCTGTGATTCCGTGTTGGTTTTGTTTTGAAATGTCAGCTCCACATCTTATTAATGCTTCCACAGCACCAACAGAATTACGGAATGCAGCAATCAGTAAGGGTGTAAAACCAGACACACTATTCACATAGTCAATGTCCTTTCGGTAGTATTTTGCAAGTTCATAAATGATATTTGGTTGATTTTGAGCAGCAGCTACATAAATTGGTCTTATACATCGATCATCTTGAGCATCCTCAAAATTGAAACCTTTTTGTTTAAGGTATGAAATCAAGTGTTCATGTCCTGATGCACATGCAAAATGTAAACAAGAGATACCGGAGGCATTCTTGACATTAATGTAATCTTTGCCATTGACATTGGCCAATAGTTCCATCGCTGAGACAGCTCCTGCTGAAGCAGCAACATGAATAGGATATCTACCAAAGTAATCAACACATTCAACATTGGCACCTTTGGCAAGAAGCAACTTGATAATATTACAATTTCCCTTCTTGGCAGCCAAGTGCAAAGCGGTACGAGGATGACCATCATTGGTGTTGGCATTCAAGTCGCAATCAGGTTGTTCAACAAGCACTAAATTGAATTTAGAATGTCGTTAGCTCTCTGATACATGTATGGAACAGGCTAATACTTACACTCACAAACTTCTAAATTGCCCATGAAGGCAGCAATGTGAAGAAGTTTTTTACCACTAGGTGTATATTCACATGTGGAAGCACCATGCTGTAATAAAACTCGCATGGCGTTGACGGCATTTCGCTTCACGGCAAAGTACAAAGGGTATTTCTTCTTGAGAGTTTTGGCGTTGACTGTTGAAGGGTTAAAGTTGATCAGCATTTGCAAACTTTCAGTGCCACTCATTCTCGAAGCAGCCTTGTGAATTGGTAAATAACCCGTCGAAGTTCCAATCAATGTTGGATCTTCAAGGTTTGGACATATTTGTCGCATGGCAGTGTGTAACTCGAGGAATAATTTTACAATAGGTGTGTGGCCCTTCTCGGTTGCAATGATAAGGGCTGTCCTCTGATTATCATCTCTCGTTCGAGCATTTACAAAATCATGAATATGTGGAACATTTTGAGGAGTAAGCATAATTCCAGTTGGATTGCCTTCAAACTGAAACTCCACTCCTTGTTGCTGTGGAATGGTATTGTTGCTCATAAACTTTTGAGCAACCCATTTTACAAGTGCTAATACTACAGAGCAATGGCCACCATATGCGGCAAAATGAAGAGGTTTTGAACCTTTCAGATTTTCAATGTTAATGTCAATCGTGGACCCAAAATTGGTAAAGAGAAACTCTACAATTTTAACTAATCCACAGTTTGATGCAATATGTAATGCTGTTTGTTCTTTGAATGGATGAATTGTGTTTCTCATGTTAATATCAAAATTGGGAGGAATTTTGCTCAAGAGTGGAGTTAAATCATAACCGTTAGTGATGTATTTGAAAAATTGCACCTCTATTGGCTCTTCGTTTGTTGTTGGTTCTAGCTTTCTCTTCTTATTATTGCTATTGGCAGTCTTATCGGGGAGTATTGTCTTGACAAAAATAGCTAAATTTTGTTGGCAAAACTCGTCAATGATGGCTTCAGAAGACTCCACGTTCGGAGAGCATAATATGGCAGGAGGAGTCTCTTCATCGTCAATGCTAGACTGTGAGAGTATTGGTGGTTTGTTGTTTGAATGTTTGAAGCTGTGTTGCACATCAGCTGTTTTGTTGCCACTGCTGATGTTATTATTATTATCGGGAAGTGATGAGGTACTCAAATTCACAGAATCATCCGCTGATAAAACATCCTCTTCAACAAATAGAACATGACTCGAAACAAAGTCTTCTCCTTCCTCCATTTTATCCTGTCTGTCGGCACCATTATAATGATCAACACCGCCGTTCAGTTGTTGTTGTTGCGGTTTTTCAAAAACCACGTGATGTTGTTGAAGCACGTTTGTTGTTGTAGTACACAACCCCGATGATGTGGCCACTTGAATTGATGCTGCTCCTTCTGGTGAACAAACACCTGTTGTTTGTTCGTGACCATCACAATGAGTGTCCTCTTGGGTCGTCTCGTTGAATTGGTCGAATTTTCGCTTTAACATTTTTTTTTGTGCCCGCAACAGTCGCGATAACGGCTGTTCATCGAAAAATTCCAAAAGCAAACAACAACTCCTTTCTAATTGGAATGAACGCTTGAGAGTCATCCTTTATCCTTGTTTGTTTTCCTAATTATTATAATAATATCATCATGAAAAAGCGCACAAGCAAAAACCTGGATCTTCTCTCTACCGTATGGTCGTGTCATCTGCTCCGAGTCCGAGGCCCAAGTTGCTGAAAGACACCTCATCAACAGACAAAAATATCCAGAGATGACATCATCAAGAGAACGTTGAAAACAGTTCTCCTCTCGTTTAAATAAATTTATTTGTTATTTTTGATTCGCGTGTGCAACAATTCTCGGAAGAGTGGAACCTATCTTTTGAAAAACAAAAGAACGAAACGTTTCATCGCGTCCTACCAGTCTGCGGAGAGCCTCCATCATCATCGCCAATTTGAAAATTCTGTATCACCAGAAAACAACACAACCCCATCAATATTTGGGCGTTTCTTCTTGATTTGAATCGTTGTCTTTGGCAATCATGAATATTACATCTTTCGGAAGCCTTTTTTCGAATTGGTATAACGGCGAGTCAAGCTCATCGGAAGCAGTAGATTCAAATTGTTCAAATATCAACAAGAACCCAAACAGATCTACACGAACCATACACAAAACGATAAAATCAAACGCCTATGTACCTACATTCCGTTTGGGTGGTCAACCACCAAGGTCAATGAGAGAGGAAAACAAACAAAAATCGGAATCTATTAATTTTGAATTTCAGATTAATAGTAGTTTGATCTGCCCATCTTCTCATCAACAACATGATAACTATTCCATCAATCACCAAGAAACGACTTTTCAACAGAAAACCTCCAAGCTTCTCTCTCTTCCATTCGATGGAATGGTGGAAATTCTAAGCTTTCTTCAAAAAAAGGATATTTTCTTCATGTCGCTCATATCTAAACATTTCTACAATATGATATTTTGTCAGAGTGTTTCTAATTTTCCATTATGGAGAGTGTTGTGTGTGAGAGATGGATTAATCACGCCTCACTCCAATGAAAATGATAATCGTTCTGAAACATCTCATGAAGATGACGAAGAAAACAATTACAGCAGTGATAATCGTAGCGATCATAACTGTCAAATCGGTATGAATCATTATTTCTTTGATCCTTACCGAGATTTGTACTTGAATTATGAGAGTGATATTGGAACTAGTCAATGCGAATGGTTTTGCAAATTTGATCTTGTCAAGTTGGAATGGGTGCTGAGTGATAACGTTCTCCAACTTTTAGAGAAAATCATTAACAAGGAAATTTGTGTTGTGACAGCGCTGCAATGCTATCCAGACTCTACCAAGTATAAGGGCAATGCAAGCCAAGTTCTCAATCAATTGTTAGGAATTAGAGAGGCATTTCCAAAATCCCTTACAGAACAAGACTCCGAGTTACCATGCCTCTACATGTATACACGTCCATTGTGTCGAGTTAGAAAATCTCAAAGTAAGGGGAAAAATCAAAACATTCTCTTCCTTAGAGCATACAACTTGTTCGATGATGAGCACGATTCAAATGTGTCACTCGACGATGAAGACTTATTTGGATGCAACGACGAGTCCAATTTAGCGAGTGTCAACAATTTACGAAAAACATTAATGAGATTTATTATCTTGTTCAGCTCCACAGTAATTGTTTGCAAACAAAGCGAATGTCCTTCTTGGTTGTACAGACTGGACAGTTTAATAGAACCCATTCACGACCCTCCTCTATTTGGAGCATACTCGAACATGCCTAGCCTTCTTGTATGCAGTCTGCATACAGCATCACCAAGCCAATCTAGTTCATCTCCAAAAGAAAATGTAGAAATTTATGACTTGCTGGATGAAATCCGTCACATCATTGTACACAACAAGAATCAATCGCTGAACTTTTTATCTATCATTTTGAATTGGTTTGGAAAGATTCATGGCATTAACTTAAATGTGAAAAACATTTCCAACGAATCCTATGATGAAGACTTGTGGTGTTTTGTGAACGATATTACAAGCAAGTTACAATTTGGTTGGTCCATTTCAAGATGGGACAGAATCAAATCTAATGGTGAAATTTGTAAATTATTCTTTTCAAAATGTGTTTCTGAAACTAATGAGCATAGAACCACGAATATTACTCATGGAAATCTCTTTGTAGATGGAAACATGTTTTATGAGAACATTCAAAACAAATTTGCAAAGACCTTACTCGAGAAGGAGATGCAACGATCCTTAGAGTTTTATCAGAGAGCTGTCAAAGCTGATTTAAATCCTGCTAATCCATTGGAAATGGAAGAAATAGTCAAACTCTCTGAAATGCATGCCGAAGCAGCCATTAGGATGTTCACCCAAACAGTAGCTCCTGCATGCTTCTCATCACAAACGATCGAAGAAGTTGAACAATCACTAAAGCATGGAATTAATAACAACTTCAGAATTTTATGGAGAGAGAATGCAAGAAACTCAGAAAATTATTGCCAAGAAGTTTGGGAAGCAACTTTTAAATGGATGAAGGCAGAATTCGAAAGTCCAAGCACCCATGATGACTTTTGTAATTTATTTGAATCTCGATTTTTCTCATCTCTCACTCTCTATCTTCAAAATGCGATTGGAACAAGAAAGATTTTTGTCATGAACTTTTGTTCAAAGCAGTACCTTGAAGATTACATCATTCCCGTTTATCCATGCATTCGAAATATTTGTCAAAATATAATGGCCGCAGTTGAAGGGTTAACTTTCCAGGAAACGGTAGAAATTGACAAGCAAAGATCTCAACTTCAAAAACTTTCTGCCATACGATTGAAACTTCTAACTATAGAAAATACCATTGACCGTCTCAAAGAAGAAATTCATGTCAGAGAGGAAGATTTGAAAAAATCAGAGGAGCAAAGTGGTGTAATTGAAGACCGAATGAAGAGACTTGGCCTCAAATACGAAAAATCTCTTTTAGGCAAGGTTTCCTCAATACGAAAGTTATATATTGAATCAGCTTCACTCTCTTTACAAAATAATATTGAGTTACACAAAAAGTTTGACGCAGAATATGAACAGCTCAATAGCGTAGGATTCAACAGAACACACATTGAATATGACATTTTATTGGAGGAATATTACAAACGAAAACTTTTTGTGGATGCAAAGGACAAGCGAAAAAATTTCTTTTCACATCTGCATCCTAATAATATGAATGTTTAACAACATTATTGTTTAGGCCATTGTTGCCACACAATTACCAATATTTTGCATTTCCTACAAAAAATTATTGGTCCGATTACAAACTATCCTAACATGGAAATGGTCGAAGGATATTTCAAATATCTTTTTCATGATTATCTATTCTGTTGGTTCATTCAATGTTTGGAATTAGCACGTCGTTGTCGGCCTGGGTATTGAGTTTCCATTATTACATGAGAAGGGAGGGTTAAAAATCCGTAAGACCGACTAAGAAATTAATAACCCCTTACAAGAATCTTGAACTTGTTGGGTCAGATCTTTTGCATTTGTGGTTGCATATTATGGTTGTATTGTTGGGTATTTTCCTTACCTTAACTTTTTTGAAATACAGCGTTACTCTTGTTGAATGAAGGCCATCGAACTGAATGTCAGTCTTACAAAGTCATCTCAAAGCAATGAGGCCCAAATACAAACTATTGAGTCATGCACTTGACTTTAAACGCTTTGTGAGAGTAAAAACATGAGGATTTTAATAGTTTCATTCACCTTTCATTCCCTATTCCATCTTTCGAAAAAGATTTTCTTCCAACGAGGCTCTATTGAGCTTTCGTCTTTGTTTCTCGATCGAGGCATGAAAAAATGAAACGACTTGTTTTATTGTCGCGTCATTCATCTTCATCATCATCACGAAATTTAGTGGTTGGAGCACCAACAACTCTCTTGCAACAATCTCCTGTCCGATCCTCATGCAAGGCAGCTCTCTATTCCACTCAAAGAAATCCAGAGGAGATTAAACAACTTCTCGAAAAGAAGCTTCCCAAGGACTGGAAAGAAACCGCACAGAAGGAGTTGAAAGATCAGCCTTTGGAGTTGCTCGTCAGAACAACACCCGAAGGAATTAATATTTTGCCAATTTATGTTTCTCAGACAACTCTTGATGGAAAGGAACCAACAGGAGCGGGTAATAAGCCCTACACTCGTGGACCTCATGCCACCATGTATACCGTAAAACCTTGGACCATTCGACAATATGCTGGTTTCTCTACAGCAAAGGAGTCCAACGAATTTTACAAACAAAATTTGGCACAAGGACAAATGGGTTTGTCTGTTGCATTTGATTTGGCAACTCACAGAGGTTATGATTCGGATCATGAACGTGTCGTTGGAGATGTTGGAATGGCTGGTGTTGCAATTGACTCTGTTGAAGATATGAAGATTTTGTTTGATGGCATTCCTCTCGATAAAATGTCAGTGAGTATGACAATGAATGGAGCTGTTTTGCCAATTATGGCCATGTATATTGTGGCAGCTCAAGAACAGGGAGTGAATGACTTGAATTTATTGAGCGGTACAATTCAAAATGACATCTTGAAGGAATTCATGGTGAGAAATACATATATTTATCCACCAGAACCTAGCATGAAGATCATTGGTGACATTATGCAATTTACTTCTCAACACATGAAGCGTTTCAATTCAATTAGTATTAGTGGTTATCACATGCAAGAAGCTGGTGCTGACACTGCATTGGAATTGGCCTATACTCTTGCTGATGGTCTTGAATATGTGAGATGTGGAATTGAAAAGGGAGGATGTAAAGTGGATGATATTGCTCCTCGTTTTTCCTTCTTCTTTGGTATTGGTATGAACTTTTATTTGGAAATTGCCAAGTTGAGAGCTGCTCGTAAATTATGGGCTGAATTATTGGAAGAGAAATTCCATCCAAAGAACTCCAAGTCACTCTTGTTGCGTACTCACTGTCAAACCAGTGGTTATTCACTCACTGAACAACAGCCATACAATAATATTATCAGAACCACTATTGAAGCTATGGCAGCTGTTATGGGAGGTACTTAATCGTTGCACACCAATTCATTTGATGAAGCTGTTGGTTTACCAACTAAATTCAGCGCTCAACTCGCTCGTAATACTCAGCTCATTATTGCACATGAAACTGGTATTACCAATGTTGTTGATCCATGGGGAGGTTCCTACATGATGGAGGAATTGACTAATCAACTCTACATTAAAGCTAAGGAGCTCATTAAGGAAGTTGAGGATTGTGGTGGTATGACCAAGGCCATCGAAACAGGTTTACCAAAGAGAAGAATTGAAGAATGTGCTACAAAGAAACAAGCCAGAATTGACTCTGGACAAGAAATCATTGTTGGTGTGAACAAGTATGTCACCAAGGAAGAAGCCAGCTATGAAGTTCTCAAGATTGACAACACTAAAGTCAGAAATGAACAAATTGATAGACTCAATAAGATCAAGTCAGAAAGAGACAATTCTCGTGTCAGTACCTTGTTGAAGCGCTTGGAAGAAGCAGCCAAGACAGGAAAAGAGAACTTGTTGGCTGTTGCTGTTGAATGTGCTAAGGCTCGTGCCACTGTCGGTGAAATTTCTTCTGCTCTCGAAAACATTTGGGGACGCTATGAAGCCAAGCCAGAAATTGTGAGTGGTGCCTATTCTAGCACTTGGAAACAAGCTGATTTGGAAAAGTTGGATACTGATCGTGTGGAGAAGAAGGTTAAGGAATTCGCAGCCAAGAATGGTAGAAATCCAAGAATTCTTGTTGCCAAGATGGGTCAAGATGGTCACGATCGAGGCGCCAAAGTAATCAGTTCTGGATTTGCTGATTTGGGCTTTGATGTTGATGTTGGACCATTGTTCCAAACACCAAAGGAAGTTGTTCGTGAAGCCGTCGACAATGATGTCCACGTTATTGGTGTGAGTTCTCAGGCAGCTGGTCATAGAACTCTTGTTCCTGCCTTGATTAAGGAGTTGGAAAATGCTGGATTGAAGGGTCAAGATCGACCTGTTATCGTTGTGGGTGGTGTTATTCCACGTGAAGACTATCAAGAGTTATATGAAGCTGGAGTTGATTTGATCTTTGGACCTGGTACCAAGGTGACTGATGCTGCTGAAGGATGTGTTGATTTGTTGATGAAGAGAGCAAAACATTAAGTTATTGGACTAAATTGACAAGTGTAGGATGAAAATAATAAACAATGATAATAATAATTTATTAACAACATGGCATAATTCATCCTCATGAGCTTTAATTCGCGTTTTTTGCCATCACAAGAAATGCCTCCAAAAAGTGGTACGTTAGAAATTTAAAATTTTCAAAAAAATAATTAATTGAACGTTGATGACCTCTCCACAAATCGATTCTTCTTCTTCATATCCTTCATATTCTTCGGACACAATTCGGAACCCCACCTATTCTGTAATACCAAGGAATGAGGTCATGCATATCATGTCCGCAAGATCTTTTGAGCAAGCCGAATCATCATATACGAGCTTAATGCTTCAACGACTCAAAAACGCTTGTTCATCCTTTGCACGAGGAGAAACATCAAAATACGTAGTACCTGGCAAAGAGTTATTAAAGGCTGTGTGGAAGCAAATTTTGTTGTGTTTTAAGGCGCGATTAGAGAGTGGACAAAGAGCCACTCATTTCCATGATGCCGATATTGCTGATATTTTGCAATATCTCTCTCATGCCCATTGGATTTATTTACAACCTTCAATGAGGGAAAAATTATACATTGGATTTGATTTTAAGAAAGGCTTAAGAGCTTTATATTATGATGCAAAAGTAGAAGAAAAGAAAAAAGCATTTGATGCTTACAACAATTCAGACGATGATGATTTTGAAACCAATTTTCTAATTTCGAATCATGTCATTAGAAATTTAGATTGTGATTTAGCTTCTGATTTATTACGATATTTTGTGAGTGTTTTCACAGAGGAGATGAGTATAGTGATCCTTGGAGTGGATATTGAAGGTAATACACTGCAATTGAAGGAGCTCTCTCTTGCCAAGTATATACAACAATACGAGACGATCAAACATATTTTAGAGACCATTAGAGACTACTATGTGTTTGACCTGGATGAAAAATATGGATCAGAAATACACATGATTGAATGTCCAAAAAAGGACAATCTAACCGATGTATCCAAACTTATTGCATGTATGAATTATTACGCTATGGAAGATAGACAACGAACAGCTTGCAAAGATATTCGCCTCTTTTTTCATCAAATCAAAAATGTATATATTAAGTGCAAATTGTTAGAACAAGTTGTGACATTGTCTTTTAGCAATGAGCGCGACCTATGTGAATTTCTTCGAGATTTATTTTCGGATTATATCAACTTTAGGCCGAGAACCAACACATTGAGCGATTTGATGTCTGATCTTAATGATATAATTGCCAAAAAGAGGATCAAAAAGGTGACAGATGCCACTGGAATGACTCTCTGTTGTCTCTACTTTGTAATAGCATCTTCTCATTCGAACCCTAATTTTAAGTCTCTACAACTCACTCCTTCTCAACACGAAGCTGCTAAAGAATTTGCTGAAAGTGATCTCAAGATTGAAGTGACAGACGAATTATTGGCGCCCGAAATGGTCTTCCTTTTGCAGAAATTTGTCACGGATGAAATGCAAGATGAGTAAACCTCTTGCAATTTTTTCTGCTCTTCTTCTCTCATCCACACACAAAATTTTATGAGAATTTCAGACCCAAAAAAATTAAATCAATAAGAAGAACACACTTGTGAGAGAGATGCTTCCTTCCGAAAGAAGTGATCATTTGAATCAATCCGAAGAAAAAGAAGAAAGAATTGAATTTTTAGAACACAAATATACTTCCTATATTTTAGGAGCTCGTTCATCGAGTGATGCTGATTTATCCTATTCATGTTTAATGTTTCAAAAGTTAATCAGTTACCTCTCCGAATCCACTTCACAAAGCCGTAAAAAGATTCCTGATAAACACCTCCAAAAGGGTATCTGGGAAGTTATTATCTCGCGTCACAAATACCACATCCAACAAGAACATCGACAACTCTCACTACCAGATTTGGAAATAGCAATGGTATTGATATTCTGACAGATATTATTCCTCTCTACTTTGGAGAAAGAATGAATGATATATTTCCAGGCGTCGATCTTCATTGCAAAACATCAATTTATAACTCAAGAAAGTTAGCAGGAATGGATGTTGATGATTTCAAAATCTCCAGAGATGTCATTGGACATTTACAACAACCTTTTGGACCAAGATTATTGAGATATTTCAGCACATTATTCTTTGAACATGCCTTATTCTTATTTAGGAAATTAGAAAAAGAATGTCGTAACCGCAAACATAGCAAGCCTTCTGAAAAGACCACAGAAAGAAATAATTCGCGAACGGTCACATTTAAAGATTTCACCATGTTTATTTTCACCGAAAATGTTGAAAGTAAGGACAAGATTGCCGCATCCATCAAACTCTATGTTTCAACACTGAATGAGGATCCCAACTTTTTATCAACAATTCATTTCAACATTCGAGCAGCAACATTTGGAAATGATTTCGAAATTACTTTCATGCCTCTATTTCGATACCAGTCAACGCCAAAATAGATCACAAAGCAATACCTTTTCCTTGCTCTTTGACAAGTATCAAACAAAGACCAATGATTATATCAAATATTGTTTATTGGAACACTTTTTTGTGTGCTTTGACGATGAAGTGAAAGTGTGTGAAGTGATGAATCAAATCTTTTCACACTATGTTTTTGTCCATGATGGAAAGAGCATTAGAGACATTTTGAAAACAGTGAAGAATTGCATCTCTTTAAAGCTGGTCAAGGATCATCCAAACTCGTACGGAATGACTCTTTGCTGTCTTTTAGCTCTGTTAAGACTTCTGACCTCTCCCTATGAACATCAACAAGAATTTGAAAAAGACCATGAAGAGCCACTATTTACTGAAAACGATTATGAGAAGTGTGAATCATTTGCTGAGCATGGTCGACAACGAGAAGAGTACTTGAAATTAAGTAGGATGGTCACAAAAGAAGAAGAGCCCCCCACACCCAATAAGAAGAGAAAAAGTGTGTCATCCACCACACAGAAATCTGCATCCAAAAAGAAGAAGAAGACATCCACATCACCCGTTGCTTCTGCTGATGTTGGTGTTGCTTCTTCTGTTGAGGGGTCTTCATTGGACTCTACTGTTTTAAGGAATGAAAGCTCAGGGCATTCCATCCAGAACAATAACAAGAACAACAATATCATGGACACCAATAATGAGGACAGTACTGCATTGAAATCTCTACCCTCATAGATCACTTCAAGACAAATTTGTCAATCCTTCCAAAAACAAATTTAAAGGCATCATTTCCCAAAACAACTTTCAATCCTCCATTCAATGTGTGTTCTGAATACAACACAACCCATCCAGCTGTCAAAGTTTTTTAAACTCAATAGATCCCTCTAGCTTGTGGATCTCTCTATTCATGACCGTCACTCTTTCTCGAGAGAAGACAATGAATGCCTTTCCATTGCTGCTCCTTATTGAGCCTTCAAAGCCTCTTTTGAATGGAAAGTTTTTTGTCCAAAAAAAATATCAAAAATTCTTTGAGCTCGCGCACGTTGTGTTTTACAAAATGATGAAAAAGTTGGCCACTTGTTCGACTACGGCAAAGCGTTTGGGTGGTTCCGTGAGTAGCGAGACCATTCAAAAGATGTTGTTCTCTCAACAATCGAGATTTGAATCCAAGACTCATGTTTTCAAGATTGATAAGGTAAGAGGAGGATTTTTTGAAGGCTTTGTTGTTGGATGATGATAACTTGATGTGTTTGATTGGATATTGTTGTATTATGATGTATCATTCACTGCCGATATATTTGATGGAAATGATGATGCTATGATGATGTTGTTGTTTGGAATCAATTTTGGATGTTGCTGGTGATGACATCATTGTATTATGATAATGACGATACTCAACGACGATTTTACTACCATGATGATGCTGTACTTTCATACATGATTGGACCGACGATATCATTGATGTATACATTGACATTTTGTGCATTCTGGGAAATGACTCCATGTTAATTGATTGACTCCCCGATAATCATCAAACTCTGTATTTTGAAAATTGTCATCATATGAACAACGTTGATTATTGTTACTGTAATAACAACAATAGGAAGCGGCATTCAAATACCATCTTCCACAAAAACACATGCAAGGTATTACTTGGACAGGTCCAAAGGAACAAGTTGAATTCACCAAGGAAAAGTTGATGGAAATGTATCGCATGATGGCTTTGATCAGAAGATTTGAATTGGTTTCTGACCAACAATACAAGGCTCGTAACATTCGTGGTTTCTGTCACTTGTATAGTGGTCAAGAAGCTGTTTGTGTTGGTATTGAAGAGGCAATTACTCGTCAAGACTCTATCATTACTGCTTATCGTGACCATGGTTTCCAATTGGTTAGAGGAGGAAGTGTGGAAAGCACAATGGCTGAGCAATTGGGACGTGTTACTGGATGCAGTAAGGGAAAGGGTGGTTCAATGCACATGTACAATGTTGCTAACAGATTTTATGGTGGTAACGGTATTGTAGGAGCTCAAGTTCCAGTTGGTGCTGGTTTGGCTTTTGCTCACCAATATTTGGATAGATTGAACAAGAAGGATGTTAAGGATAGAAATGTCTGTTTCACACTTTATGGAGACGGTGCTGCTAATGTGAGTATTTGTTTTTGAGAGAATTATTGAGTTTTTTGTTTTAACACAACGGTCTTTTTTCGCGGCTCATTGCCATGATATTAATACTGCATATTTTGTTGTTGAACAATGTTCTGGATTATTCTGAACCTTATTCTATTTACTAACATGCTGGATTACTCATTCATGAATTTTACAATTTAACAGCAAGGACAAGTTTTTGAAGCATTCAATATGGCCAAGTTGTGGCACATTCCAGTTGTCTTTGTCTGTGAAAATAACAAGTACGGCATGGCCACTCCTATAGGTCGTTCTAGCGCTTCCACTGATTACTATGAAAGAGGAGACTACATCCCAGGTATTTGGGTTGATGGTCAAGACATTTTTGCTGTCTATGAAGCCTCTCGTTACGCTAAGGAGTATGCTCAACAATATGGTCCAATTGTTCTTGAAACTGAGACTTACAGATACTATGGTCACTCAATGTCTGATCCTGGTATCACCTATAGAACAAGAGAAGAAGTTCAACAAGTAAGAGCAAGCAGAGATCCAATTGTCAGAATGAAGAATCGTTTAATTGAACAAGGTATTGCTACTGAAGAAGAATTCAAGGCCATTGATGAACAAGTTAAAGATGAAGTTCAACAAGGTACTGAGAAGGCTCTCCAAGCTCCACTCCCACCAGCTCACGAACTTGTTGAGGATATTTTGGTTGATAAGGAATACTTTGTCAGAGGAAGATGGATTGGCGAAACATGGAATGTGGTACAACAATAATTCTTGAGTATCTTTTAATTTGTTTGTTGACAACATGGAAACATGCAAAATAAATATTTATTCTAAACGCCAGAGAGTACATGGTATTTGTCAACTTATTGAGAATGCATACTACGCCTTTTATCCAAATCAACAATGTATCGAGACGAAAACATAAAATAGTAGAGACAAAGACTTACGCAACGCATCCATAAGAATTGAAATAAGATCTCTCCAATTTGGAACTAAAATTGCATACAATCATGATCGTGACTCTTCCTGAATGTCCATGTGGTTAACCAGTCGAATCAATCTCTACATCATTGGTCCACGATCGAACCATTCTATCTTACTGATGGACGAGAAAGAACAGGGCCTGCCTCGTATTCACACTTGAGAGGCAAGTCGCAAGCCAACAAATATCTGCGTGTAATTTCAAGCCCTTTCAATTTGTCGAGTGGGTTGTCGTAACTCTTGTTTCATAAAGTGATGAAACACCACCATAACTATGCGCGGCGACTTTTCAATATGTCCACCAGTCAGTCTTCGAATAGTAAATGATGTAAATTCTGACGTAAAATGTTCTGTTCCATCTTTTCCTGTAAACAATGGAGCGTCATAGCAAATGAGGGCTAGCTTGAAAGCATCGATATCCCATGTTTGTGGTATCCAACTGGTCTTAAATGTGGTCATTGTTCTTTCTACAAACTTGATCATCTCCACAAAATTCACATCTCTATCACTAAATTTAGTGTTGGCAAATGTATACATATCTTCTGGATAAGAAACAAAGAATTTGGAAAATATGACCCTCAATACCTTAATCCACACATGCATGTTCGTACAGTATTGCATATTCTTATTGTAACGGTTCTGGGGAACAATTTCCTTATATATATTGGCAATCTGTTTACGTAGGTCACGAAAGTCAGTCTGACGTCTCGTTCCTTGATTTCTCAAATCTTGCTTTACTTCCAAGCTTAGTGTCTCAATCGTTTGCGAGGCAATAATTTTCCTGCTGGTTTTGCTTCCAATGAGAAGTGCATTGGAGGAGGAAGATTCTTGTTGAACGACACTTTGTGCTCTTTGTAACATTTGCTGCATTCTTTTAGTGACTGCTTCTCCAACAGAAACTAGAGCGTCTCCAATTTTGGAAAGTTCTTGGCATGTCAAGTCTGAGCCGTGTTGTCTTAAACCCTGACTCATGTCTATAACATCATCATATTCATCATCATCATCATCGTCATCATAGAAATTATCACGAGGATTAAAGAAAGGATCCTCTTCATAATCACTATACTCGTCTGCCTCTTGTACCATCTCCAAATGAATTTTCTCCAAAATCATCCTAACTAAAAAGCATAAGGTAATAAAACTCATGTTCAAATCATGATCTCTATTCATGAGAAAAAGCTGTGTAGCATTCATAGAGGTACCACTAGGAGTGACCTCTTTTATCTCACATGAACCAGGACAATCAAAGCAAATGTAATTGATGATGAAACTAGTAATCAAATGGACCTGTTGAGGTTCAGACAGCAATTCAAACACAGGTAATCTCCTGAAACTGTTTCCTTTAAACATTTCTTCAAAAAGTCCCTCATAGGCATATCCTCCGGCAAGCTTGAGAATTTCTTCAAATGAGGATTGGTTTGTCTTTCAAATTGAATTTCATCATGATTGTTTGGAACAGAAAGGCTTGTAGTTACTTGCCGTCCGAGAGCAGCAGCAGCTGCTCCATCATCTTTGGATGTCTTTTTTGTGAGTATTTGTTGTTTGTGCTGCTTTGAAATTCCCGTGTAACGTCTATTTTCATGAGCTGGGAAAGAATGGTTGCGAGAGGAGCTTTCAGCACTGCTGCTTTTCCTATTTGCTGATAATCTTTGGGAATCTTTCATTTTTTTTTAAAAAGTTTCTTAATTTGGAAACTCATTTTTTTTGCTAAAATTGTTTATTTCCAATCCGATGATGAACTTCCAATCATCTTACTTTCAAATTAAACAACACTTCTTTGCTTGTTTTTGAAATCGATTAAAATTCTCTTCTGCAAAGCTATGACTCTTCACCACAACTTCTGTAAGGTCCATAACATTTATGTTTTTCCAAGCACTTGTTTCCCAATAGGAACAACATCCAGTCTTTCGAGCCATGTCTTCACCATCTTTGTATTCAAACACAAAGGTTTCATCATTGAGTAAAACATCCAATCGATTGGACCTTAAATCAATCTTATTCATGACCAATACAATGGCAGGGTTGTTGTCCATGTGGTGTCGAATTTCAGGAATGAATTTCTCACAAACATTATTCAAAGAATTCGGATGGTTGCATGAACAACACACCACAAATACATCGGTATCAGGATAAGTCAGTGGCCTCGACAATCCATCATATTCGGACCTGCCAACAGTATCCCTATGATTGTGTATGTACAGAATTGCACCATTTGTTTAAAAAGTATGTGAGTATGCATGTTGAAGGTCCTTAACAACTACAGTTATAATTGACCTTACCATGTGGAAATGGTCACTTGAACGTCTCCAAGTGTCCTTTGAAATTGACAAGTGTCATAAATAGTTGGTATATAGTCAATCGGAAACACACCATCGGTATATCTGGCAATGAGAGATGTTCCCAACTGCTCCGTCTCCCGTAAACACAATTTTATATTTGTGATCTTGTTTTCGACTCACAACATTCAATGATTTCAAATCATGAAAGGAAAGGAAGGGATTCATTGGTCCTTCATATTTCAGACTAGACACATGTTTTCGTGATTGTTCGAGGAATCGGTGGTGTAGTTCAATGAAAGGTCGGATTAAAGTTTGTAAGTGAATCTTAAAATCGGATTGAACTTGTTCCAAAGATGCTGATGGAATGACATTACTTGCATCAAGAGGTGTGCCAAAACGGTGCATCAATGGTTTGTATTGAAGACGATGGTAAAATTTGATGAGTTTTTTGGAATCTGTTAAATAATAGTCCTTCCATAATGTATCGTCATCGCTTAGCTGTGAGAGTCGGAATGATTTGCTCACCAACTTTAATGACAACCAATCGTTTCGGGACATGAAGGCGAGTATTGATAATAGTTCATCATCTCTCAAATTGGAGAAGGTCACAAGGGAGAATGGGTGTTGTTGAGACATTTTTTTGTGGATGTCAAATGTTCATTGTGTTGCTACGAGTTCACACATTCGTTACTACTTCGGAACTTCTTGCCACATCACAAAAGAAGAGGGTGATGACAACTGTTATTTCTGTTTGTTGCTGATCACTTGTTGATAGCATTGTTCCACCTCTTGTTTGAAAGTTTGTAATTTTCTATCTGCATTTTCATGAATATACTCTGTGGAAAGTCTCATCTTTTCATTCATTCCATGTTTCAATTGATACAATAATAAAAGATCTTCTGTCGTGTGGATATTTGCATAGAGCTTGTCTCGCTCAATATTTTGTTTTGACTTTAGTAATAGAGATTTTCTTATGAACGGAAGCAAATGATTTCGAACACACTTGGTGTGAAAAGCTGAATGTAGCAATACCAATCTGTCTTCTACAAGATTATCCGTTTCTTTTGACGATGACGTCGTTGATTCCACATCAGCATTCCTTCTTCCATTCAATATTTTGAGACTTGCATCAATATTAATTTCACCCAGTGGATGTTGTTTGATTCGAGACAGAAAATCTCTGCACACCGTTCCATATTCATCCATAAATGTTTTAATTTTACGGACTCGTTTTAATTGTTTTTGAATGGCGTTGTGAGTTGATCCAACAGCATGTTGCTGAAATTGTTCATCTGTTGATTGAAACGAACGATTGCTTTCATGTGTTCTTGATTTTGAAGAATTTTCCTGTGATGATTCTTGTTGATGCACTCTCATCAAGGCTTGTTCAAGAGCATTCAATTCTTTCAATTGTTGATCCACCCGATAATCCGAATATAATAAATAATATTCAATTGTTTCATAGAGAGTACTCATCTTCACTCGTTGTTGTTGTTCTTGTTGATTAAAAAACTCATCATTATAATTTTTAATGAAATGGTTAGAGGAAGGTGTTAAAGATGATGCTTCCTCTCCATTTCTACTCGACTCAAAGGCCATCAACTCTTCATCTAATTCTTCCAACTCTTCTTCATGTTGGTGTGGGTGTGATGAATGATTGTCTTCTGGAGTGGAGGGAGAATCTTTGTCGATGGTCCGATCAGGCAACATGTTTTTGCATTTTTTTGAACATTTCTGTTTGTTTGATTGGAGATGTGATTTATGGGGGTTGTGGGCTGTCTGTAGACCTGACCCCATCAAACCTCTGCAGCCCCAGCGAACAGCCATTCAGCCAATATTCTCATGAAGATTTTATGTAGAGACTGCATGGTTGAAGGATTATGTAATGTGGAAGAAATTACAACATTCACAAGAAGTTTATAAAATGGGTAAACAGAACTTTTGTTTATGCTGATTGATATGTTCAATTAAATTATGTTCCTGTGTTGTGACAGTGCAAGCTTCATCCCACCTTCAGCCAAGATGGTCCTCGCTTCCGAAATTGTTGACAGCTCTAGTCGCACATAGACATCTCAATTCGACAAGAATTCTCTTGTAAGAATTGCCTGAAAATATTCATTCTCAATTTTTTGACAAATTTGCAGAGGTGTCAACTTTTCATTGTTTGGAATTGTGGCTAATTTTCTTGACTTTCGAAGCAATTTCAATAAAAACACAACATTCACTAGCGCTCCTTCAAGAGAGGTCATAGACTTGAGATAAAGATGCAAAATATTGTCACCCTTTTCTTCCACTCGCACACTTTCAAAATCCTCAATCGACATGTGATCAATGATGCTTTCCAATAATAATCCTCCATATGGATTACAACGAACAAATAAAAGCCCAATCAGTGGAATTTTGCAAATATTGTCCTGACTAAACGACAAGGTACATTTTACACTTCTAATCACGGTTTTTGTTAAGAGCTCAATATTGTGAAGTAAAAAGAAGGAAATAATGCTCTCTAGATCCGAAAGTTTGGAACCAAGCAAATAAGCATTGAATATTGACTTGAGAATTTCTTCATCAATTTTAGAATGAATGAGCTCTAAAACCTTATTCAGCAAGGTATTCGTCTTTTTATCTCCACAAACAAAGAAAGGAAGCTCCATGTGTTGTTTCCAAAAATGCCAACCAAAATCAATGGCTATCATTACAATCTTGGCACCCGACTGAGATATGGTACTACTAATGTTCATTAATCTTCCATTTTGATACTCATTGCATAAATAAATAAAATATTGCAACAAGCACTGGCAGGTGTCGGTATGTGGTTCTAAATGTGTGATCATTATACTTTCACATGGGAAATTGTGTGTCTTAATGATGTAATCCAGAATCTCTTTAGCACGTTCTATATTCGCGATTGGTGTTTGGAAAAGTCCACGAACTAACGAATAGTGTGAAGAAAAACTGAATGAAGAATTGTTGCTTAGCGGATCACATCTGAAGAAATTTTCAATGAGTATCATTCTCAACGAAGGATGAAATTCTTCCAAGTATTCAATGATTTGCCATGGCTGTCGTTCCTCTGTGATATGCTGGAGACCAGTTGGCATTGCTGAACTAAAGGTAAAGACCTCAAAGCTCTTGAGTTTGATGATCTTTTTTAGATTTGGTAACTGAATGCATTGCTCACTCGTGATAGCAGTCTCCCTCATGGTCGTAATTTCCTCAAGAGATTGATGGGAAAGAGATTCTGGGAATTTACAAGCGCTCAATAGATCCAATTTTTTGAGTTTCTTTAACTGATTAAGGATGGCTTCAAGAAACAAAGGTGAAATTGAGTGCAGCAACACCAACCTTTCAATGGTAGTGTTTTCTCCAATAAACTCTTCGACAAGAAGGTGATTATAAATGTCACGATGAAGAGATAATTTGAATTGAGAAATTGGATAGGCATTAGTATAATTTTCGGTTGGTGGTGCGAAATTAAACACAGAAGTGTTTTTGGCGGAACGTTTCTGACGAATTCCCTTGTGACTCTGGAGAGTTTCAAGACTTTCTGAAAAGATGTCAGTAGAGGCAAGAGTTGTTGTGATCGACTCTCCAGATTCACTCTTCTGAGCAACATCGGTTGACTCAACTGCAGAGCTCGAAGACTCGTCATCCAAAGAACTACTACCAAAGTTACCAAAGAGACTGCTACCACTCGTGTTTGTGGATGAAAAGAATGAAGGAGTTCCAGTAGTGGTCGAGCCACCACCCAACATGCTGATTCCCGTCGACTTAAAGAGGGAACTTGATTGTTTAGCTTCTGATGACTTTTTGGTGCTTAAACTTCTCAATTCTTCCACACCATCCCTATACAAGTAAATTCCATCCGAGGTTGGAAGAAGCTTTCCATTCCCTTCTTTGAATAATCTCTGCTTTCTGAGAAAGGTCAGGAAATAATCCCACACGTCTGTTTCATATTCAGAACTGTTCAGAATAATTTCCTTCACTTGCAAGATACTTCTCATCATACGATTGTTGAAAACCTTACTCACCAATCTCATCTTGTGATAGGTAACAATAGGTTGATCCCTACGAGCATACTCAACATGCTCTTCTCGTTGCAGAGAGATGACTCTTTGCTGATCTTCATCATCATTCTTCTTGTAATCATAGGGAATATCCATCTCGTCCATGAATTGATCATTTTGTTTGAGAGAGGGCCAACGAGAATAGGTCGGAATGAATTCCACAATGTCATATTTGAGATTATCATCCAATAACAAGAGAAGATGAGTATCCAGTTGTTGAGGAGCACTGATGGTCATGTCGTGATAGTCCTTCTTCTTCATCATCTTCTTGTTTTGTTGTTGGTCACCATACATCCATCTCTTGGCCAAATCGCAACAATTTCCGTACTGCAATGAAATAGCCTTCTTCAATTCGGAGTCGGCATCATCATCTCGATCGAGAAATTCACTCAGTTTTCCATGACCGATTGGTTGTGGTTGCTTGGAGATATCCCTGAGAACATTCTCCATTCGATCCATCACTTCTTGACTATCAATTTCAACAGTACTGGAAGATCCAAACATTTTTTGTGTGGTGTGGAAGAACAAAAAGACGCTCGAATCCCAATGGTATTATTCACTTGATCCAAGTGGAAAGAGGGTTACAATTTTTAGTGGTGATTCTTTTTTCTGGAATTCATAAGAATTTTGTGGTTACAATGCAATAATAAACTGTGGAAGTTGAAATAAATGATGTAAAATCTGTAAAGACATACGACGCTTGCCATTCTGACAGAACATTTTGCTTTTCAAATGATTCCTCATCCAACTTTTCAAATATTAGGGTAAAGTAAAAATTCTGGATTTGGTTCCACCTCCTTAAACTTTTCCACATTCAAAACATGGTCTTTTGATTGGAAGGTTGATTTGAATAATAACTTGTCACAATCTTGCGGGTTTTGCTTACGCGTTTCGATATAACGTTTCAGTAATTTTCTGGCATGTTCTTGAACTGGTGCAAGAGATTCATATTTGAAATAAACATCCAATGGAACCCATTGACAAAGATCTATCTCTGTGGGGCATGCTGAAATTGTTTTCTTATGCTCCTGTGATTTGGGTTCTAATAAACAAATATAGTAAATATCTGGATTGCCAAACCTGAATGCTTTCTTATATCTAAATCCTAAAATTCCTTTAAAGTTAGTTTCAACATTGGTCTCTTCTCGAACTTCTCTACAAACTCCCTCTTCAATAAATTCATGATGATCTAATTGACCTCCAGGAAATTTGTAAGGTTTCATATGTGATGGTAGAAGATTAATCTTTTCTGTGATGATTAAAATTTCTTCCTTTTCAAAATCAACCACACATCCGCCCACTCCTACGTAATGCTGACAATATGGTGGATATGTATTTTTCTCTTCCGTGGCAAGCCATTTATGTAAATAAATATACTCTGGTTTACAGTGATGAAATGAAAATCCAAACTTTTTCAAACAAATCGGAATTAATTCACTGAATTTTGCATCAATTTTCAAGTGTACACTTCTCACTCGACTATTATAATCAATTGCTTTTGATGATTTGTTTTGCCATGCATGTAATGCTTTTCCTAAAATTATTTCAAATTCATCGGTACTTGAGATATTGACTTGATTACCAATTTCAACTTTAACAGCTCGGTATTGGTCAATGGTGGATTGTTGGAAAATTTCAGAAAGATTGCTTGTAATTTCTGATGTTTTGCTCGAATGTGCTGCTGTGGAAGAAGAAGAAGAGGCTTGTCCGTGCTTGAAATGAAATTCTTGTGCGTACTGATTTGTCAAGAGTGATGATACCGAGACTTGTTTGTTGTGGTCAGAGAATTTACTCATAAGCGAGAATTTACTCAAGATATTACATCTTCGGAGCTGAATCGATGATGAACTGCATAGCGTACGGGAGAGCATATTCACAGTGATTTCAAAATGGAATAATTTTTTTGTGTACTTGATCTGCGACAGCACGCACTAATTTACAGTTCGTGTTTTCAAAATTATAATTTTGATTGGTTCTCAATTTATATTGAGAATGATATTCAAGGTACATGTAATAAATTGATTTGCGTGCGTGTTATTGACCTTCCTTAATAATTTTAAATAGTGAGCTAATATTGTTGTTTTTGATTGCTTTTCTGCATTCAGCAACTACTCTATTCTTGGGTTCTCCAATTCTAAGTCGAGCTGCTTTTTGGATCATTTGATTGACCTCTTTCAGAGATGAGAGCAGTTGCTCATGGTTCGTGCTCCTCTTTTTGTATTCACCAATGAGCCCTTTGTTCATGCTGTACAGTTCATTGTACATGTTTCGAACCGATTTCATGTCTGCAATAACTCGTGCATCTTCGGCCTTGATCACATATGCCTTAATTAATTGAGAATTATCTGCCATTTCTGCTGTCATCTTTAATCGATTGGAATTGTATTCCTCCACGTTCTGAGTAATCTTTTCAAACTTGGCAAACTCAACAGGGAAATCACATTTCGAGTCGAGCTCTTTGATCGAAAGGTAGGCACATATATCTTGGAATAAATCACCGGCTACCTCCATATCATCAACATAGAATGTCATGATTCCGTCCTTATACACTAACCTCAACAGAGAACCATCTCGAAGACTTGTGAACTTGGCATCAATGACTTCTGCATCACCCTCCAATTTGAAGAGGATATTAAATGAGTCGTTGAGCCACATGATAATTCTCTTAACACGTTCATCCAATCTGAAAGAGAGTACGGATTGAGGCGTTTTAAATTGCTCTCCAGCAGGTATGTACATGGAAAAACGAGGTAAAGTGTATGTTAATTTGAAAATATGGTATTTTGAACTATGGATCACAGAGGTGAGAAAGACACGTTATGGTTAATCGTCCTATCCATACTTACCCCATGTTAAACCCAACCAATACTTGAATATTCATTTCGATGGCAACATTTTTCTCTGGTCGTAAGCTCACCTTGATCTCATTTGTAGGATTCTTTGAGTACACCATGCTGCTGTCTGTCTTGAAGAGTTGTTCTGCTGTGATGATACAAGCTCGAATAATGTTTTCAACATCAGTTTTAAAAACGATATCTAAGCAATTTTCTTGCATGTTGGGCTGAAGATGACATTTCACTTTAGAGTCAGATCTGATTAAGGATGAATCCACTTCGCCACCTTTAAGCTTCTTCAAATTCTCTTCATAATTTCGAAGCTCATTGCTAAGTTCTTCTCTCTTTTGCAGTAATTTTTCAATTAGTTCGTCACTTGTAGTGTCTTCAATTTGTTTTGATAAATTCTCTTGAGCTGGTACAAAACCCTTCAAGTCTCCTCCAATTGAGCAACAAATTAATTCGTCATGGCCATCCATTCTGTAATCTGCTACTACCATGCCGGCAATGGCCTCTTTCAGGCTATCCTTATAAATGAGTCGACCATCCTCTTGTTTTCTCACCTCAAGCTTTCCGCTTTCGTAACCAACCACCAAGTCGATCACACCGTCATTCACAATATCAAATCCAACAATAGAATTGATTTGGCTCTTTGATTTGTTTCGCCATATTCTGGAATTTCCTTGATAGATACCATACGAATTATTTGAAGCTCCAAAAGCAAATTTTCCTCCTTTAAGGTTGCACAACTCTGTCACAGCAGCTGTTTCTTTACACTCTGCAATCATTGACTCGTCTTGATACATATAAATTACATAATCATCCGAGCCCACTAATAATTCATTTTCATTATCGCCGTTAATATCTGCTAAACAGAGAGAGGTGACATCGCCTCCCGCTGTAGTCCAATATTGTTCTTCTCCCTCTCCATCATAACCTTGTATTGAACAGTTTCCTCCTACAAAAACAAGAGGATTCGCACTCGCTCCAAGCTTTCCGAATGTCATTCGGTTGACACCGTCTGAAACATCTCTGTAATAAATATCCGAATTTGTATCAACATTGTATGCCATGAGATTTGTTTGAGTTCCAATCATTAGCGTTTCTCGTTTTGTATTAGGTTTGAAAGCGCCCGATGCCAAACATTTCACGTCCTTATTTACATTTAAAAAGGTTACTGTGATGAACATAATAATGGTTCATAATATTATGATGATGGGAAAGAAATTGAATTCCAGCCCTAGATCATAAAGTTTCGTTTTCATTTTGCTTCACTTACATTGAGATCCGAGACTCTGTTCATGAGGATTATGAACCAAAACTTTTCCAGAACTTGTTCCCGAAGCCAAACAAGGCCTGTTTCCATCAACTATATTCCATTTCATCACATTCAAGCATCATGATGAGTTAAAGGAAAAATCATGACGATCAAGAAAATAATATTGGGTACATCACCAACTGGAAGAATTCCCTAAAATCAAAAAGCAACTTACATTTTCCGACCGTCACTGTACCTCTCGTGATGGGATGACCCAAATTCACCTGAAACGTTGGATTCAGCATGATACGATTGAATTTTTTTGTAGCTCGAGCGCGCCAAAAATCGCAGTGTGTTTGAATTTGAAATTGGACTTTTTTGGAATGGTGCGATTATTAAATCACAAGATCCCACTCAAACCCATTCTCCTTACTCTTTAGGATGAGACTCGCCTTCTCTTTCTCACTCAATGGATTCTGCCACACATTCAAAGTTCGTAAGTGGTGTCTTGGAATTTCACTCCCGATCAGTGCATGGACTCCCAACGCTGTCAAACGACATCGAGAAAGATTGAGATGTTTCAATTGAGACATAAATGAACTCGATGCAATCGAGAGGGCTGTCTCATCTCCAATGCTATTGTTCACGCTCACTAATGAGGTCAGTTTGGACATTTTTGGGCTATGTGCCACAAGTTTCAATCCTTCATCGGTCACTTTCGATTTGCTGATATTGAGATGTGTTAAATTGGTAATACATGAACGCGTGGAAGTGAGAACTCTCATAGATTCATTTCCTATTGAATTTGCCTCAAGATCGAGATGAGTTAAATGTTTCATGGATTCACTTGTACAGAGTAAAAGAATTGCATCATCACGAATGTTGAGATTGTGTGAAATGGTTAATGCATTCAAATTAGGAATCACTGTTGAGCTTGTTAAATAATTCATTCCTGTAAAACCAAAGACATTCCAAGCCAAATTAAGGCGAGTCCATTTTGACACATTTCCATTCAAACGTTGGAATAGTATTTGCATTCCATGATCATTGATTTGATTTCCAGATAAATCCAACCATTCCAAATTTTTAATCACTTCACTCTCTGCCAACGCTGATAAAGCACTTTCATCACATGTGGAATCTCCAATGCCACATCCGGCAGCTTTTAGAATTTTCAAAGTATTGATTGAACTATTTTTGAACCATTCTTTCACTCCATGTGCATTCATACCAAATGATACATTTAAGAAAGTTAAATTTTGTAAAGATTCACATTTTGATAGAAGTGGAATGGACAGGTCGATATTTGCGGAAGCAAAATTGCTTGAGAGATCCAATGAGAGAAGACATGTTAATTTACTTTTCGAATGATGAAATATTTGTTGGAATATTTCGAAAGAGAGTCGATTGTGTGCTAAATCCAATGTGGAAATGTGTCGAATATTGTCACATCTTCCAAAATTGTAAATTTTTTGATCCGATGATGATGATAAATCAATATGAAATTTAATATTTCGAGATACATGAAGGAATCGTTTGGATACACGCATGCATGAGTTAAGAATGAATGAAGTTGAAAAAAATTGTAAAATGTGGAAAAGCATATCATCGGGAAGATCATTGAAAGTTTTCGTTGGTTTCATTTTTTAAACAATTACTGAAAATTGATCTATTGGACGACAGGTGGCAGATTTTTCATGTTTGTATTAAAGAAACCATTCAAAATATCCTTCATCAGCCGACACTCTTTTCACTTCATTGAGTTCAACAAATAATGACCTGTAATCGACTTTTTTGAGAATAATATATATAAATAGAGTTTGTTCATTGCGCTGTTGTAAATTAATGGCGCCAAAAAAATGAAAGCAGTTTCAAAGGCAGACAAACAGGCTCGAACGTTGTGGTTGAGTCAATACAAGGCCCTTAAAGCGAAGTAGGTTTTTTCTTCTTCTTGTTTGTTCGGGAGAATGTGATTGATTCTCGTGTGTGATGGATATATCCTATTATTATTGATCATGCCCGATCGATCTTTCCAATGATGATGATTCCACTATTCCTGTCCGATATGTTCATTATCTTGTTGCCGATGCAGAGAAGAAAATTATCGGAGAGACTTGGCTCATCATTTCATCAACAATCCGAGATTGAGTGATATGAAAGACTTTTTTAATGAAATTCAATGTACAGAAGGCCTCCAAAGGCAAAAACAGCTTGAAGAGAGAAAAGAATGTTTGGAAGATATTCAAGATATAAGTAAACGAGTATCATCACTGAAAAAACTTACAGCAGAAAGAAGCGGGACAATGCAAAACGATCATTCGGGTGAAGAACAACAGGAAGAATTCTTGAGTAGAATTCAATCCGTCATGGAGAGAATTGAAAAACAATGTATAGTATTTAAACAAACACGAAGACAAATGCTTCAAACGCTCAACACAGAGGAAAAGATTTTAATGAAAGAAATTAAGAGTTTTGAAGGCTTGATCGACGATCCGGATTGGCTTAAGGAAAAAGAAGAACCTGAGTGTATTTTTACAAATCCAGAGAAAATGAAAGCGGTCAAGCAATACATTGAACAAAGAGAAAATTTGCGTGTTCCAATGGAAGTTATTGATTACGATGTAAGTGTGACACATGCTCAAGATTCATGTTTTCTTCTGAAACGTCGTTGTTGTGATATTTGTTTTAATTTAATTTCCATCGCCATGAACCCCTACTTCATGATACTGTCACAAACAGAACTATGTAGCTGAGAATGGAGGCTTGACAGGAGGATGGGACGCCGAAGATCATACACTATTTGTAAAACTTAAATCAAAATATCAAGACCCTCAAATATTTATTTCAAAAGCAGTGGAAGAAATTAAAACACACAGTATCATTGAGATACAAGAACACGAAGAGTTCTACAAGAATTTAATCATTCTGCAAAATCAAAAGAAAGCTGCTATCCAGCGATGGAAAGAAGAGAAGAAGAAGAAAAAGGATGAACAGATTGAAATTGAAGAGCAAGACAAGGTAAAACTGTTGGAACGAGAGGAAGAAGAGCGACAGAGAGAAGCAAAACGACAAAAAGAACTCACAAAGATTAAGCTTCAAACTTGGAAAATTGAAAAAGAGCGCCTAGAGAAGGAAAAGCAAGAACTCGAAGAACGAGCTAAACAAGAAAAACTCAACAAGCAAAAGGAAGAGGAACGAAGAAATCGAGAAATTACTAGGATGCAACTCGAGAGCTACAAACAGCTCAAAGAAATGAAGCAAAAAGAGAAGCAAAAGTCACTTGTAGAAGAGCTTTCCAAAAAAACACGACCACCTTCTCCTGCAGAATTAGCAAGAGTGCGTGAAAGGGAGGAGCAATTACTGAAGAGAGCTCAAGAACGGAAATTAAAACGAGACCAAGAAGCAAAGGAGAAGGAAGAACGTCTCTCAAAGCTTAAGGAGAAAGTTAAGGTCGAAGTGGAATCGGATGCCGATCGTCTCCTTAAACCTACTCAAGCTCAGTTCAATCGAGAAGTCGAAATACGAGAGTACATGGCTCAACCAAAAGATGAAGGGTCAGGAAGAAGGCCCATTTCGTTTGATGTGAGAACGATTTCACACAAAACAATACCGAGCTGGAGAAAGTAAAATATTGAAATCATTATTCAACTTTTCCGTTGTTCAACAAAACAACTGATCGATGGAGAAATCTTCAGTGATGATAAGAGTTATCGATAAATCAATTTTTCAATTTCATTAAAAAACGCTAGTTTATAAGCATAAATGGCTCTATGTGTGTATGGGAAGGAAACTAATGATTGATGTAGGTAAGTTACAAAACTATTGTGTTTTGAAATGCTTGCTGTTATTTGAGAGCAGCAATGATGGAAGTGCGATAGTGATGGAGTGACGTAATGGCAGTGATGTGTATGGTGCTAATGGTAAGATGTGAGGATAAGTGGTAGCTAGCAAGCTAGGTGAGCTTGAATGATGAATAAGAAGAAAGAATCATATCCAATTGGGTATGTGTTGATACAAGCTTAAAATTCCGCTTTTGATGCTGAACCATTCTCTTCTTTTTGTTCTTGTCCCTCTCCTTCTTTTTGTTCTTCTTGTCTTAATGCTCGGACATTGTAATTCTTGTATCCATAGACTTTAAATCCATAAATTTTAGGAATGTAGACCTCTGTGGGTGGCTTTGGAATCAAATTATCGTATTGAATCAAAAATAAGTGAGGAAATGTTGTTCCCCAGTAAGCTCCATCGATGCCTCTGTGTCTGCTGGACCTAGGATAATAAATATCATTGCATCTAGGACAATAGATTTTCACTGAGGATTCCCTAATATTATCGGACTGTCCAACAGGAAGAACTGCTTGTCCTTGGCAATGCACACGAGGGCATCTTCCGAAATGGACTTGCCTGAACTTTTCCTCCATTAGAGCCAAGCCTCGATTTGTGAGAATGAATCTGGCGTGTATAAGTCCATAGAGTGTGTCTGCTGCAGACTCAACCAATTGTTGCTGCTCCTCTGTTAATTCTTCATCCATTGGAGACTCCAAATCAAGAATCATATCAAGGGCATAATCGAAAAAAGGAACTTCGTTTTGCAATCCACAAAGATTAAAATCGTCCTGAATATAGTCTTCGTCGACTTCACAAAAAAACTCGTGCCCTTTTAATGTGCAAAACCAAGAAATCCAAGATATTTCTTCTTCTTCTCCCTCTTCGTACTCTTCATCTGATGCAGGTGTTCTTCTGTCGCTCATTTTGTTGTTTGTAGTGTACGTGTTGGAAGGAAATTATTCAGAGGTTTTGGTATGCACAATAAAAAACGGATAATGAATGATGGTCGTATGCAGTAAATGGTAGGTTAGAGTGTTACAAGAATTAACGTTGTTGTAGCACACGTCGATGATGCTATAAAGATAATTATTCTCAATATATATATATATGATAGATGGATAGGTTTAAATGACCAACAACAACAATTTTTGTGGTTAGAGTTGTTGTATATTTAATGATGATGATGTTTTGAGTACGATGATGATGATAACACAACGTTTTTTGTTGTATTATTTATGGATATAATTCAAAACGATGAGAATCAAACAAGTTTTCGTAGTGTGTGGTCAGAGCCACTTCTCTCGTTATTGTTGAAGTTGTTGAAGAGTTGTTGTTGTTGTTGAGGAAAACGCACACACAGACGCAACAAGCAAGAGCTTCTTGTTACGACGAATTTTTTTGTTGGCGCCTAAAAGACAAACGAAAGCGTTGCCTACCGTGTGAGGGGTAGTGTATCGCAATAGGAGAGGATTTTCATTGATGACGATGATGACGATAAGGATCATGAGGATGATTCATCACATTGTTGCAGGTGGTTCGTATAACGAACAGAACAAGGAGGATGAATCCAAACTTTCTCTTGAATCCTATGAATTGCTTGCTACTGAAGAAACAAAAAAATGTTGAAAAGGCTTTTACGTAATCATCATGTCATTCTCGCCTCTCAATCTCCGAGACGAAAGAAAATATTAATTGAGAATGGTGGGCTTGAATATGAGAAGGATTTTTTCGTTATGCATTCAGAGTTTGATGAAAAGTCTTTGGATAAGAAGAGTTTTCCAACGCCCAAAGATTTTGTGATTGAAAATTCGAGATTGAAAGCCTTGCAAGTGTTTAATGCGTGTAAAAATTCAAAAGAAAATTTAATTGTTATTGGAAGTGATAGTGTGGTAGTATATGAAGAACACATATTAGAGAAGCCTGTGAATGAAATGGATGCTGTTAATATGCTTCAAATGTTAAGTGGCAATACACATCGAGTTCTGTCCGGAGTTTCAATTTATATCAAAACAGGAGATGAAGAACAATTAGTGACATTTGCAGCAGAGACGACAGTATTATTTGACACCCTTACTTTGGATCACATTAAAGAGTATATTGAAACAGGTGAACCATTTGACAAAGCTGGTGCCTATGGTATTCAGGATTTAGGAGCTGCCTTTGTGAAATCCATTGAAGGAGACTATCATACAGTCATGGGCCTACCATATCATCTCCTCTATACAAATTTACGAAGAGTTTTGTCAAATGATAATAACAAATACTGAGTTGCGTCATTATTTAAAACAATAACTAGAACATTCAACCAATGTGCGTGCATGCAGGCTCAACGGGCGTGGAGCAAGAGAAAAGGACCATCGTATCGAGTGCTCAATGTAAGAGTATGGCCAAGAAGAGAATTAAACCATTTCTACCGGCATTGAAACCACTGTCGATCTTAATTCCAAGAAGAATGATTGTATTACTCGGGAAAGGTAGGACAAAGAGTGACGTATTTGATATCAAATTGCTGTCAATCTGATTCTAAGCTTTTCATAGTTTCAAAGATGAGTCACAACTGGAAATAAGGTGCATCAAATTGAAGATGAGCACAGTATATGAAGACAGAAATACGGTCACTTTCACGATGATGAACCTTACTTTCAGTCGAAGTGCACCACCCTTTGAAAAAAATGCTGGAAAAGCTTTCTGGTGAAGTGATTGGCTTGATCCTGTCGTTCGTCGGATCATTGTATGAATTTAAAAACCTCTCGTTGTTGAACAGGGAATTTTATCATCAACACTTTGAAGATGAAAATTCTGTTGTGATATTAGAATTGTTATTGTTTATTCTTGGAAAGGAAATTCCTGTCATGCGTCAACATGATCACTTTAAGAGTGTTTGGAAGGAATTGGAAGCATTTAAAGAATATGTAAAAGAACATGATGTTATAAAAAGAAAGCGACAGATTCAGGAACTCGAACATGAGACGACCTATCTCGACTGCTTAAAAGTGATTGCCTATGAGAATTGTAATTGGATCAACCATTTAGACAACAAATCACTTCCAGAAGTACTCACATTTCAATACGACGCGCATGAAAAAGAGAGAGCAATAACAATGCGTTTTGAGGGAACTAACATTCATGAGCAGTTTCTTGAAAATATGGGACTTACTTGTGAAATGTGGGTATCTTTCGCTCAACACTCGTTTTTTCCAGTGCTATGTACGATTAGTGATGTCAATTGGACAAATGGTTTTGGCTTATTTGAATATACCAATCACAGTTCTACAACTCCTGACACCATCAATTGGTTTATTCGTGATTGGTATCGTGAGGACAAATATTTTGTGACAAGCCCAATTCCATCCACCCATCAATGGGTACATTATGCAGGAACTTTTGATTTAACCACTTGCGTTGCTTCCTTGTATGTCAATGGAAAACTGGAATCTCAAAAGACTATCACTGACCACCAATTGCAACTACATCCTGGGATGCAAATGGTTGTTGGATACTCTGATTATTGCAACGACATTAACTATCATATCCGAGGAGAGTATACTGATATTCGATTATGGAATGTCTGCAGAACTCAGGATCAAATTAAAGAGACTATGAACAGAAGAATTTTCAAATATAATTTAGAAAGAAAGAAAAGCCTAGAGAATTTGATTTTTAATTACTATCCAGACAAAATATTGGACACTCCAACACGTATCAAGAATAAGACACCCAATACAAAGTATAAAGATTATGACGCTGAAAGGGGAAAGAGTGTTGTGGTTCGTTCAACCCTTTGTCGCAAACATTGAGAATGACAAGGCACAATCTGGCCTAAAAAAATTGTGAAGAGGTTTTTGAAGTCACCATTGAACAGAGTCAGCCATTCACACTCACACTTGAATTTTAAACTGTATTTCCATCGAACATTTCAAATACCAGAATAATAAGAATAGAGAGACTCTCCATTTCGAAATGCTTTTTTCTTTCATTGGAGCTGCGTGCATGCGAATGAATTAAAAATTTGAAGAAATTCGATTTTGAAAAAAACATCAAAAATGAAAACCGAGATTCAAGCCATCGTGTTGGCTGGAGGAGCTGGTGTTCGGCTCTATCCGCTTGTGGACCAACATGCGCCAAAAGCTACTCTCCCTATTGCGAATAAACCCATGATTCACTATACACTCACTTATTTGGAGAAGAATGGATTTAAAGAAGCAATTGTAGTCGTTTCGGGAAATCAACAACGAGAAATTAATCAAGCTTTGAAGGAATATAGAGGTAAAATTTCAATTCAACTCAAGAGTGTTGATTCAAAAGATACCAATGAAAATATGGACTCTGCAGAAGCCTTACGAGCAATTTATGATTTAATTTATACTGATTTTTTAGTCATCAGCTCTGATTTGATTACGGATGTACCTTTATTGAATGTTTTAGATATACACAGACAACATAATTCTTCTCTCACTCTTCTTTTAAAGGATGAATCAAATATTAGTTCAAGTGATTCCGATGAAATAGATTATTTTGCACTGACAAATTATGAGAGAGGTGCCATTCAACAATTTGTTGATTCCGAACAACCAATTTCGGCAATGCAAAGACGAAAAAAGTTGGCTCTCAAACCACCTCGTGTCATTATGGATCAAGTATTAGATTCCGAGGACAAAACACTTTCTGTTCCACGTGCATTCATGAGAAGATGGCCCAATTTTACTCTCACAAAAGGACTCAAAGATTCGCACTTGTATATTTGTGCCAAGTGGATTGCCGATTTGCTTTTACAAAAACCAGAGATGGAGTCTTTGAAACATGATGTCATTCCGTTCCTTGTTGATTCACAAAATTTACCAAGCGACAAATTAGATGAGACACTCTCGAAAATAGTGCCGCCATTTTTACAGACAGAAGCTTACAAGATGAGTACCACAGACACACGTCCTGATGACTTGATCAGAGTCTTTGCATATGTCGTACCTCCTCATGAGGACAAGCCAACCACATCAACTTCGCAAAAGAGCTTGAAACCAGGATTGTTTTGCAAGAGATGCAACACAATTTCCTCACTCCTTTATATTAATAGAGAGGTATGTTTGGGTTGGTATGAATTGCATTTATGAACTTTTTCTGAATGTTTCTTATAATTCAATGTATGATGTGAAATTTGAATTTTTTTTCATACCTCATGACATTTAGATTGCAAGAAAGAACAACGTTTCATTCTTTGAAGAGCTAGCTCAATATAAGAACACTCCAGCATCCGCTGCTGGAGATTCATATCTTTTAGGCCCAGATTGTGTGGTTGGAGAAGGTTTAGTATTTACAGGTCTGAATAAGAAACTCCGTCCAACCATCAAAAAGAGCAATATTGGCAAGCAATGTAAGATTGGCCAAGCTTCGAAAATTGAAAACTCTGTTATTATGGACAATGTAACCATTGGAGACAAGTAAGTTAATTTCAACTGCATTTAAATCCTTGTTCAAGTTAACCATTTTATTCTTTTAACTGTATATCCTTTATAACATTATTCTTTTTCGAACCTTAACAATCCTTATTACAGCTGTGTCGTTTCCAACTCGGTTGTTGCTAGTGGAGTTACCATTGAGTCTGGAACCAAGTTGTTCGGTTGTCAAGTCGGACCCAACTTTGAGGTTGAGGTAAACGAATACAAGGACGAGCAACTTACAGGAGGAGATATGGAGCTTTAATTTGCGATCGTCACCAATAAATAGCCTATTACATTACACTTTTCCATCTCCAATTTTAGTTTGTTTTATTCTTCACTGCCTTCACCAAAAGTTCCAACAACACCAAGAAGCTTAAATAATTTGTGTTTTATTATTATTATTATAAGAGTTTGATAAAAGATGATTTAGAAGAGACCACCGAAAGCATCACCATCATCCTCGGATTCAGATTCCTTCTTCTTTTCTTCCTCTTTAGCAGCAGCTGGAGCAGAACCAGAAGCAGCTGGAGCAGATCCAGCAGCAACACCACCACCAACAGTAGTCATTTTTGTGATGAGTGATTCAACCAATGATGGGGTAGCATATTTAGCAAAAATTTCAGCAGAGGTCTTATCAACATTCACACCAGCAGCCTTGGTGAGAGCAAGAATGTTTGATGAGGTGATGTCCTTTTGAGCATCAACCAACAAGAGAGTTGCGTAAGTCAAAGCAGAAGCGACGTCGGTGGAGACCATTGTGTGGGATAGAGTTGTGGCGTATTTTTTTCAAAACAAAATTTTTTTATATCAAGTCAACCTCCATGGCCAGTTTACAATAGAGGGCAAAAGGTTTCATGGCCGAGATACATTTTATTTGAAATTGAAATTCAATTTGTGGAATGAAGGAAATATTGAGAATGAACTGTAATGATGATCTGCATCATGCTATATATAACCGCCTTCTTTTATCGTTTTCATCCCTTACAATTATCGATCAAATGGAAAGATCTTTTTTCAAGAAACAGATATTCCCAAGTTTTTTCAACTGAAATTATGAAATTCTCATCTCAAGAATTCTACATTCCTTTATGAAATTCATACGTTTAATCTCTTAAACTTTCATCTTTGAATTGACTTCCTCAAAAAATGTCACCAAGCAAGCCTGTTCTCACCTACTTTAACTCGAGAGGAAAATCGGAAATCATCCGATTGATTTTAGCAGAAGCAGGTACGTACAGTTTTGATGGTGATCCTGAATGGATTTAAATGAATGGATTGAATTGCCTATCTTCTCGGAATTGGCTTGATCTCTGTTGTTCATTGAAACGACGACCAATGAATCATCTTTGAATCCTATTCATTAATGATTTCAATTCAACAACACAGGAGTGGATTATGAAGAGGTCAATGTTGGTGTTTGGCATCCCACCGATAAATCCGAACAATTCCAACAACTCGTTCAAAGTGGAACATTAGCCTTTGATTCATTGCCTAGCTACAAGGACGATCAGATCTTTCTTGTTCAATCGGCAGCTATTGTTCGGTATTTAGCCAAACGATACGGATTGAGCGGAAGCAATCTCGTAGAGGAAAGTCTCATTGATCAGTTTTATGAGGGTGTTTTGGACATTACCACTTTGCTTCGTTCCGCTTTCAATGTCATGTATCCAGTTACAAAAGAAGTCTCGAGTGCCACTATTGAGGAAACGATGGAAATGATTGGGCGAGAGAAATTACCCAACTGTATTTCACATTTTGAAAGAGCTCTGAAAGGAAAGACCTTCTTGGTAGGAGAAAAGATTTCGTATGCAGATATTGCTCTGTTTTATATCCTTGACAATTTATTGGAATTGAATGCAGAATATACCAACAAGTTCATTTTGGACAAGAACGAAAATTTGAAAGCATTCTATAATAGAATTAAGAGCAGAGAGGGAATTCAAAAACATGTGAACCATCCAAACAGATTTCCCAAACAAAATTTGCCAGGCTATGAGAATGTTCTTTCAAAACTTGTTCAGCAATAGTGAATGTGTGTCCAAACTGAACTGACATTTCCTCGATGAGAGACCACTTCACTGCTCTCTTGTGCCGAGTTCTGATTCAGTCTCTGATAAATATGTTAACAAGCATAATTCGTCGTCTCAACAGCAATTTCTGAGATGGTCGCTTCTAATCAATCATGACTTTGAACAAACAATAAAAATGTCTTCACCTGTTTCGCCTTCACTCTCTGCGTATCGGGCGTTGCTGAGAGCCAGTCGATTGGTATTTCATGGCGACACACGAACACTCAATCTCTCTCTCCGACAAATACGAACTGAATTTGAAAAGAATAGATTTGAAAAGGACGAAAAGAAGATACAAAAACTCATTTCCGATGCTCATGAAGCCTCCTCGTTTTTAGTTACTTCCGTTCTTCAGGGTGTGAAAGAACAAGATGGCTTCAAAATTCGACTCAATAAGAAACAAGTAGAGGCTAATTTAGATGCCAATGTAACAATTAAAGGCATTGATGATCAATATTTGGAGAGTTTGGAAAGAAGAGCAAGCAGAAAAAAGAACAAGGATGAAGAGTCTGGCTCTGATTCAGTGACTAGTAATTAAGTAATTTTCTCTATGGAATTCAATTTTGCTTTTAAAGCTCCGAATGCGAGAACATGTTGGATAGACGGAGGTGAATAGTGGTGCTGATGAAAAATCTAGCAGCAGGAAAATGATTGAAAGGAATTTGAAAACCCCAAATACTTCCTTATTGCAGTAACAAGAAATAAAAGAAGAAACGGAATTCATGGTCATGTAGATTGAGAGTCATCCAAATCATCATCATTCCATCCAATCAACTCAAGATGAATTTTGATAAAAGTTAAAAAAATTAGCTTTTTCAATCAACATCTTGTCGTTGCTGATCCTCTTTAAATCCGAACTTGAAAATGATAAGAAGAACAATGACTACTTGTCTTAGGCAAGGAGGACTGGCAAAAACATTCACCTCTAAAAGATCCATAATTTTTGGTTCATCATCCTCGTTTTTGATATCGGCTTTTGTTTCGCCATCATCACCCTCCTCCTCTCGGATGATTCATAATTCTTCCAAAAAGAATCGTCATCATGCCCTTCTCATCTCTATGAACAACACCACACAATCTTTCCATATGGATTTAAAAACTTTCAATTCCTCCAATAATAAGAAACAAGATCCAGACCTCTCCGAACTCAGATACATTACAGTGAAAACTCCTGAAGATGTCGTCAAAAATTCAAACGTGATTATTGAATGGTTGAAAAAAGAAGGAGATTTAGTTGAGGATAATGAAATTGTTTGTCGAATTGATAGACAACCAATGGTGGGTGATGAGATTAGAGAAATTCATGCCGAATACAAGGGAAAAATTCATAAAATTTCATTTCAACCAGCACCCACTCAAGAACAAATTGGAGAAAAACTGAAAGCTGTCATGTCACCAAATCAAGATTTATTTATTTTAGAAACAACAGAAGGAGAAATTAGATCTCAAGAGGGCATTATTGCCAAGCTTAAAAGATTTGTGAAGAAGTATGGTATTTTAGGAGTTGTGATTTATTTGGGAATTTATGTGTTGACTTTGGGAACATTGTTTTTACTGTTACAAGAGGGATTTTTGGCTACTAAGGATGTTTTAGCTTGGTTACATAATAGTGGATTTGACAAGTACATTGATATGAACGATTTGAAAAAGTCGGAAAGAAATGCCAACTTTGTGGTTGCTTGGGTGTTGACCAAGTTCACTGAACCTGTCAGAATGGCTGTCACCCTTGCTATTACTCCTTATATTTACAAGGTTTTGAGAAGATTTATGAGAAAGTAAAGATGTCATTTGTTAATTCATTCAAAGATGAGTTTTGACATGAATTCAAACAAGTAAGCAATCACAAATATGATGCGCAAGTTGAGAATTCTTTTGCGACCTTTTTTAATGTGATGACACAGCTGGCTTACTTGTCAAGATCAGAAAGATCGGCTTTTTCCTCTTTTTCTTCCTCCTCTTCTTCATCACCCGAGTCATTTTCTGGGAAAGAGTCTTGTTGTGGGAGATAGAAATCATCCATATTCATTGGTTCATTCACATCACCTCCGGATGCATGCCAATCGTATTGATCCTCTTCATCATCTTCATCAACCCATTTCGACCAGTCCACTGAAATTTGTCGATTCTTTTGATTGGACTTGGTAAGTCTTGGCCAAAATTCTCCACTCTCCTTTCTTTCAATATTCAAATCAATGGATCTTCCGGATACTTTCCACTTTGACTTTTCAGTAGAAATTTCACCATATAATTCCAAGTCGAGTTCATAATGATCTCCATGAGAATTGGCTGAAACCTTTAAACGACCCTCATCTTGCAATGCTACTTTTACTTCGGTTGCATCCGGAACTTCCACAGTTACATAAATACGATCGGATCTTGGTGCCCACAAGACATGAGGACTTTTTTAATCAATAGCAAGAATATTTAATAGGATTATGATCATCATTGCTAGTATTATGATTTTGAGAGAAAGAGGTTACATACACATGGGTTGTTGTTGTTGCTTCAGACATTTTTTTGTTTGTTTCGGAATTCTTTTTAGGTGATCGGAATTGACCTCAAATAAAGGAAAATTTGTATTGGTCATGCAGCTGCCCGTTACATTAATCATTGATATATCTATTTTATTATTGTTGTTATTGACACCTTTGCATATGTACAGTGGTTCATCATGCGTGAAAAATAGAGAGTGTGCTTGCAACATCCTTTTAGAAGAATCTCAAAATAAAAGCAATTAATGCAATCAAAATAATTCCAGCATACATGAAATTGACAGCTTTCGTACGTCCAATTTGAGGCATTTCAGGTAAATTACTACTGATCATATCTTGTAAACTAGTGGTCGTTGAGGCAATACTTGATCGTCTGCTTTGACACACAAGTGCCTCTGTTTTCATGTGGAATGTTGTACCTCTCTTTGGAACGAGAGCATTGAGATTCAATTCACAGCAAATTTCTCGAGCCATTTTACGAAGAGAGTTTGGTTCTCCATGGACAACAAAGACCATCTTTGGCTTTGGCTTCTTTGCAGCCTCAATCCACTTGATGACATCTTCAGTGTCACCGTGTGCAGATAATCCAGATACTTGCATGACTTGACATTTGACATTGACTGTCTTGCCGTGTAATTTGATATTTTTCACACCATTAAGTAGATCTCTTCCTCTGGTTCCTTCTGCTTGGAAACCGCTAATCAACACAACATTCTTTTCATGGGGTGCCAATTCTTCAAAGTGGAATAAGCAACGACCACCAGTCATCATACCACTACTGCTAATGATGATACATTTAGTATAGCCATCCATAATCTTTTGATGCAAATCTTTTGACTCTTTGGAGCTGTTGTGACAAATGACATCTTTAAGCAATTCATGTGCATCCTTTTGATGTTCCTCCAATAAGTGTTGCTGGTAAAAATCTAAGGCTTCAACAGACATTGGGCTGTTCATATGCACTGGTAGCTTTGGAATTTCCTTATCTCTCATCATTTTAAGGAGGTAATAGGCAATAGTTTGAGAACGACCAATGGCGAATGCAGGAATAAGCATGACACCATCATTGTCGACAATATGTTGCACGGCTTGTTTCAATACTGGTTTGACTTTTGTTTCAATCACATAATTGATATCTTCTGACGCTTTTGTGGTGGCAAAATCGGTATGCGATTTTCCTCCATATGTGGCCTCACAAACAACATAATCTGCTCCTAAGGGAAGATGTGGATGTTGTTGCATTGGTGACAGCGTTTTAAAAGTTCCCAAGTCTCCAGAAAATATGACCTTTTCTTGTGTGGGGAAAGTTATCTCCACGAACGAGGATCCTAACAAGTGTCCCGCATTGAAAAACTTGAAAGAGAATTTGTCTTCCTCAAGTCTGCTCTTTACCACCACCTTTTCTCCATATTTGACTTTTCTAACTAATTTGAGAACACCCATCACTTCGTCTTCAGTGTACAATGGAAGAGCTACTGCATGCTTGGTTGTGTCTTTGCGATTTGCATAGTGTGCATCTTCTTCTTGAAGACGAGCAGAGTCGAGCAGAATCAATTCCGCCAAATTATAGGTTTGTTCTGTCATGTAAATTGGACCATTAAATCCAAGAGCATACATTCTGTGAATTTTACATGAGTTTGCACATTAAAAAGTTTTTTGTCAATCAAAATGACACAATTGAGACAAAATTCTTTGTGGCCGTTTTCAATACTTACCTGGGAAGATAACCTGTGTGATCCAAGTGAGAGTGAGTAATAATAATTGCATCACACATGGTCTCGACTGGTCTTGATGATGAAATAATTTTCCAATTTCTCTCTCTATTTTTGAAATGAATCAAAATCAATATGGAAAGATGGTCAGAATAATTTCATCATTTTTGATCACCATTTAAAATTCATTCAAATTCGAAGTCATCATGATATAAAACACATTTACCAATATCAAATCAAACATACCTGAGTTCTTTCAATCCTTGATACATTCCACAATCAATCAAAACATTCAAACTTCCATACGTAACCATATGTTTTGAACCAGTAACTGTTCCCGAAGCACCAAAAAAGCTCAACTCTGCATGATTGGCAAACACTTCTGGCTTGGGTATTTTGGCGAGCTCTTTCTGAGCTTGTTTCACTTCATCCTTATGCAACATTTTGATATCGGCCCGAGTCAATTTTGTCTTATCAATTGGAATTCCCTCCACAAAGTGAGCTCCTTCTCCTTCATCCTCATATTGACCAGAGGCTAATGCAGATTTTGATGGAGCCTTTTCGGCGTTTCCGAGAGAGGATGAGCCTCCGTTGGTATTCTGTTGTTGTGGTTGTGATTGTTCTGTAAAATCCTTCTTGGATGCTGGCATTTTTTTTGTGTTTTTTTCGTTTCGCCATAATTATGAGAGACCTCGAAAAGGAATGTTTTAAGCGATTGTAAAGAATGGTCTATTTAAAGAGAGAGACACTTAAGCTAAATGCAATATGAAAACAATTTAACAGTTATGTATCATTTGTTTGGTATGATGGAGGTCCAACTCTTGACTTGTTTTTTAACTAAATGTGGACAATTTGGACCAAGAAAGGAACTGATGAAGATGGTTGAATAAAAAGATGACACCCACATCATGATTTCTTTGGTTGCGTCTTTGCAGTGTACTTGGAAGACAAATTTGGTACTGTTTTTAAAGCATGTATTTTGATCTTTTCATTTTGATTGGTTGTTGATTGGAGTAACATTTTCATGAAAGTTCCAAGATTGTTGAACTCGTCGACATGAGTGTTCTCCAATGTTCTCCTTATTGTGTGAAAAACAAAAAAATAGCAACAATGATCAAGTCCAAATCGTCAGCACCACTCCGTATTGCAGCCATCGGTTTCGGAACGGCCTCTCCTGCTTTTGCTTTATTTGCTGCCAAATGTAAGTGTGTGGTTGTTGGTTCAATTAGATTGCGAGTTACGAGGCAATGTGCACCACATTCGAATATTGAACGCATGGAAACACATGATGCATTTCCGAACCTGTTGGTTCTCCTCTCTCTCTTCATGATGGGGATATAACGAACATGTGGTTGGTCCACGATCTGTGTCGGTTGTCCACTTGTTAGTGGGTCATCGAGTGGATATTTATGAAAAGTTTCCAGAAGCGAGACCTCTTGGAAGTGGAATTTTACTTCAACCCACAGGTAAGATTGAATACATTTGGTTTGCAAAACATAGTGTTTCATTCATGATATCTTTTTCACTCTGACAATTTCTTTTTTATCTTCTCCAAAACAAAAAAGGAATGAAAGTATTGGATTCCCTCGGACTATTAGACGCTGCGCTCGAGTATGGACAAAAAATAGATCGACTCTACGGCTACACCGATCGTTCTCTTCTCAAGCCATGGAAATTCACTCAAGATCAAATCAAACATAAAGTTCTAGATTTGGAATACAAATATTTGGGAGAACATTTCTTTGGATTGGGCATTCATCGAGGAACTCTCTTTCAAATTTTACACGACGCCGTTTTGAAACAATCGCCACAAATTTCTGTCAAGTGTGGATTCAATATTTCGAGAGTGGAGGAACGAGAAGTGTTGGATTCGAATGGAAGGAGAGGTGTGAAATGTCGTTTGTTTTTTCAGAACAATCATCAGGATGGAAGTGTGATGGTACATTTGTCGTTTGGATCAACAAAAGGAAGTAATAATGGCGGATATGAAAAACACAATTCCTTAGTTGTGGATGAGAAGAAGGAAGAAGAAGAAATTGATACTGATTATGATCTCGTGGTGATTGCCTCTGGCACTCATTCTCGATTAGGAAATTTCGAAAAAAGGAATGCCAAATTATACGAATTTGGAAGTTTATGGGCGAATGCTGTGGACACGTGTGATTTCACTTCCAACCAAACACTTCTTCAAAAGTACCGAAATGCTCAATACATGTCTGGTCTCTTACCCATTGGAAAATTAATGAATCATCACTCTCAAGACAGAAACAACTCCATGACACCATGCAACAACCAACATCATAGGGATCACCAAGATCGACACCACGAAAAGCCTCTTGTGAGCATTTTCTGGAGTCTCACTCAACAAGATTATCTCAAATTTAAATCCATGAGTTCAAACGGCGCTGATTTTCAACAATTTAAAGAATCCTTAATAGAATTCTGGCCTCAACTCTCTCCATTCATTTCACAAATCCAAAACAAGGAAGAATTTACCTATGCCACCTACAATGATGTTCAGATGCATCCACGGGATTGGCTCTCGGAAAAGGGAGGAGTCGTTATGATTGGAGATTATTGTCATGGAACTTCTCCTCAATTGGGACAAGGTGCAGGTAGGTTTTTATGGTATCGAACGAACGACATTGAGTGTTTCATGTTTTCCGTTTAATTAATTTAATATTCTTTTTGGAATGATTGGCCGTTCGTGTTCTTGGAATGTTGTTCACCTTTCACACACTCACATGTATTCCAAAATCCAAATCATCCAACAAACAAACCATTGTTTTCACTTGTGGTAACAAACAAACCATTGGTATTCACTTGTGGCTCACAGGTTTGGCCCTCATTGATGCCTTTGTCCTCCACGAATGCCTCCAATCGTATCACCACCTTGGTGATGATTCCTCTCATAACAAATACTCCTCTCTCCAACATGCCCTTCACGCCTACACTCAACAACGAGCCAGTCATGTCATGGGTTATCGACTAGCCTCTCGAATTCTCACTCCATTCTTTCAGAGTCATTTTCATACCTTGTCGTATGTGAGAGATGTCGTGATGGGTCTATTGTGTTCACTCCCACCTGCACGATGGTTCATGTTGAGAACATTGGCTGGAATTCAGAGTGGATGGTTTGATACGTTTGATACTCGTCCAACATTTTGAAGAGAAGTGAATATTCACATTCATACACATTCTAGAAAGAGAGAGAGGTCGATGATGTGGCATCGTTGAAATACATTGAGTTGGGTTTTTTAGATCATAAGGGATAGTATGTTTGAAAGTATAAAGCAAGAAGACTTTCATTGATGATATATTGAAGTAGTACATTCTCAAAGACATTAAAGGATTTGTTATACCTAATCCTGTTAATACTTTTATTACCAAGATCAACTTTTTCCCTATTGTTTGGGCAAATGACGACGAAAAAGTAGTCCTTCTCGCTCCTCAGGAAGAATAAGCAGCGATCCAAGAAGAAAATAAATTCATGGATGCTGATCGAATTATTCGAGAATAAGGCTTGCAAGACGCAACTCGGATTCAAAAAAAATGAAAGAAGCAGAACAGCGAAGGCTCGACTCTCGACCCAACCAATCGCGTGACTACTACGCACCCAACACTGGGCAAAATGGTTCATCACGGAATCGAGAGTCATACTATCATCCCTATGATCGCAATAAGTATTTATCGGAACAACTCTCAACATTTATCTTCTCATAGCAATTACAACAAAACTTACAATAATTCTTACAATACAAACAACTCTAATAATTCAGGAAGCAACTCAAGAGCTTACCATTATGGAAAAAAAGATGGAGGCAACAACAAGAAGAATGAAATTAAACTTGTGGAGGATCCATCTTTAAATGAGAAATGGTTAAAACTAAAAGAAATTGCCGAAAATAATCCTTCACAAATTTATGAATTTAATGGAAAAATTGATGTGGTGTATGACATTGGAGGTATTCTCCTTGTTGGACAAGATCGTTCATTAACATTAAGGAGACGTCAAAGCAGTGAATCATCAGAAACAAGCATTACTCCATACAAGTTTTTTTCGAAACTAAAAGAGATATTGTAAGTAGCATGAATACATGTCACAGTTATATGTAGTATCTGGGATTTCTTACCATTTTCATTTAAATGAACTTTATCCATCAAAAATGATTTCGTTTCATTGAACGAATTATTTGAAACTTTACACATTGAATCAGACATAAGGATTTAAATGTATATGTGATGTGCGAAGGTCATTTCTACTCTTTTGAATTGGATATGACCACAGTTACCCTAAATCAGAAATATATATCAGATGGTCTTTCAAAACTGATTCGTATGGAATGGTATTCTGAGAATGAAATTCTCATCTGCGACATTCAAGGAGGAGTGCACATTTTCAACACCATGTTGAATCAGATGGATGGAAAAACCTTTGGAAACCTTGCTCTCGATTATGGATTGAGATCATTCTCAATTTGCAGAGAACAGAATTGGATATTTGCTGCTGGAAGAAACACTGACCTTGATATGGGATCTCTTTCTTCAATGAAAATGCAACTTGGAACGACAACCTCCACGTTTGAACGTGCCGGTATGAATGAGCATGACGTGAAGTGTTGTACCTTTGTTGGCAATTTTTGTGTTGCTGTGGGCTACAACACCAAACAAATTGGTCTATTCAAAGTGCTTCCCAAACAACACCAACAACAGTCGAAAGTCACTCTCGAACTTTACAAATTTCAAAGCATTAATCCAACCACAGAATATTCTCATGTGTTGGCAGATCCACTCAAAATCTTGATCGTGTCTAACAATGGTTCCAATTCCAAAGTTAGCATTCATTACAAGGCAAAAAGTGAAGACACCATTACTGTGTCACAAAAACGATGTCCAATCTTTGAGGAATGCAAAACAGCCTCCTTTTGCTCTCCCTCCAACGAGCGGATTACTTCCTTCTACTACCGAGATGATCTTGTGATGTATGGCACACATTTTGGAAAAGTCTACCTCTTGGATTTGCGTTCATCGTCATCATAGAACTCTGATCACAAAAGGAGCCCCAGTTGTACATAATGTCAACAATGATTGCAAAATTGAAATTCTATGCATTCATCAATTAAAAAAAAACCGCCATCAAAAAATGCCGCCTTACAATTCCAAACAACAATTACCTCAGGAGGATCTTTCGTTGAAGGATTTATCGGGAGGAAGAAGGTTTCATCGGGAATCGATTGGACGAAGCGATAGTAGTGATAGGCTCAATAATAGCAGCAATATCAACAATAATTCTTTGAGTCCGTTTGAAAATGTTCATGAACCAATTGAAGAGATTGGAGAAGAGAAAAAGGATGAACAATTTCATGATGAAGTGGGAGGAGAAAAAGAACAGTTGAATCAACCATCACGATCACGAGGAAATGATTTAAATTTTCAAAATAGTTCAATGTTATCGGATAATAACAACCAAGAAAACAGCACAACAGCCACGACCTTAAATCAACCACCCCGATCACTTCAAAATACTGCAAATAGTGCCCTCAACAACTCATCATATCCATTTTCCCGAACTTCATTGGTAGAAAATTCAGTTCATTTAGATGAGCAACGAAAAAGAGAAATCTTCATGCTCTATGATTTGTATTCAAAAGAAAAGCAACGAGGAAATGAGTTTAAGAGTTTACAATTTTTAGAGCAATATTTAACGACTTACTTTCGGTCAACTCCTGAAGATCAACTCAGCACTGAAGAATTGGAGCATTTAAGGAAATTAACAGAAAAATTCGTCGTTAAATGCAACGTGATCGCCATGGATTTCCTGACCAATCAAAAGAATACCAACATGTGCAAAACATGCCTCGATAAGGCCAAGAATATCATTGAACTGTATGGAACTAGTATTTTCAAAGATGAGGAAGAAAAACGAACGAAACTTCTCGTGTCCACATTAAGTAATTTTTCTGTTTTTTACAAAGAGTAAGTTGATACTATTTGATTAGATGTTTTTCTCCAACAACGATGCCACCCCAAAGGTGTGGAAACCTTGAAAAAGCATTGCAAGCACTCAATCTTGCTCAAAAAGCAGAAACACATTTTAACGCCAGTTTAGAACTTAATTTTTGTGCCGTGTTGTCCCAAATGAATCGACATGAGGAAGCGTTGAATCATGGTCTTGAAGCTTTAAGACAATTGGAGTTGTTCAAAAAACTCAATCGAATTAAGCACAACATTGCGAGTTGCAATGAAACATTAATCATTGCATTTTACAACGTCGCTGTTGAATACGAACATTTGAAACAATCTTCATCTGCAATGGATTACTATTCGAAAGGTTTTGCCCTCTCCTTGGAAGTGCTTGGATCTGAACATCCAACGACCAAACGGCTGAGGGACTCTCTCGAGAAATTCCGATCAAGAAATCTTGTGAAAAACAACAACACCTCAAATAATACTTCAACGATGAATGCAGAGACGTCGAATAATAATAATAACACTCCCAAAATCTCATCCCGAACATCCTCGCTCATGTCAGGAATTCGAAAAGTCAAGCCACCTTCTGCAGGATCTTCCTCAACAAACAGCTCACAAAAAACATCGAGTTCTGGAGGCACCTCCTCTTCAGGAAACAGAAGTTCAGATCATTTTCAAGAAACCATAGCGGACAAGAGAAGAACTCAGAGCACCAACCTGTCGCTTAACAGCAGCTTGGTGAGTATACCGCCCACCTCAAAATCAACTCCTCCTGGAGGAGGATCACTCAATCACTCATTTCGAAGGAGTTATAGAAAAGCTCCTGTTCCACCTCAAAAACCTGTCCCACTCACTGAAAACAATCTAGAGCTTCACAACAAAATTTCAACCTTGCATTTCTATGCTACTCTTATTCAGAAAGTTTTTCGAGGCTATTGGGCAAGGAAAAAGCTGAGACAAGAACGATCGATACGTTACAGTTACCGACCTATTAAGGACGTTGAGTTGATGTATGAGACTTTTCTATTAAATCACGAAAGGTTGTGTCGAGAGAAGCTGAAACGATCCTCCTTAAAATGTCGACCAGTCCCAAGTGCGACATTGAGTGAAGACAAGATTCACAAAGTTCGTCAAAATCGTTCACTAGTTGCTCGACCTCCATCTCCTCCAAAAGTTGACACTCTTTCCAGCAAGACGAAAATTCTTGTTAATGATATAACCTCCACTCTGAAACAATTAGAAAAGGTTTTACAGAATGAGTAAATGAATTTTTGAGATACCAAATCTAGGAACAATGATGAATTCTTGACAAACATTGCATCTTGAACATGTTCTATATGTATGGCATACAAAAATAATTTATTGGTCTAGTTACAACTTCTTCCAGACAGTCTTCAACTCCATAAAAAGATCTGCTCCAAAGGTGGAAAGCTCAGCTCCACCAACTCCAGATTGTTTACGTGTAGGCCATGGTACTTGGCAAAGACATGGTTGACTGGCATTCAACCACAATGTTCCAACACATAATTGTCTTCCCACACGTTCTAATCTTTCGTCACTACCAGAAATCACAGCTGCTGCTAAACCATATCTTGTATCATTGGCCAATCGGATTGCCTCTTCTTCAGTTTCAAATGGCATGACACTCAAAACAGGGCCAAAGATTTCTTCCTTCCAAATGGTCATGTCAGGTGTGACATTGGTGAAAATGGTTGGAGCCACAAAGAATCCCTTGTTTGGATCTTGAGCCTTTACAACTTCTGGTCGACCACCACCAACAACTGCCACAGCTCCTTCCTTCTTACCAATTTCGATATAATTCAAAACCTTATCGTATTGAATCTTGGAGACTTGAGCACCATGGGTCACAGTCTTGTCAAACAATGAATCGCCAGTGACAATGGTCTTGGTCTTTTCAATCAATTTGTCCATCAATGGTTGATAAATACTCTTTTGAACCAAGAGTCTAGATGTAGCAGAACAAATTTCACCCTTATTTGCGAAAATGCCTCCAACAATGGACTCGATCGCAACACTCATGTCACAATCTGAAAAGTATTATTATTATTGGAATATCGTTAAGACCACCATTGATCGTGTTGTGATTGGACATTGAGGAATATTCCTCAATGTTGTTCCATGTTACCATTATGATCATCGATCACATTATTATTGTTTTGGAGAGTCGTGTGATGATCAATGTGATGATTAGACCATTAGCATGTTCACACAACAAAACATACCTTCGAATACAATAATAGGGCTTTTACCACCCAATTCGAGAGAGCAACGAGTCAATGTTGGCAAGCAAGAAGCACCAACCTTCAAACCAGTGGCCAAAGATCCAGTGAACGAAACCTTCTTCACACGAGGATCAGAGGTCAATAATTGACCAATCTTGTATCCATAACCAGCAACAATGTTGACGACACCCTTTGGGAAAATGTCTTTCATGTAATCAGCCAATACGAGAGCAGTCAATGAGGTGTATTCAGATGGCTTGAGGAGAATGCTGTTACCTGTTATGTAATATTGAAGAAGAGAATTCATGATATGTGGTCACCACAAGGTTTTGCAGGCACGGAATGCAAGATCAATGAATGCGTTCAATAATTTTCAATCACCACAACAACAGTTCAACAACAACATTTCAACAATGGATCATTGAACATACCTGTGATCATGGCAGGAGCCAACTTCCACATCAACAACAACAATGGATAATTGAATGGCAAAATTCCCACACAAGGTCCAATAGGTTCATAACAGAGTCGATTGGAAAGTCCCCACTTCTCGGAATCATGATGAGGATTCACTTTTCCATCCATCTTTTCTTGAACATAATCAGCCAATGAAGCATAATATCTCAAAGTATTACAACACTCATCCACATCTCCAACGCTCTCAAAAAACGTCTTTCCGTTATTCTTGGATTCAAGTTCAGCCAAATAATTCAAATTCTCTTGCATCTTATCGGCCAAACGATTCAAGCAAGCAGCTCTCTCCTGAACTGGAGTTTGGGACCACAGAGAGAAAGCCTTTACAGTGGAATCAAGGGCTCGGGAAACTTGATCGGAAGAGGCTTGAGTAACGAGAGCAATGACTTGTTCAGTGCATGGATTCACGACTGGGATGTAGAGATCATCGTGAGGAGTGGTGGATTCTTCGGATTCGCGAGAAACGAATTCATTATCGATCAGTGAGTGATATTTGGGGAGAGAGGTGGTTGATGCCATTTTTTTTTCGGAAGTGAAATCTTTATCAGTTGACCAGGAGTTAAGTTTACAAAATTTCCAAATTGGATTTCGTCGATTATGCCAACCCTTATGATTGGTGTTTGGAACACTTCATTCATATAGATCGGCTTGGTCCGACCAAAAGTAAAACATTATATCATCAATACTTTCATAATCAAACACAACCTTGTGTGCTCTTTAACATCTCCACAACCTTTGCCTTCATACTGTTTGTGTTCAGCAAATAGGACCTGAAGAAGAAAATGAAAAAACCCGAACACGCAAAAAAAATGCTCCGACATGTGCTTCATGAAGCGTTTCTGAATTCTCAAACAACGACCACAACCACAACACGAGCAGCAGCACGAACACGAACAGGATTATCATCATCACCATCACTATCATTGACATGTGGTTTTTTTGCAAAACAAAAGGAGAGTTCGGAATGTATGAAATTTCTTACAAGGATGATGGTGGACCATCATTCTCAATTCGCACAAACACATGGAATGAATAATTCTTCCATTCTCATAAATAATTGGTTTCTTTCAAAAAACAAAACAACCAGGATGGAAAGGAACAAGTATTCAAATTTTCAAGAAAATTTCATTCGGAATTTCAAGCCCAGTAATAGAACTAGGATTCTTTTGCGAGGCAATACAGAGCCATTACAGACACGACAATTTTTGAATGTTTTGGCAAATATTGCAAATTCTGCCAATGCTGGCAACAGCAATCATCGAGGAATTAAATTTGTGGAACAGCGAGTGATTGGATATAAACCTGAACAAGTCTATCATGTGGTTTCTAATGTTACAGATTACAAGCACTTTGTGCCCAATGTGAAAGATTCGGCTTTTGTGAATTTAGATAAGGCTACAGAAACTCCACCCGATGAGAATGGATTCGTAGAGAAAAAAACGGAGGCCTATTTAACAGTGGGATTTCCTCCTTTTTTAGAGACCTACACTTCGACAGTGTATTTGAAAAGTCCTGTGAGTGTTAAGGCGGAGTCGAAAAATATGAAACTTTTTAATCGATTAATTAATCACTGGGTGATTGCTGAAGGTCCATCCGAAGACACATGCAGATTGACCTTTCATGTAGATTTTGAATTTTCGTCACGACTCTATCAATCTGTGGCGAATATGTTTTTCGATTTTTGTAAGTTTTAGCAGTGTTAATTCTTTTTGGAAAAAGAATGTTCATTGAACGCATTGTTTGATGGTTCCAAAATACTTTGCATGAATTGAACAATATTCATTTGCTTGATTTTATATAAATTGAACAATATTCATTTGAAACAAATCAATAACCGCTTAGTGGTCAAAAACATGACCGATGCTTTCGAAAAGAGATTGGCGCAAGTTTATGGCAAGCCGTCTCAACAAACTAAAATTGTGTACACTAAAACTCAACAATGCTAGTATCTATGAATTTGAATGCTATAAAAGGCATGTTCATTTGGCTTTTGAGATTTATTGTTGTTATATGACGATGAGCAACCTTTTGATGATGGCTTTTAATCAATCATTGAATCGTTCGAGAGAGAATGAAGGATGGCAATCATTTGAGAATACTTTTCAAGCCAAAATGCATGTAGAGCCAGCAACTGAACTCGGTAAATAATGGTCTGTTGTTTTCATGAGAGTTGGAATGATTATTCTTGGTGGAGTTTTTTGGGTACGTTCCTTGTACATTCTGTTGAGATCATTGAGAGAGAATGGCGGCTTGCTTGTGATAGATGGAGACATTCCTAAATGAAGCAATGAAAGACATTTCAATGAAATGGCAAATTCAAGGATGTGTGAATACGTGACATCCAACAGAAGGCCATTTCCTGCAAAAATCACAATAGAGAGCTTTGGACAATATTGAACAAGAAGGTCAAAAAACTCAGCATGTGGCAACCCTGTCTCCCAGCTTAAAAATAAGGTATCAAGATTGGGACATTGTTTGATCAGTTGTGCAATTTCATCAAGCTGACGAGAACCAAGAAGTGTTCCTACCAATTTCAAACTCGTCAATTGGTGTGTAGAATGACTGGAAAGTCGGAGCAAACAAACAGGATTGAATGCATTCTCAATTTCCAAATTTTTGATGCATATCGATCTCTCTGTGATTACATGAAAGATTTGATCCGCTTGTTCTTGCGAGAGTGTAGCACCTAGCATGTTGACACTTTGTAGTTTGCTATTTGTTTCTGTGAGAGTTAAAAATCCTTGTCCAACATTTCCGAATATATCAATATGTGTCAAGCAACTAAACGCACACAAGATCGATAGATTGTTCATAATTTCATTGTAATTTTCTTCATGAAGATTAGGTAGCAAGAGAGTAGTGAGCTTTTTCATTTCAACAAGTCCTTTCTGTTGAATTTTTCCATGAAAAGGAACAAGTGTGGAGGATCTAATTTCAACACTTTCCAGAGTTTCATTACTGTGAATGATAAGAGAATACAGATGAGACGACGCCACCATCATACATCCCTCGATCAAAATGCTTTGTAACTTGAGCTGATTCAAATCATGAATTGTTTGTGTGGCGCTTACCGTTTGAAAACTGCAATCAATGACTTTCAAGAACAACAGCATTGGACAGTGTTTGGCAATATTGATGAGCACATTATTTTCTAGCTCGTCTAAATTGTCCAAAATTAATCGACTCAAGTTTGTGAATGGCTTGGAAAAAACGATGGTAGAAGCCTGCAGGTTAGAGAATTTCGAATTTGAGGCGCGAATGAAAGAAAAAACTAACTGCTTCTTCTCTCTTCCTCCTAATTTCATCTCTGAAATGGTTTTGTTACAGTTTAAAAGTGTCACTAAAGTCATACAATCACTTGGTGCAAATATCCGTGTTAACGAGAGGCCATGCTGTGAATATTGGGCAGCGAGTGGTAAAATGTGGTAAATGAGAGCAGAAATAGGGTCATATTTACATTCTCGTTCAATTTGATAGTCCGATACTTCAATATTTCTTAGTTTAGGGAAAAGAGGAGCCACGTTTTCATAGCTCGCAAAATATTCTCTTATTTCTTCAATGATCAATTCTCGTTCATTGGCTTGAGCCAGTTGTCTCTGATGAGATCCAGCAGGTCTATAAATTAGAGTTTCAAGATTTGATTTTTGAAACTTTGATATGACATTTTCACAATGGTCAAATTTTACATAGGGATGTATTCCTCCACTTCCGCTAATTTCATCATATTCAAAATATTTGAGGCTTTCAAATGTTTCAAATATATCAATCACTGATAACAGCCTGGTATATACAGATGGAATATTCCTAATTGAGAGATGCGTGAGATTTTCTCGTAAATTTTTTGGAGCTTCCAATGGAAGTAAATGTGGAAAGGTGTTATTGCCGTCAATGAGGGCAAATGAAATAAAAAATTTTTCGAGTTTGGAGCACCCAATGATTAGCGTATTGAGATCGTTCGGCGTCGTGGCAATAAATCCATTCAAATAAATTTCTCGAATGTGTGCATGTGTAAATCGATCACATGGAAACAATTCTAAATTAGTTAAAAAATTAGTAACATCTAAGAATTCTGTAATTTTGTCATTCAGTATTCGTTGTGGTCCACACGATAGATAAACTTGCTCTACCAATGAATTATTATTATTTACACACGTCCCAAGAGATTTGAATAATCGTTTGATTTTTTCATAGCTGCACAAATGAAGAAAACTGACATTCCAAAAATTGAGCAGTCTCACTGCTTCACCACTATCAACAAACTGTGAATCTTGAATTGAGGATATCAAACTTTCCAAAATTATTTCAAAAAGGTAAGGTCCTATTTTTTCCAACCAGCTCAAATCATCCGTAGATATTCGCGACGATGATGAGGTGGATGTGTTCTCTAGTGTTACATTATTTACACGTATCATGTATGGAAAATCCAATGTATCGTTTCGTCGTTTTTGAGGCTCACATTTTAAATACTTGTTCACAAATCGTTCATTACTGATCAAGTATCTTCCGAGGAGAGCACAAAACTTCTTATTTAAAAACGCAAAGCGTATCACATATTTCAGTTCAATCATTTCAAAAATATCAAAAAGTAAATCTACTGGTAATTCCGAGAGAATTCCCAAATGATCATGAGAAAACTCTCCACGATTCATTATTTCATCACTATCATGATCATTATCATGATCATTATGACAAGCATGTCCATTACTACCATTCATCCTCACAACCGAATATTGTTGATCTTTTCTTATGATACTATTTTTTTGTATGATCATGCCATCATTTCGTGCGGATTGGATGGTTGTAGCTGTTTCCGTTATTTTCGTATGGGAGTGATGGTTGATTTCATTCTTGTTGTTGTTCTTACTGCGAGAACTCGGTGATGATGAAAGGTTCATCACTTCCACCAACGACGGAGAATGCGTTTGAACCATTTTTTAAAGTATCTTTTTCGTATAACAACAAGTTGCATGAAATGTTTAATATTAATGAATTTCAACTGACACCTTTCTCAAGAAGAGGCGAGATGGAATTGCTGCAGCAATTTGGATCACTATTAGTATGAGTTTCTTGAAAACTTGACACATTCGTCAGCAAAAAACTCCTTCCACGCACATTTTAGTTGCGAAGAGTTGCAACTCGAGGAATCATTTCTTCCTCTACTCGCGACTCGTATTGAAAAAAAAATTATTTGTTTTTTGCTGGTTCATCGGTTCATCATCATCATCATCAACAACAACAACCATTAGAGTCGGTCCGATATTCGGAATTGATTGATCAAACGTAGTAGACTTGAAAAAACCAAACAATATCAAGAAGAGTGTTTGTTTCAGAACACTCCTTTATCAAGTTTATCGTGGTGAGAGATGTTGAAATATACCACTGTTTGGAGAGGACTCCATGGAGTGAAACACAAGTTCGGAACGATTCTCAAATCTCGAGGAGTCGTCTTGTCATCTTTTGGATTCACCAATTATCATCATCATCATGATAACATGATCATTCCTCATGGAGGTTCTCTCTCGTTATTCACCTCAACCTCACTTACCACATCATTCCGACTCTTCTCTCAATCATCCTTGTCTCGAACAACATTATTGGACAGTCAAAAGGTAGCTCCGGAAGCACCTCAAGTACATTCATCATCGAATAACCAAAAACAGTCATCCAATTCGAATGGCGAGCAAGAAAACAACAAAACAACCCACAAGGGGTTTTCCTTTCTTAAATTCCTCAAAAAGCTCATCAAATACATGACCATTTCAGTTGCCTCTGTTATGGGTTTGCTTGCGGTGTGTTTACCTCCTGCTTTGATGGTGGATTTCAAAGAGGAGTTTGAAAATGATGGTTATAGAGCTGTGCTTGTGGCTCTTTTGGATGCATATAAGGATACGTGGAACATTATCGCAAGATTTACTCGATCATGCTACTCGATCGGAAAGGTTATGACTATCTATCGAAATCTCAATAAGGATTTTGAGCCAAAATTTGAAAGTATTTCCAGAAACAAGAGAAGTGACCATGAAATTTCTTCGGAAGAGGAACTGCAAGTGTTGCGAGATTATGTGACAACACGAAGACAAGCCAATGCTAAAGCAGCAGAAATTTTACTTGATCTATGTTTGCACAATGGTGGTGCATATGTGAAGGCAGGTCAATATATTGCATCGCTCAATTATATTATGCCTAAGGAAATTACAGATATTCTTTCGGTGCTGCAAGACAAGTGTCAACAACATGATTTTTCAGTCACTGAGAAAATATTATTGGAGGACTTGGATCGAGACTATCGAGAAATATTCTCCTCCTTCGATACTACGCCAATAGCAAGCGCCAGCATTGCACAGGTACATAAAGCCACTTTGAGAGACGGAAATCAAACCGTGGCTGTCAAAATTCAACATCCAGACTTGATTCGTATTTTTAAGGCTGATTTGAAAACGATGCAATTTTTACTCTTTTCAACGAAATTATTTTTCGATTTTCCCTTTGCATGGACTTTGCCAGAGTTTGAGAGAATTTTATTGAGCGAATTAGACTTTGTGAATGAAGCTGCTAATTGTTCACATTTTTCTCAAATGTTCAAAGATTACCCTGATAATCAAATTGATGCGCCACGAGTTCATTGGAATTTAACAAGCAAACGAATACTAACTATGGATTTTATTGAGGGGTGCAAAATCAATGACTTGCAAGCATTGAAAAGCATGAACATTGATCCTAAAGAGGTAGCCAAATTGTTGGTAGATAGTTATTCCATTCAGACTTTTATTCATGGATTTGTTCATAGGTATGTAACAGCATGGATCACGTTTTCGTTTTTTGAAACATATTCTATGTAATTCCATGTTGGAACCATCATTCATTGCCTCTTTTAAATCTGAATTATCATCTCTAATCATTTCCATTAGTGATATACATGTTGGAAATTTACTAGTGCGGCGCTCAGAAAAGAATAACAAACCTCAACTCATATATTTAGATCATGGATGCTACAAAAAACTCGATGAAGAAACTAGAAAAGATTATTGTCAATTGTGGAAGGCTGCAATTTTTAGAGATCATGAGAATTTGAAATTATATACCGAAAAATTTGGAATTGACGGAAGATTTTATCCCCTCTTTGGGTTGTTCTTGACCTTTTCAAATTATATGGATAAGTAAGTGTGGTGAAAATGTGACCTTAATTATTTTAAAATGCCATGTTGTATCATGTCATTCATTTCATCTTGATCTGAAACTCACTCTTATTACGTATTGGACGAATATACAGAAGTTCAAGTTCCATGGTGGACCAACGAAAGAACATGACCAGTGAAGAAGCAAAGAAAATGTTTAAACAAATTAGAGAGACCTTTTTCCCTAAAAGCACTCATAAGGCACAAGATTTATTCAACATTATCGAAGAAATGTTCCGCAATATGAAATTGGATCTTATTTTACTCATGAGAGCCAATGTTCAATTAAGATCCATCACAAGAGAGTTGGGTCGACCAATCAATCGATTCGCCATCATGGCAGAATATTGTCTGAAAGGAATTCATTATGAAAGAAAAAATTATGAAATGCCTTGCATTCCACATCGAGAATCAGATCAGAGACGAGTCGCTGTCACTCATGTTCAACCAACACCCTTCTTTCATCAACTCACGTTTGATTTATTCAAATTTAAGCTCCGTTTACTTGTGTTAGATTTGGCATTTGTATTTTTCAACTTGTCGATGCGAATATTGAGATATTTCAATCCTTCCAAATATGAGGAAGCAGAAGATGACAGGGAAACTTCACGAGTGAAAAGAAGATTGGATCGAATGAAACAACAAAAGAAAGCTATGGAAGAAGATGTAGCCTCTTCGAAAGAGGACATTGAAGATTTATCGGCTCAACAGTAACAACATATTAAAGCTAGCGAAGAAGTAGGTTTTTGTACAGGTCGTGTGGTTGGAACATTAACTGCTCATGATCCATTCGTATCATTATTCTTATTGCCCGAATGACGAGATAGAATCTCAGCTGAAAACCATTAAAGTATAATGAATCTCTCCAATCAATATGTGGTGACGAGAAATTAGAAGAGCATAAATGGTGAATAATAATAATGTTCGGAGGGTGATGTTGTTGATTTGCAACTGAAGAACAACGGCGACGAGACGGAATACAAAACAAAAAAATCTCTAAAAATGAACTCTCAAGGTTGTGGATGCTGTAACGGTGGTGCTTGTAATTGTGGAAGCAGCTGCTCATGCAAAGGATGCGGACAAGAAAAGGTTGAAGAAAAGAAGTCTTGCTGCTCTGGTGGATCATGCCAAAGAAAGTAAATTCATTCCGACAATGTTACTGTACAAGTTGTTGTTGATACAGCCATCATACAACGCTCACACAGAAAACCAAATAAACAAAGCCAGTAGTTTGAATAGCCGAAAGCACAATTCATTCTTCATCAAATCAAGACCAGAGGTGATCAATCTTTGAAAAATGCATCATCGTCAAATACTGGTTGATTAGTAAATATTGTTGATATATTATAGGATCATGTAAGCGTCGATGGTTTAGTGGTAGAATACGGCGTTGCCATCGCCGTGACCCGGGTTCAATTCCCGGTCGACGCAAATTGTTATATTTTTCATGTTCTGTCAAATGTGGGAGGAACATGGAACACACAAGGTTCAAAAATGCTTTTAAAAAATGAGTCAACCACCACACGTTTCTGATTCCTCTCATCCATTTCAAGACCATGGTTGTTTGGAAGGAACTGTTCCTCCTCCACCACCTCTGGGCTCTCTCATCCCTGTCAATTGGAATGCTCGGAATAAGAAATTTCATTTTGATGATCAACAACAAGAAAGGGAATATCAAGTCCCTTGTGGCCACAAGAAACGAATACAAATACAACCCTATTTGCATTACAATTTGAATCGTAATTTTACAATCATGACCTATTTGGATGAATTTAATGAGCTCACTAAATGTCCAACATTGATAAGCTTTGGAGGACCACATGTAAGAGATAAAACCATTTATTACTTGGAATTGGATCCTCCTAAAACAAGAGTGGATTTAGAGGATGACATGTACCGTGTGGAGTATGAGTGGAAGGAATTACAAACCATTGAAAACAATCATGGGGAGTTGTTCAAATATCACGTGTTACAAATCCAAAATGGTTGTATTGTTTATTCAAAAAAACTTCAACGATTAATTGTTTTCGAATGTGGTGATTATAATTATTTAAGATTTTACTTTTTATGCTTGAAAAATCGTTCGTGGATCAAGAAAAAGTTTCAAGTACCCTCTTGGAGTTATTCTTGGGATTATTTGTTGACAAAATATGATGAAGAAGGAACCAAAGGTTTATTAATGACTCGTTCATTCATGACTGTTGCAATAGTTGACTTTGAAGAGTTGCTATCTTCGAATGATCTTCAACTGATTGAAAAAACATCCCTTACCATAGATGTCAAGCACGTTACTTTTGTATCTGCACGAATGATCGTTCCATTATCAATACAGCAGCAATTGTTAATAGTAGGAGCTAAGGAAGAGTCACAAGTGCATACGATTGACCTGAACAACAAGTCCAACACAACTACTGGCATTCATGAAGGTTTGCAGATATTCAATCATCTACATCATGCAGCAAGTGCATACCCTTTGGAACTATCGACATCGTCGTTAACAGGAGAACAAGTACTGATTACACTAGTTGGAGAACAGAAAGAGCATTTATTTTTTGAATATAACACACAAACACAAATGTCAACAGTGTTGTTACATAATTCATTGCCAATCAAATTGGAACATCATGCACTCTTTTCACCTTTCCTTTGTACGTATAGAAATAGGAGAAATGAAAGATGTGCAGTATACCTTCCAAACCTTGACATTTTGTACAAAATCAAGTTAGATTATGACAAACCTGAATGTGCTTTTCCTTACTTGAAAAGGCAATTATTGTCTCCTAAAAATTCCAACATCATGGACATGATATTTATTTTCAAATAATTATTAATTCCAATTCACTCAATTTTTTAGTAAGAATTAATGCTTGAAATGTAATATAGAATTGTCTGAATATCTTCATGTCTCTATTATTAAAATTGAATTCAATAGATGGACTTGAAAACTCTTCGATGAGAAATAATAACGATTCTGAATTTCAGAACGAATGCGAAAAGCGTCGTTTACATTCACTTTCGTGATGCAGCCTTTAAAATCATAAATAATATAAATTCAACATGAAAATCATCACCTCCAATCTTTGTCAACTCTTTCATTAGGTCCATTGTGAAATCTCCTCATGAATTACAATATCAGTTTCCAATCATAACTATGCATAAGCGAGAGCAGTATCAATTAGCTTAATAAATTTGTTCAATAATTCATCAATGACGTTCTTGCCAATCCGGAATGTGTTGAATGGCTCTAAATACAAAGTTGTCTTTGTTGGTTTTCCTCAGAGTGGCTGAGATTCGATGGAATTACTCCATCGAAATTGGATTATTATTTTTTTCAGGTCACTCGAAAGAAAGAATGTCTTTCGCAAGAAGTTTTTTTCTCTTTACCATTTAGAGAGCGAGAAGATACGACTAGGCACCCTCTCACGTACCAAAAATTCTGAAGGAAGGCAGCGACGCTTGGTCACTGACTACGCTTGGGACAGCTCACAAAGTGCAAGGTGAGCGTCGACCAAACGGGATGCGGAATTCATGATCTCCGCACTCCCCTTCAAGGTAAGTATGAAAAGAGCAATTGTATGCTTTGAAGGTGAGTAGATAAGGCTCGAAAGGGATGAAAAAATTCAGTAAATATTATGGGACAGAAAAGATGAAAATTTTGTGTGCTTGAGTGGATGAATTGATTGAAGGAGGAGGAAGAGAATTGAATGTCGTGATGAATCTTGTCAGCTTCTATGATGAGCATTACTTCCGAAGGAATTTTTGTTGTGTGGCTGTGAAATTGAACAAATTGAATCAGTCTGAAAGAGTCTGAGGTTATTTTCACTCAACAAAGTCTAGCTTGAGAAGCTCTCAGAAGAGTTTTGGTTCATCCGATTGACTCACAAACTTGAAAGAGATCTCGTGAACACTTACGATCAATGAGGTTGTGAACTGTCTTTGAATTGCAGCAGCTATCAGTCTCTGGTTCGTGCACTCGAGTAGGTAACAACTGCAACTACTCAACCTATTCGAGGTTGAACATTATTTTGTAAAACAAGGGTGCAGTACCGATGAACTCTCCTGGAATTTTATTTTTAAAAAAATTCAGCAACAAAAAAACAATACAGCACACCCTCTCCATCGTCATCATCATCATTTTTGATACACCAAAAAGCCTTGCTGAAATCACCATGTCCAGTTTTGATGTGAACGCAATTATTGAGAAGGCCGAGTCCAAGGATAAGGATCTTCGTCATATGGCTCTCTACGATTTGAGCAATGAATTACAAAAGGAGAACTTAAAGTTGGACGAAACTAGTCAAAGACAATTGGCTGATATTGTTTTGAGATTGTTAGACGATAAATCAAGTGAGGTTCAAGGTGTTGCTGTCAAATGGTAAGTGATTGGGAGCGAATGACTGTGTGTGTGTTTGATCAATATAATGATCACTAATTATTTCAATCATCGCCATTTTTGTTTGATCTCTTCCACAACATCATCATCATATTAATAATTTTAATATTTTGTGTGTTAAATGTCATGATTATGGTACTATGTATCAACACAAAATCTTTGATCGGGCGTGATATTTGAATTCAAACCATTAATCAACATATTTAATCATCATCCTGGCCATCCACGATGGACACGATCTCTCCCTCTACAGTCTTCCACCTCTCGTAAACAAGATGAGCAAGGTCCAAATTGAAAACAGTATCACATCTCTCAGCTCAAATATTCTCAAGGGCGAAGATGAAAAGAGAGACATTGCAGCTATTGCTCTCAAGACTGTCATTTCTGAAATTCCAATCGAGAATGCCCTCTCTCCAATCAAGAAGTGTGTCAACCCTCTCCTCCAAGGTCTTGCCAGTGAAAATCCAGAAATTAAACTTGTTGCTCTCGACGTCTTGTCCGATTTGTTGGGACGTTTCGGTACAATGGTTGTGGAGGAACATGAAAAATTGCAAACAGCCTTTGTCGAAGAGTTAAAGTCATCAAGAGTCTCTGTTCGTAAGAGAGCAATTGCTTGTCTTGCTGCTCTCTCTGTGAATACCAATGACAAATTGTTCGATACATTGTTGACTGGAATTGTGAATGGTATTGATTCATTGATCAAGACAATGAAGAAACAAAAGGACAATAAGAAGGTTGAAGAGCTCTCGACATATATTCAATCGTGTAGTGCAATTTCCAAGACTGCTGGGCACAGATTCGGTAAATACTTGTCAAGAATTATTCCATTGTTCATGGATGCTGCTGAAATTATTGCCGGATCTCTCGATGAAGAGGACGAAGAAATGATGGACACCAACACTGAAGTCAATGATGAAGTCCGTGAATACATTACTCAAGCATTTGAAGCCTTTGTTACCAGATGTCCAGATGAAGTCACCAAATATATTGATTATGTCATTATTATTTGTAAGGAATATTTGGAATACGATCCAAACTACTCCTATGATGATAGCGAGGATGAAGCTGAAACCTCCGATGCAATGGTTGACGAAGATGAAGAGGATGAAGGTGGTTTGGGAGATGATCTCGATGAAGGAGGATTATCTGAAGATGACGATGTGACTTGGAAGGTTCGTCGTTCTGCTGCCAAGTGTTTGGGTTCTCTCATTAGATCCAGACCAGAAATGTTGGCAGCATTCTACACTGAATTGTGTTCTGATGAAGATATTTCATTGATTCGTCGTTTCAAGGAAAGAGAAGAACCAGTGAAACTCGATATTTTCAATGTTTTCATTGACTTGTTGCATCAATCATATTCCACAAAGACCTCTCCATCAGGTGACGTGACCTACAAACAACACGATGAAGTTGCTTTTGTTGAAACTACTAAGGATGCTATCATGAAGCGTATCAAGAAACAATTGAAAGAAAAGTCTGAAAAGACCAAGATTGGTGTTTTCCAAATCTTGAAAGCTCTCACTATCACATTGCAAGGTGGTTTGTCAAAGTATATTAAGGATCTCGTTCCACCAATTTGCGCTGCTTTGAACGAAAAGGGAGAACAATCCTCATTGAAATTGGAAACCTTGTCATTCCTTAAGACATTTATCCAATTCCACAAACCAGAGGAATTCAAACCATACTTGGAAACTTTGATGAAGTCCGTTTTCACTTGCGTCAATGACAAGTACTACAAGATTATCACTCAAGCTTTGAGAGTTTGTGGTGAATTGGTTTTGGTTATCAAGACTTGCGTCAATGAACCAAACTTTGGCAATCTCGTCAAGCAATTGCAAACCAGCGTTTTTGACAAGTTGAAGATTCAAGATATTGATCAAGGAGTTAAAGAAAGCGCCATTACAACCACCGGTTTGATTGTTTCCCACTTGTCTGACAAGTTACCAAACTTGAATGATACTCTTACAGTTTTGAAGGAACGATTGCAAAACGAAATTACTCGTCTCACTGCTGTTAGAACTTTCACTGTCATTGCTCAACACAACGTTGATATTTCACATGTTTTGGTTGAAACTGTGAACTTGTTGTCAGACTTTTTGAGAAAGGACAACCGTGCTCTCAGACAAGCTGCTTTGGCTGCTTTGAGTCAATTCGCTATTTCATACAAGAACAAGATTGACACCAAGTTATTCACTGTTGTCATCAATGAAGCAGCTGAAGTCATGAATGAAAAGAAATCAGACTTGCACTTGGCTCACTTGGCCTTCAAGTTGGTGAAACAAATTGTTGACGCTAACCCAGATACTTTACCTTTGGTTCAAAAGGCTGTATTACCAAAAATTTTGGATTTATTGGCAAGTCCAACCTTGCAAGGAAACTGTTTGGACTCTCTCTTGGTTGTTTTGGCCTTGTTGGTTCCTTCAGTCGGTTTTGATAATATTTTGAAGCAAGTATTGAACATTCCAAAGGAATCCAAGCAAGTTTTTACAAACATTGGTAAGGCTGTGGCAGCTGTTTGCAACGCTGGATCTCAAAAGGACAAGACTGCAACAATTGAAAAGTTTGCAAAGGATTTGAAATCAAAGGATGATTCTGCTAGAATGTTGGCCTTGTTCACTTTGGGTGAAATCGGTCGCTCGATTGACTTGTCTTCTCATGGTACTGTCAGTCAAGATATTGAAGCATGCTTCGAAGAAGAAGGTTCAGAAGAATTGAAGAATGCTGCTTCATATGCCCTCGGTAACGTTTCAGTTGGTAACTTGGCCAAATTCTTGCCACAAATTATTAAGGGTATCCGAGAAAGCCCAAAGAAGAAGTATCTCCTCATTCACTCTCTCAAGGAAGTTATCACTCAATCAGAGGCATCAAAGCTCAAGCCATTCATTCCAGAAATTACTCCACTCTTATTCGACAACTCACAAGAAGAGGAAGAAGGTGTTAGAAATGTTGTCTCTGAATGTTTGGGTAAACTTGCCATCAACGACTATGACAATGTTGTTTCTCAACTCAAGGAAAAGTTAACCCTCTCTGATGCTACCAGATCAACTGTTATTGGTGCTATTAAGTATGCAGTGACTGATGAACCATCTCCAATTGATAACAAGTTGACTGAAGATCTTCCAGTCTTTTTGGCACAATTGAACAAGAATCAACCAGTAAGCGTTAGACGTGCAGTTGTCCTCTTGTTGAACAGTGTGGCTCACAACAAGCCAGAAATTTTGGGTGATGCTTTGGAAAAGGTTCTTCCTTCCTTGTATGCTGAATGTGTTTTCGATCCTAATTTGGTTCGTGTGATTCACTTGGGTCCTTTCACTCACAAGATCGATGATGGATTGGATTTGCGTAAGTCTGCATTCGAATGCATGGACACCATTTTGGACAACTACAGATCAAGAATTGATCCAAACAAGTTCATTGCTCAATTACCTGCTGGTTTGGATGATGAGAACGATGACATTAAGATGTTGACTCACTTGATTGTACAAAAATGTTGTGCTCAATTCCCAAGATCCTTGTTGACCTCTGCTGATCAACTCGTTGTTCCTTTCACAAACACCTTGAAGAAGAAGCTCAAAGATAATGCATTGGCTCAAGAAAAGGAAAGACATGAGGAGTTGTTGAGAAGTGCATTGAAGGCAATTCATGCTATCAGATCCATTCCTGGTATTGAAGACAGTGCTCAATTCACTGACATGTTTAACAAGCAAATTGTGGCTAATCAGAAGTTGAAACAAACCTATGATGAGATTGCTGAAGCTCATGATGAATTTGAATTTTAAAATATCAATTATTCACCTACGCATCCGTGTAGTTTTTAAATCATTAAAATTTGTATCTGTAAAGTGATGACTCGTATTCTTTTCGAAATTAACTTGGCTATTCAAAACCAACAGTATAATGATGAAGCATCCATGTTATGTATTTTGAATAGTAATGATTAAATGAAATTTAAATCACAAATGGTACCTGTACTACACACTGAAACAAATCAGCACTACGACAGCTCTTGTGTGAACTGGCAAATTTATTGAGGACCTTTCCGTTATATCAATGTATCGAGTATTCAATTTCATGATTTATTACAAATTATTTACAAGTGTCGAGTTGTAAAATTACACTCTGCAACATGATCTTCAGTTCCGGAGTAGCCTAAGTTATTGCTCTGTCACAAGTTGAATCATTTGACACGATCGTGAATTAGTATTATCTAAATGATGACACGTCGTCGAAAAATACAGGAATGGGTTTATTGAAAAATAAACAAATTATAGGTACTCAATTGTCCGACGATACACGTCGTCGAAAAATGATCACAAAATCATACAAGGTACTGTATTATTGCTCTTTAGGGATATATTGGACAATGAAAGCATTTACACTATCGTTCATTACAAAACGAATTCTAGACGTGTAAAAAAAAACATTTTAAAGAAATTTTGAAATTCTCTCAAAATCAATATGTTGCGCTTTTTGACCATTGACAGATTGAAGGAATGTATTGATTCTCGGTTAATATCTCCTTTTTCAGAGTTGACAAAAGGTTATAGTTGTCTTGAAGAAGCACTCTATTTGGAACGATTGAAAAAAACATTACCACAAAAGAGATGGAATGTTTGACATGCTCCATCTTGTTACACGGAATGGTTGACATTGAGGTCGGTGTTGGTATTTGGATCATTGGATGGGTTCATATTCATATACCCAATGAAGTTAATGCTCGAGATGAGATTGTGAAGAATGCTTTGAAAGATTCTTAAAAAGTATCGACAAGGCATGGAGTTCCTATTTATTATCGACAATAACGACTTGGACAACCGAAAAAGAATGAAGAAATTATTTCGTGGTATCACTTTTTACTCCACGGTACGAAATATGTAACAAATTCCACAGAGACTGAAAATTCAATGAAGGAGAAGATGACAATGATATAAGATTCTTCTTCTGGTCCGCCAAAAAAGAAAAAATCATCGACCAAGAAGAAGAAATATCATCCAAAGAGGTGTCATGTGATGAAACAAGGAAATGGTTTGGATTACAACGTTGTAAATATACAGTTCGCAATACTATGGATGGACTCATCATGTCTTGTCTACAAACGCCAATCATTGATTCTCTTCATTCCACATAAATACTAACTCGCAATTCTTGGAAACCTTCTAGAATAAATCATTACGTGCACGGTCCAACACCATTTTGTTTTAACTGTTGAGAAACAAGTCAACCAATCTGCCCTCTGCGATAATTCTTAGTGTGCACACAGAGGAGGCCTCTTGTGCGACGTCAAGCGAAGAAAAAACATTCGGTAACCTCAACCAAATTTCAGAGCACGCGGAAGAAGCAAAAAAAACAAAGACGTCACCTGCCATCTCGCACAAGTTGCAAACACCACCTATTCGTTCTTTTATCACAATTCAATAGCCGCGTGCACTCCTCCGCTTCTTCATTTCACACACTATTCAAAGCTTGCCGAAGAGCAACATTGCTTTTAAACAAGAAGAAGAACCACATTCTGTGTATTTTTGTCAACCACATTCCCACACACATTCAAACTCACACATTTACCCGTCGGTATTGTAAGATTATACTCTTTCACATTAACCGGAGGAAAAACGAGGAATACCGTATCATCATCATAGAAGTAATAGTAACATTATTTCACACAAGGCGGCACCTTTTGTCCTCATTCACTCATTGGCATGTTGAGTACACTCATTCGAAATAGCAACAACAACAACAACACGAATAACAACACAAACACTCACAAACATTCCCTTCTTGCAACCACCACCAACAACAACAACGAGAACACGACTCTCAACCTCGACTCCTCTTCTAGAATCACCACTTCATCATCACCCTCTTCTACCGGCCCTAACCACTCATCCATCAACAAGAACAATTGTTCCATGACCATCAATAACAACAACAACAACTCAACGAATCCAACTACTGCTTCGTCATCCAACTCGGCTGCCATTCTCATTCCTGCCCAGCAAAACTCAACCATGCAGCAACATGCCAACAGTCCTTCCCTTTCCTTACTTTCATCCATGAGTGGTGGAGAATTGAGTTCTTCTCTTGGCGGCGGTGGTGGAGGTGGAAACTCTTCCTCACTCACCCTGATGATGTCGAACACGCCTTCAAACACACCCCCATTCTCACATCTCTTGAATCATCATCTAAGTCTCTCCTCTGGTGGTGGAAACAACTCTCATCTCCACCCAATGAATCATCCTGCTGCTGCGTACTCTCTCATGCATGCCCATCCCTCTCTCAGAGTTGGACATGGTCATTCTCAATCATCTGGAGGAGGAGGCATGATAGTGGTTGGTTCTCCAAGTGCTTCTTCGCCTCTTCTTGGTGGACTTGTCTCTTCTGAGAGAGTGTTTTCAGAGAGTGGTTTTTCCTCTTCCTCCTCTCAACAGCAGCAGCCAAGTGGCAACGCCAGTCTTTCCTTACTCTCATCATTGGGAGTTATTTCCTCCTCTTCCTCTTCATCATCATCATCAACCAATAACAACAATAATGGCAGCAACACTCCCAACACTTCTTTCTTGAATAATCACCATCACCACCAGTATCAATCATACATGAATAATCATGTGAGTATTCAACATCAAGGTGGTAGTACTAATTCTCATGGCAGTGTTGTAATGAATAGTGTTCCTGCCAACAACAACAACCACGAAAGGGAATATCAACAATTACTTTTCGAGAGACAATCCCTAACTCCTTTCCAACCCATTGTTCCTCTCACTCTCAAGTTATTGGACGAGCGCATTCAGCAAGTTCAACAACTTGTTCAACAAGCCTCTTCTTCCACCAATAATAACCTTTCTTCCACTACTACTGCTACAACTATTACTAACACTATCAATCCATCCTCCAATGCAAGCTCTCAATCTTCCTTGTTGAATTCGTCATCAACAAATTCAAACATCATGGGCCCACCCACCACAAGTACACCAGGTAGTAAGAAGAAGTTGAGTTCTCTCATCATTCACCAACCTTCAGTGTTGTACAACAACAATAACAACTCAACAACAACAACAACTAATGGACTCAATCTTGCAAGCCCAACGCTTAGTACTTCTAGCTCTTCCACCACTCCAGGAGTCATGAGCACTACTTCTTCAACCACAACAGCAGCAGCAGAACAAAGCATGCTTCTTTCTAATATGTTGCTTAATGGCTCTACGACTCCAACTCTTCTCTCCACCTCTGGTGGTGGTGATTCCTTGAGTACTGGTGGTGATTTCTCTTTCTTTGGCAACAAGTCAACTTCTGCCAATTCTTCACCACCTCTTGGAGTTATAGGAAGCAATATTAATTCCAGCAATGGAACAGCCTCTACTACTTCTACAACAACAAAGAAGCCATCATCTACCACCTCTGGTACTACTACTACTGCCACTGCTAGTACTCAAGCAACAATTACCAGTACTCAACCCACCACCAACAAGGTCATTGCTAACTCATTGAATGACACTACTACTGCATCAAACAATTCATCCACAACTGCCTCTAATACTTCTTCAAATCCAGGCCAATCATCATCATCATCCATGAGTAGCAATGCAAGCACTCCATCTCCTACCAGCTCAACTTGCTCTGATAGTAACACTTCCAACGAAGAATTCACCTTCATTCGCTATGAAAATGTGGATATCAAACAAAAGATTGTCAATCCATATACTGTCTTACTCTTCATTCCTCAAGCAGAATTTCCAGATTATAACTTTATCGGACGCATATTGGGACCAAAGGGAAGCTATTTGGACAGCATCCGCAAGAATTCGAATTGTTTCATTAGAATTAGAGGAAAGGGCCTAAACTTGCAAAACACTGGTAGTAACACGAGTACCTCAACCACTCCAACAACGGCATCGGCATCAACTTCTCAATCAGGCTCATCCACCACCACCACCACTACTACTACCACTACCACTACCACAGACAATGACATTTATGCTTCCTATCCTCTCCATGTCTTTATTGAAGGAAAGGGTCAATCCGCCAGTAAGAGAAAGAACCTTCATAAAGGTATTCAACTCATGCTTCCTCTCTTGGTACCTACTGAGTATGAGAAAGATGTTCTCAAACGATGGCAACTTCAACAATGGAGAAGTGAGAAGAATTCAGGTGGATCTGGTGATAAAGCCTCAATGCCTCCACTTCCTCTTCCAAATTCCATTCCCTCCGATTATCAACAACAACAACAACTCTATGGAAGTAGTAGTGGTAGCGGAGGCAATGCAAGTCTTCTCTCTTCTTCTCCATACTCGAATCAAACCATGGAATCTGCGTGTGAGGATGAAGATGATGATTTTGAGATGGATCCATCTCTCCGAATGAGTCCATCCAATGCCTCCTTTCTAAGCAGATATCATCCCTACAATAGAAACCATGTTTAAAAGAGAGAAAAGTCCATCTTTCAGGATTTTCACCATTTCCAAGTTCAAACCTTACAATCTAATTTTTTTGAAACCTTTTCATGCACCTTAGAGCGATGGATCGCCACAATTTTGCATAATCACGATCATCCATCCAATGAATCACGATCATTGGACAACAATTTCACCTTCTTATCCTTCTTCTACTTTCCTAAGTTCTTTTTAAAATTAAAATTTCATACTTTATACAAATCCTCTCTTTTTGGAAATCTTTAAAAAATGTCTTCAACACATGATTGGCTTACCTTTTCCGATCAAGAGGAAGAAGAAGATAAATCGCCAAATCATGCCATTCTAGAATCTCCATTTGATCCAATCTATTCTGTCTATTATTGTGGAAATGAACCATGTGGAACAACAACGAGTGTTGATCTTGATGTTCGGTTTGGAGCAATTTGTTTTAAACCTTCGCATTTGATCAAAGAGGCTTCCTCACGAGAATTAGATCTCTCATGGTATTCGGGAGCGGAATCTGATGAACCATTAATCATTTCTAGAATTGTTTGTGGAGGTTATGATGATCTGAGTTATTCGTTGCTCATGCAAAGCGGAGATAATCAACACTTTCTTGTAACAAAGTTTTCAGATCAAGTATTGACACGATACAAATTCAAAGATTTAATTTATCCTGAATTAGAGAAAACCAATTATCCATTGGGGACTAGTTTTGAAGTGAAGGAAATTATTTGTTCAAGTGCATTACAAATCATTTTTGAAATGTCTGATCTGTCTCTGTGGATTTTGCACATGCGGAACATGAGGTTAGAGAAATTTGAATTCACTTTTCGACATCAAATTGAAGCCATTGGATCAGGGATTATGTCTCAAAATATAGTGGTGGTGCCTATCACATCGTCTTCTTCAAGGCAAGCATTTCTTATTGGAGATCAAAAATCAGTAGAATCGATCACACTAAATCTCACAAATTCTCCCGTTAAGCTTATTTCGCAGTATGCCTTTGAGTTGATTATTTTTGTTCATCAGAACAACAAAATGTATATTTATTATGGAGGAACTGAATTTAGCTATGATACAGATGGATGCGGTTTCAACATTCCTGCAGCTAAAACTCTTGTTTATGTAAAAACTCAGTTTGAAGAAATGTGTCCTATTTCACATATTGCTTGTGGATACTCACATGTTGTAGTGTTACTCGAAAATGGAGATTGCTTTTGCAGAGGATTGAATAACTTTAATCAGGTGAGTTTGTCCATTGCACAAGTTTTAGGAGTTTTTTCAATCGCTACTTTGGGCACATCCTATAGTGTATGATTGATAGCAAAAAGAGTATTGATGAGTTTATTAGATTCACCAGTGTTACACAGCCTGTTCGTGCAATCGCATGCTGTTCAATATGTACCATCCTTGTTTGTGACGACAAGTTTCATTTCTTTGGAGAAATTTCAAATTTTCCTTCAACAGGTAAGTGAACTAGCTCATAATTATGATTGCTCTTAACATTTTATAGGAACCATGACTAGACAATTTCCAGATCAAGAAGTGGCTCCTGCAGCATGGCATTGTTTCATTTACAGAAATACGTTTCACAAAACGACCAGAGATCAGATTTATTTTGACAAGAATCTGAAGTTGTTTGGATGTAGCAATATTGAAAGATTGAAATTGTGTGACATTTTCATTACTTTTCAAGATTTGATGTAATGGTAATATCCTCCCTCAATAAAAAGGCAAAATTTCCATCAGAATATAAATAAAGTGTCAAAACGCTGTAACTACGAAATATGTCTCTGTCCTACTTTTTCGAATGTGGAACATTTTTAGAGGCGAAATGGCCAAGCTCTGATCGATATTTTTCTGGCTCTGCAATGAAAATTTTGATGTGTTCAATATTGCCCTTAAAGCAGCTCAATTTCAGGTTTTTTGCGTCACTTAATGTCGACCAAAATTGATGCACCTGTTTGGCAGGCACAATAAAGTCTTGCTCTGCATAAATCACCAAGATGGGAGAATTACACCCGAAAACGGCAGTAATTTTTCTTAAACCTGCCAAGTATGTCTCAAAAAATGTTTTGAATAATCCTGTAAATACAAAATAATACAAGTAGAATAAATAATAAATAATCCATCTCATAATTTTTCCAACAATTCCAATGCTTGTCTTGTCTGAAATAATTTTTTCAGCTTTCCTATCGTACGAATATCCTAAATGAGTACACATGACAAACACATATGTGTCACATATTGCCCTCATAACACGCCAAAACACACTACCTACCTGCAAGTACAGCAAGAGCTCCCAAATCTTCAGTATTCACTCCAGGAAATGAGTCAGCAATAAGACCTCTATAATGCTTCTTTACAAAAGTATATTCATTACTCAAAGATTCCAATATTTCCATCATTCTGGAAACAAAAATACCTCCATTATTTGAAAAAGAATGAATCATGAAACCGCTTTCTGTTTCTTTCTGATCCTTCTCAATGATATTCAATATTGTTTTTACACCTTTTTCAGAGTAATATTTTGCAAACAATTCCCATGAGTCGGGAATATATGCCAAAACGTCATAACCCCATGCATTATAAATTTCTGCATATTTTGAAACGAATCTGAATTTACTTCCATACCATCCCAAAATCACGACCAACGGAGATGGCAACACAAGATTACTTTCATTGCTGGCAATATGATCTCTCGGAAAGAATTGCAATTTGTGTTTGTTTCCAAACTGTTTCACCAATTTCACTAAAACCGATCTGTGCTCTTCATGATGACTCTTCGTTTTTTGAGAGTCCTCTCGCATTGTTTTAGAATGAGAGAATGATGTTCGAGTATCGTGATGTTGAACCATTTTTTAGTTCTTTTATTTTTCATAAAAAATAAAAAAATAGTTTGAATACCGTCTTCTTGTTTTGAATTTTTCTTCGGAAAATTAACGAAATGGATCGCACCATTCATTAGTGCTTGCTGATGATGTTCGGAATGGTTCGTCGTTGTTCATGGGTCATATTTTCGTCCGGATGATGTTGTGTGGTTTCACATTTACAGTATTCCTATCACAACACTACAGAATCAGCAGTGCGTTCAAAACATTAGTGATCTAATTACCATGATGATCATGTATGATCTTTCATCTCCTCCGAGAGACTATGATGATTTCAAAATACAGAACTATTATTTGCCTAACTTCAAGGAATCAACTTGCAAATAGGATATGATCTCAAGATCAAATCACAGTGGAGAGCTCTCTCTTGTTTTGGCCAGAATATTCTGATCAATTCCAATGACGACTATTTGGTGAAAAGCAACGATCGGTTATGATCAAAATTTTCATTTCCACTTTTAAGATTGCGAGAAGAAGAGAGACTCCAGTACAGAAGTGGTTTCCATTTCAACACACAGAGAACCCAGAATGATGATGATTTGATCTTTTGCTATGTATGCCTTTACATTGCTCTCACACACCTCTGTGTACTGGTGGTCATTCCAGCAGAAAAACATTGTCTCCATTGATCTTACATTGTTGTTGTCCATAATATTTCACCACTTCTTCCTCTCCTCCCTAACTGAATAGATACAAAGAAAAGTATCAGTACCACATTAACCACATGTCTGAATATCAAGCAACCAAGCAGTTTGTTCCGCTTGCCACTACGGTGGAAGATCAAGAGAAATTTCAAGCTCTGGTCAAGTCAAAGAGTTTTACGAACAATACATTGTCTCACTCGAATTCGAGTGGTCTCAAGGATTTGGCTTCCGATGACTCAGTCAATCCTCTTCTCCCAAGTCACGTGTTACCTCCTCCCACGCAATTACCGTTTGCTTCGTCATTGAATAGAGAATATGAACCAGTTTCAGAGTTGCTGAAGAGAAGACGATTTGACGATGATGCTGGTCAACAAATTAAAGACCCTCAAGAACCTGAATTGAAGGCCAAACACAACTTTAAAATTCTGAGAGTATTTAGTGTGGAGTGGTTTTTAATTCTTATTGGTTGTCTGGGTTGTATTGTTTCCGGTGTCATGCCACTTGTATTCTACTTGCTCTTTGGTTACTTTGTTGATGATGCGATTGAGTTTGCTAAAGTGGCCATCACCGAACAAAGATTGTAAGTACAATCCTTCTCAGAGAGATTTCATAAACATTTTACAATTCATTAATAACAACACATTTCAAACCAATCATTGATGTGCATCCTAATATCATTGTGACACTTTTTATAAAGGAAGGACAAGATTTTCGTTTATACCATGGGTTTTGTTGCCATCGGTGTTGCTCAAGGTATTTCACAATTTACCAGCGGATTGATGTTCAGTTGGGCTGGTGACAGAATTGCAATTAGATTGAGAAGGGCCTATTTCAATGCTTTGATTTCTATGGAAATTGGATATTTCGACATCAAACCCCTCGGTCAATTGACCGCTCCACTCTTTGAGGACGTCTCTAAAATTCAAGATGCCTTCACGTTGAGACTTGGTACCGATTACACAATTCTCAATAGCCATCTCTGGAATGATTATTGCAATGACAACTAACTGGTCCATGACTCTCATTTTGATGAGTTGTTCCCCTTGGGTCATGCTAGTAGTGGTCGTTTGTACCAAGCTCATTGAAGTTTTCTCCAACAGAATTAATAAGGCAACCAATGCTGCTGCAGGTATTGCCAATGAAGTTGCGGGATGTATCAAAACTGTTAGATCTATGGCCGGTGACAAGAGAGAACGTGCGAGATTTGCAAAGGCACTTGCTGGAGCTCCACTTTCAATGTTTGGAAAAGCTTTTGCTATGGGTATTTCAATTGGTAATTCGTACTTGTTCATTAACTGTTTCTTTGGGTAAGTTGTGTGTAAATTTGTTGTTGGAACGACGCATGAATAATAACACTGAATTCCCATCGAATGTAACTATAGTTTGACCTTTTGGTTTGGTGCCAATTTGATCATTGAAGGTGATGCAACTATGGGTGAGGTCGTTCAAGTGTTCGGTATTATGGTATGTTGCGTCTTTGAAATAATATTATCTAATCTTTCATAACAACAATCATTTCTGAATTTACCACACTCACACACTCTAGTTACTTGCTATTTTAGGTTTGCAACAAGGAGCCGATGTGATGCCATACTTTGCCAAATCCAGTGCTAGTCAACAGGCCTTATTAAATGTTCTTCAAAGAGTTCCAGCAATTGTTGAGAAGGAAGGAGGAATTAAACTCGACAATGTTCAAGGAGAAATTACAGTTGAAGGAATAGAATTTGCATATCCTTCAAGACCTCACATTACTGTCCTTAGAGACTTTAACTTGAAGATTAAGGCAGGAAAATCACTTGCTTTGGGTAAGTTGTGTACTCGCTGTGTATACCATGTACTGAAATTTCATATCGAAATGTACAATCAATTCAGTTGGTGGATCTGGTTCGGGTAAATCTACAATGGTCTATTGGAACGTTTCTATGTTCCTCAAAAAGGACGTATCTTATTGGACGGAGTTGACATTGCCGAGATGGATACCGAATGGCTTCACAAAGTGATTGGTATTGTCACACAAGGTAAGTTTGTTCTTGTGGTGCAGTGGATGTAATGTTGAGTTCAACATTTCAACGACATTGAAAAAATGTCATGAAATGTTTTTACCCTGAATAATTTCAAAAATATATATTCTTCTTTTGACTTGTTGAACAGAACCTGTATTGTTCCAAGGTACTATCAAGGAAAATATTGCATACTCTATTGGAGGTCTTCCAAAGAAGGAATCATCGGAGCTTCAAGCAAGAATTGAGAAAGCAGCAAAGGCTGCCAATGCTCATAACTTTATTAAGGAATTACCGAACGGCTATAACACAAGGCTTGGTGAAAAGGGTGTATCATTATCTGGTGGTCAGGTAAGTTGAATTCATTCTGTTTACGTTTTATTGACACACTTGTTTTTTTTGTATTTTCTGCACATGACTTGTTCCAATGTTATTATGGATACTATGACACGTGTGTTCCTATTTCATGGATAATGATCTCTCTGACTCCCAATCTCTAGAAACAAAGAATTGCCATCGCAAGAGCCATTCTCCAAAACCCACAAATTCTTCTCCTCGACGAAGCTACAAGTGCTCTTGACGCTGAAAGTGAATCTCTCGTTCAAGAAGCCCTTGACCGTTTAATGAAAGGACGAACCACCATTTGTGTGGCTCACCGTCTCGCAACTATTAAGAATTCTGATGAAATCATAGTGATGGATCATGGTAAAATCATTGAACGTGGAACACATGACTCATTGGTTCGCATTCCAAATGGAGCATATAGAGGTTTGGCTGAGAAGCAGTCCATGGTGTAAGGATTTTCACATTTGAATTTTTTTCCAAAAGTTTCCTTTTGTTTCGTTATTATGGAATGTGACAGCCTGGTGTATGGCGTGCAGAATTTCTGAGAGCAACCACTTCATTAGTTCAGATTAGATCTTTTTTTGCTCAAACTCCTTTCTTTCATCCAATGTTTTGTAAATATTAAAGCTTTCATCATATGACGAGTTCATAATATGAGTCTTTACAAAATTAAAATGACACATGCGACCAACAACACACCAACAAACTCGCTGGCAAATTTTGGCTCGAGTTGAACCACTATGTGTTACTCTTAATTTCGTCACGACGATATTTGTATGAATCGCGATCATGATGCCAAGAGATGGAGAGTGAAACGAGAAAGTTACATTGGCGCCACATTTTTACAAAACCTCCCACACAATATTTACGATGAGCAAGTTCGCCGTCCCAACATACAACCACCTTAAAAAAATAACACCATCACTACCGAATACCTCCATCCCATACATTGATAAAAATGAGCAGAGACACCATTGGCAATAATGAATTAACTGAAGAGCAAATTGCTGAATTTAAGGAAGCCTTCTCTCTTTTTGATAAGGACGGAGATGGTACCATTACTACTAGTGAATTAGGAACAGTTATGAGATCTTTGGGACAAAACCCAACAGAGGCCGAACTCCACGATATGATCAATGAGGTAGATGCCGATGGAAACGGAACAATTGATTTTACAGAATTTTTAACCATGATGGCTAAGAAGATGAAGGACACTGATAACGAAGAAGAAATCAAGGAAGCCTTCAAAGTTTTTGATAAGGACGGAAACGGATTCATCTCTGCACAAGAACTCAGACACGTCATGTGCAACCTCGGAGAAAAACTTACAGACGAAGAAGTTGATGAAATGATTAGAGAAGCCGATATCGACGGAGACAACCAAATCAATTACACTGAATTTGTGAAGATGATGATGCAAAAGTAAACGCCCTGTATTCTGTAAAAATAAATCCATGAACAAATCCCTATATTTTGTGAATGTTCTGAGCAGAGGGAGGTAACCTACGAAAACGATTCATCCGTTCAATGGTGATGATGAACTCTTCAATAAATGAATCTCTCCACTAAAAACCTTTGAGAGGATCCTCGCTAAAGAAACCCGAAAAACATCTTTTGATCCAATTTGTTGTTGGAAAGAACAAAAAAATCCAAGTTTTAAAAAATGAGTTTTGTTCATACCTCCTCACTCGAATTGTTGCCTCTTCTGTTTCAGATCCAGCCACATCAGCAAGATGTGAGTGCTGCGGCTACTTTCCATGAACAATTATTGCACAGTGAAATTGACAAAATTTGTGGACATGGTCCGACCATAGATATGAAATTATTTCTGTCCAATGATCAGCAATCATCGGAATCACAACAGGTGAATTTCACTACCGTTCAAAAAATTCTCTCAGCTGTGGATGCATTTATATTCCGTGTGATGAGCTTGGATTTGAGCAGAGAAAATATTACGGAAGAGCTCTCGGCTCTCAATTTTAATCCAGAACAAATTGAAGTATTTTTGAGAGTGTTGGAGGGAAGACGAGCAGAGCTTTGTAGAGCTATGAAACAAAAAACAATTACTGAAATTTCTCATTCCTATTTACAAGATTTTGATTGGAAATTGAATTTAGTGGTCGCTAGTGATAAGTGTTCAAATATCCGAGAACCAATTGTACTTTTGAACTTGTTTGTGAAATCCGAAAATGAAAACAAGCTGAAGGAAATTCTTGTAGAACTCACACGAAAAGATTTGGATCATATTTTGAATGAATTTGGAAAAATTCAACATCAAATCCAAAAGATTTCAATTTAACACAAAATAACAAGAAGAATGATTTCCAATTATTAGCACTATACATTCATATTTTTTAATCTCGGCTTTCTTTTACCACAATTACAACGATTTTATTGTACATACTTTTACATGGTCACAATATCGTGTCTCACTTAATTATTTTCTTCAGTCTTTCGTTCTGATTTGATTGAGTTACAACTTTCCAAAGCTGGCAAAGTGGTCGATGTGGAATTTCTCAATAACATGACTTGCTCGACATGCTGATCTTTATTGTCATCGCTCTCAAGCGTAGGCTCCACAATTGGGTTCATATGGTACTCGGCAAGCAATAGATAGCTTTGCATGATACCTTTTCCTTTGACTGCACAGTTCAAAAAGATACCACATTGAATAATAATATCAATTAATCGCATTCATTTGAGCAAAGTCAATATCCAAATATTTGGTGTTCACGTTGTCACAAAGAGTAAGAGACTTACCTTCGACTTGACGTTCTTCAAACTCGAGTCCCATATCATGCACTCGCTCATAAGTCGTTCTGCTTATTTGAATTCTTCCAGGAACACCAGTAGATTCCATTCTTGATGCAGTATTGATCGTATCCTACGTTTGAATGTCATTTCATCATTATTGCAATTGAACAACAATATTAACAAAGAAGAGCGTGTTAATTGGCCATTATTAAGTGAGATATATCGTTGACACATGTCGACAGTCAAAAATACTTACTCCCCACAAATCATAGGCAAACTTTTTCTTCCCGATCACACCTGCAACCACTCCACCCGTGTGAATTCCAACACGAATATTCAATTGTTGTTGATTACTGTCATCTAAAATATTTCCACACAATTTTCCTTCATTAAACTCTCGAATCACCCTAAAGGTGTCTTGTGCGAATCGCAACGTTCGTTCAGGATGATCACTCGAGCAATTCTTATTAATTCCACCCACAGCAAAATAGGCATCTCCAATAGTCTTGATCTTTTCTAATTGATAGAGTTCAGTCAATTCATCAAATCCATTCACAATGGCATTGAGCATTTTCACTAAATCTGTCGGCATCATGGAACTGCTAATTTTGGTAAAACCAACCATGTCAGAAAAGAAACAAGTGATATCTTTGAGTCCTTCAGCAATAAATGTTTCACCCTTCTTCAATCGAGTTGCCACATGATCAGGTAAAATATTTTTCAATAAATTTTCAGAGTGTTGTTTCTCTTCGGCCAATAGAGCTTGTTGCTTTCTCAGTGAAGTAATATCCGTAATAGTGACAGCAATGATGGTTCTATTTTCTGATTTGGAATTGAGAGTGAAAAAGTTGATTTTTGCTGGAAATTTTGATTGATTACTTCGAAGACATGCATCCACTTCGAGAGTTTCATGGAAAGTGGATGGTGAAGAGGATTTTGTTACTTGTTCAGTGAGTGAATTCACAACCTTTCGAATCACATCTTGAGATTCTGGAGCAAATAATATGAAAAAAGAAGCTCCAAGAATTTCTGTTGTGGTTTTTCCAAACATTTTCAATGCTGGGCTGTTAATGAGTTCAACTTCACCTAATGTGTTAATAATGAGAGAACCATCCACATTGGCATTCATAATGTTACAAATACCAGTGAATGAATTTTCATCACGATTGGACAAAGTCTTTGTAGAAGAAGCATTCAACTTTTCCAGAATGGGATTTGAAAATTGATTATACAGAGCTAGATTTCTCAATACTTCATTCTTTTCGAATAGTTCGACTGGAATATAATTTAAGAGCATTCTCGTATGTTGAAAATGATCTGCTGAGCTTTTCATCATGGAATGAAGTACTTTTCCTAACACAATGAAACTCAATACTCCAAAAACTCCAAACGAAAAGACCATGACTAATTTCACTTCTGAAGAAGCTCTCACAAATTCATTCATGAAAACAACAAGCTTATCTGTGAGAGGTAAATTCATGCGATAGTTGGCATAATGTTTCATGAACATGGAAGCGTCGTTTTCTTCAAAATTTGAAGTACTCGTCGTCGTGTTCAATGCTGATGTTTGTTTAGATAGGTAGAACCGATTTGTTTTTTCTGCAACTTCACTCACTCCTGTAATGTATTGTGTCATCAACGATTGAATACCAATACAATTTCGGTAGTAATTGGCCATGGTCATGTTGTTTTGTGCCAAAGCTTGAGTGCAGTTATAGCCTCCAGTTTTTATCAACTTGTCCAATGAGGGATATAGTCCAATCATCGGAAAATCATTTTCCACGTTAACATTTCCAAAAATCAAGTCGTTCCAATAGTAAACTAAATTATTAATTTCTTTCACTAACAAGGATTGAAGTTCGTCCAAAGTGGGTGCCACTTTCAAGTAGGAACTGTCAATAGAAGTTTTGAAAGTATAGGAACTTGAATTTGTGTCTTGACCATAAAAGGTTAACATTTCTCCCATGTAGAATCCAATGTATTGCAAGTGAGCAATTACATTTGCAGAATACCCTATATTGACAAATGAAATTTGAGCACTGCTTGCATTACCGTTTGCTTCGTAATAGAAAATTCCAACGCACAATGGAACGAGTAATGATATCAATAAAACCACTATTGAAATGGAAATCTTTGATTTGAAAATCTTGGAGAGAATGGTCCAATCTAATGAAGCATCCACATTCGTTTTGTGACTATTCAATAACCCTTGATAGATTTTACCAATGGATTCTTTTGTCAATTGTTTTTCAATGGTATTGATTAATCGTTTAAATTGCAATTGATTCCAACGAAGCATTACAAAGAAAATCAATCCCATCAGAATGGCCAAACCTAACACAACGAGAAAGTAAAGTTCGACGTTCATGATGAGAGAACTTGTCGATGCCTTACTGTTCGTCACAAAACGTTTACAGAACGTATTAAGAGTTTGGAAATTCGAATCCATATTTTGAAACAAGTAGCTAAATGTGTAATCAGAAATTGGATTCATCAGTAGGCTGTTCATGACATTTCTGAGAAGTGTCGTGTTGTCACTGTTCTGCGTAGCTAATAGAGTCATATCTTCCTTTGGAAATTGGTTCATAACGGTGTCAATCAGTTGGCTGTAAGAATTGGCAATTTCATTGACAGATATATTTCTCATAATAGGTTGTCCAATAAACATGACTTCTCCACTAGTACTACCGTTTACATAGGTTGCAGTAGGAATTTTAATTTGATAAATAGTTTGTCCATATTCGGTAAAAGCAGCATTGTCAAACTTGTTTTGTTCAGAGATATGAATCAAATTTTCAAAGAATTGTTTGTCTTTTTTAAATTGTTCAAAATAAGCGTTGATGTAACCCTATGATATATTTTGGTCGTTATGTGTGAGGACAATGCATGTCAATCATTGAACTTACCATTTTGGATAAAAGAAGGAAATTACCATAGTTGGGTGGCCATTCATTCATCCCATTATTGAACCATACATGGATCCAACTCTGCATATTTCTTATATTTTTCATAACCGAGACAGGAGAGGATTCAGGTAAACACACATGACTCAAATACAGGACATCTTCGGCGATGTTTGACACTGCCACGACCGTAATGACAATTCCACCAATCACAAAAGCAATACAAATGAGGATAAAGGTCAAGAAGGCACCAAAAAGTATGCTCTCTGAATACACTCTGGTTTTCAATGCATTTCTGAACATTGTCTCCTTCTTTTGCTCGAACGAAGCGGGTAAGCCTTCTCCTCCTCCAGTCACACTTACACTGTCATCAAAGTTCACATCTTCCGTCAATTCAACATTGTCATCATTATCCTTCTTTTTGGAAAGCATTAGATCTTGAGAAGAGAAAATCTCTGGATTTGTCATCTTCTTAGAAAATGTGGAATGGAGATTTTCTGTCATGAATCGATGGCTCACACTGGAATTTTCTCGCTTTGTAAATCTGGGCACCACTTGATTCTTTTTAGATTTTTGAATGGACATTGAAACGCGTTGTTCCTCGTCAAGTTGATTCGCCTCATCGTGAATGGCAATAGCAAGTTCCTTGTCGAATTCGAAAATCTCTACAAAGGTTGCATACATTCGAAGATGATTCTTATTCTTTCTATGAACAAGAAGTTCGTTAAAGATCTTGTTACATTCATTGGTGGTTTCTGAAATTTTGAGAGTAATCTTTTCAATGGTTGAATATTTCACAGGTTCTTGGATGAGCTCTTTCCAAAAGTCTCGATGAAGGGAGAGTAGTAAATCTTGAAGATACTTTAAACGTTGAACTTTCATGTCATTACTCATTGAGAAACTTTCGTGTGTGGTTGAGGAGCTTTTGTGTTGTATTTCCTTGATTCTGTATTGAGCCATGATTTGATCCAATAGACTCGAGGAGTGAGTGGTAATTCTTTGTATGAGTTCGAGAGCGATATCGACGTTCGAGTGTTGTTGATCGTATGCAATTAATAACGCAAGGTAGTGCAACATGTGAACCTGTTTAAAGCGTCTATGTTGTTGAACGGTTTTCACAAAGACCAAAGAAATTTCCTTATCAGAAATGCTTAATGGAATTCCGTCTGCATTGGTAATGCGATCTAGATGAGTGACATGATTCGATTTGGTTGCAAACTTGAAAAACATGGACAAACCTCGCAGACCATCTGAATCATTAAAATCTTGAAGGATTGCCAGTGCTTTTGATTCCATAAAACTCTTTACAGACTTCTTGTCAGTTGTCAAGGTGGATTGATCGGCTGGAATAAGGTCATACAATTCAGAGAGAATTCTATTTCTTACATTTCTAACAGTGAGCTTCAAATAGATTTCATAACCTAGAAATGCACACAAACCACATAATAAAATTAAACCAAATTTGAGAGGTACGCCAATGGCGAGAGAAGAGTCTATGGACATGCCAACTTGTTGGACAAGTACAGATGTCACCAATGTGGCCACACTAGCACCTAAGCGAGCACATGCAACACCACACATGATTGAGTTTTCGATTCTTCGATAGAATGGACATGAATACATGAGGAACAACATGAACACAAAGGACAAGACACAATTGGCAGCATGAGCAGCGTATCCATACTCTATTGGAACAGCATACAAGATCACTAATCCTAACATGTTCACCACATCCAACAATGTCAATGTGAAGGGATGTGTGGAAGCAAATGGTACCGTGCTGAGTGGATTCAAACTTTGAGTGATACTTCTTGAAAATACCACAAATAGAATCACCGTAAGGGTTGCCAAAATGGACATGACAAAGAATATCAAATTTTGAGCACCAAAACATGGAACTGGAGGTGAATATCGATTCAATACGGGTTCAGATGTTTGGCTGTCCACTTCAGTCAAGCTGCAATCATAAAAACCTGCAAATATGTACAAGAAAAATACACCAAAAGTTTGACATCCCACACCAAAAATGTAAAACAACAGTTTCATCTTGGAAAGTCCATTCCTAGAAGAAGAGCTTGATGTGGTTCGGTCACTTCTCCAAACTGCAACAATCCCTACCAAATAACTTAAAACAACAAATGCGAAGATAACTGCCGCAATGGCAATTGAAATTTCACGTGTCATCCATACATTTCCGGCCAATGTATTTGGAAAGTTAGCAGCACTCACGAAAATGTAGTGTGACAGTGGCTGGTTGGGAGTTGTGTTTTTTGACGCTTCTCTAAGGGTTGGAAGAAACATTGAGCTCCATAAATACAACATTATTGGAATCCATGTTCCTAGATACCACTTCCATCCTGTTCGTTCCGTTTCAATTTGTAGAGAGACAATGAGAGAGGAAGCGGCAGAGTTGATTTGTTTGGTCATGGATGGTGAGTTGATTCGTTCTGTGCTCGTGGAAGCCTCAGACTGACCATCTCCGAATACGGCACTTCCATTAAGACCTCCACCGAAAGCACCTACTCGGCTGTTGCTGACTACACTGGTTGAATCGTCCATCATTGATGCTTTGTTGATGAAGAGTGGCAATAGTTGTATTTCTTTCTAGTTGATCTATGAAGATGATCGTTTGCAGATATGAGAAATGCATAGAACTCCGCTTTGTTGAGAGATTCTGTTGTAGAGAGAGAGACATATCTTTCGTCATGATGTATCAAAACATAATCTCTACAAAATCTTTCAACAACGACAAGTTCTATTCATTTCTCTTACGAAATCATCTCTGCCATGAGTGGCGCTTTGAACTTGAATATCTATGGCGTGTATGTTTTCAAATATGTCTTGAAGCCCATCATTTCCTCTCATCTGTAGATCTCATTCATGACATGTGCGCTTCCAAATACAATATTCATATCACTATAAGAAATTCAAAGGATGAAGAAAGCGTCTCTAGTTGTCAACAAGATTTGGAAAGGGAGATGTAAAAGGTTATCTCCAACTACCGCGCAAAATACAGTGTACTATGGCTTCTTAATTTTGTAAAGAAAGGATTAATCATCAACTTTAGTTCTCCAAAGAAAATTGTCCTTCTAAATTGGTTGTCAAACATAAACTTGGTGAAATTGAGCTTCATAAAACACACTATTGCGTAATCACTCTTGGTGTTTCAATTTCAAGTGTAAAGTTGACAAGTATTGGATAGTGGTCACTAATGACAATAATTTCCTTCTTGTTGGAACCCTGCATCACCAACTCAGCTGTTCCTTGACAACATTCGTATTTCGTAGGTGTGAATGAAATGTGAGGAGAAGTAGTAGTTGTTGAGGTGCTACAACCTTGTGTTGGTGGGCATGGAATTTCTGCAAAGAGAATATGATCAATACGCGTCACCTTAGACGAGTTCAAACTCCAATTATTGAAGGTTGTTTCCTTTCCCAATACGGGCAACTTGTGCTCCTTACAATATTCGTACGAATTTCGAAATTGTAATGAAAATTTTCCATAGCGTTCACTACCTTCAATTTCTAAAGGTTGTAACAATTCTTGAAAGGCCTTATCCTCCACAGTACAATTGAAATCTCCACTCACAACGACTCCAATTAAATTCTCATCCGAGTTGTTGTTCGTCAATACTTGCTCCTTCACAAAGTTCTTGATTAATTTTGCACTATGCATGCAAGCTCTTGAACTAAAGTGATCCCAATGGGTGTTTATATAGAGCAAATGATACGTTGTCGATCCTCCTGTTGCTTTTCCCTCCTCTTGATCATTCCTTTTGATAGGAATTGGGACCTTTACCCAGGTTGCAATTCTGTAACAAGCAGCATCCCAATACCTGGATGGTTTTTCAGGAGTTTCACTCAACCAAAAAGTACCACTCGAATAGTTTGGTGTTGTTGTTGTTGGATAGGTTGCTACTGGATCACTATTGGGATGATTCATCATCGGATCAGTATGATGAAGATGAACCATGACAGTACAATGTTCTCCACCATTCTTTGCTTCCCGACCTGTGGAGAAGATGGAAAAGCCTCCAAAAGTTTGCTTTTGAGAAGGAAGAATGGAAGCAGAAGAGGTGGTGCTAGTGGTGTTACTGCTGCTTTCGGAAGAAGACGCCAAGTAGTTCTTGATATCTTGCAATTGATTTTCCAAAACTTCTTGTAATCCCAGCAAAGTGTACACGAGAAGTGGTTTCTTTGTTTCTTCACGATCCTGATCATGAGGAGAGGATGATGAATTTCCTTCTTCCCCTTGATTTGGAACAATTTGATGATTCGGATGATGATGACTCAAGTCTTGAATGAATTTTGAAACAAGAGCCTTTCTCACTCTCCATGATTTATTGCCAAAATCGAGCAAACTATCATAACGAATATTGAAACTGCAAACATTGATTTGAAATCTTTCAGTATTATTACTACTAGAAGCAATAGGTGCGTTGTGAGAGCATGACAATGTTGTGGAGGTCGATTCGGAGGGAGAGTACATTTTGTGAATTTAATTTAATTTGGAATTTAATTTGAGAATATAATTATTGCGCTATTCACGTCGTACTTCCTCACCCCATAAATTAGGAATTGGACAAAATGTAAAAGCTTTGATTTCCATGATGCCATAAACTCAATGAGAGTCTTTCTTTAAAAGATAAAGAGATAAATATATTCATATTCATCAAATTCTCACCAACAACAGATGAATCGGAAAAATTGAAAAGTTCATGCGGCATTAACAAGCCGTTGTTGTAATCCAAGATTCTGGTCCATCTCAGCAACAAAAAATGTTGAAAGATCTCTTGCTGAAATTCATTTCCTTTGCTCTGAGAAGTCTTGATCGTGTCTTGTTTTTTATCTTGCGCTTGGTCTTTGGTAGATCCATTCTTCCCGAGGATCTCAGTGGAGCATACGATCATTTGAAATCCTTCTCGGTGGAAGTGGATGATCCAAACTATAGGAAGGGAGTTGAAACGAAACCACGACGACGTGTGGGTTTTGAGAAGGAATTGATGTCTACACCAATGAAGGGTATTGATACTTTGAATGGATTGTTGGATCATGTGGCTAGAGAGTATCCGAATTTACCCATGTTAGGTTATCGTCCTTTCAAGAGAAAGTTTACACAAAATATTGATGGCAAGGATTGGGAAGTGTTTGAAATGGGTGATGTGGTCTATGAAACCTATCAACAGGTTCATACAAGAATTGAGAATCTTGCTCGTGGTATCGCTCGTTTCACTGGATTAAATTCAAAGGATTTGTTTGGTATCTTTGAGGAGACTCGTAAAGAATGGCTCATGACACTCCATGCTTGTATGAGATATAATATTACTGTGATGACAGTGTATGCCACACTTGGTGATGAGAGTCTCATTGAAGCAATTAATGAATGTCAACTTCAAGCCATGTTGGTCAATGAGCATAATTTGAAGAAATTATGTCATCAAATTATTCCGCACACTCCTACATTGAAGTACTTGATTTTCACTTCGGGATGGGATGCTTCCAAGGAAGAAACTGAAAAGTGGGTCTTGGAATTGGAAAAACTTGGTGTGAAGGCAATGTCCTTTGAGGAGGTTGAACAACTCGGAAAGCAAGAAACATGTCCAATCAAAGTCAAGGAGCCACAAACCAATTCTAGTTTGGCTGTCGTCATGTACACAAGTGGTACAACATCAAAACCAAAGGTATGTTGATGCGAGAATGTGTTAAAAAGTTTCAATATGTCACGTGTCGTAATGATGGATCCTGATATTGTGATCACGTTTGGGATTGATGAACATATTTTGATTTCACACTCTGAAGGGTGTCATGTTGACTGTTAGAAATATTTTGGCAATTTCTGCTGCTGCTGGTGAAAACATTCATTGCCCATCCTTACGTAATCCAACTTATATTGGTTACTTGCCACTTGCTCACATTTTGGAAATGGCTGCTGAGGTAAGTCATAATATCACACAAAGAGGATCATTGTACTAAATGCTTCGAATGTGTGACGTGTTGCTGCTCGTCATACGCACATTCCATACGAACAGCACTACATTTTGAGCAGAGGAGGTAAAATTGGTTACGGAAATCCACGTACTCTTACTGACAAGACCTGCAAACCTGTTGGTGATTTAGAGGCAATCCAACCCATGTAAGTATACACTTTCAAAATTGTTCTTTCAGAATGGAATTAACTTTTCACACGTTTTTGCTGCTGTGATCAATCGAATCGGATCTTGTTTTTTATTCCCATTAATTAATGGCCATATGAATGTTGTGAACTCACCACAGCTTTTTGGCAGGTGTTCCAAGAGTGTAAGTAAGATTACATTTGATCACATTTTTTTGTTCGAAAAAGATCACCAAACGTTTAATGTCCTAATGTACGAAAATTTCCGATTGTTGCATGCCATTCAATGTAATTCCGTTGTCATTCCCCGGGATGTCCCAACCTTCGATCAATCCTTTTGTGATTGTAAATCACTTGTTCTCACCACTCACAGATATGACACCATTCGAAAGGGTATCTCTGAAAAGGTTAAGACAAGCTCACCAATCATTCAATGGCTCTTTAAGGTTGCTTATGATCACAAACTTGAATCACTCTATGCAGGAAGAGACACTCCATTATTCAACTTCCTAATTTTCCGAAAGATTGCAAAGGCAACTGGTGGTAAATTGAGGGCATGTCTTTCAGGTGGAGCTCCTCTTTCGAAGGAATCACAAGAACACTTTAGAGTCTGGTAAGTATTCTTTTGAAGGTGAATTAATCGTTGTGGCCCTAATGAAAATAAATCATCAACAATAATAATAATATTTGAAATATGGTGACTTGTGAATAAACTCATTGAACACCGCCGTGACACTCTTCCATACACAGCATGGGAGCTGCCTTTGTGCAAGGATATGGACTTACTGAGACTGCAGCTGCTGGAACTATCATGTTACCTGGCGCCAGATTTGCAACACGTGTGGCTGGTGTTATTGTCCCTGCTGTTGAAATTAAGCTCATTTCAGTTCCAGAAATGAATTATACTGTGGATGGTCCAGTTCCAAGAGGCGAAATTGCAATTCGAGGTCATGCAGTATCTATTGGCTATTACAAGCAACCTGAAAAGACCAAGGAAGTTTTCTTAGAAGATGGATTTTTCTTGACTGGTGACGTTGGTCAATTTAATGAAAATGGTACCATCAGTATTATTGATCGTGTCAAAAATTTGGTCAAACTCAGTCACGGAGAATACATTGCTTTGGAAAGATTGGAGAGTATTTATTGTCAATCTCCATTTGTTGCTCCAAATGGTTGTATGGTCTATGCAAATAGTTATTGCAGCTTCCCATGTGCGATTGTTATTGCTCAACCAGGACCAACCAAGCGTTTCGCTGAAGAAAATGGAATTACTGGAACCTTTTTTGAGATTTGCAAGAATCCAAGAGTTGAACAACATATTTTAAAGTCATTACACGAACAAGCTAAAAGCTCCCATCTCAAGAGATATGAAGAAGTGAAAGCTGTTAAGGTCTTTGATGATGTGTGGTCTCCAGAAAACGATTTGTTAACAGCAGCGTTCAAGTTGAAGAGAGCTAACATTGTTCAGAAATATCGTGCTCAAATTGATGAAATGTGCAAGACTTTGATTTAAGGCTGCAACTCTTCCACACAGTCACTTATTAAGACTACTGCTAATTATTTATTACAATTAATTTATTATTTGGTACTCACACCAATAAATTTTTTCAATAATCATTTTACACCATTTTGGATTAATTACAACAAGAACACGAGTATATCATCCCTATCTTTGAATCGTGCTGTTTTCATTTATTCAAGTGAGGGAATGGATGTAAAGAATGAAACTTTGTATAAATAATTTCATTTGAACAAGGAATTCAAATAAAGAAATGAGGGCTTATTGAAGAATCTGAGCCAAAAGAAGGAGTTTGTGAAATGGTAGAAGCCAAGCAACCTTTTTAAATTGCATTTGGTTGATTAGAGATCCACGTGGATCAGGTTGAACGGTCACGATCTTGTGTGATTGATTTGATTGCTGAAGATTTTATTCACATTTAATGGTGGACAACAACAACACGAAGACATGGCGGACAATTGTACAGTACAATAAATAGTATAATACTATGGTACATTCTGTGTGTGATGACTCTTAAATACAGGCAGATAATTTTCGTTCTGTGCTTTTGGTATTGTCTGTTATAATAATTTGGGATTCTTGTTTCTTGGGTTGTGAGGATTGTTGGGATGATTGTTGTTGAGTGGTGGAAGTGACAGTAGTGGTTGCTTGAATCGTCTCTGAATTCTTGTTGACCGATTCTGCTTTTTCTCTCTTGGCCAAGATTGCTTTTGCCACCATTGAGTTGTTCTCTCGGTTCAAATAGGTCGAAATATAGTCTCCTGTATCAATCAGTTTGTCAAGATCAATGCCTGTTTCAATTCCCATGCCCTGAAGCATGTAAACAACGTCTTCTGTACTGATGTTACCAGAGGCACCTTTTGCATAAGGACAACCACCCAGACCAGCAACTGATGAATCCACAGTTTCCACGCCAAATTGCAGTGATGTCAGAATATTTGCCAAAGCTTGTCCATAAGTGTTGTGAAAGTGAACAGCAACTTGGCCAGTTGGAATCTTTTTACACACTTGATGTAATAAATGAGAGACGCTTCCTGGCGTTCCAACTCCAATAGTGTCACCAAGAGAAACTTCATAACATCCCATTTTCAATAATCTATAGCTCACATTTGCTACCACTTCTGGTGCGACATATCCAGAGTATGGACAACCAGCCACACAACTCACATATCCTCTAATTTTTAAATTATGTTTTGTTGCTAATTCCATCACTTGGTTGTATCTGTTGAATGATTCTTCCACTGTACAGTTAATATTTTTCATGCTGAAAGCGTCACTGGCAGCAAGGAATATTGCCACTTCTTTGACTCCGGCCTCTAAAGCTTGTTCGAGACCTTTCACGTTTGGTGTGAGGACTGGGTATGATGTACCCTCTTTTTTCGTTATTCCTGTGTACACGTCGAAATTGTCTCCCATTTGAGGTACCCATTTCTATCGTACGATTTTCAATGCAAATGATGAATCGTTGGTCAATAATAATATATAATAGACGTTGCGGAAAGTGATCATAAAATTGTGTTTGTCAATAAATGAGGCAAAATAGGTTCATGATCACGCATTATAAATATGTGATATCGAACATTCATATTTTGTCGTTAAAACAAATTGAATGGTGGAAAGACGCAAATGTCGTCAAATGCAAAGGGAATAATCGTTTGAGTCACAAACCGTATGCAAGATTGTGATTCAAGGTTTTGGTTCAACCAGAAAAATTTCATTTCGGTCAAAAGTACAAGAAAGGAAATGAAATTGAAAAGTCGAGATAGGCACACCAGCATTGTTCATGTATATGATGTGTACATATTGAATATAACGTTCATATATGTAATGATTGTGGTTGTTCCAAAAGGTTGCAAAAATTCAAATATGAATTGAATTTTGAATTAAATACACTTCTACTTACTGGTGACACGAAACTTGTTACTTCAATCGAAGGACAACCAGCCTCCGATAATTTGTTTATCAAAGCAATCTTGACGTTGGTTGGTACAAGTTTCTTTTCATTTTGCAAGCCATCTCTTGGTCCAACTTCTACAATTTTGACAAAAGACGGTAAATTTGAAATATTTGATGAAGCTCCCGAAGCGTTGAAAGCAGCAAACGACCGAGCTTGAGTCTTCTTTTCATTATTCATTAACATGAAGAGCGAACTGCTGCTGTTTAAATTCCGTCGTCCTAGGGTTCGTTCAAGGTGTTTGAATAAACTTGTCGTTCTTGATACGTTCATGGCTTTGATGATGGTGATGATTTGTTTGTAACGTTTTTGTGGAAGGTAGAAGAATGGTTGTTTGGATACAATCTTGATGCTTGTTCCGTTATTGTATGAACAACAAACAAGGTAATTTCCTTATAATGTATAGAAATTCGGTGTTCTTCCAAAGTGGAGATGATCTTTTAGGACAGAAGGATTAAGTTCAACAACGAACGCAGAAGAAGAACAACAACGATAATGATGATCAATAATACAAAATATGCCTCAAACTCTAATGCGTCTACGTACGAGTGAGCCAAACAAAACACTCTCACGGAGGAGGACTATTTATATCAAGGAGGATCCAGTCTAAGCACGCAAGAAATCAATCCACCGCTGATGAGGATGCTAATGACGAAGATGATGATGAGATTGAGGAAGTTTTTTTTTGAGGGATTTTTTTGAAAGATGGAGGAGTTGCGGTCGCTATTTAAAGTTGCGCACAAATTTGGACCTTTGTGTGAGGTCATCATCGATGATGAACACAAGAGACACAACACCCATCAAAGTGGAGAGTGATGCAATCATCATCATGATTGTGTGGAGGATGAAACGATTGGAAGATCTTGCTTCACACAAGTTGACATCATGATGTGTGAGGGAAAGGAACTTTTAAGGATTCTTGAATGCGTGTGAATGAGATGGATGAAAATTGTATGAAAATCTTGAAATGTGGAAGAACTCTATAAATTGCAATTTGGGTCGTTTCGGTCGTGGGAGAAGATTGTGATGTTTCACAATTTGAATTCACTCCAGCCAATCGGAATCCCTCCAAATCAAATTTCCCTACCGGTGTGTTGCAGCTCCGTGAGCTATGGTTGAAAATAATTCATGTTCCTTCTTGTGTGTGTGTTTGGTGATGATGACGAGAGTATACGGCTTTCTCTGAGTGTGTGAACTGAATTGCTAGTTGTTGAATTTTACAAGATTCTTTTTCTTTTGAAATCGTAACAAAAGTGTAAAGTTCTGTATTCACTCAAAAGAATCATTTGAATGACCAACTATTCTCAATGTTGCATCATCTTTAAACCCTCCTCAGCAGAATGTTTGGAGTAAATTTGACAACCAAAGACACTCCACCTTTCTTTCAATTCTCTCTCTTTTGTTTGGTGTTTTTAAAGAAGAAATACAAAACAAAAAAATGAGCTCCTACGACGATGATTATGATGATGAAGATTTGGATGTAGGTGTTCTTGTTATTGTTCTTGTTGTTGTTGTTATTCAACGTAATCTATTGATCGTTTCATCATGATGAATTTTTGGTTTTCATTTCCGAAATAACCATGATGTAATAATTTGTCTTGATCACTTGCTTGTGTATGGAATGGCTTGATGATGATGGACAATCAATGGATGGATTGGCTATATGAATGGATATACTTTTGAATTCGTGGTTCCATGTTGTTGTACTGCTGTGCACAATGTATTCCCGGACCGATCATCATCACCAAAATTTCAAAATTAATCCTCCCTTGGTCCTTTTTCTCAAACACAATCGTTGATCCTCATGTTCAATAATTTTCAATTTAATTCATCAACAATCCTTTATGATTACTCCATTAAACTACAGGTACCAACAACAGAAACACAAAAACCAAAAGGAATAGGATCACTTTCTATTGGATTATCTCTTGCCCAATCCGGCAAAAGCCAGAAAGACAAGACCGAACAAGAACTTCTTGGTGAGGAAGTAACCATCCTCTTCAAGCTTGAATCACGAGGTGGTGAAGTTAAAAAGCATTCTGTGAATATGGGTCGTCCTATTGAATATCTCAAGCTTTTGTTGGAAAGAGAGCATGGAATTAACTTTGATAGCCAGCAAATGTTTGTGGGTTCAAAGGAGTTGGCTAACTTTTTGAGTTTGCAAGATATTCCTGAAATTGATCCAAAGAAGGAGAATGTCATTGTTGTAAAGGAGGTATAAATGAATGATTACCTATTTATGTACAATTCATATACAAATGTAAGTTTGATTCGAAGTCTAATCTCATTGTTTCAAATTTATTGGCCTTATTAGATTTTTTTTTTCAGTCGAATTCAATAAGATTCAATAGAATGTCAGAACGTGTGATTTTCACAACTTCTCTGTGTAATTGCACCATCAATACTTATCAATAATTCGGCAGAGTGTGTCACACTCATTGAAATGACGATGGATGATCAACTTCACATTGAGTTAACTCACCATTTTATTACAAGGATCAAAACAAATTATTATCTTTGAGCAGGTGGTTGTTGTTGCTGAGGAGGTCTTTGTGGTATTGGCATGGTCATTCCATAATTCATCAAGGACTCCATGTAAGGGTCACCTAACGAAGTTTGTCCTGGTCCTGATCCATAGGTCATTTTCTGACCCGGAAATTGTCCATTGTAAACCATTGGTTGTTGCTGGCTTGGTGAAGAAACCCCAGCAATGGAAATCCATGGTTGAGTTCCTCCATACATGGATGGGTTATAATAGTAACCTGTTTGCTGAGGATAATATTGTTGCTGTGGATAATAGGCCGATGATTGAGGATAGTACGCTTGTTGAGCTGGATACATTTGCGGTTGACCATATCCGGGATACATTTGCTGACCATAACCTGGATAACCTTGTTGAGCAGGTGGATACATGGGTTGTTGACCATAGCCAGGATACATGGGTGAAGATCCAACTGGATATCCTTGCTGTGGAGGCATTGATTGCATTCCACCACCTTGTTGTGGAGGCATGTACATTCCACCTTGTTGTTGCTGATTTTGTTGTACTTGACCGTAATTGCCACTAATTTGAGTCATGAGAGATTGCAAGTTCGAGGCAACTTTTTGGAAGGTATTCCAATCGAGTGATTTAGCAGCACTGACCAAGTTAGCAACAGCAGGTTTGATTTGACTTGTGATTAATTGAGAATCTTGAGCATTGGTCACATTCAAGTCATTATTCACAATGAGATCCAAATTCGATTGAATATTATTGGCTGAATCGGTGATGAGTGAACAAGGTGAAATCATGGATTGAGTCAGAGTTGGTTGTGATTGCATGGATTGAACATTGGGTTGACCTTGACCTCCACCAGGCATTCCTTGTTGTGGAGGATACATTTGTTGTTGTGGAGGCATCATTTGTGGCATTTGTTGAGGAGGATACATTGGTTGTTGCTGTTGTGCAGGAGACATTTGTCGAAGTCCTCGTGTCATCCGAGTTTGTCCAACAGGATTGCCTTGAGGTAATGGAGTAGGTGGAGCTTGTCCTGGAGGTGCTGGTTGATTTGGATCTGAGATTTGCATCACCTGAGGCATTTGTCCTTGAGGATAACCTTGTTGCTGTGGAGGGTACATTGGCATTCCTTGTTGTGGAGGATACATTTGTTGTGGCATTTGTTGACCTTGACCTCCACCAGGCATTCCTTGTTGTTGAGGAGGCATCATTTGTGCTTGTTGTTGGTTATTCATGTAACAGTACTGACCAATTCTATTAATTAATGCCAATTGGGAATTAATGTTATTAATGTAGATGGCCAACCTGCTGCCCGATTGATTGGATTGTTGTTGAGGCGGTGCTGATTGTTGTTGAGGCGGTGCTTGTGACTGCTGTGAAGATTGCTGTTGACTTTGCTGCTGAGTTTGAGCAGTCACGTAAGGCGGTGAAGAGGACAAGAGCAAGCATGATGTTGCTAATAACAACATCAAGGCAACAAAAACTCCAAAATAGCGATTCATATTCTTAGACTACAGAGGATTGGAATGAAATTTTGTTTTGTTGAGAAAATCATTTCAAACAGGATCAAAGATTTCACACATGTGTATTCATTAGTTAATAGATTGTGTGGTGTGAATGGATTTATTTGGAAAGACGATTTTGTTAGTGAAACGAAGATTATGTCAAGATGTCTTTTTAAGGATTTGGATTTTTTCAGTGAATATCCACAAGCGTGGAAACACACCCAATCAATTTCCTAATTTAGATATTAATATTAATTCTTAATAAGGAACAGTGACGATTTCCAAAATTGAAATCACTACAATCGATGTTCCTACTGGAGTTACTGCTGCAATCTTGATGAAATCTTTGAGCGCTATTATTGAGGTCTTTCAAAAAACAGCAAGAAAAAACACACTTTCGCAAATTTTTAGTTTTGCGTTTTCCACAACAAGATTGAAGTCGTCTTGGTCCTGGATAATGATACACATCGACATTGAATGTCACAGACATCATCGATATGTTGTTGGTTGTTGAACACATACATATCATTGATGTTGTTGAACACTAAAAAATGAATAGAAGCAATAACAAAGATCCTTCTGAATTGTTCACCCATCTGCACAACAACAACAGACCAAGTTGCGCACACTTTGATCAGAATACTTTATATATTGAATATTTTGAACAACGATCACGTGATTTAAAAGAAATTAAAAATCTTATTTTGACCAAAGAGGTTCCTCACGATTTGTTGATGCTCATATTAATTCATATCAACAACAACCTAGTACCTCCATCCACCCTTGATCTTCGATCCAATATACAAAGCAAAAAGAACGATGAACAACAGAGCAACCTCACATGGAAATGGAATCAAAAAGCAACAAAAAACTTTAAATTTAAAGATTGATTAAAACAAAAATCTCAATTTTTTTTACTATTTAAGGATGATGTTTGTGTTTGGAATCCAAATATCATAGGCACAAAGAGAGAGGACCTCAAGAGCGTCTCTGCTTTCTGTTGAACCTCTTCATCTTCTTGTTCTTCAATGGCAATAAAAAAGCTTTTCAATATTTTCTTTGCTTTTAATTTTTCGAGCATTCCGTTGCTTTCCAACTCCGTTTCCGATCCGGAGACAAAAAAAATTTCATAACTGTAATCACATGTCGTCATCGTCGATGTCATTGACATCATCCACGGTACCAGCGGAAACCACAGCACCTTCAGCTCCAACAACAACAAATGAAATGACACTTTCTTTCACACAAACTATTGGAATGCAACCAATAATAACAAGTGACAGCAGCCATCAAGAAAGTGTAGAAAATTTCAATCATGATTCCGCCGATATCAGCAACAACACCATTTCGCATCAAGAAGTTAATATTGACAACAATCATGATGTCTCTCATCCGAAAATTATTATTCGAGGCCTTGTCGAAAATAATTTCATTTCACACAACAATCATGAAATGGATTCATCATTTCATGAAGATCCACTCAAAGAGTCCGTAGTTGTGTTCGAAATGAAAATGAATGAAAAGAATCATGAGAATGACCAAAATCATTCTTCACACGTTACTTCCAAATATGAAAAATTTTTAAAATTAATTTCCATTTTGAATTTCTTGCTTTTTGGAAATCGATGGATTTCTTTTTTGATAGGAGCTCTTTTAACCTTTCTTAGTGGCACTCATTATGCTTATTCCTCTATTTCTCCAACGATTAAGAATGATTTAAATTTTTCACAAACTCAAGTCAACCTAATTGGAACAGCAGCCAATGTTGGAACTTATTTCGCACTTCCAGTTTCCATGCTCAATGATTTCATCGGTTCGAGAGTGACATGTGTCATTTCTGGAATTTTACTCTTCTCAGGGTATTTCGCTTTTTATTTGATGTATATTAAGGCGATTCCCTTAAATGGTTCTGACGCTTACATCTTTATTGCTTGCTTTATGGCCATCATGGGACAAGGAAGTGCCGGTGCCTATGCAGCCGCGATTACAACAAATATTAAAAATTTTGAAGAAAAACACCGAGGAAAAATTATTGGATTTATGGGAAGTTGTGTGGCATTGAGTAGTGCTGTATTTAGTTTGATTTATAGTGTGGGATTTGAAAGAAAATTGGGAGAGTATTTGTTGTTTGTTGGAGTATTTGCAGGAGGTGTCACTACTGTGTTAGGAACTTTGTTTATGAATCAAATTGGAATTAAAAAGAGCTCGGAAAATTCTTCCAAGAATGGAAATGTGGAAGATCGTTGGTTGATGGAAGAAGAGGGAGATGATGTCAAAAGTTTTGTGCATGATGAAGATTTAGAGGATGGGGATGTGGAACAGATTAATGATTTTTTAATGATGGGAAATGACAAGATGGCATTAGAAAATAATGATTTACCAAAAGAAGAAAATAAGAATTGTAGTTCATCTCCCCATCAAGAAGAGGACCATTCAGTACTATTATTGGAACATAAAGAATCTCATGAACAAACAGTTCAACCACAAGAGTTGATCATGAATGTAACATCAACACCAATGCTTCAAAACTCTGAATGTGATTTAGAGACAAGTGACATTTTGGAAGACAAGTTAGAGAAACGAGAAGAGGAAATTCAAGTAGAAATTGAACAAGTGGAAGCCATAGAAAACGAAAAGCTCAAAACTGCAGACCACTTGTCAGAAAATCCTCTCTTATTACCTCAAATGGAAAAGAAACTCGAATCCAAATTTGACAAGATTTGGAGTATCGCTCAAAAACCCATTCCAAACGCAAATCCCATCCAAATGCTCTTCGCTCTCGATTTCTATCTCACCTTCTTCATTTACTTTGCATGCATAGGAAGTGGACTTGTCATTGTCAATAATTTAGGATCCATTGTCATTTCATATGGAGGTTACGATGGTCAACAACACGTCATGGTCATTATTTTCGCATGTTCAAATGCACTTGGAAGATTACTTTTTGGATTCATCAGTGATTCATTCAGTCGATATGTGACTCGTACGACTTTTTTGACAGGAGCTTCCATTCTCATGTTAATTTGTCAATTGGTGGTATTAGTCTCTCCCTTATGGATGTTTTATTTGATTTTAATTTTATTGGGAACATCATTTGGAGGAGTGGCAGTCATGATTCCATCCTTCCTTTCCGAGAGATTTGGTCCAAAATATTTTGCAGTGAATTCTTCGATTTGTAGTTTAGCAAGTTCGTTGGGAAGTTTTTTGTTGGCAACTCTTGTGGCCGGTAAGGTGTACGAAAGTAATATTGCGAGTGACAACTTGTCAAAAATTTGTTATGGCATTTCATGTTTCCAGGTGACGTTCTATTTGACCACTTTGTTGTGTTCCATTTCATGTGTGGCATGTATTTTGTTAATGTATCGAACAAGAGGTCTCTATCAAATATTGTATTATAGAAAAGTTCTCAATTTGAATCATGATCCAGTGATGGCCAAGTAAGATGACATCCAATTATTATGTTGTCAACAGTGATGCACTCTTTCAAGAATCATTACATGACCAAACATTCTGAAGGAACATTGGCACTGTCTCCATTCGAGGAAGAACCAAATCCAGAATATTTTTGCATCTCGTGATCATGAGAAGGTCTGTTACTTGTAGCTAACTTGTTGTCCTCCAAAATGTCTTTCGAACGAATGGGCATGGAAAATAGAAATGATTGACGGGTCTTCTTATCGGATGAAATATTTCGATCGAGTGCATTCCAAAATGTTAAATTCTTATGATTGAGACATTTGATGGACCCCATCCATTCTGCAGCCTGGGTGTACATGCCAAAATGAAAAGAATACATGATATGAACAATTTGTTGGGTATTAAAGACATAATCCACAGTCAATTTCCCAATTGGTTCTTCGTTTGTAAAACTATCGTTCATGTTGCTGTTCAGTTTTCGTGAATGAATGTAATTGTGAACCAATTCCATAAATTCACATTTTCGCTTCAAATAATTGAGACACACATTGGCACATAATTGTAAATCAGGATCTGTTGTTGTGGTGTTGGAAGATTTAAGAGATAAGGAAAGAGGGGGCGAAAACTGAGAGGACACTTTTGTTTCGTTGGACGATACTTGGAAAATACTTTTTAGAGCATTCGTTTGGCGAATACTTGAATCATCGATGCACACCTTGTCCAATTGAATTGGAGTGGTCAATTTTGTACTAATTTCAAACCACATCTTGTGAATTTGCTTTGCCCAACTCTCATGAAGCGAAGAAAAATTCACAAAATTCATAATCAATACATTGTCCATATTGAGGAATTCCAATTTTTGAAGACGTGAAATGTTGAGAGAGGACAAGTCGCATGGAGTGGAGTTTCGTTGCTCTGAGTACAGATCAAAATGTCGGCATCCATTAAAATCAATTCTCACTAAATTTTCTAAACTTTCTAAAATATATAAATTCTCGACTATTTTCAATGAAGTGCAGGCAAAGCTCAGTACTGCTAAAAATTGTAAATTTTCAATGCTCTTACAATCGAAATTTGTGAGTGAGGAGCATTCTTCAAAGCGTAAAGCTTGCAGCTTGACAAATCGTGTCAACATTGGGATTTGGGCCACTGAACATTTTTTTGCTGAAATGGATTTCAAATTTGTTCCAAAGAGTGAAAATAGATTGCTCGAACTGGCAACAATGCAATTCATCAATTCAACATCCTCCAATAATGGGAATATCGCTCCGTAATCGTTTAACTTTGAAAAAGAGTCACACACCATTTCCATTTTCTCAATTCGTAATTTTCGTAAATGCATCATTGGTGTCCAATTTACGATTGGCAAGATGGTTGAAAGTTTCGAATTGTCAATACCTTTCACATGCAGCTCTTGCAAATATTTAAAAACGTGCATTGGAAATGAAATGTACCTTTTCGCCCACTGCGTAGTGGAAGAAACAGAACAGTCACTCAAAGTCAAATGAAGGCTCTTACATTTAGTCAATGATGAGTCAAGTAATTCAGAGCCCTTAATAAATGGTGAAACCTCAATCAATTCTAATTCGAGCTTGTCCACAAATGTGCTTGTCACGAGCCAACTCAGGCAATCCAATCTTCCAATGTCAATAAGGTAGAATTTTAACCTTTTCACAGAGCGGAGTCTTTCCAATACGCGTAGCAACTTTTTCATGAGCTTATTGAGATTTTCCAAACTCGTGCATGAATCTAACAATTTGGACATGTTCAGTGATAATACTAATTCTTTGAGCTTGTGGTTGACGTGCCAATCGCTATTCTTGATCATGTAAATGAAAAATTGTACTTCTTCAATATGACTGAAGGGAACACTACATTTGAAGGACTCCAGCATGTTCACTCTCTTTCCAGAGACAAGTTCATTACGGCAGCTACTATTCGTTGATGTTGTTGTGAAATGAAACAAGTGCTTGCAATAATTAAGAATTTCCATCATGGAAATGTGCGAGCTCAAGTTTCCAATGTTCAAATCAAGATGCTTTAAAGCAATGAAAGAATTCTTCTTACATGCCTGTTTTAAAAAAGAGAGTACCGTCTTTGTGAATGGAATGTTGAGTGGTGCGTTAATGACAAGACTCTCTAAACTCTCAAGCAAATCAATTCCATTCTCATGATTGGTGAAAAGCTTTGCGAGTAGGCGATACATGATTGAGTGTGATTCCAAACCCTTGCTGATTGATGAAAGATTGTGAGATTCCAACTCTAATACCTTGATGCCTCGCTTATTGGATCTCAAAAACATGCAAAGCATTTCTGTCAATACTCGATCAAAGGAATAACCTTGATTATTGTCTTCATCAATAATATCACACTTGACATGTAAGTAATTAACCCTCGAATCGTAGTGTGCCATATTACTAGAAATTAATTTTTTTTTGCGAAATAGTTGCGATTCCTTTCCCGTCAAGTGCCAACTATTTCTCCAAACCGTGTATGGGCTTTGAAATTGCATTTCCAAGCAATTTTTAATGTAAGTCAACTCAGAGTCATAAGTATTTCCAAACTTTACTCCTCCTAAAATATCGTCAATTCGTTTCTTCTCCATTTTGCAGTAATTGTTGAAACAACCTTTGGGTCCATAACAACTACCACCATAGTGAACGCATTTGTAGAATTTCTTGCAAGTCATTGCAACCATGTGAATGAGAGACCACCGATCCAGGAAGGAGAATATAACAACCAATAAATCATTATGATCATTCTGTCCTCCATATTCATACAAGGTTCGGAGTGGGTTTTGTTGTTGTGTTGTTGTTCGCATGTCTGGTATTAAAACGGACGAATGATGATGATGATTGACTATTTCTGTGATTGGTTGTTGTTGCTGCTGTCCGTATGGCATCCTTATTTGAGGATATTCCAATTGCAAGGAGTACAGCCGACTGTTGTTATTGTTTCTTGATTCCAGATGCTTGATCTTTTTCTCGGAAAGCTTCTAAGGCTCTGTATATGATGATTTCTTTTTGATGATCCAAAACACTGGTGCCAGATGGATCATTTGATCATTCGTTAACGAACGAACACAGTGTTGCAACGTCATCCTCAGAACATCAAGTGTGTTGTTGCTTGGATCCTCTTGAGAGAGGAGCCTTCGGATGATGATGGCGGTTATTACGTGGCTCATGACGTCATTTTTGGCGCGTTTTTTTTTGAATTCCTAAAGGCTCTTTCGATGTCGAACGTTCGTTTGATGGATTAATGTCACAATCATCCCAATCCTCATGAAGATCAATCGCAAAACTGAACCTTCTCTCACAGGTGATCTTGAATATGCACAAGCTTGTATTCTAATGGAGACTCAAGGATCCGTTATGAAATTAGGTAAACTTCCGGAAGAAATGAATTCGAAGGTTCTTTCCATTCTAAAAAAAATAGTTGAAAGGGAGAGAGTCCACAATTTTCAACCGGAACTATCTTTCACTGTTCCCGATCATCAAGTAGTAGTGTTGTACGAGTGAACACCTGGTTTATTATTGTATTATATCGGTTTTGGATTTAATTTTGGAGCGTTGCAATATGAGTAGCGGATCGGATTCGTTTATTGAATTTTATGAATGTTTGATTTGTTCCGAAATTGTACAGAATAATCGAGAATGTAAAAATTGTCATAAATTGTTTTGTTTGGAATGTATTATGAAGTGGTTAAAAGTACATGAGAGTATGTATTATCTTTTTCACAGAATTCAGAACAACATTTAATACCCAAATGGTCAATTACAAAATATGAATTGATTGAACTTGCGCGATGATGAACAACGTTACGTTTTCAATACAACGCTCATGACATTGAATTCACCTTCATCAATGATTACTTTTTCATGTGTTCATATTCGACAAATGAATATATTCAGATTGCCCTCATTGCAATCATTCTCCAGTGGCTTGCAAAAGCGCAGAGGACAACAGCGCTTTCATTCACAATCATCATTCCGAAATGATTGCCAATTCCATTGTGGTACCCTGTCCCAATGCCGAGTGTGGATGCGATATTAAAAAGATTGCCCGAGGAGATTTGAAATTGCATTTGGAAAAGTTCTGTACAGGTCGTACGGTTTCTTGCAAGTATGCCAAGTATGGCTGTGAATGGAGTGGTCAAATGTTACGATTGGAAGAGCACTACAAGGAGTGTGCCTTTTCGAAAGAAATTGTTGTGAAAGCTTTGGAAAAACTTGAATTGAATATTTCAGAGTTGACTCGTGAGAATGAGCAATTGCGTCAAGAAAAAGCGAATTATGAATCAAAGATTAAGGAATTGGAAGAGAAGAATTCTCTGTTAAATGGTGGCAATAATATGCCCATTCATCATTCTTTAACGGCAATGAATGGTGATGTAAGCTTGACCAATTCAGGACGTGACACCATGAGCACTCCTTCTCCAACCGCTCCTGTTGAATCCATGCAACAAATTCACGATTCTTCATCTCTTCCACCATGGGCTCAATCCAGTTACTACTCTTCCTATAATCCTTCCTATAGTGGAACGACTTCGTTTTATAATAGTGCTGGAGTGTCTACTGCATTCCCTCCTCCATCCTCAGGTGTTCCATCCATGAGTGGTGGTAATCCATTGTTTAGCTCCATGTTAAGTTCTGTTTCATCATCGATTTATAATCCACCACTACAACCACCACCATTTATGACTTCTTCCTCCTATATGAGTAGTAGTAGTAATGTTTTTGGAAGTATGAATCCGGGTATGAGTAGTAGTAGCAATGGTAATGGTTCTATCAATGCCATTCACACTGTGGAGTGTGGAATTTGTAAAAAGACCAATTTTTCTGGAGTCTTGTATCAATGTACCTCCTGTATTAACTTCTCCATTTGCTCGGCATGTTATAGCACCTTGCAAATCACTCAAACTCATGACCGATCGCATGGATTCTTCCCTCTTAGGAAAGCTCGAGGCAAAATAAGTGGAGTGACATGGCTTCGACTTGCCACCTGCGGCAGTTCAGTGTCATTACCTCTTGCTGATAACGATTATCAGGATTTGGAGTTTTATGTGAATGAACGGACAGGAGCAAGTAAGTATTGTTCACAATAACTTTGATATTGACGTTGACAATGTGCATATTATTGATTCGTTGAATATTGAACATTTAAATTCAATGAATAATTTACATTTAAATGCACTGAATAATTTCATTAATAATTTAATTAACAAACTGCAACCAGTCACTCCATTCATGCCAATTGGAATACCCAACTCTAAAAGCATTTCTGGATCTTGGACTTCCACTTTACTCCAAATGGCCATCTATTGGCCCAATACAACAAGAGCCATCATGTTGGAGAGTTCAGTTGGACCCTTACCAGCAACGACTACCACTCTACAAACGACTCTCAAGTTTACTGTAAAGGCTTCAGGAATGGGCGGAAGAGGAGTTGCAGGTGATGGAGGTTGTCTCAATTTGACCTTGGCTTTGAGCTAATTGAATGCCATATTTCTTATTTTTGTGGTCTGAATGAATTCATGTAGGTGTGATGTGACTATTCCTTTTATATTCATAGAACACTTCCATTAAGAGAATTTTAAAAAATTATGAATTCATAATATTGTTTTGTTTGTTGATTTTTTTCATGGTCAAAAACACATCCGTTTTCCAAATTTAAACGAAATACATCAAATATTTTTTTTAAAAAAATCTCAAAAAAAATACATCATCATCATGGATTCCACTGACTCCCTGCTCCCACAAGCTCTCGAGCGTATCAGAGAGCCTGGTGATGCTGCGATGCCAACTCTCCTTCAAATCATTGGCGGAATTGTAGGAACAGTATTATTCTTTGTTTTTGTTCTTCCTGTTTTAGGTGGTACCGTTGAATTTGATGGCGACCAATGGGGTCTCCTCTTTGCTTCCATTGATCCCTATTTGTGGGCATCCATTGGTACCGGATGTGTGATTGGACTCTCAGTGATGGGTGCTGGATGGGGTATTATGGTTTCCGGTTCAAGTATTATGGGTGGATGCGTTCGTGCTCCAAGAATTAAAACCAAAAACCTCATCAGTGTTATTTTCTGTGAGGCCGTCGCTATTTACGGAATTATTATGGCCATTGTTATTAGTACTCAAACTCAATGGTTCCAAGACGCAAAGGATCCTACAAAGGCTACTCCATATATTATGGTCGTGAGTGGATGTTATACATTGTTTGCTGCTGGTATCACTGTTGGTTTGGGTAATTTGGCTTGTGGAGCATGTGTTGGTATTGTTGGTAGCAGTTGTGCAATTGCTGATGCTGCTGAACCATCTCTCTTCGTCAAGATTTTGGTTGTTGAAATTTTCGCTAGTGCTCTTGGTATCTTTGCTATCATTGTTGGTATTGTGGTTGCTTCGAGCGCCAAGTTGAAACCATAACTTTGATTATTTAATGATGAAGCTACCCTTCGTGGCGACAACCATTACATTTATTTGATGATGATATTTTAGTAATAGTATTCACACTGAACTTTTGTTAAGTCAACCATTGACAACCAGTGGTTTTATCACTTCAATCTTCCATTCTCCTTCCCATTTTGTCAATAAAGATCTTTTTCAATTCACTATCCAAAAGTCATGATGGACATGGACTTGTCTAACTCTCCAACTTTTCCTGAATTGACATTTTAAGGCTAACGAAAGCCTTTTTACTCAGGTCGTTGTAGTGATGCTGTCATGACAGACAGATTGAAGGAATGAGAACTTTTTAAATGGAACCATGAGTGTGCAGGAAACTGGTCGTCTGACTAACGTTTAATCACTTCATTCATTCCATAGCTAAAAATCTTCAAATTTGGAAGCTTTTCAGGAATTTTTTGTTGCATTTCATGAATACGAGTGTGGCTTAAATCCAATTCCAATAAATTGTTGAAAATGTTGTCGTTGTGAAGAAAATATTTGGCTCCTTCATCAGTAATGCTATTTTGTCCGAGTTCAAGAATTTGGAGGCGCTGAAAATTCACTCCGCAAGCATAAACGAGAGATTTTACACCTTCATTTCCGATACGATAATTTCCCATTAATGATAAAAACCTTAATCTTGATAAGTTTTTGCTTTGTGACAGTGCAATGATGCCCTTATCCCCAATATCGTTTCTCATGGCATTGAGATGGGTTAAATTCATCAAATATAGGCTGTCGGCAATATATTTTAATCCATTGTCTCCAAAAAGGTTATCCATAACATTGAGTTTTGTTAAATTTTTCATATTCTCACTAAGGGAAAGTAATCGAGCTCCTTCTTGGTGTAACTCGCAATTAGCCAATTCAAGAATTTTCAAATTTTTCAATATTTTACTGTCCACAATGAACCGAATATCGTCATCTCCAATGCTATTATAATACAATCCCAAGTCAGTCAAATTCGCAAAGCTTTCAGAAATGTATTTGAGCCCGGCCTTGGTCAAGCTACTCATGATTAACAAACAAGTTAAATTTTTCAAATTTTCATAACCTTCACGGAACAAGATGGTTTGTTCTGCTCGTTCAATACTCCTAACAAAAAAAAACGACAATTCCGTGATGTTTCTCAAATGGGGACTCTTCATTCTGTCCATCACTGACTCCAAGCCTGTACCTGAGATAATTTTTATATTCTTCGGAATCTTCAACGCAGTTCTGTAAAATTGTTCTGAAAGGATCATTCCAACCGAAATTAAAAAATTAGTATCCACAAATTCCAAGATATGAAAAATCTCATCCTCACATAATTGATCAATCCCATGGTAATTGTTATTATCAATTGATTGTTTTTTTGTTTTCAGATCATCATCAAGATTATTCTCTCTATGGGACGAACGCAAAATCAATTTTTTCTTTTTTCCCATTTTTGGCTTATTTTTTTGTTGAATGCTTTTGATCATGAACAACAACAACGTGAATGGAGAAGTTGAAGCAAGACTTTGATGGATCCATGGGGATCTTGGGAGAGATATTAACAATTCAAATCATTTTGATACAATTACTTATTCATTTGTTTGAGTACATGATGCTTTGAGATGGAAAACCTTAATTGAAGTGTTCACGTGAATGGAGAAGAGAGATCACAAAATGTTGCATGCAAAAACAGAATTTAAGGGAGTGGATGGTTGAAAGGAATCATGTCGCTTTCAAGGACAAGAAAATTTGTGACATATGTTTCAGAGTTGATTAATCAACGGTGGTCCTTCTGTTACTGGTGATTGTGGTCGTGCGCTGTATGAGCTCAATACTTGTTGCTCTTTCCAATCATTGGAGAGTTTCTTAATTTTTGGATTTTGCCTCTTCAATCTTTCATAGGAATCAATAAGATTACTCAATGTCACACTCTTCACACCATCGAATAATTTATCAGGTAACATTTGAACTGCATAGTTATTTGTGTGAATGACGAATAAAATTTCTTCTCTTAACGATTCAATATTTCCAATATTCAGTTCTTGAGGTGATCCTTGAATCAAATAACATTGAACAATATGTAAAGCCATGTCTCTTCTTCGAGTATTGCTTTGACAATGTTTATATTTTTCGAGATCCTTGTAAAATAAAACTCCTTCTGCACAAAAACTTCTTCGACAATGATCCAAAAAGATTTCAAAACTTTCCTTATTGCTTAATATCATTTCCAATTCAGTGTCATAAATGATCGCTTTTGGTTTTTCATCTTGAAAAATAGAATAACAAATGGGTAGAAATATTGTCACAAAAACTTCAATTCCTGAATAGCTGGTCAGGATCATTCCATCTGGAACGACACGATCCAATATAATAAAAATATCAACAAATTCCGTCACTAGAAATATCACTATAAGGAATGCTTGGATTGGAATGAGATAGAGAGCTTCTGTTTTGATAAACCATGTAGTCATTGTCTGTTTTAACAAGCAATACTAATCCACAAAGGCATTCCACACAAAAAATCCAATATAAATTATAATAGCAAGAACAGATGGAGTATGTTGAGCCCCACAACCTTGCAAACTCATCGCATCTTCAGTCATGAAAAATCGATCTTGTGAAAAAAAAAGAATTCTCCATCACGGCAATGCAAAACCACAATACCACGTGAATTCCCAAAACTGTAAAAAGAACCGTCAAAATAAAACTGTGAGTTGACAAAAGGTCATTCATACGGTACCATATTCTCTCTTTGCACCCAATTTTGTATTGTTGCATGAAATTATTATTGCACTCGAAATCATGCTCTCTTGGGATCCGTTTGGCGGAAATGGAAGGAGTGGGTTTGTGGTGCTGAGATGAATTGGTGGTGTTCTTCTTGTTAGGACTTCTCCATCGAGAAGAGAGATCTAAGGAATCTCCTTTAGTAGTGTCAAACTCCTCACTCATCGGTGCTGAGGCAGTCAACCGATCCAAATGTGTTAATTGTTGAGATTTCATTTTGCTCACCTTAAACTGAACATAAAATCGAATTAACCGCAAAATGGTTGGCATTGTAATACAAGAAGGCATCACAACAAAGACAATACTGTACAAGAGACAAGGATAGAATTCTCTGCAAATCACATATCTCAATTGCATACCAACAACGAACAAAAAACTACTAATAATCGTGAACCATAATTGTGTCAGGACATGATTGTTGTGTTTGAGAGGAGTTTCTAGATGCTGAGGGAATAAGAGGTATTGAATAAATCCAATCCGCACAAGGTTCAGAAAATGATGAGGAGGTATTGGTGTTGGAGAGGATGGTAGAAGGCTGAGTAGAAGAGTTTACCTTCGCCACCTCATCTGCATATTTGATGATTGAGGTGACAGAAAGTGTTTGCATAATCATGTTATTTTTTCTCTCAAATGGTAAATGTGTCTTCGGCAAGATGATACTAATAGGTTGCTCAGACATTTGCTAGAACGAGAGATGTCAGTACGGATGGAGTGCATTTGTAGGTCTCAAAATATTTTACATAACCAAAGAAAACCATCTCTTTTATATAGCAAAAAGTAGCTGTCACATCACTTCATGACAGGTCGTACAGATCGCACTCCATCCATGAAAGGAAGCAAATAGTTTGATCCAACATGATATACTTAGCTCCCCGAACAACAGTCACGTGAGATTATTCAGAATTGATTGAAACTAGTCAAGCAGCAAATCCTTATGAACGACGACTGTCAATGAATCCTCTCTTACAGTACAACACTGGCAATAAGCAGTGACATTCAGTTATTGCAACACTTACTCTCGGGCAATCCATTCTTCTATTTTATGGAAAATGAATAAATGAATGTACACACCCAGCATGCTGCCTTGTGAGCAAATGATCTCTCAAGATGCAAATCAAACCCTCCAGAATGCTCCTGGGTTGGCTTGGAATACAAACCACACCAGTCCATCTGGAGAATATTATTCATTGTTTTTAGGTTTTCTATTCAAAACTCACTTCTCAGAACTTGATATTGTTTAAATCTACTTCCTGTCTCGGGTGATCACCTTTGAATTCAAAACTTTCCTTAATATCATGTCCAATCCAGTGCCTCTACCAATCACATCTTCCCAATCAATATGCTGTCACAAGAAGAAAAAATAGAGATGAAATGGGAGCAATAATTGTGTAGTGTGACAGGTTGGTTTTTAGAAGAGAAATAAGTCCATTCGGCACACGGACTTGATGAAGGGGAGGAGGTGTTGGAAATCACAGGAAAAGCTTACTAGATCAATGAAACAGAGAGAAGGTCGACACTCTATTCCGTTCCAATTTGAATCCAATCGTAATGATTGTTCAATTGATTGAATGCAAGCCATACAGTAACCACGTTTTCATCCTTAACATCATTCATCGTCGATCGTGACGATGGTGGTTGAACATCCACAATGGATTCAATTTTCTGATTGCCTCTTCTTGCGCCATAATTATGACGACTCAAAATTACAATTTTAAATTGTACTCTAGGTTGTTGCAAACAGTTTGCAAGAGCAACAATGCAATTAAAATCTCCCCACACTCCTGAGCATTGCATGTTCCTCAAATAGTATCTCTCTATATCGCTGTTATTGTTATTGTCTCCAGGCCCATCCAAAATTAACGCGTGTCTCAATCGGAGACCTTTATCAATTTCAGTATCTAAATGCGATCTCATCCACTCGACGGCTGCTAATCTCAATTGAAGATGATAATCCTCTGTGTGGTAGAGTCCCATTGAAATGACTCGAAATAGACAATTACCATCAGGCTTGACTTTGATGATTTTCATTTTGGGAGGTTTGTTATTGTTGTTTGAAGAGGTATTCATCATGGAAGAAGATTGAGAATTAGCATCCTGATGATGATGATTACCATTTGAATTGGGAGGTGAATGTTGTTGTGATGGATTGGTGGTTTCCGATGATGATGGTGTCTTTTTGTTCCATAAGAAGAGAAAGAATGGATCCATTTGGTGATGATTCCATACATTGATCAACAGGTATAATCCAATGGAAACGTTCAATGCTGTTCTTGTACGTATGGTCCAGGTTGATGATAACATTGAAGAAGAATTTAGCAGCTGGAAATTAATGGAATGGAATTGTGTGCCGTTGTGTTGAAGTAAAGAATTGATCCATTTAGATTTGCCAAATATATTGCTACGTTTGGTGGGAAATTTTCTCCTTTTCAACAAGTTCTCTCCATCATGAATGAATCCGAAAACATTCCATCTTGGTGGTTTCAGCAATGTGTAGTTGAGAATTTTGAAGGAAATGAAATTTGCAGACATTTTTTAGTGTTTTGAATTGTTTAATCTTTTTGAATATTTCTGCAGAAAGCAATTTAAATTTAATAATTGATTATTGGACATTCATGTTTCATCGATGACTGAGTCGATTCACGGCATTGACCAATGAAGAAATGATCATGTCTTGTCTTTGAATATGTGCAATGAGATCTTCATGTCTCTTGTTCATTTGTTCGATGTCGTACCGCTGTTGTTCGATCAGTTTCAGGAGAGAAAGATCAAGTAAAGACATTTCACCTGAATTCATACTCTCGGGTGTTTTTCCAAAACAATAGGCATTGACAAGATTTTGAGCATTTTCGTCTCCGAATATATCAATAAATCGATCTCTCAAGTGAGGAAGTTGCAACGTATAGATTCTCATCTTTTCTAAATATTCCATTCGTTTCTTCAAATTCATCTCTTCTTTATCTACATGCTCACCAAAGAAATCAATGGATGGCTCTGTTTCAACAGTTGAATAATCCTTCACAATGGAAAAGCAAATTTCTACAATCAATTCCAAAAAGCAATTTTCTGAAGTAGTTCCATACTTTTCAAAAATTTCAATCAACCACTCTTTTCGAAAAGTATAGACCTTACACCATTGGTTTTTATCTTTCACATGAATGGCACATTCATTGATAATTTCTTCGAATAGTGTCAAATCTACATTGTTCTCAAAAGTATGTCTATTACGTGAAATGAGATCAAACATTACATATGCATGATTTCCCTCAATCAGATACTTTCCATAAGCATTTAAGACAGAGCCCATAATTTCTTCAGAAGGTGCATTGTAGGCGAAAAACCAATCAACAATTTCAAGAAAATCCTCATAATGCTTCTGTGAATTTTCTGCTGCTAACAGATATTGAATGTAAAGGGCATATGTATCTGTATTTTTTGAATCCAAAAAGCACATGTTGTCGTAGTCATTGATTTCTTCTGTGTTATTGGTGTTACTCTTGTCATGATTATGATGCTTCTCATCGTTCTCCTCTATGGGTAGGAATGACTTTAACAAATTTAATCCAGTTCTCCAAACAAGTTCATTCACACTCTCTTCCGTGGATAATAGTTGTGAAAATTGTTTCGACCATTCTCTCCAAACAATGTTTGCAAAATTTTCTCGTTTTTGTTTGATACATTCTCGGATGACACATAATGCTCGATGATTGGTTTCATCAAGTTTTTTTGTGTCATTGTTCTGTTCTCTTGAAATATTGTCATCATGGAAATTATTTTTCATCAAGTGTTCCTTTAAATTTGCTTCAATTTGGGCAATGTGTAATAATTCGTTGTGATCAATTTTGTCGTCATCTTGAACCCTCTTTTCATCTCCATCACGTAAATTTTCAGGAATTTCATGATGATAACACGGTTCCGAATCATCCACCTCTCTCTGTGCATCGGTTTGTACTTTTTCTTGTATAAATTTCAAACATTGAATGATCATTTCATTGGTTTCTTCGTCATTTTCTCCATCATTATCATTCCGTTCTAAAGAGTTGCTTGTAATCATTTTTTCTTTGTTGGAAAAAATCATCAAACAAAAGCCATCAATCTCGATCTTCTTTGAAAAAGATGATTACTGCAAAAACAACCACTCGTTTATGAATTCCAAACATATCTTAACTATTTTATTCATTGTTTAATTCATTGTCCTTCAAGCTTGATTCGTTTTTGTCATAAAGATTTGGCTGTTTATTATCTTTCATCAGAAGTGAATGCTTTGGTGAACTCAGTTCAATATCATTCCATTCCCATACATATATCATCAACAAATTGAATTCTTATCAGATACAATTGATTGAGTAAAATTAATAACTTGAGGTGACACTTGTAAACGTGATGAAACATAATCAATAGCATGAATATTTTGCTCGAGAGCAATCATGACAATTTCCAAACAATCTTGCATTTCTTTGGAGGCATATTTGAGAGCGAGCCCATCAGATCTGACTGCTGCCTTAACAATTTCAAAATTATTTCTCCATTCTACTGGTGCAAACCGAAGAGCATATCCATCGTTTATGACAGCTGTCATCACAATTTTCCAATTGGTTATTTCATCAATATTATTCTGAACAGATGTGTTGCCATCCATCTCGTGCTCATAACTGCGAAGCTCTACAGGAACGTCCTCCAGCATGGAACCATCGAGTGAGACAGCTAGCAATGCTACTTCCCGATCGCACTTTAATCGATCCGAAGCAAAGTGATATGAAGTTGGGTCGCCCTCAATAAATTTTGTGACAAACTCCTTGTCATCTCTCAATTCATGATTGGCATTATTCAAATCCTCAGAGAGCCAAACAAGCTCCTTGTCTTTCTTGAACGATTCAAGCAACTCATTGTTGTGACCAATGGCATTAATCAACCAATTAAATGAATTGGAGTCTTGTGATATTGCAATATTCACAATCTCTCTATGACGTTCTATAATCGATTCGGAAACATATTGAAGAGCATGTGGTGCGTTGCGAACGGCCTCAAATACAATTTCATAATCATCACCGAATTGATCTTTTACAATCTTTAAACATTCACCGTGACTTTTCACACTCATCAAAACAAGTTCTCTCAATGCACACAATCGAGCACTGCAAGATTCTAAAGCAGCGCCATCGTTATTGACAGCTGTCCATGCCACTTCATAGTCATCTCTTAATCGTTGAGAGGCATATCCTAACATGTTTCCTTTTTTTGAAACTGCTAGTTTGACCAGTTCTTTGTCGTCTCTCAATTCATTCGAAACAAATTCTAAATATTTTGGGCAATGTTCGAGAACAATTTTTACAATTTCTCTGTCATTATTGAAATGACTATTCACATAGATAAAGAGAGAAGGATGTCTTTTCATTAAACGTGTAATATAATTTCCTTTCAGCAACATTTCTTTTGGAGCATATTTAAGGCATGATCCATTATGCATAAATTGATCCTCAGATAGAAAGCGTGGCAGAGAGCTGTCTCTTGTCATTAACTTTATCAACTCTAAATTATGGGAATCTTGCTTGTATTTTTCGTCTTTATACTTTACGACCCAATATTTAAAATGAACAAACATCCCTTGATTCTCAACATACACCATTGGTCCATCTAAAAACACTCGACGACCGCGCAAGAATCCAACGACCCAACATACTTGCTGCATAGGTTCAAAAAAGTCGATCGTCCACTGTGAAAAAGGCAACAAGATCTGACTTGGATGAAAAAACATGGATCTTGATGATGAGTGAATTTTGCCATTATTAAATTTCAGAAACTCTCTCACATGAAATGCCAAATTTGGTAAGTTTTGTGGTTGGAACTTTTTCAAAATGTTGTGGTATTTGGAGACATTATTTTGAAAATAATTTTCGAGCATCTCATCATCAGTAAAAGCAGGTTCTTCCACAAGCGGTAATTTCAAACAAGAATTGACAATTCTCCACCATGCTCGCAATTCTCTAATTTCGACTTGATTACATGCACGATGAAATTTTGAGCACACTCGTTCCGAATGCATTCGCGATTGATCATCCAAGAATTCAAAAATAATTTCAACAAGCTCGATTGGAAGCTGGTCAAAGCAAGTTTGCCATGAGGGTAGAGGATACTCTTCGGGATTTGACATGCTTTGACAGCTTGACATTTTTTTTGAACAGGACAACAACTCTTGAAGTTACTAAGGAACACACTGAAGAGTTGTTACACTTCAACGGTTTCTCCTGGAAACACTACTTTAATTCCCTCATTTTCCTTAAACGAATCGAAAGTGTATGTTTCTACGTAATGTGAAACAAAAGGAACATGTTCCTCGGTATTCAAGAATGAAGTGTGAATAAAAGTTGTGAATCACGAATTATTGTTTCTTTACTTGTTGAATGTGTCACGCAGCTTATTTCCAAGGACATTCGCAAACGTAGCACCACGCTCTCGCATGGTATTTAAACGAGTGGATACTGATGAAGAAGGCTGGGATGATGACAAGGAAGAGGATGATGAGGAATTTCTCATCGATGAGGTGCTACCACCACTAGAAGTACTGTTTGGAGGTGCTACTGGAAGTTGTGGCAAATGCTTTGGAGGTATATGGGGGAGTGGTTTCTTGTCTTCATGATGAGGATGTTGTGGAGAGTATACGCTTTGACTTCGTTGCTGACTTCTAAAGCTAAGTACAGTTTCTAATTTAAGGTCATCGCTTGGAGTAGTTGCTCTGATTGTAATATCTTCGTTTGTGGTGGTTGATTCTTCCTTGTCAATGATAGTGTTGTCAGATGAAGATTTCGATCCCAACAAACCCTCTTTTTCTGCCAATTTCATTCCTAACTCCATATTTTGCATTTGCAAAATTTGATTTTGTTCTTTGAGTTCTGCTAGTTGCACATAAAGATCAGAAATGATGTTCTTCAATTCGCTATTCACTAATTGTTGGTCAGAAATTTCTCCTCTCACAACTTGCGACGATTCATTCTTCTTTTCCATTTTAAGAGCTCTTTCTGTCTGTTGAATTTGTCTCTTAACTAGAATGTTATACTCCTTCTCCACTTTGCTCTTATCGATTTGAGTCTTTTGTAACTCTTGTTGTAATTGAAGAATGTGTTCACGTAGTGTTCGATGCAGTGCATTTGTCTCTTCTTGAGCTTTCTTGAATCGTTTCTTTTCCTCTTTCAACTTATTCTCCAATTCTCTAATTTTATGATCTCTGAAATCGCATTCAGATTGTAACTTTTTGGTGTGCAATTTCTGTTCTAGTAAAAGTTTTCGAGTTTCACTTTCTTGAGCTAAGAAAGTTGAAATGCTCTGTTCACGTTTTTCTTGTTCATTTCTAAATGATTGAATGTACTCATAGAGTTGACTAAATTCAATTCGTAATGCAAACTCTTCTTCAGCAGCTAACCTTAAACAATCCTTAATGGTTTCAAATTGTTTTTGCATTTGTCGTAATTCGCGGTTTTGATATTCAATTGATTCATCAGAGAGTACCTTATTGATGATTTCCTCATGCTTACTTGCATCATTTTCCTTCTTATCAAAATACTCTCTTGAGATATCTGTCTGTACACAAATATCAATTCTAAGATTCTTTAAACGAAGCTCCTCAATAGTTCTTGTTCCAAGTCGAACCCAATCCTTCAATTGATTAGCTGTTTCTGGGTAAATAAAGAGTCTCTTTTCATTTCCATTGATCAGTGCCAAAACTTCTTTTGGCATTCCATCATCAAGGGGTACATGTGTTTGAATATACTCGGTTGTATCTTTGAGTGGCATATGATAAAATAGATACTTGTCCAGAGCGGTCGTGGAATCTTTGACAAAGCTTGTAGGTGGCAATTTTTGGGTGAGGCACAAAATCTCGCAAGTATCAAGCATGACGCAATGAACTCTCTTGAAATCTTGGGAAGAGTGAGTCAACACTTTACAAGGTCCTTCAATCAAAATTTGTTTCTTGTTATCGTCAACTTTAGGTGTTGAAGATTGTGCAGTGAGCATAGATTTTGAAGGTGACCTAATGAGAGATTGTTGATTTTGCATTTCTGCCAATATTTCGGTGAGATGAATCTTACTCTGAATTGCAGACTCCAATGCCTCTGTTTTATCGTTGAGCTCTGTTTGCATGTTTGCTACTATTTTGGTAAGATTGTAATGTTCCACAAGTGTTTTAGTAAATGATCGTTGCGATTCCGCGATCAAATCTCCTAAGGTCTGGAACTTTTTGATGATGAGGAGAGTTTTCTTGTCAGCGAAAAGTGCAAAATAACCTTGCAACATGTCTGCCCATTGTTTGATATCCTTAAATTGACTTCGAAGTAATTTTGAAATAACATAAAGCATTTCAGGTTTGATCTCGATACGAAGAGAGTCTTTTGAATGGCCAATAGAAGGATCCATAGCTTGGAACCAAATACCTCTCTTACTTAATGGTTTTGTGTAGTCATTCACCAATCCAAGCATAAAATCAACAGGAGCTGATGTTAGAGGTACAATTTGTAAATTTTTCTCGGCATTACTATCACCTGCTGATGCATTATGAGTATCATCCAATGATTTGAATGGTAAATCTGTTCTAATGAGACAATGAACATTTGTTTCACTTCCAAAAAGTTTCAATTCGTATTCATGAGATCTATTGCTAAAGCTTTGAATGGTTTGTTTTGAACTTCGTTCTAAATGTTCAATTCGATAGAGATTGTCGAATTTTGGTGTGGATTCAGTCTCCATTATTGCACGCGTCGGTACATGAACGATGCCCAGAGTTTTAATTTCGAAACCAGCAGCATTGGGAGATGGTCCTTTTCCAATTATATAGACTTCCAAGCCCTCAATAGAAACATCAAAAAGCATGGGATAAAAAGTTTTTCGAGTAGCAGCCAGGTAAGCTTCATCCTTTGGATTATCTTCTTCCTCTTCCTCACCATCATGATGGATAGTTTCAACCTTTTTCTTCTTCTTCTTATCTTTAATCTTTTTAGCTACGGTCTTAATAGTTGGTATTAATTCTTCCTTAATGACTGGAATAATTTCACTTGTGCTCTCTTTTGGCTTTCTAACGATTGTTGCTGGCTCAATGGCACGTTCACCACGTGGTGACGAAGATGAATCAGTTGCGAAAGTTGCAGCGGTTGTTGTTGTGCTTCTTGGAGAGGCAGGTGTCACTGAACTATTCTGCCTTGAAGTGGTGGTCGTGACATCCTTTTCTTTCTCCTTCATGATCACATCTACCAAAGAGAATCCGTCATCATCAATGGTCAATGAAATTTGTGGAGATTGTGCAAGTGGACTAGTCTTCTTTTCTTGAGCATGAGAAGATGTAATAATTTCGAAATCGTCATCATGTGTTTCTTCAATGTTTTCTGGTGTTGCTGGAGTAGCAGCATCGACACCAATGTCAACTTTTTCGCCATTGCCTATTGTAGACGATTCAGGAACAGAAGATGGTGTGATATGTTGTTGATCGTCTAGTGGTGCAGTTTGAGAATCTTGTGATGAAGCCACTGGTTGTCCTTGTGACTCTGTTTGTTCTTTCACAGCAAGAAAATCGGGTGGTAGAGCTGGAGCAGATACTTCCGATGAGACGCTGTCTGTTGCTTTCTTCTTTTGAGGTAAATACTTCTCTCTGATTTTACTGTACGTTCTTTTCACTGTTCTATTCATAATTTCCATTGGAGAAATGTCAAACGCATTTTCTCTTGAGTTTAAGAAATGGAAGACATGATATGCAGTGTCAGTATTCAAACCAATGTGAATTCCATTGGCTCGGAGTATAAGCCTTGCATTTCGTAAGTACTTCAAATTTACGTGAGGTTCAACTGATTGTTCATCGTTTGAGATTGGTGTTGCTATTTTCATCTCAGTATTGTTTAAATCTATTGGGTGCTCATACCTGAACACAACCATATATTTGGGAGTATTGGGCGAAAATTTCTTTTGGTTCATTGCAAAAACATATGGACTCTGTTGTGATGTTTTGGAATTAATGTGGCTTACCATAATTGAAGATGGATTCTGTCCATTTTGTGGTGATGTGATCTCAAAATGAGTAATCTTACTCTTGACTGTTACAAAATTACTAGTTTTTGTAATGTTATTTGTCTCAACTAGTACCTCAGCTCCATTCAATTGTAATGTCAATAACTTGGCGTCCATGGATGAATCATACTTTGATGAGAAGAATGCTTCCATACTTGTTGCTGATGAGGCAGTTATGGATAATTCAAGAGATGCAATCTTAGACATGAACATGAGAGGTATTAGACGAATATCTTCTTTTGGAGTGTCTACGACTGGTTGTTGACTTGTTGGCTTTTTAAAAAGATCAATGTTATGTGCGTGAAATGATTTGGTACTTTGGATGAGCAAAGACTTGATCATTGGTGGATCATCAACAAATGTTCTAATAAACTCCAAAAATAGAATTACTTGAGATTGATTCATGTGGAAATTCAAATTCTCTATAAATGTTAATAGTACAATCTTTGGTAACTTGGCATGATATTCAGAGATTGATTCATCATTAACTCCCAAGTCAAATGTTAGTGAAAGAGGTTCCATAATTCGTTGAGGAGGTGAGTGAATGGAAGGCATGATTTGAATTAAAAAATCAGAAAGCTTCACTTTAAATTTGTGAGGTAGCAATTCCCATAGAGTGGTATGCTGAGAATTGTAATCCGTGCTACAGGAAGGAAAACTGTCAATGGATTTTGGTGCAAATAGAGAGTCTTGATCTTTTTTACCCCATTCTGATTGTTTTTTGATTCTAGGATCGCTTGTAATAATTAATTCACGGCTATCAATACACATTATTTCGTTTACGTCCGAAAAATTGTTGACACTGTAATTCGATGGAACAAAAATTTTTGGGCTTCTAATTTCTACAAGGAATGAGAAACTTTTCTCATCTCCATCATCATCAGAGGTATAATCGGATGAAGTTAGAGAGCCACTTGAAGGAGATACCTTGAGTTTTTCATTGCTATTCTTGCTGCTGCTCTTAAGTGATGAAGAGCTTTGTGAAGGTCGCACAAGCTTATTGGTCAAAATTACAGTTTCAGGTGGAGGTTTAACAGACATATCTGGTAAACATTCTAAACAATACTCGACTAATCGTATCAATCTTCTTACATCCAACATTACTTGAATTGGATTAACTCTACACTCCAAAACAAACTCCATGCCTTCGCCTTTCACAAATTTAAACCTAACCATTTCTTTACCCTCTTCGAAAAATTTTCTCTTCAAAATTGAATTGTGAGGTCTATAAACTCGCTCTACAATTTTGTGGTCAGGATAGTAACGATGGGTTGACAAAAATTCTGGCCATATTTCTAAATTTACAGTGTATCCGTGGTGGTGAGGCTGACTTGGAGAATTCAATCTGTTTGTATGACTAATGAGCTCATCTTCTTCATATTCATCACGGAAAATTTGAGGTTGAATCAAATAATTTTCATCCTTCAATTCATTGTCAACTGTGTTGAGATTGCTAATCAGTTCCAAATCCAAGAAAGATGTTGCATTTTCTGTTAAACTTCCTTGTCCTTTAAAGCTTGTTGTAATTTCTTTAAATTGTATAAATGGTATTCCGAGTTGAATGTTCGTTTCTGTGGGATTGTCCTCTGGAATTACAACCCCAAGTTGAAAACCCAACATTTCAAAAAAGTATCCAAGAACTCGCTTATTCTCTCTTCCTACCACTTGCTTTGGTTGATTATTGCTATCACGACTATACAGGAATGTCATTTGAAATTCGTTTAAATTTACAACTATAGTCTTTCGAGCTGCTTCTTGAGGTTGTGCGTTTGCTTTTTTGATTGTTTCATCATTTATAATTTCCATGTCACCTAAATCAGAATCCAATTCAGCTAACTCCTCTTCTAATTTGGCTTCATCGTCAGAGTCTTCTTCAGCCTCAACATCATTAGAATCAACAAAAAATTTGGAAATAGCCTTGGATTGTTTTCCTGAATTGGTGGTTGTCATTGAGTTCTTGCTCGAGAGACTTGTTTGACTATTGGATCTCTTGTGTTTTTTTACATAGGTAGAAAGAACATCTTTGGGCTGCTTTAAATCCTCTCTTGCCGACGCTGCTTTAAAAGCTAGTAAAACGCTTATTAAGCCTTTGATATCTTCTTGCCTTAATGTAATAGCAATCCGAGGAAGTACAATTTCTGCTGTCACGCTCAGTAGAGAGGATTGTTTTCCAACAGTTACAGCTCTTTTTTTCATAGTTATAAACATTTGACAATAAATATCCTCTAATAATCGGATGGGAGGAAGAGGTACAAACGTAGGTGGCTTTTTCTGATTTGATGGATAAAAACTCAAGCTTGGAATGAGTGAAATAGAGATGGATTCTACAGATCCTAAACGATGAACCCACACGAATGGATGATTCTTTTCAACTTTTGGAATTGCAATTTTCAAATCTGTCACTGGTTTAAACCTATAATCTGTTGTTTGTAGTGAAAATCCTTTCACTAAAATTTGTAATACATGAGGTGTATACGGTCCAATCACTGTCGATGGAATTTGTCCCAACGTTTTAACGTTAATTTCCACCCAATTAACTACAATTTTTATACCATCGATAATTCTATCCACAAATCCATACTTGCTTGTTCCGGTTGAACTTTTTGATGTGTCATCACCTTGAGACCCTCTATTTTTGTCTATAAAATCCTTTAGAGGTGTCTTTTTAACGAATGGCTTTATCGGTTCTTCCAGATTAATGATGAGTCGATCCAATGTGAGGATAATGGGATCATTTGTGAGCCGTGTAATACCAGGCAATCGTATTGAAAGTTGATTAACATGAGCATCCATCACTTGAAGAAAATCAATCGGAAGAACTTCTTGAATTACTTGCTCATTCACTTGAAGATTTGTAAGAGCACCTGTTCCTTTTAGAAACGACAAGGACAGAGCTTCTTTTCCCCAATTTTTGATAAAAACGGAAAGATATTTTCCCAATACATTTGATATGAGTCGATCAGTCATGGTAGGTTGTGGCTACAAAATGCTTGTTGTGATATAAATATATATATTTGACAACAAAAAAATCAAGGTTGTTGTACAAAATTGTTGAAGAAGGGTATTATCTTGTTGATGAGTGGTTGTCGTGGATTGTAGTAGTATGGATGATGATGAGATCCTTCTTCCGACCTGGTTTTGGACCAAACTTTGAAGATAGCGTCCGCAAGGAAAAGGATAGCGGAAAGATATTTTTTTTGTTAGAAAGCCAACGTTGATGCTTCGTTGCCTGTTTTTGTCGAATTTATTTCGTGTTGGGATGATGGTATTTCAAATTCAAAAGCATCCACAAATGACCTAGAAAGATGGTAAATTCTTCCTCAGTAAGACCTTTGTTGCCTCCATGCAAATTTTGGTGCGTCTGTGGTTGGCTTGTTGAGAAAAGGTGTGACTTTGAAGGAGGGCGAGAGTTATTATGACTTGGAATTGAGTCGTGCTTTTGTTGTTGCAATAGAGTTGGCTTCCTTTTTGAAACTCCATTATCCGAATATTTACATCTCTCAAAGGTTTCAATATATTCCATCCAGACATCATGTAATTCAGGATTATTTGCGATGTGTTTAAATTTCACAAAAACAATATTTGTAATGTATTGCCTTAGAGTCAAATTGGCTGGGAAAAATAATTCAGGATCACGACAAGTGATAGATCTCTCAATTAAAAGGGGTGAATATAAAACAAACTCTCGAAATGAGAAATAATTTCGTTGAGTAATTCTGTACATTTCGTCCATGTGGAGTGACATGATGTTTTTGGAAGAGTCTGAAGGAACGATATTGTTGGGAATGGGTTGTGATGATGTTGTGACAATAGCTGGTTGATGATGAATGACCGTTGACGTGGAATTTGCAGACAAGTTCAAATTACTTCTTGTGTGAGGTAGTGTGTTAGGTGGTGTTTGAACCACATTGCCATTACTTGCAAACGACGTTGAATGACTCATTAAGGAAACTCCAACGGGTTGAGACATGTAATTCGAAGATGCTGCTTGTCCTGGAAGTGAGGATTGAGCTGATTTAAAATCCTCAGATAGTTCATTCAAATGGCTCGATGATGCAGCATTAATTTTAGAATATTCCATTCTTCTTTCACTTACTGCAAATTCTAAAGATTGATGTCCTGTTGTTCGATTAATCATAGCAGCCACATCGTTTGAAATGGAACTCACTAAAGATTCACGAGCTTTGTAATAAAAAACAAATCCTTCATATTTTGGATCCGAGCTGTTGGCTACAAATAAATGTGGAAAATGAGGTAAAGGTTTGAGAGCAAAAACAGGTGGTTTCCAATCCATGGAAATTTCTTTGGATTGAATGGAATAACCTTGGATGACTGTGGAGATAGATTTTCGTGTGGTGCTTGGCTTGAAAAATTCCTTATCAAAATCTCTGTGTGTCTTTTCTCGTTTTTGAAATTGGTAAAATCTGTACTTTCCTATATCGTTATAAATTTGATATTTTGATCATTGTACAATAAAATAGAAAAATTATTAAATCATGAAATAAATTAAAAAAACATTCATTTGTGACACAATCATCACCTACGTTTCGAATTTCTCAAAATTACACACGTCACTAAAATCAATAAAAATAACACCACAAACACCGACCCCATAATAATTACAATTGAAATATAATCAATTTGATTCGGAATTTGTGTTAAATCAACTGCTCGTGTTTCAATTTTTGTCCTTCTTGTACCAGTCGATATGAACGATGGAAAATCGGTACGACTCCTCAAGTCATCGTACAAGTCCATCCAATTCATGTCATGAAAGTTATTGGGATGATGGTGATGGACAGGATGGTTTTCATCACCACCATCGGATAGATGTTGTCGCATTTTTTGAATTGACTGAATACACGAATTTCGATAGATTGATATAGACAGCAGAAGAAGATTAAACAGAATGGATATAGTATTTTGAAATTGGAGTTCTGTCATCTCCTGGCAAGTTTAATGAAGTTCAACGAAGTATGTGTGATTATTGAAAAAAAAAATGGCGATCGAATGGCGATAATTCATTCATTAGTAATCGTCACTAAAAATACGGAGTTTGATCCACTTATCATTTCATTGAATGGGGTCATTCGGAGAGAAAATCTTTGATGATCATTTTTCGTTAACCCTGCATTGATTAACAAGGATAGAATTGAAAATATAAGAAAACAGATACGTTATTTTAAATCAGACGTTCACTTTTAAGATACAATTTGAATCTTCTTGATGGTGGAGATATCACTAATATTCATTATCAAAACTCAACATGATGAACTATTGGAAGAGTGGAAAAACACGGCTGTGCCTGGACTGGATGTCAATTTTGACACTATTATGGAAGTCTATTTTCTTGACACAGATGCTTTTTATGCATGTCATGTTGGTTTTCCCTTCCAAATTATGGCTATTGTCTAGTGATTGCTTGTTCATGAATGGGTTTGGGTTTTTGGGTTTTTGGGTTTTTGGGTTTTTGGGTTTTTGGGTTTTTGGGTTTTTGGGTTTTTGGGTTTTTGGGTTTTTGGGTTTTTGGGTTTTGGGTTTTTGGGTTTTGGGTTTGGGTTTTGGGTTTGGGTTTGGGTTTGGGTTTGGGTTTGGGTTTGGGTTTGGGTTTGGGTTTGGGTTTGGGTTTGGGTTTGGGTTTGGGTTTGGGTTTGGGTTTGGGTTTGGGTTTGGGTTTGGGTTTGGGTTTGGGTTTGGGTTTGGGTTTGGGTTTGGGTTTGGGTTTGGGTTTGGGTTTGGGTTTGGGTTTGGGTTTGGGTTTGGGTTTGGGTTTGGGTTTGGGTTTGGGTTTGGGTTTGGGTTTGGGTTTGGGTTTGGGTTTGGGTTTGGGTTTGGGTTTGGGTTTGGGTTTGGGTTTGGGTTTGGGTTTGGGTTTGGGTTTGGGTTTGGGTTTGGGTTTGGGTTTGGGTTTGGGTTTGGGTTTGGGTTTGGGTTTGGGTTTGGGTTTGGGTTTGGGTTTGGGTTTGGGTTTGGGTTTGGGTTTGGGTTTGGGTTTGGGTTTGGGTTTGGGTTTGGGTTTGGGTTTGGGTTTGGGTTTGGGTTTGGGTTTGGGTTTGGGTTTGGGTTTGGGTTTGGGTTTGGGTTTGGGTTTGGGTTTGGGTTTGGGTTTGGGTTTGGGTTTGGGTTTGGGTTTGGGTTTGGGTTTGGGTTTGGGTTTGGGTTTGGGTTTGGGTTTGGGTTTGGGTTTGGGTTTGGGTTTGGGTTTGGGTTTGGGTTTGGGTTTGGGTTTGGGTTTGGGTTTGGGTTTGGGTTTGGGTTTGGGTTTGGGTTTGGGTTTGGGTTTGGGTTTGGGTTTGGGTTTGGGTTTGGGTTTGGGTTTGGGTTTGGGTTTGGGTTTGGGTTTGGGTTTGGGTTTGGGTTTGGGTTTGGGTTTGGGTTTGGGTTTGGGTTTGGGTTTGGGTTTGGGTTTGGGTTTGGGTTTGGGTTTGGGTTTGGGTTTGGGTTTGGGTTTGGGTTTGGGTTTGGGTTTGGGTTTGGGTTTGGGTTTGGGTTTGGGTTTGGGTTTGGGTTTGGGTTTGGGTTTGGGTTTGGGTTTGGGTTTGGGTTTGGGTTTGGGTTTGGGTTTGGGTTTGGGTTTGGGTTTGGGTTTGGGTTTGGGTTTGGGTTTGGGTTTGGGTTTGGGTTTGGGTTTGGGTTTGGGTTTGGGTTTGGGTTTGGGTTTGGGTTTGGGTTTGGGTTTGGGTTTGGGTTTGGGTTTGGGTTTGGGTTTGGGTTTGGGTTTGGGTTTGGGTTTGGGTTTGGGTTTGGGTTTGGGTTTGGGTTTGGGTTTGGGTTTGGGTTTGGGTTTGGGTTTGGGTTTGGGTTTGGGTTTGGGTTTGGGTTTGGGTTTGGGTTTGGGTTTGGGTTTGGGTTTGGGTTTGGGTTTGGGTTTGGGTTTGGGTTTGGGTTTGGGTTTGGGTTTGGGTTTGGGTTTGGGTTTGGGTTTGGGTTTGGGTTTGGGTTTGGGTTTGGGTTTGGGTTTGGGTTTGGGTTTGGGTTTGGGTTTGGGTTTGGGTTTGGGTTTGGGTTTGGGTTTGGGTTTGGGTTTGGGTTTGGGTTTGGGTTTGGGTTTTGGGTTTGGGTTTGGGTTT